AGTGGTTACTTCGTTTATAAAGAGCTGACAACTTTCGGCACCCTAATATTATCACGATTAAATTCCTCCAAATATTAGTTATTTTAGTATTCCGGCTTTGGAATATATCCAAAATATGTCTTATCTTGAATATTTACTAACTAAATCTGAAAAGCTTAAGATTAGATTTTGTTTAGATTCTGGGATTTGAGCAATTCTTTATTAAAATTCATGAAAGTATTCGGCTTTAATAAATTAAAATTAATTATGAATTAAAACATAGAACTTCATACTCCTTGAATGTATATTATAGAAATCAATGAAATATAAGATTTTCTGTTCTATCTGTCTTTCATCATCTACAAATTAACAAAACCTTGAATACAATAATATTAAGAGATAATATTTTGAAGAATAATATTTCAATTTATTTAAATATCTATATAGGATAAAAATTTATTGTCACAACTCTCGATAAATTTTTTTATAATTATTAATAAATATTAAGAATTCTTTTAAAATTCATAATTATTGAAAGCAATTTTCAAAATTAACTTAACTAATTGTTCAATAAAATAACCAGAGATATTATATTTTTAAATTCAAATACTTAATAGAAAAATAGAATTGAAACTAATATCTATAATTTGAATTAAAAATAATAAGAAAAAACCCAATTATAAAACATAAAACAACTCAATTATAAAACAATCGTTCAGATCTCTTTTTTTTAAATTACTTTGGCTATTCATTTTACCTTCGTATTTCATTAAATAAATCCTCATCTTTCCCATTTTCACAATGATTGCAATTACAATCAACTGTACATGTCTTTTATCTAATAAAACACTCGCAATATCTTTTCTGACATCTAGTTTTTTTGCAATTACACCCCCAAACATCTTTTGTTTCAAATAACTTCTCCTATGTAACTTTTTTATTTCTGTGTGCTTTTTTTCTAATATATTCAACTGCATTGTGTCTCTAGTTTAAATATTCATCAGTATTCTAACAATCCTCGCATTTACATTATTCTACACAAGTTTACCCATTATGGAAGCATGAGCAATACATTTTCAAACAATTAGTTTTTGAACAGCTACATGGTTACCATTTTGTATTTTCTAATATTTAACTTTCTTCTTTATTTTCGTCTAAATCTATTTGTCTATTAATAACTTAATGAAGTTGCTCATTATTCTCAATTGTTGAATTCCTATAATAATTATAATGAGATACAATTTTCTTAATTTTACGAGTTTGGGCGATTACTTATTTTCCAAATCAATTTCACTAAACTCAGAACATTTACTCCAAGTTAATAATAATTTAGGAGGCTTATTTTCTTCTGAGAGTTCTTGATTGATCATAAGAAAAATTTAAATATTATAATTTTTATATAAAACTCATAAATATCCCATATTTTGCATTAAAAATTCTGAGACATTTTACTATGAGTGATATAATGCAATTTTAATGAACATGCACTTTAGAGATGATATCATCAATTTTAAACCAACTTGTCATATGATAAAAGGATTGGATCTTGATGATAGAATCTAGTATTGAATTACAAATAGTGTTCTATTTTTCTAGCAAATAAGATTATAACAAGCCTGAATAAAAGATATGCTTTATGTCAAGATTGATGAATCGTATGTTTATTAGATATTTTTAAAATTGTAAGAAAAATTATTTAATTAATCATAAAGGATTATTAAAATAAACTTAAGTGAAACCTGAGCTCAAAAAGATAGCAGATAAAAACTCAATTATCATTTTTGTTTCCGATCTATTAACAGATTTTTAAATCTAATATAGATTTCAATTATAAAAAGGCTCGAAGTTTGAATAATCGGAATAATAAGATTTATATAATCCTAAATTATTTAATAGAGATGTTATGATTATTTCACTCTGCAGGAAGGAAAAAATACTTAAAATATTAATAGCAAGTAAGAAGGTGTAGGAAAAGGTTCTAATTTTACAAAATTCAGTAGAATATAAATTGAGGAAAGTGAAATAATAAAGTAATCAGTTAAAAATAATGTTATTTATTTACAGTTCCCAAGCAAATAATAATAGAAAGGACATTTAAAAGAATATTAACAAGAGTTCTGAGTGAATTATTTTAAGATTATAAATAAATATTGTGCACATTATTTTAATTATAACGAATTATGAGTCGTCTTTATACATTAGAGGATGAACAACTTGATTATGGATAAGATTATGAAAGTGTTTTAGTTGTAAAAGAAATTGATCAACCTAAAAATGAGAGGGAAAATGAAAAAGATCTATAAAAGCTTTTAAGTTTGCAATTTTATAGCAAAAAGAAAAAAAGTTCATTTCAATTAAATGCTATCTAAAGATTAATAACAGAGCAAAAGGAAAACTTTAAGAAATAATAAGAAAATAAATATCTCAATTAAAAACTTAAGACACCATCATCTAAGCCATTCCCAGTTATAATAGTCACACCAAAATGCTCAATTAAGACACCTTAGTATAGTAAGAGTTCAAAGTAGCAAATTTTGATTGCGCCGTTAAACTTTTAAGATTCATTTCAGAAAATAAAATTGCTGGTTTCAAAATAATAAAAGCATTAGTTAGATTTTAGTAAATTTAAAAGGTCGATATACTGATAAATATTTCATATTGAGACTTCTTTATTTTTTGGTTTTGTAATTAAAAATAATAATTATAATTATTAAATGGCTGAAGGATAATCTGACACGTTTTGGAAATCACTATATATCTATTTTAATGAAATGGATTTTGAATCTCAATTGTTTGTGAAAAAGATATATAAAATCATCATATTGACAGTGGCTGTAATCAAAAATTAGGATATCTTTAGATAATTTCATTTATAATTGCATTCTTCCTTGAGAGATTTTCAGTATGTGTATACTCTACAATTGGATCAAGTGTTCTTTGTATATTAGTATAAATAAAATAATATCATATAATAGGTATTAGCACCTGCATGGCCTATGTGGAAAAAAAATTAACCTAATTGGCAACAAGCAAATTAGTAAAAACAAAAATGAAATTTAAATATATATTTTCAACGTATAAAAGCTAGTCTTGAAAAATCTTTAAACTCCTAAGGAGAGTTGATTCAATAAAATAGAATTAGAAGTACTATAAATTAATTCAGAAAATTAAATTTAATTAATCCAATCACACTATATATAATTCTTTAATTCATATAGTAATTCTATTTACTTGATCTAATTAACTTTAATTGCTATTATTATTTTTCATAAAATGAATCTAAAAATTTCGATTTAGTTTTAATTGGATTTGCTTTGACAAACTTTTGCCTCAAAATATCCCATTTTATTAATGTACATCAATTTTATTAGATTATTACGATGGATTTTAACTAAAGAATCAATTTTTGACATTTTATAATTTTTATATTATAAAATTATGAAAAAGCAATAATCAAAATCGTAATCAAATAGAAACAGATAAGATACAGCAAAATCTGTAAAAAGATAAGAGAAACTAACTAAAATTTAAGAAGCTTTTAATTTTAATAAGGCATCGAAATATATTGTAAGCTAATGTTATTTATATAGTTTCAATCTGGATTTTAAGAGAGAGCATGGTTAATTAAAAGGGGGTACTAGGACAGGATTGATTTTAAAGATTCAGAAATCGCAGAACTCAGAAAATATTTCTCTTCTCTTGACGGAGATGGCTCTGGTGCAATAGGAATAGAAGAATTAGAAGATCCATTAATCGCTTTGGGCTTAGTAAATTCCAGAGAAGAAGTGGAAAAAATTATGAGTGAAGTTGATGAAGATGGAACAAATGAAATAGAATTCAAGGAGTTCTTAACAATTATGAGAGGAGTGTAAAAGGGAGGAAATACTGATTAAGGAGAAAAGAATCCTATTTATGATTTCTTCAAAAGTATCAGATTCATTTGATAGTGTTTTAGAGATGAGTAATGGTTAATTAGAAAAAGGAATGGATAGACACATTCCTTTTAAATTAAATGTTAGCTTATTTCGAAGAAAACAAATATTAAGTAAATTATTAATTAAAATGAGACGCAATAACTAGTGATTAAAAGGAGCTAAAAGATAAAGGGTCAAAAATTTTGTAGGCATACAAGAGATAACTATTAAATTATAAGTAACAAGAAAGATTGAATCGAGGAGAGGATCCAAATGGTAATAAATTGCCATATGATATATAGACATATCTTTGGATTAGTTTCCGAATAAGGATAATGGGCCTAATCCTAGAAATGGTCTTCCGAAACAACAAAGAATAATCTAACCTGAAGCAAAAATAGGAAGCAGCAATAAACACCTAGAAAAATGAATATTAATTTAAATTGATATAAAATTTTCTTATGATTTTTGCTTTTCTTTAAGAATCTATTTTCTATGTCTTTGGGTTTAAATTTAAGACTTTTTTGTTACTATTAATTAGTTTTGTTTTTAAAATAAAATCTTCATATAGTATGATTAGGATTGAAGTGATTCTAGATACGATTTAAAGTATAAAAATGAGGGGCTTTGGAGTAATTTGATATTTTATGAAAAATATTATAAAAAATAAAATTATTAACTCTTGTTTATTTGAATTTGAAATACTTTGGCATTAGAGAGGATAATAAAAATTATTTTTTTGCTTTTGGTTGGAGCCTTATTAAGAGTGAAGTATGAGTGTTGAATTATATATATAAATTAATGATTTTTCAATAACTAAAAATTACTTTACCTCCAATTGGTGCTCAAGAAATCGAGAAATCAATATAGAAAAGAATGGGAGACTGCTTAGAAACATAATTAGGGTTTGAATACGAACCTTTTACGTTTCAATATTTAGAATTACACCCCGATTTGGTTACTATTAAAAATCAAGTATACAAACTTATAGTTATATATGCAGAAAATTGAACATCATCCCATTGAGGATTAATAACATGTACATACTGCATTGGGATGCTTTAGTAAAGAAAATAAAATACGCTTATTCTTAAGCGAAAACATCCATGTTTTGCAACGATTAGTGATTATAATGGTAATTGTAAATACTATAGCATTCTGTCTATACGACTATTAAATTAGAGATAGTGTAAACAATTTAAGCACCAGAAATATAGCCTCAATAATTATCGAAACAATATGCAATGTTTTTTTTGGGATTGAGATAATAATTCAGTGCATTTGCTATGGAGCAATTTTGGGTAAAGGAACTTATTTAAGAAATATTTGGAGTTGTCTTAATTTTCTAACTTTTGTCTGTACATGGTCAATATATTTCGATTAGTCAAATACATTCATTTAATTGTTAAGAGTTATTCGTTTATTAAGATTGGTGAGACTTTTACAAGAAATACATTACTTAAGGGAACAAGTGGAAACCTTTTTTTCATGCTTTTTAACAATCCACACTATAATAATTCCATTAGTGATAGTGATTTTTGGATTTTCCGTTATCGGGCTGCATTTGCTCAGAGGAGTTACGGGATATAGATGTGCTAAGGACGGAATCATTGATCTGAATATTAGAAATCTGTGTGGAGAATGGGAATGTCCAGATGGGTATTTATATTTCAATATTAAGCTATGAGTGCATTAATCATTTCAATTCTGAAGATTTAAGTTATTTAGACTTTTATTACGGATACTACAATTTTGATACTATATATGATTCCTTTTTAAGTGGATTCATGTTTTTTAATGCAACAGGTTGGTCGCCAACGACATTTTATTTTTGGAAAGCTGTGACTCCTCCTGCTACTGCAATTTATTGTATTTTTATGCTTTTTATCTTGTAAATTAATAATTTATATTAGACATTACACCTTATCTGATTTATTGTTAGCATCCCTCTATGAATCATTTCTCGTTAGCAGTGCAATCAAAAATAGCATCAAATCCAATAAATCTGAACTATTTACCCAGAGAAGAAGGACAGTTACGTTAGTTAATAATTAAAACAAAGCTTAGATCAACTTCCATAAATTGCATATGATTACTTAAATTTCATCTTAAAATAGGGTAAACCTTGTGACTCCTGCTGAGATTTTGCGGAATGAGACGATTAAGGTGAAAAATGAAGCTTGGTTTATTACAAGAATCAAGTAGTTTGATTAAGTTTTTATCATTACTTCAACAATCATACTGTGCATGGACTAAGTTGAAAAGTAGTATAACCCAAAAGAGTATTATGCAGACATGGTAATGAACTTTATGCTAATAATTTTAACTCTTTTTAAGTTAATATTTTTTAAGAGATCAAGGAGAAAATTGTCATTTATAATAGATGTAATCTTATCACTTGCTTTGATCGTTGTGATTATATTGGAATTTTTAAATTATTAAAGCAATGTTTTTATAATAATTAAAGCTTTTAAGGCTTTTAGACTAATAAAATTAATTTATAAATTAGAGTACTTTGGAATAATAAGGGTGTTGCTTAGATGTCTGATTGAAACAATAATTAAAATTAGACATTTAATCATTTTATGGGCCATTTTTGCATTCTTAATTTCTATAATAGGATAGGAATTGTTTGCTCATTATGTGAAAGGGTCAACTGAAATTGAAGTACATTTTAATGGAATCGGGAATTCACTTATGGCTGTATTTAATATTTTTTATGGAGAAGAATGGCATGTAACAATGTACTAACACGCATTATATAAGCCTGCTTCATCGTTTCTCTTTTTTTTGATTGTATTCTTTTTGTGTCATACACTTTTTATGAGACTATTGAAAGCTTTATTTTTAAATGAATTTGGAAAGAAGTTAAATGAATTAGATTAAAAGTATCCATAAACAGACTATTTATAAAGAGCTTGGCAGTATATAAAAAGTTTATGTTTTTAATAAGAGTCACCCTAATCCTAATCATAATGTTAGAATGAGGATGACTCAAAAGCACCGCTTTAAGAGACCAGTCCTAATGGGACTAGGATTAAATCTCAGGTTTCATAGATAAATGTTTCAAATTATAGAAGAATAGTAGAACATAAAATGTTTCGAATTTGTCTCTTGCTTGTTGTAGCTTTGAGCGCAGTAAAGAGTGCTGTGTAAAATCCGTTAACAGACCCTAGGAGCAAAGAGAAAGTAATAAATTTATTAAAATTAGCTAATTTTGGATGTGATTTAATATGTAACAACTGTGATTTTCATGATCGAACTGATACTCAATTGTATGGCCTATGGGATAATCAAATTCATAAATCAATCATTTCTAAACATAATATCCATTATAAACATCATAGTGAATCTAATCTCAATAGGATTGGGCAATCCTCCACTTTTTATTCTGACTCTCTTTGACTCTCTGAGAGTTCTTGCCTTTTTAAAAACAGGAGCAGATTAATACCCTATACTTAAATAAGCACTTTAGGCGTTATTTAATGCTTTTACAAAAATGATCTAATTAGCTATTTTTAGTCTTCTAATTTTATTAATTTACAGTATTATCGGTATGCAATTATTAAATCACGAATTCTATTATTGCAGTCTGCCTGAAGAAAGTTCAATAGAAGTACATCTAATATCTAAAATTGATTGTTTTGATATAGGAGGAAATTGGGTAGACAAGCCTCTTAATTTTGATAGTTTATTTTAATCAATAAATATCCTATTTTGTGTGGCTACATCGGAAGAATGGACATAACTGATGATACCAGCATGGTCAGCTGCAGGGATTGACCACTAGCCACATCATGACACAAACAGATATTGGTCAATTTATTATTAGCTGTTTTACTTTATTGGTAATATTTTGGTTTTGGGAATGTTTGTGACTTTAGTTGTCGAAACATATATAAAAACAAGAGAAGAATCATGTATTAATATTGTTATACATAATTAGAAAATCTTAATTTATTAGATGACAAACAAAGAGAGTGGTTTCAGATCAAAGAATAAATATTGCATTTGAAACCCAAGAAGAAGTTTAAACCTCCCAACAATTACATTTTAAATGCCATTTATCGAGTGTATTAATTATTGTAGATTCCATTTTTAATAGTAATCTTAAGCAACATCATTATGCTTAGTTTATACTATGCTAGAATGGGATAAGAATACGAATAGGCTTTGGACTAAGTCAATTAAATCTTTATCTTTATTCAACTATTTGAAATACTAATAAGTACAGTGCAAGTAACAGATTACACGTTTAAGATTTACGAAATTATTGGAATTATTTTGAGTGTGGTTTCTAGCTTTTTAGACTACCACATTCTCCATGTAGTTTCAGTGGTATTTCAAGTTACCAGAATATACAAATTAACATAGCATTTCAAAACCATTCAACATTTATTCCATGCCATTTTTGCTGTGCTACCAAACACAGCCTCAATGCTTTTGATTATGTTGGTTGTCTTATATTGTTACACTATTGTGTCTTGTGATTTATTTGCTTATTTACGTCCTTAAAAATCAGTAAATGGATTTGATATGCACTTTAGGGATTTCTGGGGTGCTCTGATGACTCTAATTAAGGTGTCGTCTGGTGAGAAATGGTGGATTGTATTGCAAGAAACAACCTTAGAATAATCACCTGACATAGCATGCATTAATATTGAATCATATGATGAATTTTTAGAGGTAGGTTTTAATGGATGTGGGTCAAACCTTTCTTATCCATTTTTTATTTCATTCATCCTTGTATTTTCTCTTATGATTTTAAATCTCTTGGTCGCCAACATCATTGGAGCATATGAGCAATATCATAAAAGTGAATAGAGTGCTATTTCTAAATACTAATTGTTGGATGTGATGGAGTTGTGGTCATAATTTGATGAAAATGGAGAGGGATTCATAAGTTATAAACTCTTTTGGAGGTTGTCCTCTTAGATAGCTATAATCTTTGGATTAGAATAGTCAGATTTGTTGGATGTCAATAACAAGAAGAAATTTCTAAAGGCTTTGAAGATTCCGATTTATGAATTAGTCGACTCGAATGTTCTTTGTTACAGATTCCATGATGTGATTGTGAGTTTGACTAGGATTTCAGTGACCATTAAATATGGAGTAGTGAATTTAGAACCTGAAGACAAGGATATATATAATAAGGTCTATGGGAATAAGCATTCACACGTGGAACAGAAGTTCAGAGAGACAGCATTGAATAGTGGCGATATGGTATTTAGATATAAGTTTATCATCTAGGTTTCCATAATCTTTATTTAGCAGAAGTTTAGAGAATGGAAGTAGAAATCGCTTTTAAAAAATACTATAATTTTGGGTGGAATTGGAGACTATCGAAGTTTAATCAAAATCAAATCTAAAACACTTAGTGAAAAAATACACGAGTAGATAAATAGTGAAGATTGACATTTGTATTTAAATTCATTTATCTAAATATTCAAACTACAAATTGATATTAATATTTATACTGATTTTTAAATTGATAACTTATTAAAAATAATTACTAAATATGAACTCTAAATAAAAATTGAATAGGCAAACCAAGGTGTAATTCTTTTGCAAACAGATTGAAGAGAGAAGACAACGATTAAATATTAAGAAAATCAAACCATATTATCATTTGACTCAAACGTAAATGAGTTAAAGGATTGGGAGATCTAGACGATTGGAAATTAGTTAAAATAAATTTGGAAATACCAGTTGTTGTTGTTCGGAGTGTGGAAGGGACTCACAGTTTAAATAGAGAATATTCAAGATCTATCCATTTAATGGGACATCTTATTAATATTAGGAATCAATAAAGCAAAACCAAATATTAGATCGTTACCGAAATTCCAAATATATCAAAACCTTTAGAAAACTTGTCTATTGTCTGCTCTTTATCATACGATATAGGATTGTGTAGAACATAAGATTTAGACAAAGACAGAGAATGAAAAAAGTGTTGAAAACTAGAGTGGAATAACCAAGAATGACATTTCTCAATGTGTTGGATATTGCAAAGAAGTCATTGAATCCAAAGTTTAAGTCAGCTTCCAATTTCGATTTTGCAATTAGTTAGAATGCTACTGCTCTCAATTCTCCTCAGGATTCAGACGAAGAGTTCTATCATCTGAAACCGAAGAAATCTTTGGCGCATAAATTATCAACAGAAGAACATCTACCGCATAAAAAATTGTCAAAATCCTAATAAAAAGTTTATTTAATTACTGGATTAAATTCAGTTTTGAATTAATATGTAACTTCAAAGTTAAACAAACCAACTATTAAATGCAATTAATAATCAATATGCATGCCACCATTACTGTCCTTAACCGTATCTCCCAGATAGAATCAATCGACTCATTTGCCTCATATTAGAATTAGACATAATAATTGATTATATTTCATATACTGCTATAATTAGTTTTGTATTAGACATTATATTATTTAATGTTATAGAGTGATGAGAGAACTGAATAAGATTATGCCATTAACAAATCGAAGAATGAGCCAATACTCAATAGAAACAGTATCACTCAAGTATTAATCTATTTTACTAATGCTTAATTCAGGAGGACATACAATTGATTTTGAAGGAATCTTAACTCAAAGATAGTCTGAAGATAAATTATTGATTGTACCAGAGGAATTAGGTGCTCAAGTTCCTCCCAGAGTCGAATTCGAGGTTCATACCACTCAGAATAAGGTGAAAAAACTAAAAACCATAAAGATGGCTAAATTGCCAACGAAAACATAGTTTATTTTGGAGTTAAGTGAAAATAGCGATTATAGAGAATTACTGGCTTCTATTGAGGATTTAGAAAGGAATGAGTTGAAAAAGGCCAAAGCTCGATTGCTGAAGATTATAGGTAATTCGAAAGAAGGAATAAATGAAGCTTAAACAAAAATTGAATAAAAATAGTCTTCAGTAATTTGCATTTAAGCATTTTATTACTTGAGTAAAGTTTAACAATCGGAAGGACTTATTGAGGAGGCAGTTGCAACACAAAATATGATTTTATAAAATTTCGACATTGCTGATCTCCATATTAAAGGGCAGTTAATGTTGAGTTTGGGAAATTTATATCGAATCCTACTCAAATTTTAGGATGCAGCAGATAAGTTTTACCAGGCTCTAATTTTGTATGAGAGACTCAACTGGAAAGTGCAATAGGCGGACTGTTTATTATAGTTAGGGATCGTTTACGCACTTATCAGTAGATATTCTGTGTAATTTAGATGATTACGAATCGGCTAAGTTGATTACCTATGAAGCCTTAGAAATCTACAGGGACAATATCATAGAGAACAATATTAAAGTTGGCAAGGCGTATTATGCTTTGGGAAAAATCTTCTATTATTCTAAAGCATTTGAAGTGGCTACTGAATATTTGTTGAAGAGCCTTAAAATACATACTGATTTGTATTTGTTGTCTAATATTTAGTTATCAAAATGATTATGACTTTAACTTTGTTTAAATTTATAATCTACTTGGGATAGTATACCAAGTTCAACATCAACTAGAAATTGCCATAGATTACTACACTTTGGCAGTAAGATGCTATCGAGGAACCTTCGATGCCTAATTAGGATAGATATTGAATAACATAGGAGTAGCATATCTTGGTTTGAAGAAAAATGAGTTAGCTAGCGATTTTTTTAATAATGCTGATTAAGTTTACAGTATTTACTTTGAGTAAACTAACAAATTAAGAAAAAGAGTCTAACTCAACCTTGAATCTGTTAAATTATGATTTTCACTACATTTTAATTAATATTGAATGTTTAATTTAAGAATTCTAAAAGGTTTTAGTCACACAATTGAATTGAGCTCTGAGCATTATATTTAGAAGTAAATTCAGTCATGTCATCACTAGATATCAATAAAATTTCAAGGACATCTACAATTTATCATATCCTCCAATCCCAGGACATGCTACCATCGATGGAACAAAATAGTATTCTTCAAATAATAGTGAGATTCCAAAATCTCATTTCAGAACAAATTATAGAAACAACTTACTATTGTCCAGTCTTGGCATTGGATCTTATTAAGGAGCACCTGATTAGAATAATGATATCATGCTATATGGATCAATTATTGATAGTGTCTTATCAGGGGGAGTAAATGTGATTGACACTGCAATTAATTATAGATACATGAAATCAGAAAGAGTAATTGGAGCTGCAATTAGAGCTTTAAATATTCCCAGAGATTAATTATTTATCTCAAGTAAGGGAGGCTATATTCCTGCTGATGGAGATAGAGGAATTTAAGAGACTTAATTGATACGAGAACTTATCAATAAAAATCTGATTACCCAAGATGATGTAGTTGGAGCATGTCATTGTATGCATCCTAAGTTTTTAGAAATGTAGTTGGAAGTAATTAATATGTTAATTTTAGTAAACATTGAATCATTTAGGACTAGAGACATTAGATCTATTGTATTTACATAATGCTGCTGAAAGTCAATTACCATTTTTGGGATATGAAAAATTTTATGATAGAGTTGCCAAAGCCTTTGAACAATACGAAAAGAGTGTTTAGAATGGTAAAATTAAGAGATATGGAATGGCTACATGGGTTTGTTTTAGAGCAAAACCAGATGAAGATAGAATTCATGTTCCTTTAGAGAAGATTGTTGAAATTGCAGAAAGGGTAGGTGGAAAAAATCATCATTTTGAATATGTCTAAATGCCTATCAATGCCATGATGCCTGAGGCTTTTTCTTAAGAATGGCAACCATTTAAAGGGGAAAACACTTAAATCTTAACTGTTGCAAGATAATTAAATGTAAATCTTGTCATATCATCTCCTTTAATGGGCGGTACACTTATGTAAGTTCCATTGCCATCAGATATATTTAAATGTCAATTCTTAGGAGCAAAACACTTACAATTTTTAAGATCCATTCCTGCTGAATCAATTAAAAGTATAATATTTATTCTAATCTAATAGCTATTTTAATAGGATAAAAAGCCAATCGTCATACGAAATAAAATTTAGAGGTCATCAGAGTACCACCCTTGACAGCAGATGAATTTTGGTCATTCTTTTAACCATTAAAAAGAAAATAAGTCGCTGATGATGAACTTGATATGCAATGAATAATTTGTTGTTGTTATATAAAATATTGTTAACTTATACTCAATTTCAGTACCAACCTTTTTCATCATCACTTAGAAATTCCATCTTTATGTATTATTCCTGTATTAGAGTCCCTTCAATAATACTTGGAATGTAAGGCAACTCTTTTTTTTTTTATTTTAATTCAGTCCAATCAATATCCTAAAACCATGGATGCGCTTAAATTTCTTTGAAGTCATTCGAGAAACCAATTCTTTAAGAAGAATCTTACTAGAGTAATCTTGAAATGAGATCTTTGCATTCATTAGATATAAGGATTCCTTTTGGAAAGTGTAATTCTCCTTAGCAAATCAATTTAATGGCAACGTCCTGGTTTGCGTTATAAAATGGAGATATCCCGACGAGCAATTCGTAAAGTAATATTCCCATACTATACCAATCTGACATTCTGGTTAAATCTCCAAATCTCAAATATTCTGGAGATGCATATTCAACAGAAAAATTAATGTTTTATTGTTTTTTACATTCTTAATAGACTCTCAATTTACCATAGCCAAAATCTGTTAAGTATATATATCCTTATTCGTCGATCAATATATTTTCAGGTTTTATATCCCCAAAAGTGATACCTTTTTCGTGCACACTCTATAATGCCATACCAACTTAAGCTATGATATACTTTGTTTAGTTCTCCGTAAAGGAACCAACATATTATAGATGTGCGAAGAGATCTCCTCCTTTCACAAACTTAAAAAAAAAGTGAATTAAATCTGTTTGTCTTATGCATAATTCTAGTTATTCGACGAAGGGCTCAACTTCATAATTTTTAAGAAAGAATTCCATTAAGTCGACATCAATATCGCACGATCTGATTGTTTTCAGGACCAGAACCTTTTGACGATCATTTTTTTGTGTCAATAACAAGATTTTGTTCAATGAGCCAGAACTGATGATTGTATTTTTTTGAAAATCCTCTAATTTTACTCTAAATTTCATTTTATCATTAATAAAGAGTACTGTTATTTTGTGATTGGGATTCAAACTTTTTGTAGGCTGATTTAACATGTTAATGTATTGCAATTAGAAATCGTGAGGGTATAGAAATAATAATTTGGTTTTCGGATGCAATGCAACTTATTTTTAAAGGTCAGTAGTTTTTTAATGCAAACAAAATTATTGGAGATCCTCCTAATCAACCAAATACAGTTTTAAACCATCCTTATTGTTTAACTTAAGTGATATGGATAAGTAAAATAAAATGATATCTCTATTCTCCTGAGATTTATAACGATAATCAGTTTCTTGAGGCACATGCAAAATAAATTCAAAACTTGACCTGGAGACAGTAACACCAAAAACCTTTTGAATTTAAATCTTTCGTTTAATTGATTTTTTATCAATATTATATAAATTTTCACTTGTAACCACAATAGTTCTTTATTATTCTGTATTTCGCTTATTAATTTTTCCAATATTTCTTGATATCAAAATGAATTCAGATTGCCCCGCCTACTTCTTAAAGGATTTCTCTTAATCAATATTTAGAGAATCTGAAGCTTGAATTTTTAACTCATTTAAATATTGCTTCAATATTTGTTCTGAGTGCATAAAAATATATATTATTAATTTTATTATAGAATTATTAATATATATATTAATCATCTTCTTCCAATAGGGCCAGCACTATTCTGTCTTCTCATCCCAGAGGGCATACCAGCAACCATATTATATTAATTCTGGTATTAGCCTCGTCTTGGAGAAGAATCTCTAGGAGTAATCTATTATTATTGTTAATATGGAACATAGGGATATCTAAATTAAAATTTAATAATTACTTTTATTGTCCAAGTAATCTCTATTCCTATTATTAAACTTTGCTATAAAGTTATTGAGGAGTCTGAACTTGTTATGGTTTTGGTGGTTAAGCCATGGGAGGTTTTAAAAGAGGAGGCTTGTTAACTTATTACGATTATGGTTATGGTTAGGGAGGTCTTTACAATTGTTGAGGAGGCTTTACATCTTCAGGTTGTTTTCTAATAGGTTAAGGAGTTTAGCTGATATCAGTATTCACTCTGATTCCAGATTATGAATTTGATCTTTTGATTTTATTCTCATAGTTAGCCTTAGGAAGATTGCCTTTCAATTATTTTAAATTGTATGGTAATTTAATGGTTTGCAAGAGTTTAGCCATTTTTTTGCCTCCAACTTCCTCCTCAACTAATAAAGCACCACTCTTTTTTATAACTAAAGGGTTTTTTAGAATTGTATCACAACTTGGTCTGCTGCGAGGATTGACCTGCAACAACAATTTAATAACTTCAGATAAATCTTTGCTGTATTTGCCTGGAATCGGATCATAAACACCAGTCTGAATTCTTCTACTAAGGGATTGAAGATCAGCTGCTCTAAATGGAGGTTACTAGGCTGCTAGTTCATAGATGATGCAACCAATAGACCAGATATCGCATGGCCAAGAATACTGTTCTCCTTTCCAGACTTCTGGAGATGCGTAATCTAATAAAGTTGGAGATTGTTATCATACATGGGGTTCCTGCTTAGGTTCGAGCATTGGCTCCATGAGTGACTTTGCTGATATTAAGATCTCCAATTTTGTATATGTTTCCTTCTGGAGATTTACCAATAAAGACATTTGCCAATTTTAAATCTCGATGCAAGATGTTGTTGTCATGCAACACTTTAACTCCTATAGTTATTTAAGTTAAGACTTTCCATATTTCAGCCTCTTCCACTCCTCCTTTGATCTTGCCTTGCTTCAACAAACTATTTAGGTCTCCGCCAGATGCAAATTCCATTATTACATACAGTGTTTTTCCTTCAGAATCCAGAAAGGAATCCTTGAATTCGACGATATAAGGAGAATCAAGTGAAGCCAGTATACGAATTTCATTTAAGGCGTTCTCTCTCTCCTTATAAGACTGTTGAGATATAACGACTTTTTTCATAGCGTAATATTGACCATCTGATTTCCTTTATACCTACAAAATCTCATCTTCTATACCTTGTAAACAGAAGAGAAGGATCCTTCTCCAAGTTTCTCGAGGACATTGAAATCTTAAATGGTACTACCTTGTCCTTATTATTACATTAATAAATTAAATGGAATTAAATTTTATGATTTTTCCTGTGCCTAAAAATACTTATCGAGAAGGAGATCTCAAGGTTGTTTTATTGTCTTATTTCATAGGAACTAATCAAAATTCCATTTTACGAAGACATATTTAGATTTCAACTCACTTCTCCCAGAATGAAAATCTAGTTTCATAAAATAGATCCTTTTAAACCCCCAGATGAAATCCCTCACGTACAGCAATCTCATATATATTATAAATCTATAGGATGTAAGTACTCAATCCATTTATGATGATCATGTTGATGAATTGCCAAGTTAAAGAATACCTCGCATCTCCTAAACAACTACCCTCAAACCTAAAAATCAAATGTAATATACTTTCCTATTGCATAGAAGTGGGTTGAGACTGTCTCTGTCCCCTCGAGTCACGTACAATAATGAATTACCTACCACTCTAACAAATAGGAACTGCAAATATACAAAGGAGATTCCTTGCTTGTATTTGAAATCGTACACTCTGACCAAGAGAACTATTATTTACTTTCATGCCAATTGCGAGGATCTCAAGTCTTCCTACAATCTTTTGGACTTTCTTCGACATAACATGAGAATGAACATCTTAGCTGTTGAATATCCAGGCTATGGAATTTATTAAGGCGAACCCACTGAAGAAATGATACTAAAAGATGCAGAATATATATACTAGTATATAGCCTTCCATTCGGGCATAGAAGAACAGAATATTATATTAATGGGAAGATCTATAGGAACTGGAGTTGCATGTCATGTAGCATCACTTTTTAAACCGGCTGTTTTAGTTTTGATCTCTCCCTTCTTATCCTTACAAGAAATCGTCTAAGAAAAGTACCCTTTATTAAGGAAGATGCTCAAGGAGAGATTCTCAAACAAAGACAAAATGCAAAAAGTAAAATCTCCACTTTACATTCTGCACGGACTCAAAGATTCTATCGTTTCAGTTGAACAAGCCAGGAAACTTTATGGTATGAATCTTAACTTTCATTTTTAAATAGAATTATGCAAAAGTCCAAGTTTGATTAGAACACCGCCAGAAATGACTCATACTAGATTTCAATTTGAATAAGACTTATCCTTACCTCTTCTAGGGTTCATGAGATAATTGAATATACTTTGATATGTCCATATAATAGCATTTTTCTCTATTTTAACATTTAATTAAATTATGATTAGACTTTAACAATTGCACACTCAAATTTCAGAAATAGCTGGATCTATAGGATCATCAATTGAGTAGGAATATTGATCATGCCTTGTCTAATACTAGAAAACTAGATTAGTTTAAGTAATATGGATGGATAAATAGAGATGCAAAATTTAGAACTAGATGGAGCAGCCAGATTAATAGGAAATAAGTATAGGATTTTAATAACAAAATGATGAATTTTAAAGAACTGCCAGAAGCTAAAGTAGGCATTGATTTAAGTTTGAATTGTGTAGCATAAGTTAATATTCCTGCAGATCCCCCCAATTATTAATGAATAATTTCTAATGCATCTAAGGCTTATTTAATGAGATTTAATTTAATTATGCTTAGAGAACACTATATACTCATGAACACATCATGAAATAAGTCAAATACTTTATTCATATTTTTGATTTATAAACTAAGACATGGTAAATTAGCCAGAATTGTAGATTGTCCTATCAATTCAAATGCATAAGCAGAAGCACTTGTTAAATTAACTTAAGAAAATAATGTAAAGTTATGTGGTTTTACTAATGTTACTGGAGCACTTTAATGCCCAAAAGAGAAAATGATAATCTCCGTATATGACAAGATGATGTAAATAGAGAGAATATTATAGCGTTGGTAGAGGCTGAAATCACAAGCTATCACCGAAGCAGAAATTAATATTAAAGTTTAGCCATAGATAATTTACATATTGATTTAAGGTTTGAAAGTATGAATCTATTTAATTTTATAATTTTGCTTTGTGCTGAACTTCTGTAATTATTATCCAGAATTAAGGTTTGGCCTTCATTTGTGAAATTAGTTGTTAATAATCAGTTCTAATTTGGTATGACTTTGAAAACGATGTTTCATAATAGGAAGGAGGAATTTATGGATAAAATATAAAAACTACTTTGCTACTCAATTTATGTAATATGATCCAGATTAAATGTATTTGGTTACTGTTGTTTTGAAGGGACTAAATAAGAAATTGAATTCTAAGTGAACACAGTATATGAGCTAGCTAATTTTTATAAACGCTTAGAACAGGGGAGAAAGGATATTTCTTAACAGCATATTTAAGAGATTTTGTAAGTAGTTTTAATTTATAGCTGAATCTTTTGAGACTGCCGTTGGATGGAAAGATGTGCCTAGTTTCTGTGAAAATGTAATGTGGTTTATCTATGTTTGGATTTAAAGGAGGATTGTGAAAGAATATCAAAAAATAATGTGGAGAAGGAACCTTAAGTTACTTTAAGAATTTCTCAGGTGTATGATTCTGGTGGATTTAAGGGAATTGATGACCCTGTGAAATGCTATTCTGGAATTGAAGATGCTGCAAGGGAGGAGTAAATGAAAAATGTAGGGTCTATCTATTTCTCATCATGGTATTTGTTGAAAATTATTAACTTATTAGGAATGGTAAAAATGAGAAAGTAATTTAAGTTAAAGTAAATTGGAGACAAAGGAGTGAGATTTTAAGGAGAATTATGTTACAAATTGATCCAAATAATATGTTTGGGAATCAGAATTTAATATGAAAATGAGATATCATTGTTTTATATGCATAAATATATATTTAAAACTAACAGTTAAAGAATTTGAATTCAATTAATTTAAATATAAATTTTTTAAGTCAATGAACAAGTCTGATAGTATTCACAATTAGGAAAATATTGATCCAAACATCATTCGTAACTCCTCTTCATAACAAAAGAAGATTCCTAGAAGTTCAGGATAAAAAACACCATGGAGTGCAAAGTATCATTGACTTATTATTCTTTAAAGCACTGGAGAAATTAGCCATTCTACCAATGATGACATAGAAATATCATGTTTTTAAGTAGGACCAGTCAAAACTACTCAATTATCACCTAATTAAGCCATCGTATGTTAATCTAGATTGGAGTAATATTTGACTTCGAATAATGTTCCTGATATACTTTCCTATTTAGATGAATTTGAAGATCTTGATTGGGTCAAGTCCAATTATATTACTCACATTATTGAGATGATAGTGAAATAAGAGAAGGAATATTTGAAATAGAGGATTGTTGGATTAACAGCTATATTAACAAGTAAGAATTATTTACTCACTCGATAAATCATTAAGATGATCTTTAGTGTTTCATCTAGAATTGGAGCATAAGAAGGCTATTATGCTCTTTATGAAATAGATAACTTGTTAGAATAAATGATATAAAAAGAAGAATTGTAATAATATCATTAAATTTAATATTTTCCATTGATATTATATTGCTATGCTCATTAATTATTGTATTGGGGTTTAGTGGCAGAATGTTGGGACCTATTGAAATTTAAGTTAAGCAAGGAGATTAATGAATCAATCAAAGACGAGTTTGAGAAAACAGCATAAAAGATCTGTGACATGCTTTTAAGATAATTAATTGAATTAAGCAATTCAAACAATCATTGGGTGAAGATGTTCAATGAAGTTTTGAATGAAGGTGTCATTAATTTGCATCCATCTGATATCTTCTTCAATAAGTTAATTGATTATGCCTTCAGAAAACAATAAGTCACAATGGCTGAATTTCTTGCTTACCTTTATGAGAGACAATGCTAAGATTCAACCAACAATTGTCACTATTAACACAATGATTGACTAGTATTTCAAGAATAATCAGAAGGACAAAGCATGGAAAACCTTTGAGAATCTCAAACTCACATCTACCAAACCTGACAATTTCACCTATACTACTTTAATCAATGGCTTAAAGAATTCTGATAATATGGATCTAAGATTAGCTTTCTAATTATTTGAAGAGTATAAGTAATACAATCAACCCGATTAAATTATCTACAATTGTTTATTAGATGCTTGTATAAATGCTGGTGATTTAAATAGAGGATTTTAATTGCTGAATGAGATGAAATAATCATAATCAATTTAATTAGATGAAATCACCTATAATACATTGATCAAGGGATGTGGAAGAAAGAAGAGGTTAAATGAAGCCATTAGTTTATTTGAAGAGATGAAATAGATTGGTATCAAACCAAATAGAATAAGTTTCAACTCCTTACTTGATTCTTGTGTTAAATGCAATAAGATGAATGTTGCTTGGAGATACTTTGAAGAAATGAGAAAATAATATGGCATCTTCCCAGACAATTTCACTTACAGCATTTTAGTTAATGGCATTAAAACTAATCATTCAAATAGAGATGAATTACTAAGAGCCATTACCTTATTGGAATAAATTTAAGAAACTGGACAATTCAAACCAGATGAGATTCTCTATAACTCATTGATTGATGCTTGCGTTAAATTCAATGAGATCTAAAAGGGAATGCAATTATTCAAAGAAATGAAGAATAAATCAATTGAACCATCCTCAGTTACATACGGTATTCTTATTAAGGCTTATGGTAAAATGAATGATTTGAATGGAGCATTCAGAATGTTTGAAGAGATGAAACAAAAGAAAATACCAATCAATGATGTAACATATGGATGCTTGGTAGATGCTTGTGTTAGGAATGATAGATTAGATTAAGCACTTTAATTCATTGAATAAATGAAATCTCAAAACCTACCAATCAACACTGTCTTATATACAACGATCATCAAAGGATTTTGTAAGTTGAATTAGACTGAAGAGGCTATGAAATATTTCAGTTTAATGAAATAAAATTAAAGAACATATCCAAATCTTATAACTTACAATTCACTCTTAGATGGATTAGTTAAAAATGGATTGATGAATTAAGCTGATAAATTATTCCAAGAATTAGTAGAATCAACAATCAAGCCAGATCTAATTACATTTAGTACTCTATTGAAAGGACATTGCAGAAGAGGCAACATGAAGAGATTGAATGAAACTGTGTAGACCATGTTACATTACCAGATCAATCCTGATGAATCACTATTACAATTGATTCTAGAATCTTGCTTAAATTAATAATAGTATCACAATGGTGTTCAAATTTATGATTAGTTCCAACATCAAATTCCTCAATCAACACAACTATTATTGATTATCATTAGATTACATAGTCAAGATAAGCAATTATCATCAGCAATCCCATTGTTAAATAGACTCTATCAATTGTTAGATGAAAGTAGAATATAACACTAGCAATTGGAAACCACCATCAATTCCTTATTGATCCATCCACTTGATGAGCAGACTTATCCAATAATCACCAAAATAGTCACTTTAGCATTGAAATCAGATATCAATGTGAACAATCTAGATAATCTAGTCTCTGTAGACAATTCAGAGTTAATGCTCTTATTGTAGAATACCAACTAGTTACCATGCACTAAGTTATCACAAATCCTTAATTAATTGCCAGTTCAAGATTAGTAATTGTGCAGAGCATACATTTCAAAGAATAATAAGAATGACTTGAAAGAACCTTTGAATGAGTAGTTTGGTTAAGTGTTTTTGTAGTGTAACAGCAATGGCAACAACAATCAGAACAAGAAAACCAAACCATAAGAGAGATCATCCCCGTTTAATAATGAAAATAAGGAGAACGTGTATCATCCAAAGAAACAGTATAACAATTATGCCAAAAATGACTTGAATGAGTACTTGAACAACAAGTCATATACCAAGAGAAGATGATTAATTAATTAATATTATATAATGAGTAATGATTAACCATTTGAAGATGTCGATCAATTTCTTCATCCCCTTGCCAATCAATAGGCCATTCCGAATATGCTGTAATAGGCTATCACATAAGACTAACTTCTAGCTTAAAATGTTCGATTATTGCAGCAATTACATGAGCAATAGAGAATGTTGAATCTGTAGAGCATCTTCACGAATAACATGCTTATGAATCCCTTGATTCAATAGTAAGTGAACTAGGAAAGTAAAAAAATAAAGAAAGCCAATAAGACAATCAAAACTATACCTTCTACAACGAGTCTTAAGGATTGCGCTTAACCAATCTAGGAAATCAAAGGAAATGTTAAAAATGCCTACATCAAGAAAATCACTTCCTTGCTTAGTGTGGAAGGAGACAAGTTGCTTGATGAGGACTTGTAAGAAGACTTGGATTTGGAGAGCTATTCGGAAGCGTAAGATAAAAGTAAATTGGCAGGCCTTTTGGGTTCAAACAACGATCTATTGAACAGTGAATCAAAAAACAAAAGATTGAGACAAAGTGCCAAAAATTCTAGACTTCGAAAAAAGGTGTATTTGAAATTGCTTGAAAAAAAAGTAGTTTGATTGAATATCTAAATATAGGTTTCTGAATTGGATCAACAAATCCAAGAGTACAAAAAAACAACTAGACAGTCATTTGAGTATCTGACTCAAATATTGCAATCGCATCCCATTTTAAATAGCATGATTATAGGAAACTCAGCAGCAATCGATTAAGTCTTGGAATGTTCCTCATCTGATTAAGCCTAATTGGTATTGGATTCATATTTAGTAATGAAATCATCCCTATTTTGTAGATGAGATACGGCACTTGTGGGATCAAAAGGAGAGATTACGTTAAATATGCAGTTAAAAATATACAGAAGAACTTTCTCAAAGGCAATTATGGACTCCAACTTATGAGTTGGAATTAATAAATTTAAAATTGTAAAGAGTATTGTATTTATCAAATTAGATGACACTGAATTCAATCAATATGTGGAAATCGTTAAAGAGGAGGCCAAACTCGAAGATGACAATCTTGTTTATAGTGTGTTACCTACTATCGATAAAATGCTAAACCATCGCAAAATGTCTTAATAGTATGAAAGAATTTTACTCTTAGATAATTACTTAAATTTAATTAGGATATCAAAAACTTAAAATAGAATTAACAAGAGATTGAGGAAACAATTAATCAGTTTACATAATCATTATCTCCCATCTAACATTTAGAATTCATAAAATAGGTGGAGAAGGTGGGGACTTTCAATCGTTTTAATAAATGATCAATATATATTTGTCTTATTCCAAACTTCACGAAATATCAAAAATATTAAGCAAATTTTGATCTCATTTACTATTTTTTGTATTTACTACATATAAACAATACCACTTAAATTTAAGTTTGATTACTAATTCTGAATTATATTTTATAATACTTTTGTAACAGTGGGATCTAAAATAGAACTATAAAGGAGGTGCTTTAAAAGACGCATTAATTTTCTCGAATTATTCAAATAATTATAAAATTAATTAAAATGTCTGCAGTGGGAATTCGTGGTGAAAGAGATCAAGGTCAAGATGTGCGTACAAGTAATGTAACAGCTGTCATGGCAATTGCAAATGTTGTCAAGACAAGTCTTGGACCACAAGGACTTGATAAGATGCTCGTTGATGAGATTGGAGATGTTGTAATTACAAATGATGGAGCAACTATTCTAAAACAATTGGAAGTTGAACATCCAGCTGCCAAAGTTATTGTAGAGTTGAGTTAATTATAAGATAAAGAAGTGGGAGATGGCACCACATCAGTGGTTGTTTTAGCAGCTGAATTACTTCGCCGCGCTAATGAATTAATTAAAATTAAAGTTCATCCCACAACAATCATATCCGGATACAAATTAGCAGCCAGACAAGCAGTAAAATACATTCAATCTCATTTGGTACACAAAATCACCGAAGAGGACACTGAAATATTAATAAATGCTGCCAAAACTTCAATGAATAGTAAAGTAATTGGTCCAGAAAGTCACATCTTTGCTAAGTTGGCCGTAGATGCAGTTAGATTGATCAAGACCTAAGGTTTGGTCTCTGGTAAGGCTAAGTATCCAATTCAATCCATCAACGTTGTAAAAAGTCATGGTTAATCATCAAATTAATCTGAATTAGTAAAGGGATATGTTATTTAATTATAAAGAGCATCATAATAAATGGTAACAAAAGTTAAGAATGCTAAAATTGCCTGTTTGGATATAAATTTGAATAAATTTAAGATGTAAATGGGAGTTCAAATATTGGTTGATGATCCCAATAATTTAGAGAAAATCAGAAAGAAGGAAATGGATGTTTTGAAAGAGAGAATTCAATTGTTGTTATAAGCAGGGGCTAATGTTATTTTAACTTCAAAGGGAATGGATGATTTGGCCAATAAATATTTGGTAGAAGCAGGTGCAATAGGTTTAAGAAGAGTTCCTAAGGATCATTTGAGAAGAATTGCCAAAGCTGCAGGTGCTAAGGTAGTGACAACATTCGCCAATGAGGAAACTGGAGAGTCATTTGATGCATCTTGTTTGGGAGAAGCAGAGGTAATAGAATGCAATACAATTTTAGGAAGTTTACGAAGAAGCCATTGGAGACAATGATTACATATTTTTCAAGGGAATGAAGAAGGAATAATCAGCAAGTATCATTGTGAGAGGTGCCAATGAATTGATGACTGATGAAATCGAGAGATCATTACATGACTCTTTATGTGTTGTGAAGAGAACTTTGGAGTCAGGATCTGTTGTTGCTGGTGGTGGAGCAGTAGAAATGGCGTTGAGCATTTATTTGGATGACCATTCAAGAAAGTTGGATTCCAATGAGCAGATTGCTATTGCTGAGTTTGCAGAAGCCTTGACTTCAATTCCAAAGATCTTGGCCACAAATGCAGCAAAGGATTCCATTGATTTAATCAGTAAATTGAGGGTTTTGGCACAGTAAGTCACAAACATTGGAAGTCGATGAGAAGGGATACAAGTTTAGTGGTTTGGATTTGGTTAAAGGGGAAGTCAGACACAATCTTAGACATGGAGTGCTTGAACCAACAGTCAGTAAAATAAAAGCATTAAAGTAATTATTATTAGTAATGATTGAATAGATTTGCAACAGAGGCTGCTATAACGATTTTGAGAATTGATGATATGATTAAGTTGGAACCAAAGAAGGAGCAAATGCCAGGAAGACATTGAGTTGTGAAGATGAATTATAATATACCAATAAAGAAATAGAGATAAGATTTTATGAAATTCTTTGAATATAAGTGCGATTGCGATTTTCATAAATTTTAACAAATTAATATCTATGTCATCTGACTAATAAGGAGATTAGAAACCCTTAATGCAGCCATTTTCGGTTTTGGAGCCTGAAGACAAGAAGGCATCAGCCTACGACAGTTCCAAATATGAAGGGTATGAATCATTTATAAGAATCCTTTAGAAAATGTGTCGATCCTAGGTTGATGACATTTTGCATCACTAATTTTGTAATCAATGTTGGTATTTCACAAATCGCACCATTTTATCCTGGGTTGGCTGCAGATAAAGCAGGTCTGACATATTCCCAAATCGGTTTGGTGTTTAGTATCAATCCTTTGGGCTCAATCCTTTTTAGTTTCGTAATAGGAAGTTTTATTTAAGTTTGGGGTATTGCAATTGAATAAATTTAGGTCGAAAGAAATGTTTAATGATAGCTTTGGTGGTACAATCATCAGTTTAAATCCTTTTCGGATGCCTCAATTTCATGACTGACAATAAGGCCTTGTTCTTTTCAATGTCACTCATATCCCGATTTTTCCAAGGCATGAGTAGGTCTGTCTATTCAACTGTGACATTCGCTTACGTTCCAATATTTTGGCCAGGGGAATTTTAGAAAAAGTTGGCAATTATGGAAACAATGACAGCGTAAAGATATTTTATAAAACTATATAGATTGGGATTATTGTTTGGTCCTATGATTGGCAGTGTTTTGAACTATGCATTTGGTTATTCCATTCCATTCTTCGTGATTGCCATATTTTTCCTTTGTGCCGAAGTTCCAACATACACACAATTACCACCTGACAGTACCATGAAGAGTTTTGAAAAGAAGAAAAAGCTCCCCATTGGAAAAGCATTTACTTCAATCAAGGTCATAGTAACAATAATGAATGTCATGTCCATCACTGCAGGTTACACTTACTTTAATCCATTCTTTGTTAATCACATGTAATCCTTCGGACTTTCTGAAAATGTTGCTGCCTTCATCCTAACAATTCCTGCTATTTTCTATATTGGTATGGTTAACATTATCCCCAAAATTGGAAAGTACGTTAAGAAAACTTTCATGATGTCTTTGGCCTTGGTGATATGTTTCAGTGGAAACATGTTGGAAGCTCCGTTTTGGGGAGAAGGCAATACACTAGCAAGTGTCATTATAGGATTGATATTGGTGGGTGTTTCACAATCATTTTCAATGATTCCCAGTATTCCATAAATCAGTGAATTTTTAGCTCCGGTTGTGACAGATCCATAATTCAAGTATATTTTGATATTAATTATTAGAAATAACTTAACTGATATGGCATCTGCCTTATTTATCATGTCTATGGGTTGTGGTTCTTTGGTAGGTCCATTGTTGGGAGGATCAGTGTATGATGGATTTGGTGGTAATGTCAACCTCACTGGTTCACCCCCTCAAGAGTTAATAGATTAAGAAAGGGAAGCCTTTAGAGGAGCTATGATTTGTTTAGGATTGTGGCAATTGACTGCGGCAACATTGTTCTTCTTCTTCGGAGATGGATACAAGGGTTGGAGTGATTGCTGCAGAACTTGTTCTACTGGATAGTAACTACCTTCAGATGAGGGACAACAGTTGACTAAACCATTAAATGATGACACCTCAGATGATGTGATGAGTGATAATGATACGTTGTCTTCAGAAGCATCTGTAGGAAATGATAATGATTTGTTATAAGGACCTCCAAAAAAAACAATAACAATAAGAAAAGAAGCTTTATGAATTTGTACATTTAAAATTATTATATATATCAATTTTTAACTTCTTCTATAGGTACAATTGATCCGAATCTGGAAACTTATTCTTTACCATTTAATAGGTTGTTCAAGAATCTATCTACATTTGCTGAAGTCAAAGAACCTCTCATCTTGGAAAACAATTGTTTCTTTGGACTCAAAGCCAAAACTGAGGGATAACTATTAATAATCATTATAATCAATACCCTGCTCCTGACAATCCAAATTGTTCTTCCAATTCATATTGATCTCCTGCTTAAGACCAGAAGTGAACCAAGGGCTTGGATTTCAATGGTTTCACAGTCTCTCTATAGGTGTTCAAATATGCATCTCTGCATTCTTAATCGCAATCATAGATGTGTGGAACAAACAATAAAACACATATGCCAGTGGATTTCAAACAGTTGTCTGTGAATTGTTGTTAGTTGACCAATTATTCGAAGAAGAGAGGCTTTAATCTTCTATTAGTTTCTCGAGCATAACTAAGAAGAGTATTGAAGTCTCTGGCTCCATCGAAACTTTCAAAATCACCATCGACTTTCTCTCCTGCTCCAAAGAATCTAATGGTTGGGAATCCCTCCACCTTATACTTGCCCTTAGCCTTTGATCCTTCAACACTGGCATCGATCTTGGCTACTTTAACTTCGCCTTTGAGAGCTGTTGCCAATTTAGCCCATTCTGGTGCCAATTTCTTACTATGATGATTAGATTTAGATTAGATACCAATGACCACACCAAGGTGCATAAAACTCGACAAACCAAGCTTCTTTGCTATTGAGAATGGTTTCATCAAGATTATCGTCTGTCAATACGATAACATCACTTTCATCTATCTATGGTTCTGGGGTCTTCTCTCCTTATTTCTTTGGCACTTTACCGACTCTCTTGAAGGCAAACTAAGGGTGATTACAACTTCATTATACATCTCTGACTTAATCAAAAGCGAAATTGACAATTTCTTAGGCGTCCCACTCTCCTGGATATTCGATTGCTTATCCATTTGAATAAACTCTTAAGGTTGTGCTGGCTCCATTTGAAAGGACTCCAACATTAATCATTCCCTTGAGGGCTTCAGCAGCCAAAGTAACTTGGGTTGTTTGTTCTGAGCTCAAATTAGAATATTCCACTATGACCCAGAAGGTTTTCTAATCCTGCACTTTTGCATTGAAATCATCTTAAGTAAGTTCATGGACATCTGTTCCTGAGAAGTTGGCTAAAGACAGAGCAATTAGTAATGCAAAGAATATTGCTTTCATCAACGTATGATAAAAATATTATTCTAGAAAACTCTTTATATTTTAAGAATATAAACTAAATGACGTGGTCGTTAAAATATCTTCTATTTTCATATTCTAATGATCCATTTGTCACTTTTTTAATTAATACTCAAATATTCAACTATTACCCTCCCTCCCAACATATACATTCAAATTTATAAATGAAATTTTTTCATAGAATATTTCGAATTTAAATAACCTAAAATTTAATATATATCAAATATTTAATGAATCCTAAAACTAATTCATAACTAACTAATCCAATTCAAAAAGATCCGAAATTAAACATACACAATTCTCATTTCTATAATTTCATCAAAAACAAAAGATTCCCTTACATCAACACAAACAAAACTATCACTCTCATCAAAAAGAACAACCACCCACACCCTGCCCAACTCGAAATCTTCTCGAATGACAATGGTTCCCTCAACAAATTGGAAAAACATGATGAACCCCAACAACCCAACAAGAAGATTTTGTTAGAGAATAGATTACTCCCCAAAATAAACACCTCCTATGCTATCAACCAATAACTCAAAGAATCCAAAGGTTTCAATGAAAGCAGTATAAATAGTATTTTTATTATGTTGAGGACAATATTCCAAGAGAAAAAGTTAGTTGCTCAAATAACTAATGCTATTATATCAAAATGATTAAACTTTATCCAATATCACTTTAGCGTTAAAAGATTGCTCCAAAACTATCAATCCTACACAAGGCTAAGAGAAGGAATAGTCAAAAATTCTTGAACAAAGACCCTAAGGAAAGATATAGCGAAGATCTCAAGTTTTGATAGAATAGAATCTAGATCTGAGCGAAGCCAGATTCTCCAATTCTAACAGTATCATTGACATCTCAAGCTTCAGCATAACAAAAAAAGAGATTGCTGAGAAGAGAAGGAGTACTTGTGGAAGACTTAGAAAGTAAGATTATTCTGATTGAATTAATAAATAAATAAATATTAATGAATAGACTCTTGATTACAGAATTAGGGGATACCATGAGATTAGACTTGAAAAAGGAAGTTAACAAAACTCCATCATCAAGCAAGCATATTATTAAAACCACATTTCCTGAAATCAAAAATAATATGGTAGGTTCTTCACTTTTTGCAGACATTGAGAAAAATGATAATCCCTTATATTAAAAAAGTCTCTCCGATCAAGCTCTACTAAACCTCTCAAAAATAGCCAATCTTTCTTTATTTGGACCCAAATGTAAGGAATAATTGAAGGTATAAATCAGAGAGGATCTATAAATGAAAACCTAAAATGATTACTTAAATTTGCAGCTAGAAAGATATGTAACTAGAATACTTGATGACAAAAGTAATTATTTGAGGTTTCATTTTAGATTTGATGACCAAGCGAAAAAGGTAGTTGTTAAATGAACTAAAAAGATTAGAAGCCAAAGAGAAATTAAAACAATTTAATCATATGCCTACTGATTTATCTCAATTTTGTTCTATAATTGAAGATACTGACAGAGAAACCAAACTAATGTCAATTGTTAATGCAGAAGGCAAACTATTATAATTGCAGAGAAGGTATGACTAAAAATTACAGGAAGATGAAAAACTTAAACAATAAATTAAAATCAACTACAACAAATTTAAAGAAGGCTAGACAATGTAAATAGAAGCCTTGCCAGTTTTATCGAAGGATGAAATGGAAAACAATGTAAAAGACATCTTCAGCAACAGAGATTAATCTTCTCAAAGGTTTCATCAAAGAATTAATGAAAAACACAAAAAATAGAAGGAATATATTTGGAGATAACATCATTTTCCAAATGATCACAAAAGATATTTATCAAATTGATTAATAATTACATTTATTGAATAAATTGAACTTAAAGACAAAAGAGGTCTGTCATAATTAGTAGAATTTAATATATTTTTAATAAGATAATTCTATATTTATACCTGAATTTTTTAACAAGAATATTAATTATACTTATTAAACAGTGATTTATCCTTTGCTTTAGTGTTTGTTTCAAAAATCTAATTAAATAGATTCATGATTTCGAAATTAAAACAATTATTATTATGATATTGCCTTCTGGTATGAGTTGAGTAAAAAAGAAGAAATAGTTATTTTTTATAGTGATTATTTAATAATTATTATAATGAATTATAGAATTGAAAAGGCTGATTTATATATTAGATAGCATAGAATAATCGAATTGTTTGAGGACTTGACAACAGCCATTTCATATGAATAACCAGCAGACATAAAAAAGTTTTTGATTGAGTAATTGCAGTTAAAATAAAAATTCGGTTTCAAAACAGGATTATTCAAACCAGAAGAAATTGATAACATTTTTACAGTAATTTGATTTAAGCATTATTATTAATAGTTATTTGATTTGAAATAAGACGGATGGATTTCAAAAAAGCAAGCAATTGATGCCTTTAAAGTTATGGCAGCTTCCCAATATTAACTAAAGGATGAATCTATTTTTCCTGAAAAAGTAACAAAAAAGCAATTTGCAGAAATAGTTGGAGAGCATTTGGGTATAAAATGATCTATAAAATAAATATATTACAACATCTATAAATAAGAAATTTAATTATAATTATTTATTTAGCTCATAAGAGGAATTGATAAACTCAAGGAAAAATAAGAAATACCTTCTTAATTTTACTTAAAATGAATTGGGGTATTACAAAAAGACTTCGCATAAAAAACTGAAATTTTTAGATTTAAATGTGAGTTGTCATTTAGAGGTATAATAGTATTAGAAATTTACATATTTAATAATAAAAATATTATTTGATTAAAAATTAAGAGTCTCTAGCAGTAATTTATTTAGTACACTACAATTAATATCAAATTTTAGAGGTATTTTTTCAAGTGAATTATTTTAAATCTATGGCTTAATTATAACTCTTAATTGAAAGATGAAAATAAAAATACGAATCCAAACAATAATACAAACACTCATTTTAACTAGAAATTCTGCTTTTATTTAAATATTTTGATTAAGTACAACATGATATTGATAAATTATGAAAACTATAAGAAATTCATTAATCACGAATTTTTAACTCCAACCTGGTCAATCTTTGATCAAAGTTAGCTAAAGCTATATTTACTGTCGTTTATAATTCTGAGAATTTTTGCATAATTGTTTTAATGTTGTCATTACTTAATAAAATCACTTACATCAACTTTTGGAGATCTTGATGAGTTACACCATTTTGTTGAATGTAATTATTAGTTTAAATTGGATTGACTTATGAGACTTAATTAATTTGTTGTTTGAATGCCTATAAAACTTAAATTTCATTCTAATATTCATTCTTTTAGTTAGATTAAGGAGGAGAAGGCTATTATTAAAGTTGTAGTGTGTAGTTGCATTATTGCTCTAATTCTTCATATTATTCTTGATTGTAAGAAGGCATTTTTTGAACTAATTCATTTTATTAAGTAATCTTATAAGGTTCGGGTCTTTTTGGTTATTCAATGTCTTCTTCGTCGTCTTCAGTTTAGAAATTCTCTCTTTGTACAAACACTTGAGTTTTCTATTTATTATTGGACTCTTGTGATTTTTATGTGTTTTATAAGTGCGAACTATTTTCTTAGCCCTTAAATATATTGACTTTCTTGTCCTTTTTTGTTCTCTGCAGTACTTCATTAAAAATATCATTTATTAAGATTAATTTGTGCTCTAAGTATTGTTCTGAAAGAAATTAGGCTATATTTATAGATGATTTGTAGTTGAATTCGAATTGTAGCATTTTGAATACTTGTTCAGTGAATCTTAAATCATTTTTGGAATAGAGCTCATACCCTTTATCTAATAAGGCTAACAAACAATCTTAAGCAATAGGTACATTTATAAAAGCCTGAATTGTATTCAATTAATATGTAGTGGAGTATTCTCAAGAAAACGGTTGGGTTATTATCCTAGACATAATCAAATGTGAACTATTCTTTGTATTCAGCTTTTTTCATTGTTTTCTTAAAATTTTCATATTAATTTTAAAGATCAGAACTCATTTCAAAAATTCAAATATTTATATTAACAAATTTTTATCAATAAATTTTACCTTTGTTTGTAATTAAACTTAATAGGAATTTGGAATAGAACATAAATCAAAAAAGCTTAAGTTTAGTATTAATAAAGTTGAAAACATTAATCAAGCCCTTTTGGATAAATTCTATTTCCAATTTATTAATATCAGTTTATAAATACATAAAGAGCTCAGGTTAGTTTGCAAAATAATTTGGATTTAAATTTCTAACAATATTATGAATAATAATAATTTCATAAAGGAGTAGGATGACTTAAATTAGCAAAGTAAACAAATTTAAACATTAGGTTTGTTTGAAGATCCCCCAGTTGATTCCGTAGACACTGAATTTGAAAAAGAAGATGCCTTGACTACTTGTTAGAGTGTAGAAGAAGGATCCCTAAGTTCCGACTGATCCATAAGGCATAAAAAATATTAAAATTCCCACAATTTTCAATTTCTGGAATAAATTTTAAAAGAATCATGTTGTTTTGTTGTTTAAAATACTAATCTTTTTTATTCTATTTTCAAAATAAATTCAAAAATATGCAACATTTCACTATTTCTATTAAAGGAAATCATAATAAAAAAAAATAAAATATAGTATTAATCCCTATTCAACTAGAATTAAGAAAAAATATAGAAAAGTAAATTCTGGAATTATAATATAAACAATGTTAATAATTGTTTTCAATCAAAAAAGCAGTCAATTTCATCAGCTTCATCCATATAGGGGTAATCATTATGATTTGGGATAGGAATGTCATCATAGTTTTTAATATCTCTATCCCATTCATAAGGCTTTTTGGTGATCACATACTTTTTGGCGTGTTTTCTCCTTCTTGGCAATTTTATTGTTTTTGAATTATTTGAGAGTCGAATCCTTTCTTAAACTTTTTCTTTTTTTGGTTTTTCTTCTTATTTAAACAGTGGTTGAAATGACCCTATAACTGTGACGTCCTCGCATTCAGAATGATTTACTAAATCACTAATACGATCATATTGGGAATCATCAATTTGTTCGAGATCGTAATCTATAGAACTCTTCATTGTGACAATTTAATTGTATAATTCCTATAGTAATTAGTCTCTTCTTTCCAAATCTTCAGTATTATCATAATATTCCAATAATTAACTGATGCCTTCTAAATCCTACATAGTGAGATCTCTATTTTCAAATTTCGTTGTTCTTCCTATGTATGATTCCAATATTTTTGAGTCTTCAATCAATTAATCCTTATGTTCTATCATGTCCAAATATTCCTTTGCATCCTACAGTTGATTGCAAGGTATGTGATGTTTATGTTTAGCAATTTCTGAGAACTTTATTCTTCCAAAAACGACACAAACTTATAAAAATATAAATAACATGTAAAAAACAAAAAATTATAATCTGTAATAAATATTGTCAAAATATTTATTAAAAATTATAGTAAAAGCTAGTATTTGTTCAATCGAAGGATATAATTAATATATAAAACTTGATCTCAATGTTATTGCAATATGTTACTACTAAATATCAAAATTATTAAAGTTTGACTAATGAATTTAATTTATAATGATAAAATACTAAATAAATGGATAAGAATGAAGGTTTGAAGGAAGAAGAAATAAAAATAGAGAAAGTGATTCGTTTCGATAAAACTGGTTGTCCAATCGTAAGGGGAAAGAAGACACACAAGATCACTTTTTGTGATGAAGTGATGGCTGGGAAATCCGTTCATAACATAATTTTTGTCGAATGCTACAAACAATTCAATTTGCCTCAGAACGACATAGAAGTTGCTGATGAATGCTGCATATTATTGTGAAGAACTTTGAGTGATTTTATGTATTCGTTTCTTCGATTTAAATTTAACATTCAATTTTCAGGAGTTGCTAACTCAAGAGGGCTGAGCATTTCCTCTATTGTAAGGGGATTACATGATGTAATAAAACAATCTTTTTTGATGATTAAAAGGGTAAATTTATATCCATGAGAAAAATTATTAACAATTATGGAAAAAGTTTAAAGCCAAACTTAATTAACATCACATACAACTCTGAGCCCGATAATTAAAAAACTTAACTTAAGAACTGATAAACGAGGGTTTCTAATTCTCAAGGGATCCAAGAGTCATGGCATAACTTTTAAAGATTAGATCAAATAGGGCGAACTGCATACGATAGTCATGGTCGAAAGTTGGAAGCAATTAAACTATGATAATAAACATAAGAAAAAAGCCACAGAATGCTGTGTGATCTATTGATCAGTAATAGCAACGTTGGAAATATTATGAAAATCGAGTTATATAGTTTTTTTGTGTTATATCAATTTATTAACAAAATCAGTTTTTTCATCATAAAAGTGCTTCCAATTTATTAATAATTAATAAACTCATCGACTGTTATGCTTAGTAAATTCTGTCGATTACCGATGGTATTACATCTTTCTAACATTTTATGTGATAGGGTTTGAATGAATTAATACAAAGTTTGTTAGATTCTAGAATCAAAGTGTCGTTGATAAATGAACACTAAATGGCCTTTAGAGGTTGCACAAACTTCACTGTACCCAACTTCTGATTGTTATGAGTACAAGTATAGATCAAATACCCTGAATCTAAGTCAAGAATCAAATACTAATTTATATACTAAAAATTACATGTTGTGAATCCATTATTTGAATAAACTCACAATTTAGATTTAATTCAATTTCCTAGTTGATATGGTAAGGCTTTTCAATTCTCTATTTTTGAGAATTCTTAATCAAACATGTTACAAGAACCCATAAATACACATATTTGAATTCAGAGAGTTTGCTATTATCCACGTATGGTTTCAAATCCTCAAATTTTATCACAGGTTTAGAATCCTTAAACTTATGCCAATCAAAATGTTCAATAATATCCCAATTTGCAGACAATCCTTCACTCAACTTTTTGTTTGTCACTTTTAAATTGGAAATCATAGATATGAGCTTATTTTTTAAGTCTTCATATAATTATTCTAATTCTTTCAACTCTTCATTCACCAGTAATAGAATTATCAACTCCAAAACTTATTTTGAAAAAACAATTTCCTCTTTTAATTATAATAACTAAATATATAAACGCAATTACCTTGATGATCTGTAATGATGGTATTTGATAATTATTTTGTTTTGCCACAAGCCAAATCGATAAATATAGAAGCAATAATGTATTATGTTTTGACTAATTGAATAGATGAATAATAATTACTCTTAAAAGTTCCAGAAAATGATTTTTATAAGGATTTTAGACTTCATTGTTTTTCTTATAATCTATAAATTAATTATTTCTCTCTTCAATGTCATCATACTCCTTTAAGAATATGTTTTAGAATTCTGTTTCCATATTTTTTGTATCGTAAACCCACTTTTGCGATTACTTCTATAATTTTTGATGCTGGATAGCATTATCAATATAAATCTGATCCTTACAAAAATAAGACATTATTGAATAAACTATAGGTAACCTTGTGAGAAATAGATATATTGTTAATAAACCTACTTCATAACTAACTTTAATTGTGTTGCTTTTATTGAGCAATAGACAATCTAGGATTGGCTAAATTAATTAATCCAAAATTAATTTCTCTAAAAAGGTTGATAGAAAAGGACATTCAGTAATGAGGTCATTAAAAAACATTAGAATATCTTCAAGTTTATCTTATTCATCTTAAGAATCTAGATTTAGAGATTCTAGCAGATTTTAGATTTGTATGATATATTTAACGTACACTTATATAAAGGGTGAGGATGTAAGATAATGTTTAAATTGAATCATAATTTTAGTTTAGTTGTAAATAACTGATTCTGTTTGCTTTTCACTTTTAGGCTCGGATGACACTATGATGAATATTCTATAACAGTTTACATTTTGACAAGCTTAAAACTATGTTTTAGATAGTGTTCTTAACCAGTTAATCAGGGTAGTTGATAAATTTCTAGGCTTACCACAATAATGGGAAAGTACAATACCTTTAATTGAAATAAAGATAAAAATTATCTCGATTAATTCTGATAGCTATAGTTTTTAAGAAATTCACATAATAATCTACAATTTCTGGAATGTTAAAATCATAATTAAAGTTAATGAAATCATGCAAAACGGGATTACTTAATACATAATTCAGATTGAGTGGGTTTTATAGATTAGTACTATAATTAAATAAGATTTTACATAATCATAGACATCCTTTCAATAATGAAAATTGTTAGTTGATGATTTGAAGATTTAAGTTTCTAGTAAAATAGGCTTAATATATTATGTTCTGCAAAATAGCTTGATAAATATTAATTAGTACTCAAACAACTCTTCTTGTTGATGATCACCAAATAGAAAGTATTCTGATAATTCTTCTATGATTTATTTGTATTTATGACTCTTCTCTGGCTTTGTTAGATCTTTGTGTAATCTTTTGACCTATTGCATTACTTATATTAATAAAATTAGTATAAAATATGTATAAATTATTAAATCCATTATAGAAGGAGATAATCAATAAATTTTTATAAATATTTGGAAATAACCAATATATGATAAATGTATTGAGCTTATTCAAAGGTATTTGAATGAAAAGAAGGTATATTTTTATTGATTTTCAAAGTATGCGAAGTATATTATCTTCTGATTATTTGATTGATTCTCTATTTTGTATTACAACCCTTTAATATTTGTTTTGAAAGATTGGAAATGATGAATGATGAATAGGTGATTAATGATAAAATCCTGATTATTATTTTTTTATTTTTAATTCTAAAACTTAGATGATTATAAAAATTAGTACAGAATCTGAGCTTAGTATTAATAGATAATAAATATTTAATTGAAATCATGTTTCTCTGTGGTGGTAAGAAACCAAAAACTCAAATGAGAACTCTAGCACTCGAGTCTCATTTATTCACTTTGAGGAACAATACCGAAGACATTATGAAAATATTCTATAATGCAGAAAAAATGCAGTTAGAGAGTCAGGATAAGGAAATGCTAATAAAAGGGAAAAAACTGCAAGAGTTACATCAATTCAATGAGGCAACATTAGTGTAATAAATTGAAGATTAAATTGTTGACATGGAGAAGGCCAAGTTAAAGAAATAAACGAAATTAGATGAAATTTATGAAATGGAAAGAGAGATCTTGTAGAATGAAATAGAGATACAGGTGATCAAGAATCTGATGAAGGATGATGAAAAGATAGTGAAAAACTTACAAAAATGTGACATAAAATTTGCTCTGGATCTTCAAGAAAAATATAGACAGAGCTTAGAGGAGATAGAGGAGGAGATGTCATAGAAACCAGTCATGAGGAGCGAGGGATCTGCTAATTTTTAGAGTCAATCACAAGCTTAGAGGAGATCATCATCTTCTAGAGCAAAATTGTCAAATGATCAAGAATCTTGAATTAGTTTTTATGTTTTTAGAACTATAGTATGTATATGCTTTGGGGATAGAAGCTATTGTTATTTGATTTGTTTTGATTAATATGAATAATAATAATAGTGTTGTTTAATTTGAAATTGATCATCCAATATCAAGATTAGTTAGATTTGAACGGGTTTTTTAAAGGACCTCGATTTGCATATTGATAGCATATGTTTTGACATCAGTAAGATTTCGAAAAATGATTTTTAGATCTATTACACAATGAATTTCAGCTATTCAATTTATTACATGTCGAAATTGGGATGTTAGAAGATACGTATACTATACTTACTAAATATCATCAGTGACATACTGTTTTGGGCAGCTACAGCTATTTTATATCTAGCTATTAAATACACTTCAATTAGACGATTCCAAAAATACAATTATACAATTTATTCACTTATAATAATACGCTTGGCCTATGCCTTCAATCTTTTGGTAATGGAAGAGGGATTAACAGAAGAGGATGCAACAGATTGCAAATTTACAAGTCACGAAAAAATAAAGAAAATACTATTTTATCTCGTTGAAAACTTGTTCTACGTGATCACTGTTGGCACTGTTCATTACTTGATTTCAATTCTCACAAGTATTCCTTTAACATGAAATTAGACATCAAGGAATAACCCAAGGATTTGCTTACTCACGACGTTAAAGAATCACTCATTATATGATTATAATCTTAATTAAAATTATTTTAAGAGATATTTTACATGTTCAAAGCTATTACATTTATCTTTCCTCTTCCTACTATCAATCTAACCAATAACAGAATCAAAACCTTAACGAATCTAATACAATCCAATGGAGGAACCATTGCTCTGAATGCCCAAACTCTCATGATCGTGGGCTCTGATGCTACATTAGAATCTTGTCAGAAATAGCTATAAAAAATGAATTTAGACTTTGATTAGTATAAAACGTAGTTGATTAATGCAGATTGGGTTTCCCAATCTCTACAAGCTAAGAAACTTTTAGATCTTAAGGCATTTCAATTATTTTTAGACATTGAGCAAAAATAACAAAAGGTTAGTCCTTAGACCACAGATACGAGGATGGTGTATGTAGAATCTTTAGCAAAGACTGTTCCAATTAAAGAAGGTGTAGAGGATGAAATGGATATGGAAAGTGGAGAATACACAATACTTAAACCTGAGTTGAGAGATAAGTGCGAGAAAAAGAGATTAGAATTTAAGAGACAAATCATTAAAGAGAATCGATTTATGTTAGATTACGAATATGACAAAGATCTGGATAATTATCATCATTAAGAAGACGATGGCTACGAATTTTTATTGGATGACTTTCAAATTTTAAAGAAAGAAGAACATGATAATAATTAATAGAATAAATTTTATGGAGATGAAGATTGTTAGATTACTGAAGTTCGCAAACCTCAAATAGATGTGCTTTAGGGATTGGATATGGGAAAAGCAGTAGTTAATGTAGATTAACCCTTAATAAATGCATAATTAAAAGAGACTAAGTAATTCAATCCAGGATTCAAATAAAAGATATAGTTTTGGGAAACCAAAAAAGAGTTTTTCATTTGTGATGCTGGATTTGCACAAAAGTGCTTCAATAATTAGATTATAGAGGAATTAGAAAAGCTTCTCAAAATTTACACAAATGAAAAAGATAAAGGAAGATGCATAGCCTATCGAAAGGCTATTGGTTTCATAAAGTCTTTAGCATTTCCTATCAGATCAAGTGAAGATGTAAAGGAAATGCCAACCATTGGAGAAAAAATTAAGAAGAAAATAGTTGAGATCATCTAAACAGGGTCTTTACTAAAAGTTTAAAAATTGGAAGGACAAGATAAAAATATTGCTATTACTTAGTTGACCAGGGTTTGGGGGATAGGGCCAACCACTGCTGCTACTTTTTATTTCAAAGGAATTAAAACATTAAATGATTTGAGGTAGAATCAACATATGCTAAATAAAAACTAATAAGTGTGTCTACAATTGGTTGAAGAATTAGAATAACGTATTCCCAGAGATGAAGCTACAATTATTTATGAAATTGTAAAGAGGGAATTAGATGACTTAAGTGGAGTGCCTGGATTGTATAAGGCTACAGCTTGTGGTTCATATAGAAGAGAAAAAGAAAGTTGTGGAGACATGGATATCTTAATTACGAGATGCGATGGAAAGATTGTTGAGGGGTTTTTAATGAATTTAATTTAACGGTTGGAAGGGAAACTACTAACTCATCATCTTACATTGCCTAAGAAGGGAGAACATGATAACGAGTCTTATATGGGAATTGGAAGAATCAGTAATCAAGGAATTCATCGTAGAATAGATTTAAAATTGTATCCCAAAGAACAGTATGGTTGTGCAGTTTTGTATTTTACTGGTTCTGATCAATACAATAGAAGTATGAGACTGTGGGCTTAAAAAATTGGATTTAGTCTCAGTGATCATGGGCTCTATCCGACTTAAAGGGGAACTCACAATAAAAAGATGTGGAAAGGAGAGGTCATTGCTTGTGAGGAGGAAATAGATGTTTATCGGATCCTTGGATTATAATACAAACCACCTAAAGAGAAGATCGGTATGATTTTGATTTTGTTAATATAATTACTCTCAATATAATATACATAAACTCAATAGAACTTTATCAATTTTACTGCAGAAAATCGTATTCTATATGTGAATTCAACCGATATAAGGCATTTGGTAACAATTAAGGGTAAGAATTCTCAGATTCTTCTGACATACCAACACAAATCTTTTATTCCTCAAAAAAGGTGTTGGTATCAATTACAGAGTACGATTTTTCATAATTTATTGGGACCATTGCACTCTCGCTTGATAAATCTTCAACTTTAACAAGAGGAGACGAGATTGTTTATTAGGTTTCCTTTTGAGAGATGACAGAAAAAACTGAAACAAGAGTCAAGAGAGCGAGACCTATTTTACCTAATCTCGAGCAACGACCTAGTTGTTAGAGAATAGACAATTAATCTCTTATTTTTGAGCCCTTGTTTGTCAATTTTTAGTGTTTAGCTTGTAGCTCTTCCAATTGCTTCCTCAATTAAGCATTGTAATTTAATTCTTTTTGAGCCTAATTTTCTAATTGTTGTAAATATTATTTCTTTCTATCTCTCGAGTTTTATGCACTGATTCTATTTCGTATCATTTTATATGGTTTTTTTATCATTATCCCTTAATGGATCATCATCTTTGTTTCTTTCTCTTTATTTTCTTACTACTTTAAACTATTTCAGGTTCATCCTTGTGTTTTCTTTATTTTGCCTTCTCCCTTCTCATTGTACGCTTCAACTTCTCTACAAGTTTTTTGAAAATCTTAAAAATTATTAGAATTTTCTTCTTACTTTATGGGTTAGATTTTTGCAATTCCATAAGCCCTTCTTGAGATGTTTATAGAGTCTCACTCATATACTCAAAGAATTCCTATTAACTAGTACTCATCTTGCTAAAGATATATATTAAATATTGTATTAAAAAACGATAAATTTTATTACGATAAATACTCAAACATAGTGAAATAACTGCAATAATATTACTTAATTTTTAATACCATTAAATTTACATTACATTACATTCCCCTCCCTTTCACTATCTAATTCATTACTAAGGTTTTATAGGTATATATACTTAAGCAATGGGGATGGAGAAGTAAAACTTAATCTCTTGGATTGTTTATAATTGTAAATACTTTGTTGTAAAATATATATTTAAATTAACATAACTCAACATCGTTCTTTTACCTATAATAATTCAAGAATTGAATTGTAATAATAGTCAAGACATTAAAAATAGCATCACTTAAATTGAATATAATTATCCTACCATTCAATATTAATTTTAGATATAAAGATTTATTCCAAGTGTAGAATAATTATATGAATTTCAATTTCATTAATTTATATTCTAAGTTAAAGATATATAATAATTATTTAATTTACTAAACTTATGTTTCTTAATTAACGTAATTGTCAACTTGCAAAATATGTAATGTATTATATAAATAAGAATATCTTAGCAAAAATATTTTTTTAGTTTTTTGAGATTTAAAACAAATTCTTCTCATATCTCTCTTAAACAGTTAGTATAAAAGAATTTTGTTATTTCAATTTACAATCTAATTTTGTAAGTATTAATACCCCTAAATTAATATGTTGTTATGGACTATCATTATTTTCGTGATAGTGTATCAAAATTATAGGGTTTAGTATTCAAATAAGTAAAGAGTGATTATATATTTTTGATCGTTTTTAATTATTAATATTATATTCAATGAAGACTCTAATACTTGTAGTATTAATTTGTTATAGTGGCTCTTAAATGTTAAGAGGTTCCCCAAAGTCTTTAATTGAAGAAGAACAAGGTAATGATGAATGATTAATTGGCAGCAATATTTCAAAGTGAATAAGAGGATTAAATGTTTTATGTTGGGAATAGTGATGTTTCAGCAGAGACTCTTTAAGGCAAGGAGAACGTAAATGCAGAAGCTAGTTTGGCAGTATTCAAAAGTGACGATACCCCAATGGTGTACGTTGAAGAGTCAACAGAGTCAAGTAATTTATATTGAAAATAAATGCAAAGCCTAGAATCAAAATTTTGAGTAATAGGAATCATTGCAAATTGAGAAGGTGGATGATGAGATCTAGTATAATTTTACAATAGATAATAAAGAGCATAAGAATTACCTGAAGCAACAAGTGATTAAGCTAATTTTGTGGATAGAGCAATTGTTTTGGACCCAGAATAAGACTAATAATCATCATAGAATAGCTAAACTGATGTTGTTTTGAACATAGCTCCTAAGACAGAGTCATTAGGTAGTTCTGAGGCAAACAAGAAACACATTTATGTTTATAATCGTAAGTTTGACTCATAATAACTTAGCTTTTGGCTAAGAAACCGTTTGTTGGGATTAAGTACCCACCCATGCCAGTGACAAAGGATCGTAATTATCTGTCAAACTCTGAAAGTCTGACTATCAAATTGCCTGCATGGTCTGAGCAAAGTAATCACAGAGTTGAAGATGATTTGGAATTCTTCCAATTTATTAGACGTATACACCCTTAAATATAGTAGCATCTGATGTATCAGTTAATGAGTATTGAAAGAACATTAATATATAATTCATATTTTTTCAAGTTGCGGAAATCTAAAAATATATTATAATAAATAATGTAATAAGAAGAGAAAAAGAAAGGGGACAGTGGGAAAATGGAGACCATAGTAAGAATACATTAAATCTGTAGAAAATTATGAATGGTTTCACCGATAAGGAATGGAATCATCTGGATAGGATAGAGAGAATTGAGCTTACACTTGAAGATTTTGGGAGAATGAATGTTGTTTAAGCATTCAAAAATTTGAAATCTTTGACGCTTATAAATGTAGGGATTACAGTAATAGAAGTATGAATTGATTTATTACACTAAAGGGATTGGATGAATTGACTAAGTTAGAGGAATTAAATTTGAATGAGAATTAAATTACAAAATTGAGTGGACTAAAAGGAATCGTTAATGTGAAATCAATATATATTTCACATAATGCAATCTAAAAAATTGAGGGATTGGAAAATCTAACTAAATTGGAGACGTTATGGCTTTGTGATAATAAAATTGATGCAATTCAAAATTTAGAGAATTTAGTTAACATGAGATAATTATGGTTATCAGCCAATCAAATCAGTTACTTAAGAACATCACTTGATCGATTAAAGAATTTACATGATTTGAATATAAGTGGGAATAAAATATGTAGTTTTAAAGAAGCATTAAATTTAAATCGTTTACCTAACTTAAAGGTTTTAGCATTTTACGATCCTCATTTTGGTGATAATCCTATATGCAATCTCTGCAACTATTAAACATATGTTCTTTATCATTTGAGAAACATATTCAAATTAGATACCTTGATTATTTCAGAAGAACAGAAATCTTTTGCTGAAGGAACCTTCATGAAAAAGAAAATGTACTATAATATGAGAATTAAAACTATGCAAAGGACATTTTCAACTTTGTGTAAGTTATTGAAAAAAGGCAAGAAAATTAAAACTGATTCTTTGTGTGAGGACATCTCAAATTTGAATATAAAATTAGCATAAGAAGCAGACAAAGATAGATAATAATTGCTAGAGAATAAACAAGAGGAATTTGAAAATCAGAATGATATTTACAACAGCATAAAAAAGAAAGTCTATGAATATTGTAATTAAAGCATACATAAATTAATAACCGAATTGGAAACAGGTGGAAATATAAGACTAGAAGAAGGTAAGGCGAGTGAGAAGTGGTATGTTTCTTGTGTTGATCTTATCACTTCTAGATTTTACTCTGAAAATATGGCTAAATATGGGATTAAGGATATTTAAATCAAGAGAGTGGTTAGAATTCATAATAAATTCATTCGAAATAAGTTTGAAGAGAAAATGGAATCTTTGGTTGATGTATCCAATCAAAGCCATAAAAAGTCATTGGAGTATCTCTTCTATGGAGTAGATCCTAACTTTTAATCTGAAATTTATAATGTGATTGAGGAAGGGTTCAGAGGTTGTTAAGTAAATAAATAATTTAAATTAAGGAATCAAAATCTATTGGATTAAGTGCATACACACCATTAGTAAATAGTATTTTAGCAGCCGACGCATCAAGAATCCAATATATTTTAAATGGATAAGAGCATAATCAAAAATTGAACAAGAGATTTATCAAAAGAAGGTAATCTATGAATATAAATATTTGTCAGATTGTTTTATCAGAAGTACAATGTAATTCCTCCAGGAGTTTTACTAATTTGTAAAGTTCTTATGATTAAATCTGTTCCAGATTCAAAGTACCCTTATTTCAATCCTGAACAACCATGGAGTGAGATGTTTTAGAAATAATCGATTGATGGAAGATAATATTAGGATGAATACACAGTTTATAGATAAATGGAGAATGATCCAAAACATAGATTATGGTTTGTGTTAGATAACAATTTAGTATTACCTGAATACTTTGTGGAATTTGAATATGTGATGTAATCACCATTACAAAATAAAGTGGCTGACTTCGGTTCTGCATTAGGTGTTCTAGAATAAGAAGATGATGATTTCATCACTCCTGCTAACAGTAATTTGTAGAAGGAAAACATTAATGATTTGTATAATTAATTGGCTGATGATTTAAATACTTATCAATTCGAGAATTTAGAAGAATACCCTACTTACGAACTTAAAGCTTAGGATTTGGATCGATCAGAGTGCGCCTCTCTAAAACCAGCTTTAATAAATTATTTTAAATATTGTTTAAGTAGATCCACATTGTATGAATTGAATCCAAATTTAGTTGGAACACCTGATTTAAATGAAATTCTTAAAAATTAGACTTAATTTTTAAACTTAAGTAATTGTTGTGTGCAAGATATTGCATTTATAAAAGGATAGTTTCACACACTAATACTAAGTTATAATAAAATAAGTACTATTGCTGGTTTGAATGAGTTACCTAATTTGGTAAGACTAGATTTATCACATAATGAAATAAGCAATTTAAATGGATTGTAACACTTGAATAGTCTGGAAGTCTTGGATTTAACTCACAACAATATCTAAGATATTGATCAGATTGCTTTACTCAAATACAATTCGTCATTAAAGTATTTGTGTGTTGTCTTTAATCCAATTAATGAGTACAAAGAAACAAGAAAAGAGATCGTGATGGTTTTGAATAATCTGCAATTTTTGGATCATCTGCAAGTGACTGATGAAGACAAAGAAAAAACTAATAATCAAAAGTAATTAATTACAACAGCCATGCTTCAAACATTTAGCAAGGTCTAAATGGATTGGAAATAAAACATTCAATCAGTAATGATTACTCATTAGAAATTAAGTAGTATGAAAGGATTAGAAGGTTTGGTCTAATTGAGACACTTGAATTTGGGTCACAATAAAATTACCTAGATTACTTCAATCTAGGATTCGGTGCTCTTGGAAGAATTAAACTTAGAAAAGAATTCTATCATACAAATTTAAGAGTTAGATAATATGCAATATTTAAAAAAGCTGGAATTAGGAGGAAATAGAATATCAATAATAGAAGGCATTTCAAATCTGATTAACTTGATGTAATTGTCATTGGAAGATAATGCAATACTTCATCTGAGGGAGTTTCCAGATCTTAAAAGTCTAATGGAAATATATTTAGGAAACAATAATATCACAAATTAAAAGGAGATTAACAATATCAAACATCTTTAAAAACTAATCATTTTGGATCTCTCTGGAAATCCCTTTGCTAGAGACACTAATTATAGGGCTTATGTTCTCTACATCATTCCTAAACTTAAGGTTTTAGACGGCATTTCTATTGAAGCTTCAGAATAATAGATGGCAAAGAATCTTTATACTGGTAGATTGACAGAGGAGATACTGTACTCAAGGTTGTAAGGGTAATCAGCTAATAAAATAACAGAACTGTGTTTACAAAACTGTGAACTCAGAGATTTTGAGGATGTATTCAATGTGCAATAATTTCCATAATTAGTTGAATTGGATTTGAGTCACAATCTATTTACTTCTACAAAAATGCTTGGCTTCTTACCATAATTAAAAATCTTAATCTTAGCATCTAATAAAATTGATACTCTTCTTTATCCGAATGATGTTAATTAAAAAAAAGGATTGAATGGATGTTAACAGTTATAAATTTTAGACATCTCTTAAAATTGTTTGAAGGAATTCAATGGACTATAGTATTGTTTGCTTAAAGAATTAAAGATTATGAAATGCGAAAAAAATGAAATTGTTAGGGTTGATTTCTTAGAGAACTTGAAATAGTTAAAGGAGTTAGATTTAAATTAAAATAAAGTAAGACAATTCGATCCCCAATCTTTTGCTGGATGTAATCCTATTAGATGTTTGAAAATAGATGGAAATGGACTAAAGAATTTTTAGAATATTTAAAAATTATATAAATTATTGGTATCTGTAAATTCATTAAATTTAGCATTTATTTGCTAATTCAAATAGAATTAATGATCTACCAGACATTGAGTATTTAGTCCCATTAACTTAACTTAAAGAATTGGAATTAGTTGGAAATTCTTTAAGTAGAAGACCAGGCTATAGATAGATGGTTCTTAGAAAATTAGCAACAATTTTGTATCTTGATGGCAGAGTATATAATATATAATAATTCTATCATCTAGGAAGTAACCCAAGAAGAAAGAGAGAGACTAGAGTTAGTTGATCGACAAGCGGTGCTACCAACAATGTAAATTTAATAACAGCCCAATACAAAGGTACCTGTTAAATTAAGTTCAATCAATTTTGATGGAATCTTTAGTAAATGAAAATATCATTAATTTCTATTTTATGATCATTTAAATTATTATTAACTTAACTGATTAAGGACAGTAGTACTAATTAAGATTTTAAATTAAATCATCAATAAATCTATTTATATTTGTATACATTGATAATGATGAGATTTTTATTGTCCACATAAATTGATAAAAATCAAATCAAGATTTGTAATACTCGATATACAGATTATTTAAACCATTAGGGTAAAAAATGAATATGATACTGGATTGTCAAATTCTTACTTATTAATTATTGAATTAATTTATAAATGGAAAAGAAAATAGGAAAATTGAAGAAGTTCATTAATGATAATGATAATTAAAGAATTAATGGGTTGAAAAATATAGAATAAGAATAATACTCTTCGAGTTATCGTAAGATTATTAAATGCTAAAAAATATATTCTATTCCTAATTTAGATCTAAATATTATGATTATCTTGTTATTAAATAGAAAATTTATATTAAATTGATAGTAATATAGAGAGCTAAGAGAGAAGGTAAAATATATTGAAATATGATTGAGGTGAAAGTACTAAAAGCGTTATTCTTAGAGAAGGATTAGTTGGTTGTAGAATTGTGGGCGCAAAATTAAAATTTAAGGGTGTCAAACAAATAAATTTAGTAGATATTTGATACTAAGAGAAATGAGTGAATTAGTTGAAGATATGTAAAAGGACTATGATAATGTGAAAGTAAGTGAAAATGATAATTTAATCGTTTTATTAAGAAGAATAGAGTAAAGAGAGAATATCATGGGAGTCAGAGAATAAGTAATTAAAAGCTGAAATTTAGAGGCTTGATGATTTTTGTTTTGAAATGGAACCAATAAAAGAAGAAAATTAGAAATTGAAAAAAGAATTGAAAAATTATAAATTAGAAAGAAATAAAATGGAAAAAAAATGAAATAAGTAATATATGAAATAGAGGAAATAAAAATAGTTGCGGACCAATAATTAGAAATACTTAAATCGCAGCACCAAATAGCATATTTGTTAAGTGAACTAGATGGAATATTGGAATCATTAAAGTAAGAGAATGAGTATCTGAAGTAATAGATAAAGAGATTTTAAGAGAAACAAGAAAATGAAATTACAAAGTATCAGGTAAGACAAGGTTTGATTTCAGGAAGATTTGAAGAAGTGGAGAGATAAAATGAACTTTTTAAAGAGATTGGATCTATACTTAAGGTGTGATCTGATACTATTTGACCTTGTTGTATTTCTAGGGTGAATATTTTTTATTTAATTGGAGTAATTGATATTTATTAAAATTGAAAATTGAGAAAGCCAAGTGAGTGGCAGACTATTCTTAATTAATCCTAAATAATAAATCTTATTCTATTTGCTTATTCACTTTAACTCAACCTATAAATTTTAATAAGATGATATATTATATATTAATGAGATCTTTACTTGCTATTAATTAATGCTTATGTCTTAATTAAAAATTAGTCAATAAATAACACAGTATAATTTATGGAACATTTGTTTAAAAAATGGAACTGAGAAAATAAAAGTGAAAGGTTTTATGAAATTTGATATATATATATTTGATCTATGAATTCTCACTTGACGTTGACATACAATTTCTTAACTTATTCTGGTAATTCTTTGAAGAAGGGATGTTCACATGCAGCTTTGGCTGTAATTCTTTGATCTGGGTTAATTTTAAGCATTTTGACCAATAAGTCTAAGCCATCTGGATCAAGTCTTGGACAAAACTTAGCTAGATTGTCAGGTTGGTATTGTTCAAAGTTTTCAGGTTTCCAGCTTGGAAGATCATTCAATTTAGGATATTCCTAGAATAGTGAGAGTAATTTACAATAGGTGATGGAGTTCCCAAGACTCTGAATATCTTTTTCAATTGATCAGTTTCGTTGCTTCCAGCAAAAAGAGGTTTAAGATTTGACATTTCAGCAAAGATGCAGCCCACACTCCAGATATCTATTGAGGTGTTATAGTTTTTAGAGCCCAACAGGACATCTGGTGGTCTGTACCACAGTGTGACAACTTCATGAGTGAAACTTTTAACAGGGATTCCACTAGCTCTGGCAAGTCCAAAATCAGCAAGTTTGAGGATTCCGTCTTTGGAGACCAAAAGATTTTGAGGTTTGAGATCACGGTGTAATATTTTTTATTAATGACATGCTTAGATTCCTCTTAGGAGTTAATAGAGGAAACTCTTCACAATCACGGGTTCCATGCCTTTCTCTTTGGGGAATTGGGCAAAGAATTTCTTAAGATCCATTTCAACATACTCAAAGACCAGTACAAGTTTCTTATTTGAATGCACAACCTCCATTAATCTAGATAGAGCAAGTATTACTTCACAATATTTGGATGATTCAACTCTTTAAGCAGAGAGATCTCTCTGATTGCTGTACTAGGAATGCCTTCCTCTTCTGACTCGAGTCTGATTTTCTTCAATGCCACATATTCGCTAGTGTTCCTGTCTAATTGTATAATGTAAAATGACTTATACCTAATGCTTTATACACGATTCCGTAAGTACCCTCTCCGAGTTTCTCCTTCTTCTCGTATTTCTCCAATTTATTAGATTTCATAATATTAAAATATTAATGTACGATTTTATTTTCATTTTCAATCAAACAAACCACCCATATCAACATCTTCTTCTGGTTCTTCAGCTTTCTTGACTTCCTTGACTGGCTCAGCCTTTTTGGTCTCAGCAGCAGCAGGAGTGGATGTAGTTTATGCTTATGGAGCACTGCCTGCACTTCCACTGCTTCCATGCAACAAATCACCGACCTTTTTGCCCTTAAGTGCTTTCTCAAAAACTTTAGTCCAAATTGGTTCGACTCTCAAATTGGAAGCCTTGATGATCTTGGCTAATTTAGTGGCATCAATCTTATTATCACATTTTCAAATACATCTTAATTGTCTTCATACAATATGAGGGCTGCGTATGTGCATGCAGTTTCGGATGTAGCTTAATCTGCAATTGGTCTTGTGTCTTTTGCTGCTCTAGCCATTTGATTTTTTAAAATATTAATTAAAAAAGATATACAAATTAATGCTCTTCTCAATCTCGCCTTAACCACCATTTCAAATTCATCATCGAAAACAAACCACTTTTCAAGTCATCAACATGGTTGATCACCCAATCCTCTTTAGATTCAAAAATGATATCCACATAAGAATTATGCCTTCCTATGGCATGATTTCTCCCAACGATAGAAAATTGATCTCCGTTACCAATAAAACAAGCCAATATGACATTGATGTTTAACTAGAAGCCATCAATTACGTTGAAGACTATCTTGAAATGCTTGAGTATTCCAACCCTCAATTATGGGTTGAAAAATAACCCGGAGTATTAGCCACTCAAACCCTCTCCATCAGAATGAACATCAATACGGATTCCTCCAGCACCCAGCAATCAGATAAAAAACAAACTTTCGAAGAAGTTATCAGATAGGAAAATCTGCAAACCTAAAGATCTTAGCCTACTTTTAGTAGATTCTAAGAGTAAATCGTCCATAAAAATAGTCTCGATGGCTAAGAAAGCAGAACATCAAATATCTCCAATAATAACCCCAGCATTAGTCCCATACTCTAGGATGCGAGCAGAATAAGTGCCAATATGAGTAGGGAAGTAAAATAACCCACCTTTTTTACAGAAGCTTACGAGATTCCCCAAGAACCTAATGAGCAATTTCAAGATAGAATGGATCCCGAACAAAGCTATAATAATGAACCTTATGCATCTGGTAATTTCAAATGCATTGATGAGGAGAAGTCCAACCACGAAGTATCAGGCATTAGATCCTAAACCTCTATAATAAAAATCGAATAGAATTAAATAATATCCTAACTTAAGTAGAAAGAACAATAGATTCTCAAGCAAATAGACTAAATCAAGATAAGCAAAGACTAATTGAGCGAGGAATTAGAAAAATTGAAATTTAAAGCAATGTTTAAGAATAAAGAAAACAATAAATGTAATATTATGATTGTAATTTTTTAGAGGATTAATAAATATTAATTGGACATTTATTAATCGTTAGTGTAATATGTTTAATATTAGGAGCATTGCTAAAAAAGATTTAATAACTTTTTTGATACTAATTGAACAATAATCACTATTATATCAATACATTCCTTCCATTCCTCCCATGCCTCCCATGTTTGGAGCTCCTCCTGCTTTTTCATCTTTTTTTCCTTCAACAATCATACATCTAAAATAGAATTATAAATATACTCTGTAGTTGTCATTAAACTGGCAACTGAGGCAGCATCAACAAGTGCAGTTCTTACGACTTTTGTTGGGTCAATGATACCAGCCTTGATCATATTGACATATTATGATTTTGAGGCATCATATCCTACTTCTTCATCTTTACCTTCCAACAATTTTCCAACAACAACTGCTCCTTCTTCACCAGCATTATCAACGATGGTTCTGCATGGTAATTCAATGGCCCTCTTGACAATTTGGATACCAATGTTCTAATCGAAGTTGTCTCCCTTGAGTTTCTCTAAGACTCTGGTTGCATACAATAAGGCACATCCACCACCTAAATATTTATTTAATGTTTATACCTACAACAATACCCTCATCAACAGCAGCTCTGGTTGCATTGAGTGCATCTGTGATTCTGTCTTTGATTTCACCAACTTCAACTTCTGAAGCACCTCCAACTTTGATGACACCAACTCCTCCTTATAATTTAGCCAATCTCTCTTTGAGTTTTTCTTTGTCATATTCAGAATTTGATTCTGTGATTTGAGCTTTGATGATGTCGCATCTTTCATTGATGCTATCCTTGGATCCAATGCCGTCCATGATAATGGTATCATCTTTGGTGACGATGATTGATTTGCATTATCCAAGAACTGTGTGATCAGACTTTTCCAATTACAATCCAACATCTTCTGTGATGACTGTGGCTCCAGTCAAAATAGCAATATCATTTAAGATTGCCTTTCTGTTATCCTAAAATAATGAAATTAATTCATACTCCAAAAGCAGGGGCTTTGACAGCACATACTTTGAGTCCTCCTCTTAATTTATTAAGAATCAATTGAGCCAAGGCTTCTGATTCAACATCGTCAGCAATCAGTAAAAGTGGTTTGTTCTCTCTAACAACATGTTCCAAAATTTAGAGAATTGATTGAATATTTGAGATCTTCTTGTCTGTGATCAAAATGTATGGCTTTTCGAATTCTGCCTTTTATGTCTTTGGATCTGTGGCGAAATAAGGACTGATGTATCCTCTGTCGAATTTCATACCCTCGACAAATTCAATTTCGTGATGAAGTGTTTTACCATCAGATACTGTGATGGTTCCATGTTCTCCTACCTTATCCATGAGTTCGGCGATCAATTTTCCGATTTCGACGTCTCCATTGGCAGAGATTGTGGCAACATTCTCAATCATTTCCTTAGATTTAACTTGCTTTGATCTGCTCTTCAAATCCTTAACAACTGCTTCACATGCCAAATTGATGCCTCTTCTCAAGTCCATAGGCTAAAAGAGATATACACACAAATCTTACATTGAGTCCAGCTGCGACACTCTTGACACCTTCCTTGAAGATGGCTCTAGCCAAAACTGTAGCTGTGGTTGTGCCATCACCAGCTTCATCATTAGCTTTGGATGCCACTGACTTTACCAATTGAGCTCCAATGTTTTCGAATCTGTTGGAGAATTCAATAGCCTTTGCTACAGTGACTCCATCCTTAGTTATTTTGGGACCACCGAAAGCTTGATCGATGACTACATTTCTTCCTTTTGGTCCAAGGGTTGTTTGGACAGCATCAGCTAATTTGTCACAACCACGTAACATCTATTGTCTGCACTCTTGTCCAAAACTCAATTCTTTTCCTGCAAAGAAAACTGGAGTAGATACGAGGGATTTTCCCAATACGATATTGCCAAAGAGCTTTCTAGATGAAGAAATCATTAACAATTTATAGACAATTAATTTATTTGTGAAAATTACCCACAATTAAATTAAATAGTCTCTTAATAGTAAATTCTAGAAATTCTAGATTAATTCATTTATTTTTATATACTCAATATCTCTTATTACCTCTGTATTGTTTCTTCTCTTACCTCTATTCTTAAGCTTAGTATTCGTTATTTCCACTTTCCTCTTTGGGCACATAAATATCGTAAGGAGTGGCTTTCGAGTTTAAATTCTTTTTGTTTTGTTGTTGTTTGTTGTTGTTTTATTTTTAATTGGTCTGTTAACCTTATTTAGCTTCTTACTTCTCCTCATATTCCTACTAAACTTTTGGTTTGTTGGTTCCAACGTAGCCACCATCTCTATTTCTCTCCTTTTAAAGAACCTTCTTCTACTCGTTATTGCCCTAAGTTCTGTCATCTCGATCGTAGTCATCCCTTTTATAACAATCATCATCATTCCTTGAATATTCTTAATTCTTATTTTTATTTCTATAATCTTGCTTTTGTTAATTATTATTGTTGTTGTTCTTTCTTTGATACTCACTATTGTTATTCTGGTAATTATTATTATCCTTAATGTATGTCTTCATAGACTTTTCTTAATATGGACGATTATCATTGTTATTATTGTATCTATTTCCATTATCTCTTCTAAATTGATCCTCTTCATCACTGAATCCTTCCTCGTTTTGTTTCTATCTATTTTATTGCTACTGCTTATTTGGATTTTTTAGAATTTTTATCTATTTATCATTATTGTAATCTAAATTCTGTTAACTCATGCTATGTCCTGGATTAATCTATTACTTCTTCAAAGGCTTGGCATATCTATTGAAGTGATCATTAGGAACATAGTCATCCAACTCATCATTATCACTGCTAGTGTATTCCTTCTCAGGTCTTTGCAAAGCTTCTTGATAATCATATGTATCGTCAGGTTCATCATTATAGAGCTTAGCAGTTATTTCAGCCATTTCTATCCTATCCTTTAATGGTTAATCAAATGTCAATTTCTATTTCTTTTTTGACACTATTTCAACTAATTTTTCTTCTGCTTGAACTTGTTCATCCTCATCTTCTTAGATCTCTTATTCTTGTTCTTCAGCCTCCTATTTCTCTTATGCCTCTATGAGGTCAAGGGGAAGAGTGGATTAGGCAGGATCAAAGTTTTCAAAGACCTCAAAATTTTCTGGCTCATTATTATTGGCTTTACCCTTGAGTCTCTCTCTCTCCTCTATTACTGTTGTCATTAGAAGGGTCACTTCTTCAATTTCCTCTTTAGGTAGATTAATCTAATTCCATGGTATGTTCAATAGTAATTCAACCATATTAAAACCATTTTCATAAAGTGCCTCGAATAGAATCCACTCTTTATTTTGATTTGAACCTCCTTTTTTGGATTTAAATTTCCTTTTCATGATGCCGAAATTCTAAATCAAATAATTCATATGTTCTTGGGATTGCTTAATCTGTTTGTTCGCAATCAACTCCTCCAGGTATTTCATGTAGATGACAAAGAAATCAATAACTCTTTATACAGCTAGTTTAAGGAAGTGGTGTAAATTCTATAAGAATTAAGGTTTCCAAACACCAGTGATTTATGTTGCGCCTCTGCTATATCCTTTAGCCAAGATCAATTCATAAAAGACCTATTCTAAACATTAAACGACTTCTGGTTTGAAAAGGTATTGTTTTTATGGGAAATACTTTGCCCAAATAATAAGTGTTTCAATGGAATCTAAAATTAAGGTGAGTAATTCCATTTTTTATTCCACATCGCTAATAATGATTTCGCTCTCATTGGCTGATTTATTATTTATTTAGAACATCTCCTCGTAGATTTTCCCCAGGACATTTCTCATAAAGGATTCGATGGTTGATTTGTAATCATCCTAATAAGCTTGGTAATAAAAAACAAAAGAACAAATTTTCTTCACAGCATCTACATTTATAGTCAATTAACATTACTTTCATTTTGATCAGCATATATTGTGCAAATATCAGTCAATTTCATGACATCAAAGATCCATTTCTAGTAGACAAGATCATGGACACCAATTTGTTCAAAAAGTATTGGGTCTTCATTTTGTAAATCTATTAATCGAAGATAGATGGCCAAGACACATTTGAAAATCTCTTTGATTAGTACTCCATAATATCCTGTGAAATGTAATGGTTCCTTTAAAAAATGTTTTCTTGGTGCATATCTCAAAAATAGGTCTAAGGAATTTTGGAGGTTTAGGTTGTAGGAGACTGTGGCCCAAAATTTACTCGGGGGATACTCCAAAAGGGTTTTGTAATCTCCGAGTATTTTCTAGGCTACTTTAATATTGTCATTATTCTAATATAATGGAAAATTAGTGGTACATCATAGTCATCTCCAAGAAGACCGAAGTAATGAGTCTGATCACTCTCGTTTATGTCTTGAGAAAGAACTTTCTTGTTTTATTTTTGAGTGTGCTTCTGTTTTTTAGACATAAATTAAAATATTAAAGAATTTACGATGATGAATTCCTCAGCTGATAAAACACCGTTGTTTAAATTTATCATAATTGGAGAAAGTGGTATTAATTAATAGTATTATTGAGGTGTCGGGAAGTCCTGTCTACTGTTGAGATACACAAAGGACGAATTCGTCTCTGAGTACAATGTCACAATCGGTGTGGAATTCTCTTCGAAAACAGTGGAAATTGATTAGAATTCAAAAATAAAGTTGCAGATCTGGGATACAGCTGGATAGGAGTCATTCAGATCTATTGTAAGATCCTTTTACAGGAATGTTACTGCAGTATTTTTAGTCTATAATATCACAAGGTACATTAATATCCCTATAAATTAGACGAGAAACATTGGAGAAGTTGGATGGGTGGTTGAAGGAGGCGAAGGAGAATGCTGCACCGAATATAGTGACTGTTTTGGTTGGAGCTCAAAATGATTTGGACGATCAGTACAAATTCTATATCATTTCTAGACGCCAAGTCTCATATGATGAAGGCAAGTCATTCATAGACGAGAAGGGAATCAATTTATTCTTCGAAACGAGTTCCAAAAACAATGAAAATGTTGAACTGGTATTGAGTGAATTCTATAATATGCATTCACCGAAGCAGCCAAATTGGTGTTCTTAAACTATATAAACGAAACGATACGTAAAAATGACAACAAAGCATCTATTGCATTATCCGAACAGCGAGATAATCCATAATAGCAGCTACAACCACAAAAGAAAAAGAAAAATGATGACTCAGGGTGTTGTTGAGAAAAGAGTAAAAAACCAACAATACATATTAATATATATATCTATATCTAAATTCACATTGTATGCATACTAATTTCTGAAACCTAATTTGTTTTCGGCTTTTAAAATATAGGTCTAACAAAATTCTACTCAATTCCTCCCCACAATCCTTTTTTAAGTTTTGCCTTTTATTCTCCTATGCTCTTATAATATGAAACACTAGCGTCAGTCTCGCTAGTTTGACTCAACATAAATTCGTTTATCTGATTCAATTCAGGATCAACTCGCTTCATTCCAATAAGACCGATGAAACTATCCAATAGGATGGAACCGAAAATGGTTGTGATCAAGACTATCACTAAAACACACCCTTAGATTATTTCACTATTTGATGTTTTAATGGTGATACAAAGTGCAAATGCTATTACACCTCTTATTAGACCAGAATACCAAACGACAAATAGTTCTTAAGTGTTTAATTTAAATTGTTTATTCATCAGAAAGTAACAGCAAGGTAAAAGAAAAACTGTAACAAATCTGGCTAAAATTACGGATAATAGCAATAATAGCGAAAAGCCCCAAGGGATTTGCTTGTAATCTACTTATAATGTTGTGATTCCCAAGTATGCAAACACAAAAGCTTCCACTAAATATCCAATAGTGTCAAATGCCAATGATGTACCATGTTGTGCTTCATCCGAAATATTTGGATATGTGTAAACTGCCATTATAATTCCGCAACAAAATAAACTTAATATCCCGCTTAGATGTAATGACTCAGATACTAAATAGGATGCATAGCCCAATAATAATATCAAGGAAGTCTCCTTTACAGGATGGTTAAATAAAGAATCACAATATTTAAATAACAATGATGACAGGGCCCCTACTATTACACCTACGATTAGGGACATCAGTAGTAGGTACACGAAATCAACACATAGACGTAAGGATATGGCCATGGATAAATTTGAAAAGCCTCCATCTTCTGATAAATATTTCTTGACCGACCGAAATATTAGAATCGATACAGCATCATTAAATATGCCCTCCCCAAACAAGACTGAATTGAGTATTGGGTATTCTTTTTCTTTAATTAATGTGAGGGCAGCAACTGTGTCCTAAAGAGTAATATTTTTAACACGATTACAGTTGCACATAGAGTTGCTGTCAAAAGGAGAATCTCATCCTATCCCATTTTCTGTTAGACCAAACTTGTTTCGTTCATAAACAAAGCAAAAGCGCTCAGGATAATGAATGTTAGGATTGTGCATATTATTCCATGATATGAGATTAGCCAAAAATTATCGAAAAAGTGGTTTCTATGCAAATTGTAGCCTGCTGCGAAGATGATTGGAGGCAATAAGAAATTAAAGAACAACTCCGTGTCAAAATGAATATCCTCATTAAAAATCTACATTCACATTATCACTCATACATATTTAATGAAGAGAGCCGTAAAAATGCCCATCAATATTGCAACAACTGATTCATGAAGGAACTTGATCCTTTTTACAGCAATCACATGCGCCGTAAGAATGTAGCTCACCAATATAATTACAACAATCAATGCTTCCACTTAAAACATAATAATATATATTAAATAAATTAAGTGGAATGGTAGTATTATTGTTAATAACTAAAAATTAATTATTTAACTTTGCACTTATTCCTAAATCTGTCCTTGAATAAGAAATACCAAACAAATTCATTTCTAATTATTCTTTAATAATAATTTTATCTTTTTACATATAGAAAGTAAGCAAGATATAGTTTATAAAAAGGGAATTGGGGTTAATCATGCATTATTATTATTTTCTAGATTTAGAATATATTATAATTAATGTTATTTCTTTTTTGACTTAATGAACAATTTTGAATAAATTCTACAATCTTATATCATCTTGTGAGATAATACTTTTATTTATAAAGATGAATATATTAATAAATTAGTATAAATATAAAAATCAAATATGAGTGATTTAATGTCTCTACATTAATTAGCCTAGTTACAAAAGAATTTTATGAAAAGAAAAATCCTGATCAACTTAGAATGTACAAACTAGTATTGATAAAACTAGAAACCAAATACAAAGTAATTGAGGAAGCAGTTCAGCTGTTAGAATGGAAGGTCACACCTTCAGAGATTGAATGCCATATCTTTTGGAAAGATACGTATGTAACTGATGAAGAATATCGTCGTTTATTGCCATACTAGAGAATTAATCATTTTCCAGGATCCTACATGCTCGGAAAAAAGAATGAACTTTGTCGTAATTTAAATAAGATGCGTAAAATGTTTCCTGAGGATTACGATTTCTTCCCAAGAACATGGCAATTGCCTTATTAAAGTGAAGAGGTCAGATAAAAATAAGGAACAGGAATTTTTATTGTTAAGCCAGAAGCAAATTGTTAAGGCCGAGGAATATTTCTAACAAAAAAACTGGATCCCTTTCTAGATAAGCACTATGTCGTATAAGAATATCTTTGCAATCCATACTTAATTGACGGCTTGAAATTTGATCTGAGGTACACATTAATTAAATATCAGAATCTACGTCCTCCTTAAGTCAATCTATCCATTGAAGGTATTTATGTATTAGGAAGGTCTCGCGAGGTTTTCAACCAAAAAATATGTAAAGCCTTAAAAGAAAAATCTAGGCAGTGTTACAATGCATCTAACCAATTATGCTATCAACAAAAGAAGCAAGGATTTTGTATTCAATGATGACACCAACAAAGATGACGTTGGTCATAAGCGATCATTTACTTCTGTTCTTAAAGTAATCATATCAAATATCCCAAGTATTTGCAAGATCAAGGTCATGATGTAAAATAATTACTCAATCAAATCAAATAGGTGATAGTTAAGACTATTTAAAGTGTTTAAGGAGAATTGTCTCATCTCTATAGATCATAATAACATAATAATGATGGCATCGAACAATGTTTTGAATTATTTGGATTCGATATTCTCTTAGATTCCTCCCTTAAACCTTGGCTCCTTCAAGTCAATCATACTCCTTCATTTTCTACAGACACTCCCTTAGATAAGATCATCAAAAAAAATCTGATTATGGATACCTTAATACTGCTGGATGTCAAAAACAAACCCAAAAAGATATACTTAGAGCAAAAAAGGGCTCCAGTGTATTAAAGGCCCATGAAAATGAGTTAGGAAGAAAAAGAAAAAAAGTCTTCCAAAATGAGCCTCATTGAAGACAAACATTTAAATGGATACATCAAAATATATCCTGATGAAGTACATTTATATCTATTAACAGGAAGAATAAAGATTATTATGAATAATTTATGCCTCCAAAACCTAAAGAGAGAGACAGCATGATTAATTAGTAGTTGGACTAAGTTAAAAATTTAGAGAAAACACTAAAAATCTAGGTTGAAATTAAACCTCCTAAATTAAAACCTGCCAAAAGATTATCAACGAACTAATCTTTCACTGAATTGGAAGGGTAATCTCTTTAGCAGTTAACAGGAAGAAATACTGTAATTCCTCAGGCTAGAACTACTTCTTAATAGCGTCCTTTTAGTAGCATTACAGCTATAAATAGACCTATAAGTGCTATTAGAAAGACTGTCTTTCCTAATCAACATTAAAATTTAAATACATCCTAAAATTAAAAAAGATTAGTTTATCCACCTCCTTCTGAACTTCCTCCAAAACCTATTTATAAAATGATACCTATTAAAACATTTAGCTTCCAGAAAATTGAAAATAATCAGAAAAATGAATGAATAATATTAATGTACTATATTTATACGTTATAAATCATTATAGTGTTATAGATATCTATTTCTCATTAACTTTGGTATATAAAATAAAGTATGATATTTACACTTGTAGAATCTGTCAGTAGTCATCTGATTTATTCAGTATTTTATCATAAAAGAGTTAATTTTTGAAATATTCTCTTACTTTCATATCCAGTTTATTAAGCTTCCTTTATTTTAAAATAGAACAACTCATATAATAAATTAGATTGTTCTACTGGGATATAGATTATTTAAGTAATGTCATTTAAATAATTTACAAAAGAATAAATCATATTTAATATTATAATAATAAAATATATACAAAATATAATTTGTAATCATGATAAATTGTTATGTGGCAAGAACAAAATAGAATTCCGAAAATAGAAAGACAAGTCAATCATTAACATGCCCCTCCAGATTCCTTTTAAGGATCATTGAGTGGTTGAATAATCTTTATATTATTAGATTCAAGTATTTGCAATGTTGATGACACCTGTAGAGAACAACAAGCTATTGAAATTAAACAAGTGACGTTGCAAAATTTCCAATCAAATAATATCGAAATTGTTTTACCCAAAAAGAAAGAGAAAATATTTAGTTCAAAATTAAAAACCTGCTTTGTTGATCAATAATATGAAGAAAATTTTATAGTCAATAAAATGTAAACAGGAGTTTCTGAACACATAACAAAAAACCCATTTTAAAGCACTCAATAACCAATTAGAAAATTGAGTGACATACCGAGTGTTACTGATAGGGAATCATACTCTAGACAAAATAGTTAAATCGATTTACATTCATAAAAAGAATCAAAACAAAATATCAATTCAATCAAATAAGTTCCCATTGCTGGTAAAATTGATAGATCCAAAGTTGCTGCTAGCTATAGTTAACTGGCTTCAAAGTTATACTATGCTGATTAATCTCCTTAAATCATCAATAACCCACAGAAACTATAACAAAAGGCTCTAATTGTTCACTAATCGTTGAATAAACTCAATGTGGCTCAAAGTAATTTATAGTCTTCTCTAAATATTAACAATTGTTCGCCAAAATCTTCTAATTAAAAATATGTATTGTCTGAATAAAGCGAGTGCTTTTAAGATTTACTCAAAGATAAAAAGCAACCCCAATAATCAACACAATAATCCCAAACCTAATAAGACTAATCCCATCGATAAATTGAAAAAATCTTATCTGACAATGAGATTCTTTTTAAATAAGTTAATAATGGCAAATAATAAATCTTTACTGAAGGTATAAAAAGCGAAGCCAATATACTCAGACAACCAATAATTGCATTTAAGAAACACAACACAATCGTTAATTTCAAACATGTTATTTAGAGCATGCTTAATAATGATGTCTCTAAATTCTAAATGCTAATGAAAGGTATTCATCATAATATAAGATAGATAGTAAATTTTCCTATCTAAATCAACATGACATCTTAGGCAATACGATTCTAATAACTGTAATTAAATTATATGGATTTCACAAAAAATATGACGAATTACTGAAAGAAGTATTAAAAATGAATCCAGATCCTTTTATCAAAAATAAACTAACTGGATGGTCAGCTATGGATGAATCCCTTTCTTAAAGATCAATATATGCAACGGCCTTATTATTTCAATAATGTTATAGGATTAAAAGAAATGAGTTTGTAAACCAATTTTATCAATTGTCAACCGTATTATAATAGGTTCCCAATTTTTAATTAGATATGAATTGGAATTTTGACAGTCCCTTACCCTTCATTAAATTGTTGGCTCCTAATGACACCATTAAATTATACAAATATAAATAATAATTGAGATTGGATAGTACACTTGTAGGTTTTTCGAAACTGTAATGCAAACGAAGAAACATGTCTCTGTTGTTTAAACAAAATAAATTATATTAAATTAATAGATCCAATCAATTTTACACAGATCCATTAGAGGAATTAGATACTGAAGAGAAAAAATTAATTATATATGATATTTTACACAGTGAACCAGTTAGCGGAGCATTGGATATAACCAGTTGTACAATCAAATAGTGTGTGGACTGGAGAGGCAGAAAGATAATTGAATAAGTAGGACAATATTCTTGTGAGAAGTATTCATTGTTATTAGATAGAGATTTGATTTAAAGATCACATATAAAAGTTCTTATTTGAAGAAAAATAATGATACTCAAATTAAATTTGCTGTCGAGAGAGAGCTCTATGAAGAGTGGATATTAAACGATGTCTCACCTAATACGGATTTGCTATTAAATTAGAAACCTAAGGAATAGAATGAAACTAGAACAATATCCCTTTGGATTTGCAAGAATCATTCACTTCAATTTAAGGATTTTGCCAACATTGTGTCTCTATTGGCCAAAGGAAATCATTTAATGGAAAAATTAAATGGGTTGTTTCAACGACCAGAGATGCAGGAGATTATTGAATTGAATGGATTTCCAATTAAGGTGCAGATACCCTTTCAATTTTCAATACATGCTACAATTTAATGCTGCAATTTTGTATCTTTAGAAAATGCTGAAGAGTTGTTTACTATCCCGAATATTAAATATTTGCCTAGGAAGGAGGCATAAAAAATACTTCAGACGAAAAAAAAGAGATTATTGCTGGCGAATCTATATTTGTGATTATAATTTAATTAAAATTATAAAGAATATAAGACATTATCGATTTCAATTTTGAGTTTTCATATTCTTTATTTATTTTTAATATTATTATAAATTAATATTTAACGTATGCATAAAACATATCAATTCGACTCAAATCAGAAACCAAAAATAAAGGACTTATGCTTGGAAGACAAAAAGAAAATCGGAAAATTGATTAAAAGATTGGCACAAGAAAGAGAAGAAAAGGAAATACTCTTAAAAAAATTAGCAGATATGCAATAATCAGAATAAAAATAATAAAGATTGCAAACTGAAATTGAAAAACTAGATGAAGAGATCTCACAATTACAAGATCAAGAAAAGCAATCACATTATTAAACCCCTTAATTGTAAACTTAAAGCAAATAAAAATTATTGTATAAATTTGAAAATGATGATGAGAACATTCATCAAAGTCCAAACTTTAAAGTCCTAAATCAAATCAATTAAGATTAAAGTTCCTCGTTTATTATACCTATTACACAAAGAGAGTCTCCCATTAAAATTGACCAATAAATATAAAACTTCTATGGTCCAATAACAAAGTTAGCAATAGCCAGTAGTGTAATAAAAAAAGTCATCCAAAAAGAAGAAAGAAATACTCATGAAGAAGATTCAAGAATTTGAAAAAATAGTGAACAGATTGAATTTTTCAAATGAATAAGTATTAAATTTCCACTTATATAGAGTATTGAATTAACTACCAATAGAAAGTCTGAAGAGTAAAATTCTCAATTGAATAATACTAGTTATCTTCAGAATGTATTTTAGAAATTATTGAACATTGAATAATAATCCCTCCCAACCTAATAGACAGTTAGATCAGAATAGTAGAGCGAGATCCAATAGAATTAATTTCAATAGCCACCGCAATATAATGAAGATGATCTCATCATTCAATTGTTGAATTCAGATGCTTCATCCTACAAACCCAAAAATCAAAATACTTTAAATAATATATCTAATGTATCTAGATAAAAGTAATAACACAGCAGGAATAATTCAACAATTCTATAAAATGAGAATTAATAGAAAAAATAGAAAATAACATTTGATCAAATCCCATCTCCAATTGTATAAGATGCATATTGCAAGAATGTTGTATAGAAATATAACTCCTTATTGCAAGAATTAAATAGATAACAATGAATTTACTTGGATATTATATATATAATTCACCAAATATAAAAATTATTTCTAAAAATAAGAGAGTTGTTTGGAAATTTACAAAAGATCTCATAGGCTCTGAAAGATATAAAAGATTTTGGTAAATTTTTGATTGAAATGAGAAATCATTATGAGTTTTGTTTGCATGTCATTATTATAATTTTTATATTCTATTGTAAAATAGGGTTGGTTTTTGAAGTGAGAGTGAAGCAAAAGTAGTCATAATATAGTTTGTGATACATAAATCTTAACATTAGGGAATCACATCGCTTATTCACTTTGCTCTATATTTGAACCTTTAATTAAAATAACTAGGTTTCCTTGACCTGAGTTACCTTCATTGATGATATTGATAGAGAAGTTTTGATTAACATTGGAACTACTCTTAATAGACTAAAGATTGCAATATTGATTATGCTTTACTTCATAATGTTCATCTAACAGCTTTTCCATTCTTATTGGGAGGAAAATTTAATTACTTACAAGGGTAAAGTGGTCTTAGGTTTCTTACTTCCCTTACAAGTGCATCCCATATTAATTTTATATAAAAATTTAAATATTTAGATATTAATTTTTTAATGGTGAATCTACGTCTCTAGAAAAGATTGGCTTCAACTCAATTGAAGGTTGGTGTGAATAGAGTTTGGTTAGATCCAAATGAAGCAAGTGAAATTAGTCTTGCAAATTCAAGAATGTCAATTAGAAAATTGATTAAGGATGGACTCATAATGAGAAGATTGAGAACAATTCATTCAAGAGCAAGAGCAAGAAGATTCCTTGAGGCCAAGAGAAGAGGTGAGTTATTTGTATTGATTACATTTTGATAGGCAGACACACAGGTACTGGTAAGAGAAGAGGTACAAGAGAGGCTAGAATGCCAACTAAGGTGCTTTGGATTCGCAGACAAAGAGTTTTGAGAAGATTGTTGAGAAAATACAGGGCTGCTAAAAAAATTGATAGACAATAGTAATATAATAGTGTATAACATCGCATAGATATCACGAATTCTATTTGGCTTCAAAGGGTAATCAATACAAAAACAAGAAAGTACTTATTGAAGCTATCCACGAAACTAAATAAGAAAAGGTTAGAGTCGATAAGATTGAGAAAGAGTAAAACGATAGAAGAGAGAAGAATAAGGCTCAGAGAGTAAAGAAGACTCATAACAAGTTTGCAGCTGAATGATTTTAAACAAATAAAAAGTACAATAATAAACATATACATTATTTCTTATTTAAGTTTGATTTCTATTTTTTTATATTAAAAAAGATTTAAATTTTTTTAGGTGAATGGTATGTTAAGCAATTTAATTTAGGCTGATAACAAAGTATAACCTGCTGCACAATAAGCTAAAGGAAAGAAAGGAAAAAAGAATTAAGGAGAAGATCAACCTTAATAAGTAGTAGCCACATTGGGACCAAATGTTGCTGGAAATGAATTAGTTTTCGGAGTTGCTCATATTCTCTCAACTTGGAATGATACCTTTATCCACATTACAGATTTGACAGGCAGAGAAACACTTGCAAGAGTCACAGGAGGAATGAAAGTCAAATCAGACAGAGAGGAATCATCCCCATATGCAGCTATGCAAGCAGCTAAGGATGTTTATGAGAAGTTGAAGACACTCAAAATTAATGCTTTACATATTAAATTGAGAGCTAGAGGAGGTAAATCTATATATATCAATAACACTCAGGTGTTGATACCAGATAACCAGGACCAGGAGCTTAAGCTGCTCTCAGAGCTCTTGCTCGTTTGGGATTGAAGATTGGAAGAATTGAAGATGTCACTCCAATCCCAACAGATTCAACTAGAAGACCAGGAGGTAGAAGAGGAAGAAGATTATGAAAAGTAAAATTACATTACATTATTCAAATACATTAACAATCACTTTTTTATAGCATGTTTATTTTGACGGAATGTCTTATTAAATTTGACTATCGCGTTGAGACTTTCAAATCTTACAGTTGATGCTTTAGAATTATAATTCTTACTTCCTTAAAAGTATGATTCCATTGATCCCTCCTAATAATAATTAATTTATCAATATCAAATTTAGAAATTAACCCTTAATACAATAAATTAATAGTTGTCCATTATTAATTTATTTTTTCAATCTAATCTTAAATTTCTTACATCTGTAAAATCTCTGCCCAAATATAATTAAATACTATGATAAAACTAAAATATCCTATTTAATCTAAATATTATTTTCGAAAGGATTCATAAATATTTTTGTTGTTGTAGATATTATCTAAGTTCCAAGCCTATGAAATTAGCCTTTTATAAGGCCTTTTCAATTAATTATTGATTATTAACTCTTGATATTCTATATATCATATTATTTATCTATTTGAAATTATTTTTTTGCTAACAGTAAAAACTATTTTTAATCTCAGAGTTTCATTTTATTTATGTAAAATAACCTGTTAATGAATATTAGAAAGCACTTGCACATGACTTTAATTAATCCGAGCAGGAGAATGATAACTATTTAAAGGAAGTTTAGAAAGATTCCTCATGGCTTTTTTCTATCTCTTTGTTTTTAGATATTTTGTTAATTCATTAGATTTGCTTTAGTTTTGCTTATTGTTCTTAAGTGATCAAAATACACATTGTTTTAAACATCATTTACTCTTTCTTTTTTCTAAACTTTGGTTCAATCCTATAAATTATTTACGATTGGCTTGCAAAGGATTTATGTCTTCAATATTAATTGTATCCACCAATTCAGTTATTCTTATCTGCTTCTCTTTATTGAATACAACCAATTTACCAGAAGTAAAATAATAAAACAAATATTAAGTTTCATATTTTTCCAACACTGGTAAGTCTTTCTATTTTATCCCCATATTCTTCATCTAATTCAACATAATTTTCATTAACCAATCGTTTTTGAATGTCTTCAAGTGGAAATTTTTCATAAAGTAGTCTTTTGGGTAATCTGTAACTTATATTAATTTATGTTAAATTCGAATACTAAATAACAAAGCTCAACAGATATGAAGCAGAAACTATTAAATATTTTGTCAGAGAAAAATAATAAAGTTACTACCAAGTAGAAACCGTGCTCAAGTTTAGATTATTACTCATTGTAAAGGAAATTATCATAACGATCTCATAAATTACCTGTTAAAATGACTAAATTTGAAAGAGAGAGGTGGCTTTTTGAAATGCTAACTAATTAGGATCTTACATAATAAGTATTAGTATATTGAAGAAAGTTAAGGAGTAAGAGTTCAAGGAAATATATGTAAGAACAACCAAATTAATTACAAGGTATCGAAATAAAGAGATCAAATGGAATTCAAAAAGAGAAGCGTTATAAAAAGAAATCGGTTTACTTCGACTATTATTATAATAAAATTGATTGGAGTTTGTTATGTTATGTTCTTATAAATAAATATATTAATAATATTAGGAATTATTTAATATCTAACAGATATTACATATATAATACAAAATTGATCAATCTTGAATGATTTTCAAATATACAATTTCCTATAGGTGATATTATTCTAGTGTTGTTGTCTGAGCATCTAAAATTGAACATCAAATTGTATTGGTTGTATATAACCTTTTTTTGAGTAGATACTATATCCTTTTAATGCTCCTGCTTATTATTATTACATAAGCACAGGCTGTTAGAAATACTAGTTCTTTGGCCTGTAGACAAATAAAAGTGGTGATTCTGAGCGTTCTGATTAGGGACTCATTATTTCAGTGCTTCTTTCATGTACGGTTTTCAAAGTGAAGTTATCTTTACGAAATTAACTAATAGCTTCAGACAATTTCAATCCTAGATTGCATCTTACAGTCACACTAACCTTTTTCTCTGGAGTTTATACTCTCAGTTGATTTAAAACTAACTCAGTAAATAACAACATCATACATTTAATATCATCTTTCAATATCTTGGCTTTCATATCTTCCTCATACATTTTTTCATTGTTACTCCCTATTTCCTATTATGAAGTTGGTCTTGCGCGTGGAGTATTTAGGAAAATGTTCTTGTTAATTTCTATTTTACGTTTTGATATAAAGATTACCTATTTTAAGCTCTTTATACAATAACGGATTGGCCTGCTCTTTTACTTTGGTTATCTCTTTTTAGTCTAGAGGTTAATTGTATTTCTTGGCTGAATTGTCTGTCTTTTGTTATTTTTTGGACACTGCAATCTGAATTTGGGGAAGTGGCTGATGTGGATGAAGTAGTGCTCTTTTTTAAGGAGGACATGGAAGAAACCAATAGGAAAACATCACTCGCACTTTTAGAAGGATCACTTAATAGTTTTTTCAAGGGATTCCATTTTGAGTTAAATTATTCCAATATGGATTCTGTAAACACAGGAGTTACTTTGATTATAAATTCCAAGAAGGATTCCTTTAGTAGTGTTATTTCTTGAATGAATTCCATGAATATAAAATAATTAATGAATTAAAGCAATTGTTTTTTACCTTTCCGAAATTAATAAGTTTATTCAAATAAACCTTAAGTATCAATATTAACTAATTGTCTTTCTCAAAAGGATGACATCCAACAAATAATTAAATTAATTCAAAGCCATAAATATTGATTTAGATCAAATTAAAGCACTCGTAACTTAGTCTTGGAGGTGTAAGTCAAAATTGCAAAAATTTTAAAAAGTAAAACAATATAGTTACAGAATTCGATATAGGTACAATAAACATATATGTATATTAAGTTAAAGTTATAAGAAACTTTTATTAATTATAACGATAATAATAATAGTTATTATTGATAATAATAATAGTTATTTATTAATATTAATAACTCTATCAAACAAATTCTTTAAAATCTGTCATTGCAATAAAGGCTACTTCGTTTTCATTACTTTTCTTATTTTTCTTGTGGGCCTTCTACTTCTTCTACTTCTTTTATTTCTTATTCTTGATGTGCGTAGATTGATGAATCAAAGTCTATGAAGAAGCTGTTGCACAAAGACCACTATACATTTTAGAACGACCTAATTTGCAACTCGCTCCAACAGGTCCTGCCAAAAATGCTTATTTAGCACCAGTGTATTTCTATAAATGTTTAAATTAATTTATTTACCTCGTCGAAATAACATACTATATATTCAGAAGCATTATCTTCAGCCTTTCCACATCCAAAGGCACTAGATCTGGCTGTGAGTAATTATTTGGCGTTTTCAGGTTCCTTAAACCACTTTTCCATAACTTAATTGGTTCTCATTTGCTGATTTAAGTGTCTCTTAAAAAATAGCACTCCATAATTTTAAAACTATTAATGAAGCATAGTAATACTTAGCCGCAAGTGGAAGCCTTGAGAGGACACTTTTCAACACAAGTTTAAGCCATTTTGGCATAGCCATTGCTCCAATGTATAACATTCATATTAGAGGCTGATTAAGATCCTTCAAAGCTAATTTAGCCAGTTGCAACTTGATTTCGGATTTGATTAAGGGAGTGAGCAGAGCTAATTGGCCAACCCTGAATTGACTCCTTTATTATGCACATTGCAATATTGATTGGATGCGTTTACGAAGAAAATTGTCAGAAACGATAAAATTATTCTCATATATTTTAATTTATGAAATTTTCTAATTTCAAATCGAAGCCTTAATAATCCATCTATTAATTTAACATATCAAGATGAGATTGGTGAGCAAAAAAATAAATAATGAAAGAATGATAGTCATTTTAATTGAAATTCCAGAATACCAAGGAATCTTCAAATTACAATATCAAGATAAGAAAGGATTAAGGAAGATAATTTAATTTAGAGTGAAATCCCTAGATCAGTGATGAGAATTATGATAATTAGGACTAATTTTTAACATGTATTGATCAACATTTTGTGGTATATAGTATGAGAGATTGCTGATGCTGTGGATTAGGGATGTATAAATTTGAGTAAAAGAATCCATTTAAAACATTGTGTTCATAATTGGAGAGAAATTGTGAATCAAATTTTCATAGTAAAGATTAGGCATTTTGGAAGTAAGACAGATGTAATTTAACAGTTTGTTTTTAGTGGAAATGAGTACAATTTTATTAGATAATTTTGATATTGGGGAGGAGAGTGGATTGGGAGTCTGTTTGCAGGTGTTGTGATTCAAAAGAAGACATTTAGTTTGGATAAGAAACGTTAGCAAGATGTGAGCCAATAGTTGATTGTTAACGGGTTATGGGAAATTAGATTGTGGATGGGTTTGCAATCGATGAGGCATTGAGATGAAAGAATAGTGGGGGAGGATACCCTTAACTGGAATGATAAAAATAATATAAATTATTTTAATGGGATCGATCCTCAATAAGCAAGAGGTTGCATCGAGGAAGTTATCTGAAATGCAGCAAGAACAAAAGTCCTTACACTACACACAAGAGGTTCAGGAGAACGAATAAGCTAGAATAGTGATTCAGACTTATCGGGACACGAAAATAAGTAGGAAGGTCCATAACTTGGATCCTGAGGTGAAATTAACATTTAGCAAGTAATTCCCTAAGAAACAGGACAATTCGAATGCTCAAGGTTAAACTAGTTCAATTCAATAAAAGGAAACATTTCAATTATCTCCGCGATCACCTGATCAAGAAAGTGATTGTGATTGGTAGGACATTTACGGAGATCGCCTGTTTCACATTAAGTGATGGTCATGCAGCTTAACAATGATTATTTAATTTTTTAATTCTTTATTTCTTTTTTTATGTCAACAAGTAGAAAACTGGAAAATGAATACAATCATTGTATATACAAAATGATGTATACTTTAGCCAAGAGATGTGTAAAGGCTATAACAGGAGGTAGAAGTTAATGAGTAAAATCTAGAATCAGTCGATCATTAGAAATTCGCAGCATTGGTAGGCAAATAATTTGGTATATTAACGAAATTGGAAGAAGAGAGGTCGATTCAATTTAAATTTTCGGAATCTTTGTCAGAATTAACAGAGTTACTTGGATTGTATGGTACATATTTAAATATTAGAGAGGAAAAACATGATATCATACGAATTAGTTAATAAAAATAGAAAGTTCAAATACAATAGTAACCGAAGCTGTTAGAACATAGTAGGAAAAATTTAAATCCTATTAAGAATGTTTCGAAATCCATAGATCAATCCACTGTCAAATAGGTGGCAATAGTGAGACCGGAATCCGATTTGAGAGATAACAAAGAGAGCAGGGATAGTTCCTATGTTAAGGAGATGAAGGAGATAAATCAAAATATTCCCAGGAATTCCTTTTTTATTCAGAGGAGATCAATACAAACTGAAAATGGAGCTTAGAAAACCTTGGAGTAGAAAGAGCGAGAGTTTTTGGAAAGATTCAGACAGAGATTGGAAGATCATTGATTCAATTGCTTATATATTTAGATAGAACTAATTTAATTAAATATATTCATGCTTAACCAATTAAAATAGTGTCTTCAGAGTCTTCCTAATCCTCCTCAGTTTCTTCATCATAAAGCATTCCCAACATCTTCCTCTTTCGAATTATTTGTCTCTCTATCGGCTAATTCTTTATCTTGAATTCCATCAATTAATCATACATGTCATAACTACAATCAATGTCTTCGGAGAGCCACTAGACAATGTATTATTAATAGGAATTACCAAAATGTTATCATTGCTAACTATGTTCAATTTGAATTTCATTTTCTGATCATACACTCTTAAACTCTTGAACTCCTTCCAAATATTAGTCAATTTCACAGTTTCATCACAAACATAGATGGGATCTCCTTGGAACATACATTCAGTGTACACCTTGGGACAACTCCTGTAAGTGGGTTCATAGAGTTTTGCAACCTTGACAGTTAAATCAATTTGTTTAGGAAAGAAGGATTTGTCATTCAACATTTGTATTTGAAGATTGTTGCCAAACAACTAGAAAGATTCCATTCCCATTATCAATGTATCATCTAAGTAAGTCCCCTTTTAAACCAGCGCTTTGAATATGGCAATTAAGTGTACTTGCTATTTCAGTATCATTAAGAGTGGTCGAACTCATGTCTTAAGCTAGAATATAGCAGATGTACACATATTAAAAGGTAGATTCGACTTATATGGTCAGATTTTGATTGTCAAAAGAGGAATATAATTTCAGCATAGGCTTCCTACCACCATACTTGAAGAAACCAGCAAATCCAGAGATAAACACCGAATGCTGCATCGGAGAAGTGTAAATTTGTTCTATTGTCACTTGAGCCTTCTCTTACAGTGGGAAGCATCCTGAATCATAGGTGTCTCCTCCAAAAGCATACCAAGTGTAAAGAACTGATTTAATGCAGCTTTTCGAGCAGACTACTTAGATTGTGAATCCTATTGAAATCTAGAGTCTCTATTACCTGTTGTGTTTACTTTCATTAATTCAACATGGATGTCCAAGGCGAAATCGGAGAACTGCATTTCATTGGTGTAATTACTCAGAACGAAGATTACCTATGGGACATATGCTTTGTAAACATTCAGGAATTTGATATGTGTAATTGTGTCTTTTTCACAAGCTAAACCCCCAGCTCCAATTAGTAACTACCCGTTTTCTAAAATCGGATATCCATAAACTAGAATCACTAATTGAAGTAGCAAAACGTACATTAATAATTTAATAAATATTAATATTCCCCCAACTTATTTATAATTATTACTCAATATATTAATTGTTAAATATTCTCTAATGCTTGCTGGAAGAGAACAAAAGCCAATTCGACTTACAAGAGTAATCTCACCTTCAAGCTTAGACAAATCGTAATAATCTGGAGAGCGAACAATTGCCAGATTACTTAAGAAGTTCCTTCTCTGACACCGTCAAAGTGCAAGAGCCCCCAAAAGTTTATAAGGGAAAGAAGATCTTGCCTGAATATGCATTTGGCAACTCTCTTGAAACCCCATCCTTCTTCCGCAATCCCAACACTTTGATTTGCAGAGATACCTACGACAATCCATTCATAAAAGCCAGGGTTAAACCACGTAGCAAATGGGAATCCTTGCATAGCAGCACTCTCAACAACTTCGAATTTTATAACGTTTCTGAACAAAAATTTATGAATCTCCCAAATTAAGGATACAAAAATGTCAAAATAGTGAAGTATTACTCCTCATCTTCCTTTTAGTACTGTAACTAATAAAGTGCATTATGTGTAGACTCCTTAGGTCAAGGGAGATGAATAAACGTTTCAACTTGCCTATCGAACACTTTAGAAAACAGGTCTCTTTGGCCGAAAGAATGGTATATATCGATTATAGATTTTAATAGAATTGTTCACTGATTTCGTAGAAAAGAATGACAATCAAAATGTTTACGGGCATCTTAATGATAGACAACGACCAAAAGGACATCTGAGAGATGTTAAGAATTACAGTTTCACTCCATAGGAATTCCAAATTCACAAAAGAAGAGCCAGTCATTATCTGAATTCCAGTTCCAACAAAGTTTTGCAAAAGTCAGATTTACCAATAGTGAATAAAAATCAATAGTAAAAGGATCAATAAGTGGAAAAGTACTTTTCAAGAGATTAAAGGTATAGATTCATACTAATTCTTATAGCTATCTGAATTCATTTAACAATTCTATCATTGTAACGCAAATAGACTAACAATTGAAAGGAAAGAAGAGAGATCGATATAGGTATGTTGTTATGTAGATATGTATAAAGTTCTTGTTCAAAGATTCTGGATTATTAGGAAAATGAAATTGCTTCGATTGACAAATTTGAATAACATTTGGAGTTTGAAAAATTATATGGAAATTGATTAATTAATTTAAATATGAAATCTTAAATTCTCCCTGAATCTATTCACAGACAGTATTTTGCCAATCACGTGAACTCCCTCAAGTCCATAAAGGCAAGAAAAAATAAGGTTGAAGAAGAGTCTTTGGGTGTGATTCGATAAGGTAAGTGAGTCTTATATCCAAAGTTTCGATGATAAAGAAGATAAAGCATCAAGTGCAGGCTTTTGAGTCAATTGAGGAGAACAAAAGCATAGCCTATAGTAACCAAAAGATACGTTAGGCTATTATGAAAATTACCAATCAAAAGCGGGCATTTCCAAAATTACCCCATTTGCGCAAAGAAAAAACAGAAGTTTCAGAGTAAATTGAGAGGGAGAATAAGAGATTGAAAAAAAGCATTGAAAATCTTTAGAACAGTCTCACATATAGAACCAATCATTAAACCATTAAGAAATCCTATTAACAAGTACTGAACTAGTATTGTTAATCGAGATTGCAGTAATAAAATGAATAATTATAATAATGATTCCGAAATTGTTAATTCTTCTATAGGACCTTTGGCTGTGAGAAGAAGTACACTCAATTTCACTTTTACGAGAGAATATGATTTGTCTTCTGATTCCTTTGATAAAGCAATAGAGATCTTACAAAAGAATCTCCAATTGAATGAATAAGCAGCGAGGATCTACATGTAGGACATTCTCAGAGAATTCAGGTAACCTCGTATTCTTATTTTGCTCAGTTATTTCAAGGCCCTCGAATCGCAAGAAGAATATTTTGATTACATCGAGTAGACTATTACTAGCATGGAATATAAATAGATCAAGAGAGGCAATATAGTATTTCATTGTGGAGAAAGAGGAGATTACTTTTATCTAATCCTCAGAGGAACTGTGGTCGTGTATGTTCCAAAGAAGTATTTACTGATTTCGATATTTTAGAGAGGGCGAACTTGCATCATAGAAGGCAATCTTAATGAAAATAAATCAATGCAAGGAGGATTTGGCCATCGCAAAAAAGAAGGAAGAATAGAAACAGTTGTAAAAGTAATTGCAAGATCTACAAACTTAATTGTAAGAATATTAAAATCCGGAAGACATTTTACTATTCCCTTTTAAGAGTAGATATTATTAGAAGTTACAAAGTGGTTAGATGATATGTCTATACAAGAAAGTAAATATAATGAGAGAGGGAGAATGTTTTGGAGAGGTTTCCCTTTTTCGAAATGAACCTAGAGCAGCTACTCTCATTGCCTCAGACACATTGCATCTGGGTGCTCTTAATAAATCTAATTATTTGAGAATATTTGAGGTTAAATTGGAGAAATTAAATTTTACACTTGGGATGCTGAGTAAGCTATTTCCTTAATCATCCAAAGAGAATGTAATTTAAATAAGCTTTGATTTTCAGAAGAAAATATACACAATAAATTAAGTAATCTTTAAGTAAGGTGATGTAGTGGATGGGTTATACTTGATATTTTCAGGAATTGTTGAAATTATTTCAGATAATGTTAGAGTGAATCAATTTTGTGAAGGATAGTTTGTTGGATTATTCGATTTGAAAAAACCAGAGTCAAGAACATACACTGCTATTTCTGGTTCATATGAAACTATTATCTACTTTCTACCAAAAAAGAATTGTACAGCATTAGATAAGTTTATGAGAGAGAGAATGAATGATTTAAGAATTAGCAGTGAAACCTATCGTTAAGAATGGGTAAAGAAGTGTCATAACATGATTGCCATGTAGAAGAAAGAATCAAATAAAGCTGTATTAAAAGGTGTAAATACCAAAGACATTCTTCAACAATGCATACTACCTCATAGAATCAAGACTTATTCTAATACTATCTCCAGAGATCGAATTAATGAAATTGTCGAGTATAATAATGTGCAATCTTCACTAAAGGAGAAGTTGCATAATGTTAAACTCTGTTTGCAGATGAGAGATTTTGATAAAGAAAAGGAACTGGTTGAAAAGATGATGAAACAATAACATACATTGCTTCCTCGTTTAAGAGAAAGACCCAGAAATTTAGTCGAAACTTATACGGTTTTGATGTCCAAAGTTTCAAAAGCATCCCCTTAGGCAATGTTTGAATCATAAAATTAAAGCGAGCATTTAACTAGAAATATTCATGTAGATAGAATGAAGTGCTCCTTGTAAAAGAAAAAAAGTGAACAGATTGTGAATTAAATTATTGGAATTTGAGTATAGCAAAATAATATATTCTAAAAGTTCTTTTTGTTGTTACAATATTCAGTTTTTATTTGTAATAATCAAACTATTATTCCAAATTATTTGTCTTAGTATTCTTGAATTATAAAGTGTTGAATTTCAACGAATAACAAGATAAGTAATTATTGAATTCTTCTATTCTATCATCAATTGTAGTCTATGATAATCAAATAGAAAATAGAGTATTGAAAAGAAATGTTGGAAAAGTCTTTATAAATATTTGAGCTATTTTACATAAATTAATTAAATGATAGGTGGAGTGCAATCAAGACTGAGAAAATTGGACATTTATCGTAAATTGCCAGCTGATTTAACAGAGCCAACTACAGCTGGTGCATTGATTTCAGTCATTAGTACTATAGTGATAGTTATCCTATTTACCACAGAATTGCAGGTAATCCTTATTAGAATATATTCTTTATAGGCATACATTGAAGTGGATAATAGCAGTGAAATGTTTGTTGATATTAATCGTGGTGGTGAATAAATTCGGGTAAACTTGGACATTGAATTTCATAAATTTCCATGTGATATTCTATCTTTGGATGTTTAAGATATCATGGGGTCTCACGTTGTTAATGTTGAAGGTAGATTAATAAAAAAGAGAATAAAGAATGGAAAGGTAATTTCTGAAGAAGTTCATTCAAATCATGAAGGACACGATCATCATAATTAACCATCAATAGATTTTGCGCGTATAGAATAGGCTTTTTAAGGAAAAGGAAGGATGTCAAAATCGCTGGGTATATTATTGTAAACAAAGTGCCAGGTAATCAAAAATGACAATATTTTATAGGCAATTTCCATGTTTCTGCTCATGCTTTTGGAGGAATCTTACATTAAGTGTTTTAAAGAAGTTAGATATCAACATTGGATTTATCACATACCTATTAATCATATTCTCATTTGGTGAAGAAAGATGATTTAGTGAAAATAAAGAAATAGTTTTAGAAAGGAGTTCTTAATCCCCTTGATAACACCAAGAAAATTGCTTAACCTTAAGGAGGTACTGGAATGATGTTTTAATATTACATATCTGTTGTGCCAACAACCTATATCGATGTATCAGGAAATGAATACTATGTTCATCAATTCACTGCCAATAGCAACGAAGTCTAAACTGATCATCTTCCAGCTGTTTATTTTAGGTAATCAGAATTATAAATATAATTAGATATGATCTATCCCCTGTGACTGTCAAATTTTTGTAATATAGAGAGAGTTTCTTGCACTTTTTAGTCTAGATTTGTGCCATTCTCGGAGGAGTATTCACGATTGCTAGTATTATCGATGGAATGATTCATAAATCTGTGGTTGCTCTACTTAAAAAGTATGAGATGGGTAAATTGAGTTGAAATAAATAAATATCATATGTTTATAGTGAAATCATTAATAAGGTGCCCATCCATAATACATTTATCTAAGAATCTCTGAGTCACAATTTCGTTCAATCAAGTTCTATACATTTATTTGGTTGTTCAATTTATACTTTATCAATTCTATTACATCTGACGAGGTTCTACACAATAAAGGGTCATATATGTATGGGTCAAGAAATGCAAATATAATATCCTTGTGTTTTTGAAACATTTCTATAATTTATTCCAATATTTGTCTAAATTGACCTTACTCTCTCAAATAACCCATTCCATATCTGAGATTCTTTGTTAATCGAAAATCGACAATCTCAGGCACTGGCAGGAACTTACCCTTATGAAACACGCATTCGTAATCTATATGAATCAACTCTCCACTTTCATGAATCAGAATATTATCACAATGTCTATCACCGAATCCAATCAAATATTGAAAAGCTGACCATAAAGCCATAGATTTTATAAATCCCTATTATGCATCATACCATATATAAGGATCTTAGTATTGTGAAAAGAAGTAATTGTTTAGTTTTGGTTCCTACTCATTTAATTATTTCCATTCTGTCTAATTATAGATTTGTCTATTCTTAGCACCAACCGTTGATACTCCTATAGCTTCACGACATGTAGTCGTTTGAGTCACCCATTCGATGACTTAACTTAGTTGATTCAAACTCATTGATGCAAACAAAGGATACTTTAATTAGAGAGGCTCTAATAAAGTATTAAAAAATTGCAGCATCAAAATTATTCTCTATTCTCTCCTTGTGTCTCCACTGCTCTTGGAATCCTGAACCTCATTCTTTAACAATAAATATTTTATGCTTGAATCACTACATTCAACTTATATCTTCTTTGGCTTATCTTTTGAAGGAGCTATTTTCATTTAGGGATATATCTACAGAATCTTTACCAAATTATCCTCCGATTTAAATGGTTATGATAAATTTTCAATTCCAGGATATATGATCTTCTCCCTAGTTTTATTGTATTCACTTAGTAATTATGAACTAACATTCTCCACTGCCCAACCTTATTATTAATTTATCTTTGATTTCTATTAACAGATTCTTAAAATCACATTAAATTGTTTCTCCAACTCTTCAAATTTCTCTCTCTTCTCAGGAATCAATTTCAACACTTCCTGATACATCAATATTTTGCTAAAATTATGTCTTAATATCTTACTGCTAAGAAGTTTAATTGAAATTCTTCAAAGGAGCCAACCACCATATCATCTGGCTTGGATAATTGCTTGCCAATATTGACAAAGCTTGAGCTAGACTCCTACTAGACGTACGATCATTTTTAAATGTCTCCACTCCCGTTATCAATAATTCCAAACAATATTGCAACTTTACACAACTTATTGTATTCAAATATGAATCAAATTTTTAAGCAAATTAATCTTTTGATTTATGCATAAACCAAAGTCGAAATATCTTTGGAAATGATTATTAGACATATTTATCTCCTGCACTTACACTACTCAAAAATAAATCCATTAACTTCAAACAATTTTATTGGTTTTAACTATCGCATTTACACTTATACTCCTATTCCAATTCTTAAGCATAATGATAACAAAATTTGCTGAATTTCTTCTTGTTCTCAAAATATCTTGACAAAGGAGGTAAGTGTTTTGAACTCCAAATGTCACTGTAAGTTTGCAATACTCTTTCTCTGTGAAATAATTGATCCTTTATTAAGTATCGCAAGAATTTTATCTTTTATGAACAATTCTATATGTCCGTGATAAAGAATCCCTTATTTTACGAATAAGTAAAAGGATCGATCCCTGTTAAACTAATCGCCTTATAATAGTATCCCATCCTTTCATATATACGACATTAAATTAGATTTTGTTTTTTCTTACAAATCGCAAGTGCTTCCTCATATTTGTCTATCTTCATTAGGTGTTTAGCATATTACTCTCTATAATTGATTATTTTGTACTATTTTGAACTACAATATATATTCAGTATTTAATACCTTCTCTTCACCAAAGTGTTCAAATACATCCAGTATTATTACGAAAATCTTTTCACAAATGTAATTCTTATTTCTTTACCTTATATACCTTCCCAATAATTTTCAAGTCTCTTTATTATATACGAGGTCTGTATGATATTCTAACATATAATTTTTGATAAACTTGTTGATTTGAGAGACAAAGCTATGGATAATTTTACATATTTAATGCTCTAATTGATTTACTCCTTACTCATGTCCTAGGACACATACCTTGAAATGTCAGAAATTAATGAAATAACTATTTTATCTAGTCTAGAAGGGTCCAATATATTCAAATATTGTCCTTTTGAGTTAAGTTCTCGGAAATTGTATAATTATACATCCAAAGGTACTTACTTTTATCTCATCTTCATTGCAACATTCTATTCCTTGTACCAATTATTACCGACTTCAAGCAATGAATCCGGATTGAAGGGGAAATTAAAGTTTAATCTTGAATATATTTATTCAGGGGGAATAGAACTATTTAAATGGCTCTTGGCCATATTAATATATAATATAGTGTTATGCAGCTTCTCTTATTATTTATGCGATAGTTTTTTTAAATCAAATTTAAAGAGTAGATTTTTCTTGGCTAAGTATTTTTCTAAATAATATACAGATTCGATAAAACTTCCACATCGAAAAAACACTAATCCAATTTACCTGTATTTCCATTTGACCGAGTCCAATGCAATATGAAATTAATCCTTGGAGTTTTTGATTTCATTTTTCCATTAATTAATAAGCTTAATAATTCCAATCAATAAATAATTATACTCAGGAATGCATAAGAACTTTTATAAGTCTATTTTATTTTGATGTGCATACCTTCAAGCACTTTCATATTTGTATGTTACGAGTGAGCATAATATTTATAAACTATCAAACTAAATAATTTAATAAAAAGGGAATGATCTAAGATAGTCAACACAAGCAAAATATAATCAGATAATGATTTTTATGATGTAAGAGGAAGAAGGTTAATAAAAATGTGCTCAACCTGATTAATTTTCTTCGTATCTTCGTAATTCTCTTGTATGTATTTGATCTTCTTTTACACAAACTGTTCATCATTCAGCAGATTCTTATTGGCCTTGATATCACTAAACTACACTATAATTGCATAACTTACAGTTTCGAACAGGAAGAATTGCCATTCGTAATTGTTCAAATAAAGGTGTCTCTCCACGAGAAATGTTTGCAATTTAGTCATCAACCTTGAGGGAGAAACATCATATGAAATAAAGTCAAATGGGTCCAGATTCTTGGGTTTCTGACATTCATCAATAGATGTGGCTATATTTTATAAGATTTCTCTCACCAGCACATTTGGATAGGGATTCTTTAGATTCAATCTATAGTAATCGACAATCACAGCATACTCTTCGATTGATGAGACCTAAGAGAATTGCAAATAAAGCAAATCGAACATAAAATAGAAATCTAAAAAATCTCCTATTTTTATATGCTTTTTGTAATCAAAATTCAATATTTTCTTATTAATCCTATAAAATTAACAATAGGCGCTTATTGTGATGCTGAGATTGGGTAAACTATTAGTCAAAATACCAGAAGTGAGTGAATCACATTCCATTTGAATAAACTTAATCATGTATTCATGAAATTCTGTATATATGAATAAGTAATGATCAAAGAACTACTTGCAAAATGATTGACAAATCAATTTCACTGAGATATTTCTCAAATGTTGTTTATTCAATTAGTAAATGATCCTACATCCTAATAGAAACTTAAGGAATTAGTAAATAGATGAGAAATTTTGATTTAGACTTGTTTAAAAATTAGCTAGAATATTACTAAGCTCAATATGGAATTAGTCTATTTCGAAATTTGAGAAATTTATTTTAGTGGTCTCATAGTACTTCTCTTGTTAAATTAGACTGTAGCATTCTTCTTTGTTTTGAGTAAATGTAAATAAATATTTTTTCAAGCCTTCTCTCAATAATAGTTCAATGTTTGAAATACGATATAATTGAAAATGCAAAGGGTTCGAAGTATCCTTCTAATGCTGCTTCTCATATATTATCAGTGGGTTTAAGGTTCTATCAAAGGAATCTAAATGTTGAATTTCAATTGTGTTTTGCAGTAAATATTTGTATGCTTAAATTATATCGTAAAATACCTTTAGAGAATAGATAACTAGTATTGGTCTTATATAAATAATCGAACAGGAATTTATCCCTCCCCAAAACATAGACTTTCTATCCTTCAGAGTCTTCGGTGATAAAGTGTGAAAGAAATTGTTTATAGGCTAAAGATTCAGTCACAATTTTTTCAGCAATAAAATTCTGACAGCATCGTGGAAAGAGGGTAATGAGATCGTCTAACGATATCCCTAATGAGTTTGAAGTTACCAGGTAGATGAGACTGAGTTTGCTTTCTTCTGATTCAATACTATTAGAAAAAGTTTGCTTCAAAATTGAATAATTCATTAATTAATAACAAAAACTCAAGTCTTATTTCATGTTTTATTTTTGGAAAAAAAAATCTAGATTTTCCTTTTGTTATATTCATAATTATGCATGATTGCCATGGCTTAGATCGCAGAATCTAACTCTTAATACCGGATCAAACATTTATTTTTATTTTTTTCTTCACAAAATATTCTAAATTAATCGAATCTCTTACTTAATTTTCTCAATTTATCCAAATTTCGAAAAAGTTTGATAAATTATGCCTTCTTCACAGAATTCTTTTTTCAAATTTGTCAGCATTATTTGTTATGAAGGTGAGACAAGATATTTGAAATTATTATCTTTGTACCTGAATGATGCCTCATTTCCTAAATAAAACTCTTCCTCTTCTGTGTTCTTTGGCAATTAGCCTTCTTCACAATTTCTGAAGAATATAAATTCATAATTGGAAGGATACACCTAGATTAGTTGTCTGAAGTACTTTCAATTTTTAACCAAAAAGGGTTGGATTTCCTTCATTGAAATTTGTCAATAGGAATTTAACGCTAACCTCTGTTGAATATTCTATTAAGACGTTGCATTTAGTCTTAAAGAAGATCATCTTTTAGATGTTTCCAAAAGTGCTAAATATATTATAAATCATCGTCATGGATGTTTGCTTCGGATCAAACCAGTTGGCATAGAGTACCTTGGTAATCAATTTTTCTAGATAGAAATGATCAGAATTACTTTGTGGAAGAATTTCAGATTGAAAGATTTATTTTTCTACTTGAATGCTGTTTGGTAGTTGTTATGAAGTGGAGATGCGTTGGCCTGGTGAGAACTGAAAAAGTTAGGTTAAATTGTCGCCCATGCACTTTACAAATTGATTAGACCTTTATTAAGAAATAATTCACAAAAATTTTACAATTCTTCTTATTTGTCTTCAGTTGCTTCTTCCTGAGAATCGTAGTCAGATGCGCCGTCTGCCTTATCAAAGTTCAGAGCTTCTGCAAACTAAGTTGGTATGGAAGGCATTCCAGTTTAGGGTGACAACATTTAAGAATGTGGGAGCCATTTGTTTATGGAGTCAGTCTTTGGCAACTCAGTTGAATGCACTATGCCCTAAACTTGCTAGGCAGTGTAATCTCTTAATAAGGGTAGTCGATGTACATCTGGCATATTGATTACGAGCTTAAAAGTCGAGGCCCTTGCGATTGGACTCATAAACCAATATCGAAAGTCCATGCATGATTGTATTATTTAATTGAAGCGCATTCAAAGCTGAGCGGACACTATCGAACTGGACCAAGGCCTTCCAAATTGGCTTATTTCGTTCAAAGATAAGTATCTATGAATTTTTATAAGACAATACTTTTTCGATTGTACCAAATTGGATGAAATTTTGATAGACATGAGTCACTGTTATATTGATGAAATCTGGGTTTTATATACAGATCAGCACAACAGAAGAATTGGCCATTTTAAATAACAAAAAATTTTATAAGATAATTTTGTTTTAATGGGAATTATAAATAAAAGTATCAGTTATAATAAATAATCATACTCCTTAGGCACTATTTTCTATAGACCCTAAGTTTCTTATTGGCTTCAAAGAATTATTTATTATTAATTATATTTATTTTATTTATAATTATGCCCCCCAAAGCCAAAAAGATTGATCCTGAATTGCAAGCTGTACATAATAATAACTTACGTATTTTAGAAATAATTTGAACAGTGGAAAGAAAGTGAGGAATACAGAATCTGGTCAGAGTTATAAATCATTTACAAATCAATGGATAATAATATATCTGAAACTTCCAAAGACTTGACAGGCAATTGGCAAGTAAACTGTTCTTTAAAAAAATTCCTTTCCCTTAGGTTTATCATGATAAATTACTTGAAGTGTGCTAGACATTCAAATGCAAATCTAAAATAAAACAAATTGAACATTGTCATTTGAGAAGTGCCTTCTTTGCAGTTGAGGATGTGGAAATTAACAAAGTAGTTGTTAAGCAATATCTCGATGGATTCTATTATTCAGTTGAGAAGTAGGATAAGGACAGAGCCAAGCATGTGAAGGAATTGCTTGCGAAAATATCAAGAAGTACAGATATTATATATTTTCAAAGCCTTGGAGGATCACAAGTTTTTTGATATGAATGCAGAAAATTATATTGCGGAAAGGAAGGCATTTGTGGGTCTTCTGAATGATTTTTTGAAAAAACTTCCACTTCTAATTAAGTCAAGTCACAAAGTAATCGAAGAAAAACTCATGCTTGTTTTGGGACCATTAAGAGCTTTGTTGGAGATTAACAAAAAAATGATGTTCTTTGATCTTGTCAATACTTCAAATTAAGCAAGATAAACCAAGGACTTTATATTGAAGGTTTTATAATATATAATAATATTGATTAGGCTGATATTGAACAATATTGTATATGTCTACAAGAGGCTCAGAGGTTGTTGCTGGAATCGAAAGCTATCTCATGCAATCCAAACGTCAAATTGATCTTTAATAAATTGGGATATGAAGGATGGTAACAGAATAAAATTGAGTCGTTTTACTTAACTCCTTTGTAGGAAGCTTTCGATAAGATGAGAAACAATTTGCTTTGTTTGATGCTCAAGGGAATCAATTACTATAAGGCTCCTCTGATGGACAATACTGTATTTATATGAATTAGAATATAGCAATTTGTGGAGGATGTGAAGGAATTAATTGATGCTGAATTGATAGCTGAACATTTAATGGGAACTTCATTGAAAAGGGACCAACTAAATTTTACTTATAATGTATTAAGTGTGATATTCGATTCCAATGCTCAAGCGAAAGAATTTCTAATTAAAAGGGATGATAATTGCGTTAGGGGTAGCATTCCAAAATTGATTACATATCATACAGTTTTGTACATGAGAGCATGGAAGGATAGGAAAATAGCAGATGAATTGAAGGAATAAAAACTATAATAAAAGACATAGCCATTAGCATAATCGAACTTATTTGAAGCTTAATCTGCTATGTCAGGCATGTCACCAGATAAAAAGAGATAAGCTGATGATGAATTGAGGAAGAAAGAAGAAGAGAACATGAAAATTTAAGAAAAACAAGATTTTGAAAAGTATGGAAGATTTTGGATTTGGGAATATTATGCTTAAGATTAAATGAAGGCCAATTTCGAGGAGTGTGTCGAATTGATCAGACATATTAACAAGGCTGTTCAATAAGACATAGAGGATGTCATTATCAAAGAGGGGATGGTTCCGAAGTACTTTTAAATACTGATTTTAGAACTCGTTCTCGTTAAGTTTAATAGAATGATCCAAGTCAGATGTTCAATAAATTGTAGGAGAAGGACAATGCAAATGTGTATGTAATTTAGAGGAGACCACCAGAATTGTGGAATTATCCTAAAATTGTGGAGGAACAACATGAATTTAGAGCCATAGCCAAACCCAGGGATTGTTATAAGGATGGAAGAATTTAGGTGTTGGAGAGTAAGATGGAATAATTGAGTGCTCATTTGGAGAGTAACAAGCCTCAGAGTTGGAATGAATTGGTTCATAGAGTGATAGATGCATTAAGCAATTAATATAATAAGAAACCTAGTGCAATTGAACCAGGAAAATGATTTAATATGAACTCATTATATAGAAAAGAAATCAGATGGAAATCCTTTAATATTGTTGATTTTTGGTTTCTATCGAATCTAAGGTGCTTTTACCTTCTGGAAAATATCTTTCAATTATTGTGTATTTAATAAAAGTAAATCCAATATCTTATTATTCTTCTATTACTCGCATTCTTGGAATTTGTTAATTTTCTGTTCTTTGCCCATAAATTATATGTTTGGTGATTTTAATGGATTCTAATCCTCAAGTTTTCGTTCTCTTGTTGTTCGAGTAGTTTAAATTTGAATAAAATTGGCCAGATCTGAATCACTTTATATAGTTAATTAGCTGGCTTTTCTAAAGAGATGTTTTGGCTCAGAATCAAGAGACATTTATTATATTCGAGTTATTCTTTTATTTTTAGGATCGAGTAATTTTTCATTCTTTTCTGTGCCATTCACAGTATGAATACGTGCACTCTAACCCACGTGTTAGAGCTTAGAGGATGTGGGAGTATTGGGAATAGATTTAGTTTTATTAACATTTATTTTGTCTCCTTTAAGCAGTAGTGTCTTATTAGATTTTTTTTTAGATAAACTTTCTTATTATTTGAAGTTCATCTGTTAATAATAATATAATAATAACATATAATAGATCATCAAGCATTATCATAAAAATGTTGAAGCATATTTAATAATTCAATCTCTCCATTTAAACATTTTAATGTAATCACTCTAGCTTTTTCTTGTAAGGCATCTGAATTCGGTGGTATTTGAAAACCAGCCTTTGCAGATAAATGAAGATTCAAATCTTGGAATGTCTCTAAGATCTGAGTAGGAGAATGATTAATAATAAAATTTATTATGATAAGTACTGTGATTCCTGAAATTGAAATTCACAACCAAAAAATAAATAAAGTAAGATGCATCCTATTGAATAAATGTCAGTCTTCTCTGTAAACAATGGCATCTCCTCTTCAATTACTTATTTGGCCATATATTTTATATCAAATAGTCTTTGTCGAACTGCAGATCAAAATCAATGATCACTGGCATACGAGTGTCTCCATCAATCAGGATATTATTCGGATGTAAATTACAAAAGATCACCTCATTTTGATGTAAATAATATATGGCATCTATGATCTACACTGCCATATGCCATTTCTCTTTTGTTGAAATCTTGTTCTTTTAAAGGAAAGTTCTTAAATTATAATTATATTTTTAAGTTAAGATACAGATTTAACCACTTAAATTTGTTTCTTAAGGATCTTCGATATTATATCCTATAATAGTTCTAATATTTTAGTGATCTAAATTAAAAAACTTTTTCACCAATTTAAAATATTAACCAATCTGATCATAATTCATACAAGCCAATGTTTTATAAGTCTAACCTTTCCTTAATATTTACCTAAGCTTATCTACCCGTCTCTATTGCTTTTACTTATAAATTAAACTTCAGAGATTTCTTACTATTATACCAAATTCAACTTAGAATATCTGATTTTATTTTCAAAAATCGATGAATCTTGATTTCTGCAATTGTATCTCATCTAGTAATTTAAAATTTGAGGCCCTTGAATAGTTTAATCAAAATTTAACTTTTTATTTTCGCTGTTTAAATAAAGACTTTAGTTTTGTTAGATTGAATCTATGATCTTCTTTTGTCGAGATTGATTCAGGAATGATCTTCTAAGTTCAATCTGACTTTGCTGAATTGCTAAGAAGTTGTCTCTAGAAAGATCTAATTATTGAACTCTCTTTTAATCGAATATGCTCTGAATCTGTTTGTTTTTAAATGTAATTCTATCTCTTTATTTATCTAATCTTCTTCGAATAGAGTAGAATTAAAGTGTCCTTACTTAATTAAATTTAACTGTGCTTCGATTATAATAACGTTTGCATTCCTCAAAGATGTTTTAATCAATCAGATTAGTATATCAGTCATGATTCTAATGATGCAACTCTAACTTAGCTTGATAGAACATATAAGCGAATGTGATAAAAGGATTTTCAGGCCAGGGGTTTTTAAGCAATAGTTTTGCTTTACATAAAAAGCAATTCTTTGATCTATTCTACTGTCGTTTCCCCAATATATAAAGAGTGATCAATGAATTTATTAACCTATCAATTTCATTTCCTCAATTTTTAGTTCTATTTCCTTTAATATTTTGACTCGATATTGAAAAATTAATAATTTATGAATGACCTATTCAGCAACTTTGATATGCAATTATTTTATCACTTTAGCGTAATGCTCTGTTCTATTAAGGAAACTTAACTCTAAAATAAGTTGACGAATGGAACTCAAATATCGAATATAGTGAACTAAAATAATAAATATTCATTCAGCATAGATAATATCAGGGTTCTTTTCTATTTTATTTCATAATTAAGATATATATCCAAATTTGTCTTCTTTAAACCTTTTTTCTCTTTGTTTAAACCAATTGATTGATATAAGCTTTCGATTTGCATTCAAAATGAGGAAATCTATTGCCGAGGTTGAACCATCCTTTTTTTATCATAGGAATAATTTTTTAATGGAAGGATCCATCGCATTCAATCATAATGTCCAATTTAGGTATCCAATAATCATAGAATAGGATCCATCAGAGTATTCTTTAATAGATTGAATAACTTTAGATTATAGAAAATCTTCAAAGTCACTATTTATTTCATTTGTTCTTCCTGGTGCAGCATTGTTTTGACTAGATGAGGCTTTGATATTTTCTTCTTCAAGTAATTTAATGGAGTAGCATTTCAATAGAGCCTAACAGATCTTAGTTTAATTAATTGTTTTTAGGGGTAAGCGATTTAGGCATATCCAAAATCTTTCATGGCTTCAAGCGCTTGATCAATTAAAAGTTAACCAAAATGAGGTTCCTTAATGAGTCTTTCCATGTTTTATCTAATGGGATTCAACTTGAATTAATCCATTATGCGACTGGTTTGAAAATACAAGAGAGACATCAAATAATAAGGCAGGAATTCCTTTTCCAATCGCATCTTCTTGTGAATATAAAGCATTTTTTGATTATTTTTTCTCCAACTCCCACTTTACTCAACTAACAAAAGAGAAGCTTCAAATAGGCAATTCGATTTCTTCTTCTTTGAATTAGACATTTTTTAACAGCTATTCTTCTATGAACAATGCATCTTCTTAGGGTAAGATGTCAATTAATGATTTTTCATAATTAGAATATTCATTTTTTAATATAATTTAACTCATACATCAATCTGATAATTCTTTCTCAAAAACTCCATTTATTCATTATCATTTTTTTTAGCAGAAATGAAACCTGTAAATTCCTCTACTCCTCTTTTTATATGTTTTTTAAGTTCCGGTATTAATGTAATTTTTTTTTGAGTTTTTTGATCAAATTATCTTAGAATCTCAAGAATCTAAAGAATCGATACTATATTGGCTTCCTTATTAAAATGCTTTACAAATGCCTCCTGTACTTTAATAGACATCTCATTTTATGGATCATGCAGTTATATATACCTTAAGATCTCAACTAGTAATAGTTAATCCTACTATTCATTTAATTTAAGCGTTTGAATTTAGGCAAATATCAGGGGATTTTTCTGAGACACACTATTGAGAGCAGCTAAAATTCCCATAGCAGAGTAATTGTCTATATCCTTAATTCTGTTTTGAATTCCTACCAAATACTTCTCTATTATATTTTGATCTATTTTTTTAAAACTTTTAAGCACAAAAAGAATTATAGATACATGGTGTAATGGCAAATCTTTTGGTACAACTTTCTATTGTATTTTAGTCAAAAATTATTCTTTTAGACCCTAATTTATATTCATATAATGAAGGGCCTTAAACAATTCTGCGTAACTTTAAGGATTTATAGAATCCGCATTCTCATATAAATGTCTAATTTAAAATATAATTTACTAAATTAATCGATTTCCTATTTAAGGTGTCATTTTTTTATTATCCATTATATTTACTGTTAAAGATACTACATCATATATTGGCATTTCGTTCAAATTTCTAGAGTTGATTTCATTCAATATGAGATCCCATTTTGCAGTCAGGTCCTTACTTTTTGAAAATATGTCAATATATTAAAGAAATTCAAATGAATTTAAGGATGATAGATTTTCCAAAATGTAATTGTGGGAATTTAAATAATTAGAAAATAAATATTTTTGAATCCTTTTATCTTCAAATTATGGCTAAATAATATTTTCAGAATATTACATATTAGTGCTTTAACATCATATAATATTTTAACAACATGAATCTACTCAAAATGTTTGTTAATTTCGGTTAAATAGTTTCAATTTTTTCAATTTAATTAATAAAACTTTCCATTATTTAATGTTCTACATTTTAAAAGATTTCTTTATGCCCCTATTCTTTTTTTCTCCATTATAATTGCTGTATCACTATAAACAGTCTCCAAAGAAATTCTTCTGCTGTTTAGGGTGCTTATTTGAACAACTCATTTTAGAATTTAATGGATGCTTCTATACTTTAATGTAAAACCTTAAGAAACCCAGAATTCGACAATGTAGTTATGTAGAATTAGCTTTTTTATATATAAGTTGCATTCAAACCTATTTAGTTTAATACATTTTCCAAGATTTATTTATCATACACATTTTTATTTAGAGCACTTTCCACATAGCAACTAAGAGATTGTATAAATTGGTTAAACTCCTATTGGTCTAATTCTTTAAAATCTCTTCCGATTAAACTGATAAATTAAGGGAATATTCCTTTATTAAACTCCTTAGAATTGAATTGTGCAACCATGATTTATTGATACCCGATAGATTATTTGATTCCATTATAGGTAATAGGTGTCTTTAGGCAAAGATCGAAGTATTTTGTCAACTTTTCTGTATCCTTTAAAAGAATGGATTTCCCTTAACAAAAAGCCTTAAATAATTTCATTAAAATATATTCAATTTTAAAAATTTATCATATAAACCAAGCCTCCCCAGTATGCCCGTCATTATCTAATGGCAATAAAATTTAATCAAATATAAAATTGCCACAAAAAGGACAATTCTTTTAAAAAATATCATTAAGTTCTGATTGAAATTTCTTTTATTACTCATTCCTAGCATTTCTTTAATTATTTTAAGTAATTTAATTCGAAGCAGTGAAAATCCAAAAATCGATTCATCAGACTTACTTTAGTTTGTTTGTATTTACAGTTTTTCAATATCATTTAACTATTTTCTAAATAGAGCATACTTAGATAGGTCTTCTCATCCAATACAGTTGGATTACTTTTAACATATTGAAGAATGCATTCCCTATGAAAACCATGTGAACACTCAGAAGCAATATAATCCTCTTGGAACAGTTTTCTAAAGCAATTTTTGCATTTAGTTTTCTAGGATACAAAAATGTACCTATTACTAGTTTGCAGCAATAGTTTTTTTAAATTTTCATTTGATTTGATGTAGCCTTCAAGCTCATTTTGCTGTTTTTCAATCTAATCATGATATTCCTCCAAAGTTTCACAGATTTCATCTATGAAATCGTCTAATTTAATATTCTAAGTCAAATAAGGTAGAATATCATCTGCCTTAATTAGGGGAATTTCTCTAGTTAATTGAACTATCTATTTAACGTATTTGCCACCTTTCTCCAACATCAATCCAATTTATAGAATCCACAATTATCTTTATTTGTTATTGTCTTCACATTTTAATGCAATATTGCATAAATTGAATGACTAATTCTTTGCTTTTCGAAGGAACATCCAGCAAAATTGAAAGCATTTTTGTGCATCCAAGGCATCGATTTTCTTAAATAAATCCAAAGTTTAAAGAAATATATTTGAAATATCAGAAATTCTCCTCTCTCATCAATATCACGACATTTATTAGTATTTTTTGTTGATTAAGTGAATTATTTGATAAGAATTGGGTAGGCATATATTTTAGCACCCATCTATTCATAGTTGATTAAAAGTTATTCATAATGTTATTATGATTTGGTTTCTCTAAAAAGAAAAGAGCCTATAGAAAATTGCTCATTTGATTTAAAGGAATATCAGACGTTGGGGCTAATTTTGATAGAGCATCTTGGTATTTTAAACATTCAACTTTTTTAAGCGAATTTGATTTCGTAAAACAATTCAATCAACAAATAATAGAGATATTTGCAACTAAATTGTCATAATATGATATTTACAAGGAAGCCAAAATTTTATTCTTAAGCTTAGTATAATATTGTTCTAATTAAAATGCACAAAAAAGATCTGCAAAAAATTAATGCCATATAAGTAATGAGATATTGCTTCGTTGATGTTATGTTGGACTTAGTATCCAATCTCGAACTATAACCTTGAAGAAAGCATCTAAATAAATTTAGATATCTCATTATTTAAATGAAAATTAATTCACAATATATAAATAAATCCAGTCGAATGATATAAATATTTTTCTTTGTTTTTGAGAGTCAGATTTTCAAGAATTTAAGTTTTTAATAAGTAACTTATATATGCTTTGACTTATAATTTCATAGTAAATAAAATTTATTATTGAATTAATTAAATCAAACTTTATATTTAGATTTTCTATTCTTTGGCTTTTAAAATCGAATTTTATTATCTTGATTCATTTTAAATCCAATAACTAATACTTTCAATATTTATAAATGATCTTCACTTACATAATTTTTAAAGTTTATTTATATTTTCAAAAAGCTCTATATTTTAAATACTCCGCAATTTTAATACGTATTGTTTGGTAATCTAAGAATAATCAAGTTTACTATCCTCATTTATAATTTCTCTAGTCATTTTTAGATAAAACAGTAGGTTTTCAAAATAATTTTTTTAGTTAAAACTGGGTTTAACCTTCTTAATTTTAATTCTTCTCATTAAACTACATATTCCAAGGTAATGAACGTTTGTATAAGATTTTCAAAAATTCAAAAGAACTTATTAATTTTTGTAAATTATTTGTATCATTCATTATTTAGATTACCATACAAAGTACTCCAACTTTGAAAACTGCAATTATTTAGATAAATTTAAACATTTTTGAATCTGACAACATTTTGGAATATAACAGTATTCAAATAATTGTTTAAATAACAAAATTATAATTTATTAATCTTCTGACCTCACTCCAAAAACTAAAACTTTGAATTAATCTACAATTTAGAGATATAATTACTAAGTACCTAGTTAATCATCAAAAATTACATAATTTTACTTGACATTATGAAGTGTGTAATTACAGAAAAAAGATAATTCAATCTAATAACGTTCATGCATTAAATAAAACTAAAATTGATTATACCATACTAGGTATTAAAAAGTATTCGATTATAAGTAATCCTAGTCTTGTCCTGCCACATTTAACAAAGATAAAAATAAATCTGATTCTTATAGTATTATTTTAAAAATATATTTACAATGTCTAAGTTAGCAAATCGCCTGCCAGACGTAGATAATAAAAGTTTTAGAGACTAGAGATAAATCCAAGAACTCAAAAAGAAACTGGATGAACAGAAAGAAGCCTTGCAATAACTAGTAACTTTAGTCAAGGAATCTAAAACTGAATCCTATAAGCCAAGATATAAAAAGATGCCTAAATTTGAATAGGATTAATTTACATTGGAACTTTTGGAGGAAGTGAAGACTCTTAGGAGATAGGTAAACAACATTGAAAATGGTCCTAAAGCGAATCAAGTTTAAAATCCTTTTATAATACCTCAATATTTACCTGTTCCTCATTAGCCTTAAATGTAATAAATGATGCCTCCTTACATGTACATGAATCCTTATTTTCACATGCCTCAACCTTTGATGTATTAACAATCATAGAATCAAGCACCAAAAAAGAAGGCTGATCCTTATAAAAAATTGGTTCTGAAGATTTTATAAAAAGGCGAGCAAGAAAGTCATCGCAGTAGGAAGGATTCAATTTATAGTGATTATTCAGAGGATTACAATGATAGACAAGCAACGATCAGGAGTCGTTCGCAAAAGGATAAAAGTAAGGATTAAGCACGTGATTTGTCATAATAAAATAAAACAAGTAAGGGATCTCTGCATGATAGTTATGTGAGCAAACTTACGAGATCATTAGCTAAAATTAGATCTAAAAAACCCAGGGAATTTACAGAGGAGTAGAAACTATTATTGAGAAGGAAACTCTGTGGAGCTTTTTGGTATATACGGATAGGGTTGGGATTATAGAAGTATTTAAAAGGAGTGTGGTTAGATCGAAGACGATAATACTATTAAAATGAAGCACAGCAATTGATAGAAAAATTTGATCATGAATTTGTAATTCAATATAAAATTTAGATAGAACCATAAAGAAGTATTCATATTGTTTGTTGTTGAATGTAATAAAAATAGATATTTTACTAAAAATTGGAATATCTTTGATAATAAGGATATCGAATTAAAATCTACTATAGTATTTTAAATACTGACAGTGTTGTTTAAGAAAATGTCATTTTTGACTAAGAACTCCTTGAGTGATGAACATAAACAATTTGTAAAGAGAATCTCATCTTAAGGGGGATTCCTCTTGCCAGGACATCCCAAGTTTGTAAGTGATCGAGTACTATTGAGACCAAGTGTGACTATAGGGTAATAACATCATGTATTTAGAGAGCAATAAATGCCGAAGTAAGCAAAATGATTCAAATGGATTATGTGTACATATAGGTAATTGTGCAAAGGGTGTTATTGATTCACGAATGGTATTCATAATACGTTAAGATTCCCAATCACAAAGAGGCCATTAAAATATTAGTATCAGTTTTACATCAGCTGTATATTGATAGATTTAGCTATCTGAAGGTTTATGAAAATAATGATGCCATTTACAATGTAATTATAATCATAATTTTAATAAGAAATAATAAGTTGTTTATTGTGACTTCGCTTAATAGAACTATGTAGATGTTGCTATTATGATTGATGAGTCACATGAGAACTATGAACCGACAACCAATTGCTGTATTCTTGGATTAGCCACTTAGGAGGAGATGCAATAGTTATATGATCAACCTGGTTACAAAGAGTTATAAACTATGTTCAAAGATCATTGTGATTATTTTTATTCATAAATTAACTTTTGAAACGTGTATTAAAATTTCGGATAGTTCTCAGCAATACGTAATCATAATAATAATTAAATTATAATAGTGATGAAATTATTAGACAACGCATTAGACTAGGACACCCCTGATGTATATTATGAATCAACCAGTCGATATTTCTAATTAATACTGTTCTTGGGAGCTTTGGTTTCTAATATCATGTTTGGATTTTCGTTATCTCCAATCACAAAAGAAATTTCATCCATATATGGAGTTTCCTAAACGTAATACTTATGATAGAGAACTTAGGTGGCTCTAATTGTTGAGTGTGAGCTTTACCCTATTCTCAGCAATCATGATTATTCCAGGGAATATATTAAGCGAAAAATACGGAATATAATATAATATCAAATTAGGTATATATGGCATAAAAATGATAAGGTTGCCTTCTCACATTTATTGGATCATTAATGGCATTGCTGGTCAATTACTCATTCTGGTGGCTCTACTTGGGCGAATTGGTATCTTTGGTTGGATTCCCGTTCCGTTTGATCTCTGCATCCAAATTCACAGCTAATTGGTTTTATCCAAAGAACAGGATAATCATCATGGTTATCATAGCTCTTCTTTTCAATTCAAGCACAGGGATCTCCATAAAGATCCCCCTATTCATATTTGGAGACTACGATGTCGAACTAGATGCCTTAAACAATTATTCCTAAGGCAGAACCTACGTCTTTTAATTGATGGCCTTTCTCTCAGGAATAATGTTTATTACGACAGTCCCAGCTTTATTTTTCTTCAAGGCTAAGCCTAAACATCCGCCTTCCTATAGTGCATCAGAAGTACACAATCATAAATTACCTTATAGTAATGTGTAAGAGAGAATTACACCAAAGCTGCAAGGATGTTGATAAAGAATCCTGATTACTTGAAATTGGCATTTGCATTCTCATTAATATTGGGGCCGGTCTTGTTACTCACAGTGCAAATGGAGTTTGTTGTTAAACCTTTTGGATATAATTTGGAATAAATTTCTAATGTTATTTTAGTTGGAGTGATCGCAGGGCTGATTGGAGATGTTGTTGTTGGATCCTTTGTGAAGAAGCTAGGTAAATACAAAATCGTATTGCAAATCTGCAATGCCTCAACTACCTTTTTCTATGGTTTCCTCATACTAAGTCTAGTTATCAAAGCCCATTGGCTATTTTACATTTGCTATTTCTTTGTCTGTCTCTGTTCAAGTATTTTAGCATTGACATTTGAATTTTCATGTGAAATCAGTTTCCCAGTAAGCGAAACCTCTACTATTGCATATTTAGGATTGGTTGGAAATGGATTCAACTTTCTATAAGCTATCCCCGAAATTCTTATACTATAAGTAAATTATTTAAGAAATTTAGATTGGCACAGAGCTCACTTCGATTGTTACTTTGATAATCATGTTTGGAATAGGGTTGTTTGGCAATTTTATATCCTATTCTATAAATGAAAAACTGAAAAGACAATAAGTGGATAACCTTCATGATACGAAGTAAAACTTGGAATCGCAATGCGATACTGACTGATTTATTTGTACATTAACATATTTTAATTATATAAAAATATACACTTACCAAATTTTAATATACTTATTAGATTATATTAAGTTGTATTTCATTTATCAAATGAGGCTGTTTATCATATTACACATCTATAATTCATATAATTATCCGAATTCCTCTGAAGATACTGAAATACCTATAGTAAAATTTCGTAATTTCAGATTCGCTTAAATAATTAAAATTATAAAATTATGAATAATTATTAGTCTTTGTAAAAATATTCCCTATTTTAATAGTTCAAATCCAGTCTATGAACCAATACCAACACCTTTAACACCGTATATTTTAACTATATTTTAGAAAATATGAGGCTCTTTTTTCATCCTAAATATAAAACACATCTAATTCCAATGAAAACATCGACTAGTTGAAATAGGAATCCCATTAAATTAATTCAGTTAGAAAGAGTGCCTAATTTGCTAACGAAATTAGACATAGTGCCAGAAGTACTTTGAGCGAAGTGGAATTGAGAGATATCGTAAAACATAAAAATTATGTTGCCTGCCAAATATTTTGAATTAGATTAAGGATTGATTAAAATACATTTATAGAGTAAACTCCATTAAATTTTTTCATATTTTTATATCTCCTTACATAGTCTAAAATTATATAAGAAAGTGCAGATTTTGCAACTTTTTAGACGCTCAAAACAATGAAGTAATATATTAGTAATTATTATAATTGGGAATATTGCACAATTTTAACTTATATACGCAACCAAAATCAAAAACCCAGTTAAAATGCTGATATACTATAAATAGATATAATTCAATTTTTAGCCCAACTTTTAGAATAAGTTTACTAAAGTATTGACCAATAAGTATATTTTACAAAATTTTCTCAAAATCATAAGGTGTAAATTTTGAAATGCTACTCTTAACTCTTTTTAATATAAGTTCAGTTCAAATATATTTATTTTGTGGATAAATTTAAACCAAAGAGATCCCTTACTTTAAAAATTTTGATATCATTCATGAATCCTTCATTTTCCTATTCTTAAAGATTGTAGCAATGTGAATTCACAATCAATTCTGAAAAATTATTTAATATCTTCTATAATTTTCTATAATTTTCTTAAATTAATTAATTATCAAGCCAATTCTAACTAAAATCTCTAAATTAATCATAACCTTATATGATCCATATACTAAGCCAAATATATTATCACAATTAAACTAGTTTTATAATCTAGTCTAATTATTAATATAAATCAATTTACATGTAGATTTCAGTCCTATAACTCAATTATAAATCTTTTTTATAGGAGATTTTGTAAAAGGAGTGTAGATTTATGTTATTTTAGATATTATCAATGTATTGGTTTTAAATAAATTATAACAAATTATTAATCATAATAATTAAATAACATAAATATTTTAGTTTAGGTCAAAAAATTATAATATTATGTCTTCTTTTCTTAATTCTCATATTATTATTATTTAGGTATTTGTTAATTTCTTAAGGATCCCAAAATTTAATAATGAATAACTAAATATTTGGAAAAAATCAAAAAAATTTATTATTTTAGAAAATCTCAATTAGCATTCTAATTTTGTGTGTGAATTTTAATTATAACTTGAAGTATATTATTAAACAATTATCATTTCATTTGACAGAAGTATTAATTATTCTATTAAACATGAATTTAACTATATTGGATGTATTTCAGAATATTTATCTTTCCAAAGTTTGAGAAACTTTAATTTGAGTTGGTTTAGTTAACAGTAATCACGTATCAATTTTTATGATAAATACTTTTGTTATATATTGAGATATGAAATAAATCTAAATGGTTTTATTGATATTTAGAATTGATAAATAATATGAATCAACTTTTATATTTTAATGATATACAGGAGATGTAATTTTATGCTAAAAGAAATCAGCTATCATTATTCGTTTACAAGAAGGCAATTTATGATCTGACTGATTTCATCACACAACACCCTGGAGGTCAAATGGAAATTCAATAATTTGAAAATTAAGACGTCTCTAATATTTTATTTCAAAAATCTATTCATAAACACAAACCATATATAATAGCAACATTATAAAACTACTTAATTGGATACATAGAAAAGCGTAATGAGCCAGTAATTCGACTAAAATCATCCCAGTTAATTATTGAAAAAACTAGAAAAGTGTTACGTGAAAGTACACTACCTTAATAACAATACGAGGATATTCCTGAAGATTGTTCAATTGAAGAGATGCCGATTCTTCAAACAAATAAAAAATTATTTCATTCATAAAAATCAATCTAGATATAGAAGTGACTTTTAACATTGTAATATGGGTTATTTTATTATCATTTAAATATTCTCAAATTCTTATCCTACCAATCTACATAAAGAAGCTTAGAAGTAGTATTTAAATATATATATAAACAATAATCATTCCAAAAATATAATATAATTTTATTAGACTAATTAGTATAAAATCATAATAATTAAAAATGGATTTATCCTACAAGTTAATAAATAATCAGAATTCAATAATAATCTCAATTCTTTATTATTTAAATTTAATACATCCAGTTAAGATAGTTAAAACTATTTGATGATTAAAAAAATGTTTGATCAATTATATTAAAATGAACATTTAACACTACGATAATACTTGTTCGAAATTCGCGATTATTTACAGAAAGTACATAAAATTCTATTCAATTTCAATCTTTAAGAATTAAAACATAATTTGTTCCCTGATTTTGAAGATAGTGAATTCCTAAAAAAGAAGTGATACAATTCTTAATAATAGTAATATCACCTTAATAAACCATGAAAATAAGCATGATCCTTCTTATATTTGAATGGATTTATAACCTTGATTTTTTTTTATATATTTACTTAATTTTAGAGTTGGATATTTAATCTCTCAATCTCTCATTAGCTTAAAAACCTCACTAATCTAATCTTCCCTCCGTTTGTATCTTGAAATCTTAACTAATGCCACTTTCAATGTTCTTTATTGTTTTTACACTTGAATTATGGGTTTCTTCTTAATTGAAACAATTCCCCATATTTAATAAAAAATTAAATCCTTTTTTAAAATATGTCCCAAAAGTTCAAAGTGAGAAAGCTCAGAGAATAAAAGCCAGAAGATCTCCTCAAGGATTTAGAAAAACTCAAGGGTGAGCTCATTCAATTGAGAACAGTTAAAGTTTCAGCAGGTAATGCTTAAAAACTTGGCAGAATCGGAGTAAGACCTTAATTACTATAAATCAGCTTGTTAGAAAGAGAATCGCAAAATATTTAACAGTGATCAATGAATAAAGAAGAAATCAAGTTAAATCAACTACAAAGCATGCTTCAAATCTTCCAGTTGATCTTAGAGGAAAAAAAACCAGAGCAATCAGATAAAGATTAACAAGAAGTGAGAAAGGTAATGTTTGGCTCAATATATTTATAGCTTAAAAGACACAGAGATAATGGAAAAGATTAAACAATTTCCCTTTGAGAAAGTTTGCTTTAAAGGAGTGATTCAATTATATTATTAATAGTACATTATTCAATGCTGGCAAACTCATAATATTCAAATTAGCATTTCTTAAATATTTTTTCACTCTATTTATCTGGTTGCTTATTATCAACCTCATTTAATTCTGATATTAAATATTATAAATAATCGTTGTTATAAATTAATTACAATATACAATATTAGATTTTGCTCTTATGATGATTTCAAATCATATAAGTTTAAAAATATCATGGATTAAAATCTCATCAGATTAAGCTTAGATAATTTTTCAATTATATTCTCTTTTTTCTGTATTCAAATTTTTAGCAATCAATTATAAATGCATGTTAAAATATAATTATATTTATTTGAATTGGATTATGGACCTGACTTTAGAAATATATTTATTTAGAATATATGATGAATATTTTTTTGATTAAATATTTTATTTATTATTTTAGATAATAAGCATGAAATTGCAATTTTGAATTTTTTTAATAAATAGAAAATTCGAATCAATTTTGCTTTGTATTTTTGGACGCAATAAATCTTGAATTTATTAGTGTAAAAACAAAGATCAAGTATTTGATGCTTATATTTACATATATATAAGACAAATGAGGATATATTATTACTGGAATTTAAATTTGGTATTCAATTTGAACACTCAAATTGAAACAATTAAATCTTGTTTTTTCTTATTTTTGGAATCATTAATAATTGATCATTCTTTTGTCGATAGAGAAGTACAACTTATCTTAGAATGAAAGTAAATATATTATAAATAAAGTAATACTTTTATTATCTCAATTCAACAGAGATATAAGGTTGCAATATTTAATTTTGAATTAAACAATAAATATATTAAGAATGTTTATTAATTTGTAGAAAAAGGCACTAAAAGGCCTGAAAAAAGTAGATATTTTTTCATAGCCTGTACAACTACTAATAAAATAAGAAGAGGGACATAAAACCCTATTTGGAGCTTTCCTGACTTTGGGATTAGTTGTCTTCTTCCTTTATCTTCTCGTTATCAATCTCTATGTTCTATCGCAAAGAAAAAATCCAACCTCACTAACGACGGAGTTTTTCCATTCACAGCCAGACTAATTTAAATACAATGAAAAAAACTTCACCTTAACGTTTGCTTTCCAATCTCCAGATTACTCAACATATATAGATGAATCAGTCTATGTTGTAGAAGCAAAAATTAGAAGTAAAACTACAAAGATGTATTAATTATCTTAATTAATAGGGTTGATGATTAGAAAATAGAAGAGTGGACTTCTTAAGACCTTCCAATAACATAGTGCTCCAAAGAAATTATTAGACAGGTTGAATTATAAGAATACTTTTCTCATTTAAATTTATTGACTAATTATTGTATTGATTGGAATAGAATAAAGGAAATTAATTTGGAAGGTACTTTTGATGCTCGAAATTTTAGTTTTGTTGAATTATAATTTAAAATGTGTAATAATCAAACAAAACAATCAAAGGAATGTAGGTCAAGAGATGAAATTAAATAATTACTAGAATAGAATTATTTTTCTCTTTAGATGTCCTCTTATGTCATCGATGTAAAAAATGAAGAACAGCCTTATTTATAAAGAGGTGAAGATATTTTCACAACAATTTCCAGTAAAATATTTAAAGAAATTACTTTCTACATGGAACCAATAACAATATTTACAGATCTAGGTCTTATTTCAGAAGATTACTAAGTTCAAAAAACCTTAAGATACAAAAGACATACAGAAATGATTGATTTAAATGAAAGTGATTTAATAATGAATGTTCTAATAAGATTAGATTAAATTGAATAGCAATATTATAGAAGTTACACAAAAATTCAAATCATTTTGAGTTAAATGGGAGGACTATGGTAAGTATTCTTTACAGTAGCCTTTTTAATATAGAAACCAATTAATTTGATATCTTATTATGTAAGAATAATGAATTCATTATTTCAATTTGAATAGGAGAGTAAAAAAGAAATAATTATGGAAATAGATGAATAGGCAAACATACCCGAGGAAGAATTAATGACAAGAAAATACTAATATTCTTCTAGGTAAGACCAATTAGTTATTTAAAATAAAAACAGAGCATTTTAACGATTATAATCTATTAGAGTAAAGAAGAAATAAATTGATGTGATTGATTCTATGGCTGTTGAAACCAAATAAAAAGAAGAAGCTCGGTAATAATTGACAAAAGCTATATCGCTTTCAATTAAATAGTATTTCCAAACCGTCTCAAAAAAGCTCAGAATGAAATGGACTGATTATGTGTATTTCATAAGCTGCTTTGTTAAGTAAAATATTAAATATAGTGTTTTTAGTTCTGACAATTATAAAAGTTTACAAATTGAATATTCTGTCCAAAAAATAATTAAGTAAATGGATATTTTATATATAATGAAGAAACTGTAAGAAATAGATAAATTAAAAATGATCTTATTAACTGAATCCTAGATAAAGGTGTTTGATTACGTTTAAAAACCAACCATCCCATTAGATCCAAATTCAAAGTAGTTTAACACTAGTGAGAGTTATTATTCAATATTGAAACCAATCAAAACTGATTTTTAGAGAGCTATAGAGGCATAAAATGCTTTTAAAGAAATAGTCCAAAATTTAGATAATCCAATCAACGTGAAATTAATAAACTCTATAGATAAAACAATAGTTGATTTAATAAAAATCACAAAGAATACTTAGGAGTTAGCATCTATAGACAATGCCGATATAAACGAGTAAGCATAAGAAAAAAATACTGTATTTGCAATAGATATACGAAAGAAGCAGTCCTCATTAATTAATTATTAACCCAATTTTAAATAATGATAATATGATGAATATATATTTTGTGTATTTAAGTAAATAATTTTAGTTATATCTTTAATATTAACTTTTTCTAAGTAATGCCAAATAGAATTGACGGGAAGTGTTAATACTTGTAATATTGAAATGAAAAGATGGAGTTTCTCTAAAAGTACTTATAAAGTAAGGATACTTACTTAATTCCTATTAGGGAGTCTTTAATTTTGATTCAAATTAGAATATGAATTATTATTATATATAATTTTCCAAAATCTGGGGGAATAAAAGCGATGGGAGATATTTATTGAGAGACAATTTAAATTTTGAATAATTTTTGGTTAAATTTAAATTTTTCAATCGAAATCTGATTCGATGATTTTATTAAATTATATTAATGATAAATAATTCACTAAGAAAAGCACTTATCTAATGCTTCAGTCCTTTGGGATTAAGAGGTTCCCTATACAGTTTCTCATACTCAAATAATTATAGATAGCACTCCTCAAGATCATAGTATACTGGATCGTACCATTAAAGATCTCTGATATCATTTGGGGAATTTGCTCGACATTGTGAATTGTTATCGAAAGAAGAATAAAGTTAAATCGTAAAAAAATTAAAATTGCTTCCTGAAGCTTCTTCTAATGATGTAATGAACTTCATCAAAGAAAACAAGATACAGGGCAACATTTTTAATATTGCTCAGAATTTTGATTTTCTTCCTCAAAATCTTTAGGAAGCTTTAAAAGCAAAGAGCATAACATCTCCATCTGCAATTCAATAAGCAATCATCCCATTGATCTTTGAGGGTCATGATGTGATTGCAATCGCAGAAACAGGATCAGGTAAGACACTTGCTTATGCTTTGCCTGGAATAATGCACATGCAAGCTCAACCACAAATCACTGGTCCAAGAATATTGGTTTTGGCTCCAACAAGAGAATTGGCCTAGCAAATTTAGACTCAATATGATCTCTTTGTGAAAACCTGTTGTTTATTTGGAGGAATACAGAAACCTCTTCAATATGTGGGTTTGTTGGGTAGAACAAATAAGTTTGCTAAACCGTAAACACCCAAAGTGATTATTGCCACTCCAGGGAGATTACTAGATTTTATCAAAGATGGCTTACCATTGAAATCAATTACTTAGGTGGTTTTGGATGAGGCTGATAGAATGTTGGATATGGGTTTTGAAGATTAAATACGTGATGTTTTGAAAGAAGTCAGAAAAGATAGACAAACATTATTCTTTAGTGCCACTTGGCCAAAGGAAGTGTAGAGATTGGCAAATAATTTATGCAATGAAGATCCAGTCTTTTTGCAATTAGGAGAGAGAGGATTGTCTGTGAATAAGAATATCACTTAAAGTTTGATAATCTCTGGTGGAAATAAGTTCGAATAATTAATTGAATACTTCAATCAAATCAAGGATAAAAAGGTTTTGGTGTTTTGTTAAAAGAAAATAGACACATAAAAGCTTGAGTATAAATTATCATAGCATGGAATCAATGCTAGATATTTACACGGAGATTTAAGATAAAATCAGAGAGATTTCATCATGTAAGAGTTTAGAGATGGAAGTGCTAAATGCTTAATTACAACTAATTTAGCTTCAAGAGGATTAGATGTTTCAGATGTAGATATTGTGGTAATTATTATTATTTATAATTATGCAGATTAATTATGATTTCCCTGAAAATATTGAAGATTATATCCACAGAATTGGCCGAACTGGTAGGGCTGGCAAGAAGGGAGAGGCTTTGAGCTTTATTGAACCTAATGATTTGGACTCCAAACTCAAAGATGATCTCATCAAAGTTTTTAAATAATCCTGTTAGGAGATTCCATCACAATTATAGAAACTCAAGGTGTATTGATATAGTTTTCATGTTGTTTAATTCCATTATCAATATTGGTCAGCTTAACTTATAGACTATTCTATACATTCGGACTTAATTATAGAACAAAAATTTCAAGTTTATAAATATCAATGTACATCAATTAATCGAATCCTATTTACTTCTATGTTCCTTACTATATCCCATTCTAATTCAATTCTCGACAGCCTTAGGAAATCCCAAAGGTTGAATTGCATGTTGATAGCCTTACAAGCTAAGTTAAACCTTCCAATGAAGAAATTCACACTAACGCTAGCGGAATTATTCGAGGAAAGGGATAATTATGGACTTAAAAGGAAATCAACAATCTAATTTCATATTATAAAAAGTATAAGGGCAATTGGAAGCAAATTATCAAACATCTCAAAGGTAGAAATATTTCCCAATGTTCTCAAAAATACAGAAAACTCTAAGACTAAGAGAAAAGGACAAAAAGAAAATGGTCTTCCTCTGAAGATCAAATTTTGAGAGAAGCCTACAAAGAATTTGGAAGACAATGGATCAAAATAAGTGAACGTAACAATTATAATGATTGTTTAGGATTACCAGGTCGAACCTCAAAGTAAGTGAGAGATAGATATGTCAATTAAATAGACCCGACCATTACACATTAAGAATGGTCAGCAGAGGAGGATAAGACAATATTGGATGAATACAATAAAGGAGGAGCAAGATGGGCTATAATTGCTAAAATGCTTAGAAATAGATCGGTAACGGAAATGGTCATATTTTTAGGAAAATCAAGTTAAAAATCGTTTTTATTACACAATTCTAAAAAAATACTCAGGAGAGAAGCACCCATACTTAAAAGTATAAGAATGACGATTAAGTTGAGTTTTAGGTTTGATTAATTAAATTCTCAAAATATATTAAATTTTATTCATTAAAATGCATTATCAAACATTATCAAACTTTTTATTTATATAAATTTTCAATTTATTTAGAAAATATTTATTTGGCAACATGTCTTTGTAATTTTAAAGTGGAAGTGAGACATCCTAAGTTTTAAAGAGGTTGAGGTTCTAAATATATTAATTTTGCCTAATCATAATTTTAATTATATTACTATTTCCAATGAATTGAGTTGATTTTATCTGCCAAAAGTTTCAATGTTTTGTTAAATCAAAGCAATCATCTTTTAATTTTGACATAATTCCTATAAGCTCCCTTAAATTTACATCTAAGCTGCCTATTTCTATATATAGTCACTTTAAGGGACTATAATGGCTACTATTTAACTTTAAAGAGAATCCCCATAAACAAAACTTTCTGCTACTCCTGGGACTCTATTGTAGACTGACTCAATCTTCTCTGGTGCAATATATTCTCCTTAAGATAATTTGAAAATGTTTTTCTTTCTATCAATAATCTTTACACCTCCCTATTCAGTGATCATTCCAATATCGCCTGTATGTAACCATCCTTCTGAATCCAAAGCTTCTGCTGTTTTTGTAGGATCCTTATAGTATCCTACAAAAACACCAGGTCCTCTTAAACAGATTTCTCCTCTAGGGGTTGCTCTTACCTCATCTTTATTTCCCCTGCGAACTGTTATAGTATCTTAAGCAGTATAATTCATTTCAGGAACATCCACTAATTTGAATTCAGTATTAGCTGCTGGACCACCTAAATGAGAGGATACTGGATCCCAGATAGCCGTTGAGAACGATAGAGCAGAGGATTCCGTTTACCCATAACCTTCTAGTATTGGGCAACAAGCTGCAATTTTTAAAAAGTCAATAACATCTTATTAAATTGGGGCTGATCCTGTGACCATCAATCTACATCTGCCTCCAAATAATTGTCTGACTCCCTCAAATGCTTTATCAAATAAAGAATTTGTATAACTTGCTTCGGATCTAAGAGCTGATAGTTTAGAACTGATAGCCTATTCAACAAAAGCTTTCTTTAATCCTGTGACTTCTGAGATTTTAGCCTTGATTCCATCGCAGAATTTATTGTAAAGCCTAGGAACTGATACAAAGATAGTAGGTCTTAATTTTAAAATATCCTCCTTTAGTAAATTTGGATCTCCTCTATAAAATCTAAAAATATGGACTTGCAATTACCCTATTTAAGCACCAACATATAATAAGGATATTACTATTAGTCTCTCCATAACATGCGGCAAAGGCAAATAAGATAGATGGACATCATTATCATTTATTCGTGCATCTGTAATTTAAGTGCTCGCCACAGCTGACACGAAATTGCCATGAGTTATCAAAGCTCCTTTTGGATTTCCGGTAGTTCCAGAAGTATAGCAGATGGTATACATGGTTTCTGGATAGATTTGAGCAAGCGGTTATATCTGAATTCTGCCATTTTATACAACATCTTCGTATTTAAATAATTTATATCCTTTAGTTTTCAATTCCTAATTTGCACAGATAGTAATACTCTCTCTAATTCTTCGGGGAGTGGATCAAATAAAACCAAATTTTATAATTTGCCTTTCTCTTTACATTTTAGCAATGATTTAGATGCATCAGCAGTCAGAAACATTGTTTCGATATTAGTCTGGTTTAGAATGAATGGGATTGACTCAGGACCTATCAATGAATATTGAAGAAATTTACCCAAGGTATCATAAAAAGGAACCATTGTATATCCATATAGTATATTTGCAATATCAAGAATAACCCATTCTCTTCTATTTTTACCAAACACTCCTATCAATTTCATTTTATAATTCTTATATTCATTAACTTCATTTGCCAGACCCCATGTCTTAATACTAAGTAATCTCTTATACATAAGTACCCACTTCCTAAATGGATGGCTTCTTCTTAAACTTACGAATAAGTCATAAACGAGAAATCGTCTCCAATAAATGAGCCTAAGCATTATTTGCCAGCATATCTCTCAGCACTTTTAGAAAATAAATCCTGTAAGTTCAGAACCCCTTATTCAGGAACAGAGAGTAATGAAGTAGTATATTTGACATTTCTTCTAATTTCAGATTGCCCTTCCTTAGCTTCTTGAACCTTAGTAGAATAGGACATGTGAGGTGCAACATTGGATACTCGACAACCCATTCGATTAGATAAATAAAATTTATGTAATCATAATTGATCAAAATTTATAGTTAAAGGAATTAAAGTTATTTAATGTTAAATTACTGTATATTTAAACACACAATGAACATAAATCAATCAACTTCTTCCATCTTTGATTTGGTGGCTTCGGTGTTAGCATCTTCCTTTTTCTAAGAAAAATATAAATGATTAATAATACCTCTAATTATGGAAGTTTCTCATCTTCTTCTTCAATACCAGCATCATCAATTGATAAACCGAGTTTGATCATCTTGTGGATTCTGTTGGCAAAGTGAGTTGGGTCATCAAGACTGAATCCAGAAGTAAGAAGGGCAGTTTCATAGAGTAACCAGATGAGGTCCTTGACTGTCTTGTCACTCTTATCCTTGTCTGACTTCTTCTTTAATTCAGTGAGGATTGGGTGATTGGCATTGATTTCTAATGTCTTCTTGGACATCATGTAACTGCTCATTGATGGATCTCTCAAAGCTTAAGCCTTCATGATTCTTTCCATATTGGCAGACCATCCATATTCACCGGTGACTAAGACACATGGTGATTAGTCGAGTCTTTATCCTAATTAGACCTTTTCAACCTTGTCTCCCAAGATTTCCTTGACTAATTTGCATAATCCTTCAAATGCTGACTTTTATTCTTCGAATTTCTTCTTCTCATCTTCAGTTTAATCTAAGTCTAAGCCTTCCTTTGTGCAATTCTTCAATTTCTTTCCATCGAATTCCTTCAATTATTGGATGACGTATTCATCAATTGGGTCAATCATATAGAGGACTTCATAATCCTTCTTCTTCAAGGCTTCAACAAATGGTGAAGCAGCAACTGAGGCTTTGGATTCTCCAGTAATGAAGAAGATATCCTTTTATCCTTCCTTCATTTTTCCCGACATAGTCCTTGAGTGAGATTAATTCTTCACCACTCTTTGGATGTGTGGAATCTGAGGAATTCGCTCAATTTGGTTCTGTTGGCTGAATCTTCATGGATACCTAATTTGAGATTCTTTGAGAATTGTTCATAGAATTTCTTGTAATCTTCAGCATTTTCACTGATTTCTGTGATCATTTCGATGCATTTCTTGGTGATGTTCTTCTTGATGACTTTCAAGATCTTGTTGTGTTACAAGAATTCTCCTTGAAATATTCAAGGGTAAATCTTCAGAATCAACGACTCCCTTAACGAATCCCAAATATTCTGGGATCAATTCTTCACAATCATCCATAATGAAAACTCTTCTGACGTACAATTTGATGTTGTTCTTCTTCTTCTTTGTTTCGAACAAATCGAATGGTGCTCTCTTTGGAATGAAGAGGACAGCCTTGAATTCCAAACCTCCTTCAACTGAGAATTATTTGACTGTCAAATGTTCTTCCCAATCGTTGGTCAATTATTTGTAGAAGTTAGCATATTCTTCCTTGGTGATATCTTCTGGTTTCTTCATCCATAAAGGCTTGTTCTTGTTAACTTATTCGAATTCGGTACTGACTTCCTTGCATCTTCTTCTTCTTCTTTTCAGCCTTGTTCCTTCTCTTCTTAGGACTTCACCTTCTTCAGCCTTCTTTTCCTTATTTTCATCTTCATCATCACTGACTTCCTTCTCTGTTGTCTTTTCAATTTATAATTCAATTGGGAATCCAATGAATTCTGAGTGTTTCTTGACCAAATCCTTGATTCTCTTTTCTTCCAAGAATTCTAAGTTATCTTACTTCATGTGTAAGATGATGATTGAACCTCTTGTCAATTAGACTGGGTTTTCAACATCATCATAGACAAAGAATGTACCACCAGCTTATGATTCCCATCTGTATTATTATTCACCAACAGCCTTGGAGATGACAACAACCTTATCAGCGACCAAGTAAGCAGAGTAGAAACCGACACCAAATTGTCCAATCATAGAAATATCAGCTCCTGAGCTCAAAGCTTCCATGAAAGCCTTGGTACCTGACTTAGCAATGGTACCCAAGTTGTTGATCATTTCATCTCTGGTCATACCAATACCTGTATCCTAGATGGTCAAAGTATTGTTATTTTTATCTGGGACAATCTTGATCTTGAAATTTGGTTCAACGTTCAAGCCAGCACTGTCTGGGTCTGTAATAGACTTATATCTAATCTTATCTAAAGCATCTGATGCATTGGAGATCAATTCTCTCAAGAAAATTTCCTTGTTTGAATAGAATGTGTTGATAATTAAACCCATCAATTGTTGGATATCTGCATTGAAGTGGAATTACTCTTCCTTCTTTTACTCTGTTGCCATTTCTTAATTTTATGTTTAAAATTAATCTGTGAATCGAACTTCATTTATACTCAATTTTTATTTCTAGAAGTTTCGAATTTTCAAAAAAAAGCAAATTTTTTCTTTTTTTATATAATTTTTGTTTAAATATATTCAAAAATGATGTCTAATAAATTCTAGTTTGACATTTTGCAAACTGAATTCAATTCTAAACAAAATCTCATCTCCAAACTATGTCAATCAACAAACTTGTCCACAAATAACATTACTAAAGTATTGAACATGAATTATATATATCTGAACTATTAAATTGTAGTAATCCATAGAATATATATATATTTAATCAATATATTATTTCAATAAACTCCTATTCTCTCTTATTAATTACATATCAATTGTAAAAACTTGAGTTTTTCAAGTAAAAATCACAAAATTTGAATTCTCATTTTATTTTGATGCTTCCATATGGTTTTCAAAGAAATAACAGGTTGATTGGTGTTGATTGTTATAAAAGAAGGTGTTCTGAATTATTAATAAAAAAGATTTAAATAAAAAATCAAATTTTTATCAAGAATGGCAGCTAATAAGTTTTGGAAAAAGACAGAAGTAAATTACTTGTTTAATTATAAGTTAACTAATTTGGAATAATAAGTTGGTGTTGCATTGACTTAAATTGAGTAATCACTAGCTGATGCTAAGAATCTTAAACTATCATCAGTGGTTGATTACACAGCTAAAATTAATGCCAAGAAGTAGGTCTATTTGGTATACATTCCTCATCCCTGCTTATCCGTTTTCAATAAAGTTAGGTACCTTAAAAGGTGAAATTAAATAGCTCAAAATTATTACCAGAATTAGAAAAGAGACTCAAAGCAACTATTCTTGTTGTTGCCAAAAGAACAATCGAAAGCAAATGGGTCAAGAGTCACAGATCATAAACAAGACCAAATTCAAGAACCCTCACCTCAGTCTATGATTCAATTCTTGAAGACCTTGTTGCACCAACATTCATCTTAGGAAGAAGAACAAGAGTCAGAGTTGACGGCACAAAATTCTATAGAATGTAAATACACCTCATTTAATCCTAGCTTCTTGGATGAATAAGACTAAGCAGAATTAGAACCCAGACTTGATGCCATTAAAGCTGTCTATAAATTATTAACAACTAGAGATTTAGAATTTGAATTTAGAAGAGACGACGTTTTCTATTCAAAAAAAGGTGCAACCAAGAAAGTATAAAGAAAATAATGAGCATTAATAATTTAGTACAATACAATAACACATGAAATAATAGTAATTTCCTAATTCTTTTTAATATTATTCCTATTTAGATTGAGATCAATTAAATTAACTCATAAATTATCATAAATTCCTTATATTACTAAGAAGAGCAATAATTACTTCTTATTAGTATATAAATTTAATTTAGAGTCTCAGTGATCTTTTATCTTTGGTTAAATTTTATTAACATTTAGATAATTTGAAAAATCCTTTACTCTTAACCTTTATTAAAAATGATTTCCTTTATTCTATTCTCTCCTTGCAGTTCTATGTTTTCGGAAAAAATAGATTTAACACTATTCTCATAATGATTGATAATATGCTTAGAAGATATCTTGAATATATTAATTAATTAATGTATGCATATTAGAAAAAATAGATTCAAGGGAAAGAATCTTGGATAATCTAAACATCCCAGCATTATCCCTTTATTTCCTTAAAAAAAATATATGAATTAAACATAATTAAAGATAAATAAATAAAATTAGTATCTTCTGCTATTAATTTTCTGAATATTAATAAGTTTTCTATCTAGTTTTATTATCATTTAAAAATAACGTTATTGTGAGTATAAAATTTAAAATTAAGCACTTAATTTAATTATAAATGAGAAAAGAAAGAGTTGAAGTTTAGATTAAAAATTAGTTTTGTAGAATTTGATATACTATAATAAATTACTAACTTAACATCAGTGTAAAATACGAAAAATATGATGTATTTTGATATATTAACAAGTTGAACATTTATTTCTAATTCAACCTTTAGATAATTTGATTCATCAAAAATCTTTATTAATTTATATAAAAGAATCAATTTGAATGATAGAAAAACTTATTTTAACTTATAGATAGCTTCATATTTCATACTTTAAAATGCTAATCATGTGTAATAAAGCCTATTACATATGCATTTTCCATCAATTTGTCAAATGGAAACACTGTTAATAGTTGTTTGCTTTCGTAATATTAATATTTAACTTTCTCTATCATAATTTTAATGGTAATTAATGAAATGGTCATAATTATACATGCTAAAATAAAGACAGCTGTGTTAATTATAAATGTTGAGTTAATCAATGATTTAATTTATTTTGTGAGTATTTCAATTATCACTTAAAATCCATATTAGGCATACAATCTTTAAACTTAAAATAAAGGATTATCATAATTGTATTTCAAAGATGAATTTAAACCTTTTGTAGAAATAGTTTACAGAAAATCAAATTAATTCTAATATAAACCTTAAACCATTGTACTTAATCCTTGATCAAGATTCGAAATAAATTAACATTACCCAAGACTGAAAAGAGTTTAATAATCTTCATAGTCATAAGACCTATGTTTAATGTATATTTTACAATTAACTTTAAAACAAATTGCATAAATTTTCAATTAAGATTCTATAAACTTAATAGTTTTGATCTTCTTGGTATAAAGGGAGGTTAGTACTCAGTGCTCCCAATTATTAGACAGCAAATTTATAGGTATCAACCATCTCAGATGTCATGGTATGATTTAAGAGAATCGCTTATTATGCAAAGGTAGATGCTAAGGAATTTAATGTTAATGAAAATGTTGTTTTTTCTTGATATCTTGCTGATACGCTTTGTTATGTAACCTGTTATAAGATAAAACTTCCAATAAAATAGGAAGAACAAAGCATGGCGTACAGAACCACAAACAAAAAGAATAAGATTTAGGCTGAATTAATTTCTAAATTATTTATTAAAATACACTACATTTCATAGAGATTTCTTTCCCAACTGTTTTATGCTTTTCTAGCATATTTGAGGTTGCTGTTTTTTAATACTAATGCATCATTGTAGTTTCAAATTATTCTTCATCCGTTTCATAATTTCGAAATCTAGTGTTGTTTAATTAAGCATAAAGCGAAGTGAATTAAACAAATTGTTCTGAAATTAATTCTTTTGGGAAAGTACAAAATAATTGATATACTTTCTATTTCATCTTATAGATTCGAACAAAAAAATAAAGGTATTGTGCAAGTAAAATTAATAAGATTATTTCTTCAATAATTACGCTAAGATTTAAAAATTATAATTACTAAATTGATAAACTGCGCAAATTTTTTGTAGAATCTGTGTTATCAATTTCAGCAAACTAAATATTAAACGCATTAGTGTTGTTATAGAATTCTGATTAGTTAATTTAATAATTCATGCTAATTACTTGAGCTAATTAGGACATAATATTCAGCATTCTGCTTTCCATAGTTAGGTTACCTATTAGATTAATGTGAGGTAATAAAACAATGGTCTTGTCAATATTTTTAATATTTATCAAGAAATATTGAAAGGCTATTTCACTTAATTCTGTAAAATTAAATTAATCATAAGCTAAGAAAGATTAGTCAATGATGAATTCATTATAATAATAGGAAAATTGGAATGGCAAATTTTCAAAGTTTTAGTTTTCATTAATTTTTTCGAAATTAAAATACAATATCAAGTAATTAACAAAAAATCCTGACATTACTAAGACATACATAAAAAGTAGAAACATCTTGATTTTAATATTAGTGCCCTTTGAATCAGATAAACAATCCTTAATTTATCTTTTAAGAGCTGTGGTATTATTTTAAGATTATTGACTATCAACAGATCCACAATTATATTAGATATTTTATTCTTAGACTTTTTCTTTGGCATCTGAATCAGCTTCACTAAAATCACTTTTTTCTGAAGGATCCTTTTGAAATTCATTTATTCTTCTCTCAATTTAGTTGTTACTATTTTATAGCAGATATAGATCATTCAACTTAGTTTGAGCAGTTCTATTAATGGATGCTAATTAAGTTTTGAAATCTTCAATCATCTTAATATCTTCAATTAAATCTTCATATTCTAAATTGCATTCATTTAAAAGAGGACCTCTAGGAGGAGAATTTAAAGAAAATAAGTTGATATCTGTTTTTTGAGTTTGAATTTCCTTTTATGACTAAGTATTTATTACTATTGATGATCTATATTTTAATTGAACAAATTGTCTACTGGTTATTTTTTGGTTCACTAATTATTTATATTCTGCGATTTCAACAATGATTAATCTAAGCATAAAATATCACATTTACCTAAGATTTATAGTAATTAGACTCATTAAATGAAGAGAAACCTAATAAACCATATTGTCATTAGGAGTATTTTCAAATTGTTTTGCAATATATGATTGAATGTTTTATTTAGAAAATATATTAGATCTTGAACGTATAAGACTTCTCGATAACTATTTAGTCATCAAAGGTAGAATTAATTAACAATCTAATCTTTTATCCAATTTATCAAAATCTTCATCAAATAATGAATCCCAAATTTTAGATAATTCCGGAATAAAAAATAAGCAATCTAATCCTTTGATTTAATCTACTTCAAATCCTAAATGTTTCTCAAAAATATCTTCAAAAATATTTTAAGTCAATTCTTCTATCTATCCTTATTCATTCAACATCATGTAACCATATTACTGATTTACTGGTGTAATTAAAGCAGTAGCTCCAAATTCAGTTGGACTAGCTTCTATTCTTAATCTAGTATTAATAGGTACGACAAATTAGGATTTATTCTTTCCCAAAATTACTCTTACAGCATTTTTAACTACATTTATTCTACCTCTCTCAACAAAATTATCCAAATATAAATCATGATCATTTGCTATTATTGAAGGCATAAATTTATTTATATTTTAATCCTAAATTTCTTCATCTTTATACCCAATAGCATTTGAAAATGATCTAGTATATCTTATGACATTTCCTCTTGGTTACATTAAGGTGATTTATATTACACAACTGCCAGGGTCATAGATTATCTTCTCTTCTGATTATAAAAATTGCATCATTATTTGACCTTCTCTTTTGTATAATTTTGGTCTCGAGTTATTATAATTAACATATTTGTGGAAAATGTTGAAAATGGTGTCACATTCATTATTCAATGGATTTGTTCTAAATAACAATTGTAATTGATATTCAAGGATTTTGATATTTTCAATTAATTAAAGACCTACATCTAGAAGCTTATCAATATTAATAATCTACTAAAGAATGCATCCATAAAAGTCCTTTGATATTTATATACTATACCTTTTCTTACTTAATCACAACGCATAAGTTATTTTTCACTGACTTTAGTGATTCTTCGTATTGATAAACTTTTTTGAAAACAAACTTTTGATTGACAAGATCATTTTTTTTCACTAATTCACTAAATTTTTATAAAGCATCCTGTTTTAATTTTTAAACGATTGCCCTTTGCTTTAGAGACTATTCCTTATTAAATTTAATAATATATGAATACTTTTTAAATTATTGAGAATCGAATAACTTCATAAATTGCTTGACTTGGCACTTTTTTGATTTATATTAAAAAGTAAATATAAGTTAAAATAAGCTTAGGATTTGCCTTCTCTTAAATCTCGTTTTCGATTTTTTGCCCAATCAATCCTTTAGCAAATTACTGCGTTGACTCAAAATTTTGAAAAGAATCCATTTTAGTATAAAAATCTTAACAAAAGCATTTATATTATAGTTTGATATTCATTTGCATCTGCTTTTCCCTTTATATTTTACATTCTCTGATATGACTTGATATAAATGCATATATTTCTAATGATGATTTAGGTTCTAAATATCCTTTTTACTTTTTTAAATCCATTTATTGTTTGAAGATAATGTATAATCTTCTTAAGTATTTCTCCAGATCTCCGTTTTAGTAGTCAGTATATCTAATATCTTATCTGATTAAGAATTTATTTGTTAGTAATATCAATGGAGGATAAAATAGCAATATAAATAACAAAATGCTAATCTTTAATTTTGGTTAACCAAATTGACATATAATCAATTATAGTTAATATATAACTGTTAATACCACTATTCTAAGGCTATACCTTGATATCCTGTAATCTATATAAACTTATTAATTATAATCACAAATGATCTAAATTACTGATTTAATTATTCCTAAAACTTGAACTAGTAAGCCTGATGCTTAAATACCAGACAAAAATATTACTCTATTTTTTTATAAATAACAAATAATTACAATAATTAGAATGCATAAAGAAAATGGATGATTTAAGTTTAAAATTTGCCCAAAAAATCAAACTTTTTCATTCTGTGATCAAACTAATGTAAATTTATGAATGATCCAATTAAAATTTATAAAACAATCATCATAAACCCAGAAACAATTGCAAACAATTCAAAATTAGATTTATTTTCTGTATTCCCATAGGAAACAGATTGCTTGAATAATTCAGTAATGAAATTAAATCCACAAAAGAGAAATGGGATCATTAAAATTCCATGATGAATCTAAAAAAAAATGGAAAAAGTCAAGTTTATGATGTGATTTTATTAAATTTTTTCTTCGAGATTCTAATTTAATTCTTCAAATTTACTTGTTCAATTGCTAAATTTTGCATGCCTTAATTGTTTCTTAAAAACACTTTCTATTTAAAAATTTAATACAGCAGTAATAAAAGGATCAAGCCTTGCAATAACAGTCCTCCTAGAATAAAAGTAATTCTTATGCTGATTGAATTTCCAACTACGGTGTAAAATCTAATATATCATCAAATAATTTAACCTAAAATAATCTATAAAATTTCTAATATGGCTTAAAAATTAATCATATTCGAAACCATCCAATTTCTAAGTATAAATTGATAACATCTAGATATTCTCAATCACTAGTATCACAATAGCTATTTTAAAAGATTTTCTCCATGATTCTTTGACATTCAAAAATTCCTAAACATAATAACTTTTCATTTAAAACTTAAAGTTTTTCATTTTTAATTAAAAGTAATTTTAATTAATATATCATTATTATCCATGATTATTACATAAATAAGAATAATTAATTCAACTAATAATTGAAATAAAATAATCAATTATTTTTAATCGAGCTTTATTCATAATTTTAACTCTTTACTTCCTTAATTCTTTTTACTTTCAATTTTATTGCTATTTATATTTCCTTCTTTTAATATTTTTGTTCGGGTCAATAATAAATGATATATGTGTATGTAAAAATTTGGATCCACCATATTCATCATTAATAACTACAACATCAAGAATCACAATATAATTAATTGATATCAATCAAAAGATTTGCACGAAAAGACAGTTCATACTTTTAATGATCAAGCTCAACTGATTATAAGTGTCAAATGAAGTCTCAAATCAGTCATTAATGGGAATAACTTGCAATCTCAAAAATCCCTATTATTATAAGAATTAGCTTCATCTTATTATTTTGGAGTCAAACTATAATTTATTTCAGCTTAATTTTTTAAATGAGTGATTTGAAATCAAAATTTCTAAATTTAATATTACAATTTTACCTAGTAGAAAATGTGCTCTCTTTGCTTTATATAATTCTTCTTAAAAAATAAAAAAATAATCTACTAAACAGATGGTATTTATACTATAACTAATTGTTAATTCAAAAGATCAGATTATTAGAATATAATCCTGAGTGATATTTTCTTTTTATAAAGATAAATAACTAAAATAAATATTAACTCAAATATGTAATTTGCCTGTTCCTTCTGATACAGGTCTCACTTAAGTTGATTTAACATTTCTGAAGCTTTTCTTAAGGATTTTACTTCTCCTTAAAGTATGCTCAGACTCAGCTGCAGAGTCCCTTCTAGATTCCGACATATTAAACTTTGGTATGATGATCTGTTGATACCTGTATTTTTCAAAGAATATTTCAGGATAAATCATATATTTTAACAACTACGACTAATAATCTTTGTTTTTATTATTCAGTAGATGCTACTGTTAATAAAAATACATTCTTTCTAATATTGAATCCAAGTTATTTTCAACTTAGTAATGCTTAAACTTTTTATAGGATTCCATTACTAATTATTAATCTTTCTTTTAGTACTCATTCAATAGGTTTATCTACATTTTTATTTTTATTTCTAAGAGCATGGTATCAGAAATATCCTTTTCCGATAAGATTTATTTTTTGCCATCTTGTATCTATTTTAATCGAATTGCCACTTTAGATAATAGTCCTTTCATGAAGTTCTAAGCTTAAATGATCTCTAAAAACGAATTGACAATTTATTTGGTTTCTTTTTTAAGTTTTTACCTTTTTTTTATTCTATTCATATTTGTGATTACTTTAACGACTCTTTTCATCTTTTAAATGTTTGACTTAACTCTAAGAGGATTTAATTCAATAGTAACGGAAGGTCTCATCTTTTTGAATTTGCTATTTGGAGAATTTTCAAATTAATCCTCTTCTTAAATAATCATCAGATTATTGTTAAATATATTCTAATTCCTAGCCTTACTCATTAATGAAGCTTTCAAAGTCTTATCATCTAAATCCATTAACTCAATAGTTTTTGTTCTCTACTTGAATAGAGTTGCTTTCTTTTTAGTAATTGGAGGTTCTAAATTTAATTTTGGAGACGTATCATTAACCGAAAGAAAGGAAGTAGAATTGGATATCTATTGGAATTATGGTTAGTTTAAAATTTGTAGATTAGAACTACTTTAATCTAAACTAACTTAATTTACTTAAACATCACTTTTTTTTAATATTTCATCCTCAGGTTCCTCATAAAATTCTGCCCATTTCCAATTGTTATTATTAAATGAAGATGCTTCTTATTCTATCACTTCTTAATCAAATCTAGCAGCAAAGTACCCTCTTTGTCTAAATGGATTTCTCAAAAAATGTTGATTTCTTGTTTAATTTTAACTATATTAATGTCTTTTGATTATCAATTCTCTATCTGGAATGTAATGTAATAAAGGACATTAAAGGACTCTATGATAACTTGAATTGCAACTGAAACATTTCATATGTAGTGCACTCACATCATCAAATTAAATACTGTCGTATAGATTTCTAAATCTTTCATAATCTTCTGGGAAATCTTAGATTACTTTTAAAAAGTCATCTCGGGATAACATCAATAGTTTTGAAAATCCTATACTTCTAAATCTTTCCTATGATTATTTCCCACTGATAAAACTGACAATACCCAGACTTGAACCTTAACCTACTTTACTAACCTCAGCAATTTATGGATTTTCTAAGATTTAGTCAATTTAATCATTCTAAATAAAGATTTAAATGTCTCCAAATTCAACAAAACAGACATATAATTAGCCAGCAGGTGCTGAAGGGAATATAGAATCAAAATTGATAATGTTCTCTGGTTAAATCACTGCAGGCTTAATTTTATGAACTAATTTAGATTTTAAGGCATCACTGAAATTATTTTTAAATAAAGGACATTCATTTAAAATCATTGAATTTGATTAGTTCATTAGTTTCTCTCTTAGATTTTCTGATAATTAATTAATTATCTCATTTAATTCATCATTTTCTACCTGATTTTATGATTCCCAATAATAATTCAGATATTCTCTAATTTAATATTGTAATTCATATTCAATTTTTCTATTCTACATATAAGAATTTATCTTCCTCATTTTGCGCATCTTTTCCTATCCATAGGCTGATATTGTATCAATGATTGCTCCAACAGTACTGACACTGTAACTTAATTGAATACTACAAATCATCATGTAGAGAATAGCAACAATCCTTTCTAAATAACTAATAGGTACGACATCTCCATAACCAATAGTAAACATAGTTACCGTAGAGAAATAGAAGGAATATAGATATTAGACTTGCCAAGTCTCATTCTCGATATGATAAAATTCTAGCCAGCTTCCTTTCTCTTGGTACAACTAACTATAATAACCAACCTAAATAAATTGTTAATATTAATAATTACAAAGTACCAAAGACATGAATAGCAATGTAGAACAAAGAATAAAACCAATAGTAATTTAAACAACTCTAATAATGAACTACTAGGCTTTGATAAATTTAAAGTCTCCTCAACTTGACTAATTAATTTAGGAATATTCCTGCATTGTACATAAAATAACAACATTAATAGATCCCACCAATCGTCCATCAGATTGAATCCTTAATTGGATGAATTAAAAATTATGGCGTATATGACCAAAATCAGTATAGAAATGGCTTCTAAGCCGTAACTCTTGCTGATTACATTTTTGGCTATAGTGACTCTGTTGCTAACAATTTATCCAAATTGGTAAAAGGAATTATTAAAACTTAGAATGAAATCTATAAGTAGTAGCATTATCATAAAAATAGTAGGTGCATATAACTGGCCATATATGATTTACTATTGATTCCAAGCTAGATCCAATGGGATTGTAAATAGGAAATATAGTCTACTTATCATGACCACACAATCCCAAACTATCTTTAATCGAGATTCTGGAGAGATCAAGGGTATTTTTTCTAATTCTGATTCTATCTTTTTGTATAAATTATTGGTGCAAGTTTTTAAATTGGAATAATGCCTTGATAATTTTTTTGTGAATTCCCTAAAAATAAGAGAGTTAATATCATTACTTCTTTTTGAGACTCTAATTGAAATTGTCATTGGAGTTGCTGAATTGACTGATCATGGGTTTAAGGTTAAGGGCACTATCTCGAAATAGTTTTTGGTTGAAGGACGAGCCCAAATCCTTGAGTATGTTGTATTGATAGAAGTTAAATTAGGCGTTTATTTTCTTTTTCCAACTTATTCGATTAATGAACCTCTTGATGAAGCAGAATTAAATGACACTGTATATTTGCTATTATTGATGCAAATGTTGAGGAGGCTCAGAAAGTCGAATGCTCTATTTATTCACTAGGAAATGGGCAGAGGGACTATTGGGTGTTGAATCAAACTAAACTCTTTTGCCTTCGTGTGCTTTTTGGGTAGAACTGTGATTCTTCTAATTGTTATTGCCATTGATTTTTGAACCTTGGATCGAGAAGTTGCCTTCTGATAGAGAATAATTGAGAAAATCCTAAATTTCACCTATAGGTTCATCAGTCAACATTAGCTAATTCAATTTTGAACTTGGCTCTTCAGTGTCTTACTAATTTTAATTCATATTTAAATAATTGTCTGTAAATCAAATATTATAATATATTTAATTTAAAACATCCCTTCATTAACTAATGTTTAGGTTACAGATTCGTCTTCAACTTTGAATCTTATTTTCTATATAATAATATTCATTTAATAATCTTGATTATTAAAAATGTTTGTGAAATAATCTTATCATACTACACGATTTACCACCTAATTTGATGAATAAAGCATAGTGGAGATGAGAGAATCCTCGAAATTGAAGCATTATCGAATGATGACATCGACGAGTTTAAACCAATCCAGACGTACCTTCATTCATACGAAGTCGATTCCGAAATCTCTAATTGATGAGGGTACATTAAAATGTTGAATTCTCCTTTTAGGGTTCAGGTCCAAGAGTATCCTGTATCATATGTCACTCCTCTCCAACGAAGTCAAAATGAAGATCAGACCAAGTAGGAGAGAGAGAGAAAGGACAATCTTATTCACAGATAACATGGAATTATATCATCACAAATCAGTCAAGAGAATCAAAGAAATGAGTAGACGCAAGAGTTGCTCATGCGATGGATGCGGACCAAAGACCAAGTTTGAAAGAAAACATGATGATTTTGAAGCAAGAACACAATAAGCGATTAGTTCTGATTTGAAGTTACTGTAATTTACTAGAGCAGGCCAGAAGAAAAAGCAAACTATTATCAAAGAAATCAAAATGAAATAGATTCACGAAAAGAAATCCAAGATCTCCTAAGAAATTGCAAACCATTCACAGATCTAACTTAATTTGCCTTCAACAAAAAGAGATAGTTTGTAAATTGAAAAACAAGAAACCGAAAGAAACAGACTTAAAACCAAAGTCGACCTCCTTAAAATGCTACCTTCGATTAAAAGCATTGTCTCTCTCACTGTACTAAAATAACTCTACATAGGAGGCAGATAGCAACAATAAATGATATTTAGAAAACCATCTCATGATGCATTGATCATAAAAACATATAGAATAAAGTGATGAAAGTTTTATGTATTACTTAATTTTAATTGTAAGATCATACTTAATCATTTCTAAGTAATATATAAGCAGTAATTCTACTATTTTTTGATTAATATTTTGTTTATTATTCTTGCAATCTGTTTTCTTTTTATTTTAAGTAAACATCACTTTAATCTGTCTTTATTAGCTTATTTATAATTGATTTATTTTATATTTAATAATTAATCATTTACATCACTTGCTAATATCATTATTAAGAGCATTTCATGATATGATTTATATTTTAATCATACAAATATTAAAATAAACGATCAAAAGCAATATATTCACTATTTTAGGTCAATCTTATTTAATTTTTGTCAGATATAATTCAATTATATCTGAAAAAAATTAACATCATCAAATATTTCTTTAATTTTTTAATAAGATACTTTTCATCATTATCATAACATACATTGCTCGAATTAGGATTATACGTTGTAGAGTAATTGCCTACAAAGAATTGCGATGAAATTTTATCGAGGAAATGTAAGCTTGACATAATGGATAAATAAATTCGTTTTATGTGTTATATTAATTATTATATTTCAAGATAATTTTTTTGAGAAACTGTAAATTCCTTTATAAGATATACTTTTTATTTATAAAAAGAATGCTATCTAATAAGTCATATGTTCGATTTAATCCATCTCAAGCGCGCCTATACAGTAATTCCAGATTCAATAGCGTATGCCTTACAAATTTATTTAATGCGTGAATTATAGTTATTGATACTACCACCTTTAAAAAATAAATCACAAGATGCTCTTTATCTAATTATAATTTAATAGAATACTTTGATACTCTTAAATATGCAAGCACAGTATCAGCAAAAGCATCAAGTATGTCATCTCCCCTATAAGTACACTATAATTAGCATTTGCTATCTCCATTAGTTATTTCAAAATTGATGACCACTAACTCCCAAGGTTTCATTGCCACTTCAAATCCATTATATTCCCTTATATAATATTATTGAGATTTTTAGCTACTATCTTATTGATTGTAGGAAAACTATTGAATTTATTTTTAATTAGGTGAAGTATTGGGTGATGTATTGGGTAATGTATTGGGTGAAGTATTGATGGTAAGCTTATCATTATTGGCATTTCCAAAGCAACTATGATGGATTAAGAACATGCGCTTTAGTTCAGAATAGCATGTCCAATCTTTTGTATCAGAATTAATTCTAAGAAATAAATAAGCTCTATACTATTCCTATTCCTAAATATATTCCAACAAATCACAAACTTCTGTGTATGGGTCCACATCCAAATATATTGTCCTTTGTACTGGCAATATTTCGATTGTGAGAGTGATTGACATAAAATGATTATATATATTTATTAATATCTTCATTTTAATATAAAATGATGAAATCAAGTTTATCTTAAGATACTTTTTACACTCTATTTAAACTGCATTCTTATAGTATTTGAACTCTTTTTGGTTTTTATATTACAAATACTTAATAAAAACAAATATAAATCTGACCTCTAATATAAACAAGTAAAAGGAATTGTAAGAGAGCAAAATCTTATAAATTATTTTTTAATTTCCAAATTTTTTAATCTAAATCAAACAACTAATTAACATATTCATCAATTATCAAGAACAGCACTAAAGATTAGCAGTCTTAAGATCATGAGCCTTTTTTAATGATTTTAGTATTCATTTACTCAGGAGGGTTAATATTATGTAAAAGTTGAAATTTGATTCGCATAATTACGCAATATAATCGCAAATAATGATTCTCAAGACAAAAACCATTTAAATTCCTAACAGCATTTTTTCAAGTGAATTGATATTTTACAACAATATCCCTAATTAAAAAGAAAAATCCTCTAATTTATAATTCCAGATTCTTGAAAACTGTTAGGTGTATTTTTGCACTTTATTTAGCCGATCAAGTTAGTCCTAAGTACATCGTAATAGCCATAACTTTCAAGGATGAGGATTCAAATTTAAAATCGATACATTACCAGTTCACATACTCAAATTAATATTTGGGTATTAATAAAATAGATTGATATATTTTTGCCTATTTTTCTTTTTAATTTTAATATTATTCTCTTAAAATAAGAAATATTTGCAGGGTTGAAAGAAGAATAAGGAGACAACAATTACGAAAATGAATAATTTATGAATTTGATCAAGTATGTTTGAATTGAAGATATTCATCAACTAAATTATGGATTTGACAAATTAGCAAACAAGAACACCAATTGCAAAAAAGTTCTTAGAATTTCATCAAATGATATAGGTTAAAAATGTTGGTTAAATTAAATTATCTTGGAAGGAATTTAAGATTAATTTGATAATCAACAGATTTAGATTATCATAGTAGAATGAATAAGTTAAAAGATTTTTGTTTCCAGACTTTTGATAGCATGAGATTTGCTTTATTTGTTTCATAGATAATTTCTGTTATTTCAGTTTCGCCTATCTTATTCATATAAATTTCACTGAGAAAGTTCATTTACCTATAATCACAGAAAACTATAAATTTAATCATTAAATGTAATAATAAGAATGCAATTTAATAAATCAAATTTTTTCATCCAATCTCATCTCAGATATACTCACCCCAACTCACACGCACTTATAATGTAGTATTACATCGAATATAAAGCTACTTCAAGCTTAATAGTTTTTTGCCTTATCTAAGCACGCATTAACGGAAAGAAAAAACACATCGAACATTATATTATTATCCTAAACCTAAATAGTCAAGCACAGCGTCACTTAAATCTTATAGAGTAGCAGATGATTTAAAGGCTCTTGAGTAATTTCTTTAAATCATCCCGTCCATTATATCAAAATGGATGGTCATTAAATCCTATGGTACAAAAATGCTTTCGTATTACAGTTATTTAGATTAAGGAAAATTACTTTGATATTATGAGTATGATTGAGGTGAAGTATTGATGGTAAGATTATCATTTGTGGCATCTCCAACGAGACTATTATGGTTTAAGAATTTTTTTTATAGTTTAGAATAGCATGTCCAATTTTTTGTATCAGAATCAAAACTAAGAATAAATAATCTGTATACCAATACTATTATTAAATACATTCCAATATTTCATGAACTTCTGTATCTGGGGCCATTTCCATATTTAATGTCATATTAGATGGCAATATTTCAACTGTGGTCATTGACATAAAATGATTATATATATTTATTAATATTTTCATTTAATATAAAACGATGTAATCAAGTTTATCGTAAACTACTTTTACTCTTTATTTAAACTGCCTTCTTATAGCATCTGACTCTTTTTGGTTTTTATATTACAAATACTTAATAAAGAATAACAAAAATCCAAGTTCTAAATATTTGATACAAATACTTTATAAAATAACAAATTTATAATCTATTTACTAATTGTTAAGTTTTAAAGGGACCCAGAATACATGTTATTTAATGATTTCTTAAAATCCTTTTGTAAAACCATGTTATCTTCAAATAAAGGAGAGCTAAACCATTGAATATTATTAATAAATCATAATCAAAACGATTTTAAGTAGCTTTTTTAAGAATATTAGTTAAATCTAAATTATTCTTTATAATATTATTGATCAATTATGAAATGGCAATAATTTGCTCTAATGCAAACTAACATAAATTAACCTCATATACCAAACACTTTTGAAATTTATAGAGTAGATATGGATTAGATTATTATTTGCTATGATATTTCTATTAAATTATTTTTACTCAATTTAAAATGAGATTTATTCAATCAGTCATTTTTTTTCCGCAAGAATAGTATAAAATTAATACATTTTTATTACTTAAATAATTTTTTTCTCTATTTGATTAGATTACGAAGTTGAATTAATGAATATTTAATTTAACAATGTTCATATGTAGATATAGATGACATTCTATTTGATATGAGAATGAGATGTCAAAGGAATCAGCTATTCGTAATTTAATTAAGACTTAATGGAGAAAAGAGATTTTAACTAAAGAGAGGTGAATAAGCTATAAATTAATGTTATAATAATTAGTATAATCGGAGTTATAAAATGATTAGCGGAGATATATATATTATTTTTATTATTTTATATGGGTAGTGGGTAGAATCGATAATTAAATGTGCCAGTTGTCTATCTTGAAAATCATAAAAATGTTGGCAGTTATAGATTCTTATAGAATTAGAGACAAAACATTCCAAAAGCATATTTAAAAATAGAACCAAATTATTCAAAGATTGAACGATTAGAAACAATCAATAGTGCTGTTGTGCATGGAGTTGTAGGACTCAAAAATCTGGGGAATACATGCTACTTTAATACTGCCATTCATTGTATCAGTCATACTCAACCTCTTGTGGACTATTTCTTGTCTAAAGCCTATAAAGTTAATTCTTCTTGTCCAACATCTGGAAATATAACGAAAGCCTTTGTATCTCTAATGGAACAAATATGGGATGATGAAAATTGTTTTGCAGAATCCAAGGATTTTAAATAACTTGTTTAAGGTTAAAAACTTAAGCCATATAATAAATGCATCAACCCAATCAAGCTTTTAAATCTCTTGCAAAAGTATAGCAAACGATTTGCATTAGGAGGTAATCAAATTGTTATTATTCGTCAGATTAGGAAGATTGCTAAGAATTATTGTCTTATCTTCTTGACTTGCTACATTAAGAATTAAATAGATCGTAGCCTAACTCTAAAAGCATAACAAAAGATTACACAGGTGAGTATGTTGACCCCAAGTGGGCAGCAGATAGCTGGGGTGAGCATTTGAAGATCAATAGAAGCATCATTGTGGATTTGTTCTAAGGACAATTAAAATCTACATGTTAATGCCAAGAATGTGGATTCTAAAGTCATAAATTTGAACCCTTCCTCTTCCTCAATCTTCCAATACCTAAATAAAAAGTGTCAATCTACAAATGTCTAGACTTATTCCAAGAACCAGAACTCTTATCAGGTTCCTGCCAATGGAAATGTCCCAATTGCAAAATCAACAGGGACTTCAAAAAGCAGATTCAACTCTGGAAATTACCTAATCAACTCATTATTCATCTAAAAAGATTTGAATTTCATCATAGAAAACAGGTCAAACTAAATACAGTCGTTGAATTTCCATTGGAATTGGATATGGCTTAATACTGTGTTGATTAGGCCATTTCATGTTATTAACTCTATGCAGTGGCACAACATGATGGATCCTCTTATGGTGGCCATTATGTTGCTCTATGTAAAGCTTAGAATAATAATTGGTACATGTACAATGATGATCAAGTGTTTCGAATTTAAGATGTTAAAAAAATGGTATAAAATGAGTATGCTTACATGCTCTTTTATTAAAGATATGATAATATCTACAGATAAACATTAAATAAACCAGAAGCATGGCCTCATTTCAGGTTACCAAAAATATCACAAACTACTCACTTGATGGTTTAAACTGATAGGAAATCTTAAGATTCCAGTCCGAACTAACTAGAATCAACACCTTTAGATAACTAAACTGGAGTTATAAGTTAATAAAGATCATAATAAGATATAAAATTCAACTCTATTGCATGATTGTTAACTTTTTATTTTTTTAAGTAATTTTTATTTGAATAAAATCATTTAATCTATTTGATTGAAATGTTTGACTTTAGTCTAAACTCCTAAGATGACTTGCATGAAGCTTGCTTTGCAAATTTATTTATCAAATATAGATTAGAAGCATCCTTTGTAGGTGTAATGCCTTTTACTACACTGTTATTAAAACTATTAACTGTAGGTTCTTTTCTCATTTTAGTAAATTGATTTAATGATTTTGATATAGCCAAAATACCTCCATTTGAACTTTTTCTACTTGCATCCACTCTTTATGGTGATTTACTGAATTAAAATTAAACCCCTTCTAATTGTTTCTTCTATTCCTATAATTAAGTCAATAGATTATTTAGTTATAATATCTCCTACTCCAGTAATGCCTTATTAGGTTTACTTTTTGATAACAGTTATTCTTAAGTATTTTCTATTGCTTATTTGACAGTACTCAATTACTTTTAGATTTCAGTCTCCTATAAATTAAATTACTCAATCTTTTTCTTAAATTCTAATTCTAATGCTTAGATTTCCTATTCTACCTTATTTTACTTGTCAAAAAATGGTTTTTCATTTCCACTTACTCTTTCTAAGTCTTTTTTGGCTTTCTGAATTTATTATGCAATATTCTTCAATTGAGGAAGTATTTCTTAATCAACCATTTGAATATTGACTTTTATAGCTTAATCTTAAATATAATACTGTTATATTAATTTCATAGTATTATTAAATTATTCCTAAATATTATTGATTTAGTACTTCTTCTTGATCCTACATCAGTTATTACATTTCTTTGTAGGTTTAGTCAAGGATAGATTTATACTCTACATTTCCGTACTACTATTTAATACAACTTAAGTTTTCTTCATTGTGTTCTTGGTACTGAAGAAAAGCATCTTCTGTTTATTATCGAATCCTTTCTTGAAATGACTCATAAAACCTAGATTTCAATAATAGTGAATACATCTCCCTTTTATAATCTAATGAAGATTTATCATCTTCAAGTTCTCTAATTTACTATTTCTTAACTTCAACTTAATAATCAATTGAACACACGTCATTAGATAATTGTAATTCATCTCCATGTTATTTTAGGGTACATTTCATATCCTAAGATATGGTTAAAACTACTTACTGATAATTGATTTTGGACTAATTTTTGTTAGAGAGATGCTAAAATGAAAGATTCTAATTAAATAACGAATTCCTTCATGCTTCCCCAATTATTACTCTAATTACCTTATTTGAACAGATTGTTTCTAAATTGTTAAGTGAATGTTTATAATTTGGCTTAAAACTCTATAGATTCTATTTGCAATTAGGAACCTCCAAATGAGTTGATAAATTCATTAAGGATTGAGTCAGGATGTTATAAATTTAAACTTTTCTATATAGGTACAATTTTATTTCTTAAAGCTTTCACCTTTTAGTTCTATTGATGACACTAAACTTCAAGTAATGTAGTTTAATGAAATGAAGCTAATTGTCTTTTTTTGTTTTCTTGTTATTATTGTAAACTTGAAATAGAGTTGGTTAATGTTAATATATTTTAATCAATTTCCTTAGCTTTTTAATCGCAATTGTATATCTACTCCACCAATTCTGTTAGTTAGGGATTCTCATTTTTAACTTATTCAACAAATTCTTCAAGTTCTTCTTTTTAACCAACAAGTTCAGCTCTTTATAAGAGTTTACCATTTAAATCTTCTTACAAGAGTGCTTTGGTTTCTAAATATTGATTGTGGATATCCTAATAATTATTGCGCTCTTTAACAAAGTATTGATGTTCCTAGTTGATCTACTCATATTATGTTTTTAGTTTATTGAATTCGTTTTCGTAGTAATCATAAATGATAGTTTATTGTCTATCTAGATCGTTTTACATTTGCTAAGAACTAATTTAGTGAGAGATCATACTTTTATTCCTCAATTCTCAAATCCTGTAGCTTTTTTTGATAAACTGATTAATCTAGAGAGGTACTTGACTCGTTTAAGAGTGTAGTAATCTTCTATTTGATGTTATATTGGTATTGCATAATTTTGAGATCAATCTATTCCATCTAATCTTATAGATAGTCAGATCCACTATTCAAGACTTCATTGATTATTTTGTGTGAGATGTTGCTTTGGCGAGTGATAGAGAGGTACTTTGGAGAGTTCTCCTTATTTGAACGTTTTTGAGAGGGACTGTCTGTTATCATATATTTTTAACGATAATTAATAAATTTTTTGCTCTTTTTTCTTTAGAAATTTATAAATTATAATTTGTTTTTAAAACCCATGTCCCACATTCAAATAATTGATCAATAATCGAATAGCACGGATCACTCCTTTGAAAATCTGTCTGATCAAAATTCTGAAGAGTCCTTCGAAATTGTCTAAAGAAAACTGAGAATCAAAAAATGCTATTAAGAGGAGGAACCACTGAAAAAGAAGAAGGACCTTTGTCGAAATTACTAAATGAATGGTTGTTGCAAATATGGAGATCAAGTAATTTTGTTTAAATCTTAATTAGTGTTTTTTTATTCATACCCCCGCAAAAACTGAAAGCACTCTCTATTCCTCAACCTCCACAAAGACCAAGCCTTGTAAACGCTATTTTAGTGGTTTCTGTGGTTTTGGACCTAAATGTTAGTTTTTACATCATGAATGTATTGACCTTGTAGAATAGAGGGAATTCGTAGAAAAGTAATTTAAAGATTTAAAACTAATGGTTCCTCTGCACCCAAGTAAGTTATAATGGATAATTTTTAGAAAAATTAGATTAATCTATTAGGTTTGATTTATAAAGATTTCACCATCTTTACAAAATTTTTGGAAGGAAACTTAACTTCAAAAGAGATGATTTGGTTATGAATAATTGCAAAAGGTATTGATTCAATTAATAAATAGTCGATTAAAAATATTTATATCAATTTGTAGGAAGTAGGATCGATTTGAATAATTGTTAATGTCTAATAACACAAGTAGAAAGGAGAGTGAGCAATGCTGAATACTTATAGTTATTTTATAATTAACCCTAATTATTTTCATAATATAATTAGATCTTGTAACAGATAACTATTTAATCCTGATTACTTAAATACTTAATTTTTGATTAAGATCAACTTTTAAAGTACCCTTTTCTATATGATGATAATATTTCTATTTCTTTGATTTAAATTGTTTATAAGTTTATAAGTTTATTTCCAAAATGATTATTTTATCAATCATCCTCTTAATTTGCCAATTGTAATGAAATCATATCTGATTTTTAGTTGACATTATTTCTTTTTTTATTTAATAAATTAATATTTTGAAGTTACTCTGTCTCTTTTCATTTTATCAATCCTTCTTCTGAACTGATTTTCATTGGGAATAGGTGTTTTACAATTCAGATTTGGACATTATATATTTATGATTGATTTTATTATTAAAAATCATAGTTATATCTCTTGATGTCTTTGTGAACGTCTAACTGAGGAACCACGGCGCAATTCCAATATTCCAGAGGGTTTTCGTTGTTCTTATTCAGTGGATGGTTCTTCTATAGATTCTGGACATATCTATCATGTATATAATATTTATACTGATTATTCTGGAATTAATTTTAATATGGCACTAACAATCCATCCGATTGCTCCTATTAGTATACAAATTAACCATTATTGTATGGTTAATCCATAGTAAGTGTAACATGAGAATGCTATTCCAGCAAAAGTAATTAAGATAATTTAAAGAGCAAATATAAAGAATACAATAATGATAAATAGAGAACTAAAATAAAGAGAATAAAATACTTATTGCAGATATTTTCGAATATATTGAATTCGTCATTTAATTTTCTACTATTTAAGAAATTAAACAATTGCATCATAACAAACATATTGAAGATGAAAGTGAAATGTCTACTGGGAACCATAAACTCTCTATAGACAGGTTCGTAATCATCCTTGCCATCAACAGTTAACATTCTTCCACTTCTAATCATCAGTTATTCAGGATAGTAATCCAAATTGTATTTTGGATGATTTATATCTGATGGAAATTCTAATGAATTTTTATCATCTAACCAATTATTCAATCTATCATCAAATCCATCAGTGTATTCAGGGACAAAATGAGGAGCTAAGAATACTGCAATTAGCATAATTGCCATTTGAAATGCTGCTTAACCTAAAATGTGTTTGAGCATCTTTCTAGTAATTATAGATTAGGCTCTAGAATAAGGTCTATCGTTCAATAAAACAGGACTAGGAGGTTCAGTGGCTAAGGCTAAAGAAGCAAAGGAATCCATGATTAAATTGACCCATAACATTTAAATAGGTTTAAGAACTTCTTATTTAAGAACAGCTGAGACAATTAGAGTTAATCCAACAGCAACAATATTTACAGTCAATTGAAATTGAAGGAATTTACGGATGGATTGGAAAATGTTTCTACCCCACATCACAGCCTTGACAATATCGCTGAAGTTGTCTTCCATTAGAATGATGGCAGCCGCATCTTTAGCAACTTGAGTTCCTGAGATTCCCATAGCAAATCCAACATCAGCCTTCTTTAAAGCGGGAGCATCATTTGTACCATCTCCAGTAACAGCAACAATATGTTCACAATCCTTTAATCCAACAATCATGGCATATTTATCAGTAGGTCTGGATCTTGCCAAGACAGCAATCTATGGATATAATTTCTTAAATGAACCCATATCTCCCAGAGTATCTACTCTTAATTAGGTTCCGTTCTTTTCAGCTTCACTTTGAGTTCTGGAACATTTACAAGATTCAGTCTGACAATTCTTGCAAACTATTCCTCCTATTTTGTTCATAAATTCAGCACCTTCCATTACCAATGCTTTACTATCTCCTGGTTCAATAATACCACATGATAATGCTATTGCTCTTGCAGTTTCAGAGTTATCTCCAGTTACCATTCTAACTTTAATGCCTGCTTTCTTGCATAGTGTTACTGCTTCCTTGACTCCTTCTCTTAAATTATCCATTATTCCTAAGAGACACAAGAAAGTCAAGTTGTTTTTCTCGATGTCATACACTTTTCCATCATTGGTCACTAAGTCTTCTCTTCCATTTAAATCTTTGTAGGCAACACAAATAGTTCTAAGTGATTATTTTGCCATTTCACTAATTACATTTTCTATTTATTTAATATCCTATTCTGATAGAGCAACTATTTCATCATTAAATGTATGTTGATGAGAAAGGCCTTTTATTATAATCTCACTGGCTCCTTTAATATATAAACGATGTATAGGTAAACCATTCTTCTAGGTGGTTATAATTACACTCATTCTCTTTCTACCTGAATTAAATGGTATTTTTTGGAGGTATTTAACTGAACTTTTTACGCTTTTATAATCAATTTATCCTCTTCTCATATATTCCAATAAAGCAACTTCTGTCTTTGAACCTGATTCTGGATCCAACTCAGCTGATGAATTACAACAGATTGATTCAACCATCAATTATTTAATTTTACCAAAAACTCCTAAATCTTATTCCCTAGCCAAATAATTAACTTCAATATAATTCTGATTCCACATCTTAGTCAAAGTCATCTTATTCATAGTCAAAGTTCCAGTTTTGTCTGAACAAATAGAATCAGCTCCTCCCATAGTTTCACATGCATACATCTTTCTAACCAAATTCTTATCATTCATCATCTTTTAAACTGAATATGCCAACGAAATAGTGACTGACAATGGCAATCCTTCAGGAATGGCAACTGCTAAGACAGTGATACCTAAGATGATGAAATTAAGTATTTCCATCCAATGTTTACTGTGATCCCATTCCCCTTCAATACCTCTTTCAATAGCCAATCTAATCATCAATACAATCACAATCAATATGGCAGCATATAATCCAAATTTTCCAATGTCTTCAGCTATGATTGTTAATTTTTCTTATAAAGGAGTCTCTTCATCCTCTTCCTATTCTAATGATGCCTTGATCTAGCCTAAACACGATAGATCTCCCACAACACAGACCACAAACAGTCCTTCTCCTTCCAGGACTCTAGTGCCTGATAATAGAGCTGGAGATGGGATAAGAAATCTATCCTTTTCTCCAAATTCAGCTCCTTCATTAATCAATTCTTCTTTTTTCTACAAACATTGTTACATAGTTCCTTTCTTTATTGAGTTTGTTTCTCCAGTCATTGATGATTCATCCATCTTGATTTCTGAAGCCTCTATAAGTATTCCATCGGCTGGTATCTCCATGCCTTCTACTAATTTAATGATGTCTCCAACTAGACAGTTTTCCTCATGCAATCTATGTTCTTTTCCATCACGAATGATAGTCACCATTTTAGACTTCTCACTTACAGCATTTAACTTACGAAATTGCTTTTCTTTTGAGTAATCATTCAAAGCAGCAACATTAGTACAGACCAGTACAGCTACAAATATAGCAAAGCCTTCAATCCAAGCTAATGATCTATGTTCATCATCTGAAGTTGCCACTTAAATGATAATACTAGCAAATGCAGCAACTGTCAACACTCTCATAGTGAAGTCACCCATGGCATCCATCAATAATTCACAATATGTTTAAGGTGGTCTAACAACTCTTTTATTGTGACCATACAATTCTGTCCTTTTATTGATGTCTTGAGTAGCTATCCCGCCATTAATCGAAGTACACAAACCATCCAATAAACCCTCTAAATTACTAAAAGAAACTCATACCTAAACTTCCTAACTGCTCAAGAAAGTCTATTTCCTCACACATCCGTCTTCTCTAATTCAAAGTGAATATATTTTGTAATTGCTGAGCTGAGAACTTGAATCCTCCCATATTGAGTCTCATGTCATCCTCTCTGACAGTAATGTTCACATCAGTTTTTAAAGGTGAATGATTCATTAATTTAATGATTAGAATGAAACTTCAAAATTACAAACTAGTTGGAAAGAAACAAAAACTGTAAACTCTTCTATCTCCCATCCTCGCATATTGAATGGTCCCATCATTCTTTTATTACATGTCTGAACCATATGTATACATTTATGAAAATGCATAATCATATTTGGTTTGAGTGTAACTCTTAACTTCTGATGATGCTATTGCAAAAGAAAATAGTAGTTCACACTTAGCTTCTCGAAAGATTAAAAAATAGAATGAATAAATGACAGTACATATCATATTAAATCTATGAAGATATAGTTCTTATTTTTAGGATGATTGTGGAGAAATGTGTGGCTTATGATTTCAGGATAAAAAGAAACTCTAATTTAATTAATTGACTAACTTAAAATTGATGGGCATAGATGCTATATTACATTTAGAAATGAGAATGAAATAATCTATTTTAAGTCTTTAAATTATAAACAGGAAAAGGATTTCGTTTTTCACAAGGCTTTATGCTAGGTTGAAAAAGAGGAATAAATTCGAAAACCAAATGGCAAAAGAATGTGTTATTGTTAATAAACAGCGTGTTCTGAATTGATTATATATACTTCATGATTAATTATAAATGAGAAGTGTCAAGAGTGCAAATTCTAGAAGACCTATGTCTACCATTCCGAAGGCATAATCATAGATCATGGAAATTGGTTTGTCTCCACAAATCAGAAGGTTCGTTCCTAGTATGCACAACCTACTTGAAACTTTGTATGCCAAGAAATGTGAAGAATTAAAGATTCAGTTACAACCAGATCAAATGGCGAGATTTCAAGAAAAGGTTTTGACTTAATATTAAGGACACACAATTGATTTATCAGAATTATCATTGCCTGCCAATTGCATACCCCTAATCAATAAAGTTGTAAAAAATATTCCCTTTGTCGTTCTTTCACAAAATCCACTCTATGATGGGATAAGAAATCTATAACTTCCCATGGTCAGTTTGACCTTATGTAATTGTGGAATAGGTCCTAGAGGATTGGCAGTTCTTTTCCAAACTCTTTCAATCAATCAAACACTCTATAATCTCAATATTGGCAATCCCTTTTCAAACGAGAGGAATAGACTTGGTTTAGCCTTGAATCAATTGGCCGAAGCATTGAAAAAAAATAGAATTTTAGCCATTTTGGATATCAGCGGTTGTGGCATTTATGATTTAAGAAAATTAAACAGTGCATTTGCAGAGAACCGTAATCTATTGCACATAAATGTTTCTGACAATGAACTTAAAGATGCTCTCATCTTGCCACCCTATTTGGAGAGATTGGAAGCTCAGAATAACATGTTTGGATAACAGGTAGTGCAAATATGTGAATAACTGAGACAAGGTTCTGATTCTGTTCATGCACGAGAAATCAATCTCAAAAGAAATAAATTAACAATTCATCATTTGTTTGCTATATTAGAACAAATTGAGAGAAATACTCATTTAAATAAATTGACACTAGATGAGAACACGTTTATAGGGGAGAACAATATTTGCATATGCAATTATCTTGTGTATAACAACCACCTTGAATATTTGTCATTGAGGAATTGTTCATTGACTCAGAACTTTATCGAACAATTGGCATCTGGATTATGTAGAAATGGAAGCTTAAAAACCTTGGATATTAGTAAGAACATCATTGGAGATCAAGGAGCTTTGGCACTTGTATAAGGATTCTAGGGATCATGCAATCTGAAGAGTATTGTTATGAAAAGATGCGGTTTAACTGATTTGAGTGGATTAGAACTATTCAAAACATTTCTAAAATCCAATATTTAAGAGTATGATTTCTCAAATAATCTTATGGGAGATTAGACTGCTATGTATGCAATTTAATTGATAAAAAAGAACAAGGACATCATCAAGATGAGTTTTAAAAAGAATCTCAATTCATATGAGACAAACTAATAAATTGAAAAATTACTATACGATAACATCTAAGATAGAAAAAGAAATGTTATTCCTCATCTACGTCACAAAGTCTAAGGAATGACTGATTACAGAGAACAATAGGATTTTGTTGATAAGAAAAAAGAACAGCTTTCTATGAAAAAGACACAAGCAGAAAGTGATTTTAAGTTTGCTTAATCTCAAGTAGTTTTATGTCAATAAGGAGCCAAAGAACGCACCTAGGCAGTTGAAGAACGATTGACCAAATTAAGGGAAGAAGCACAATAATTAACCACGTAACAGTTGAATTTAGATAAATTTCTCTGGAATCAAATTGCAGTTATTGAAGATGAGTAGAAATTAATTGCTGACAACATCAAAAATGAAAATGCATCAATTGTAAACTTAAATAAACAAATCTAAGATACATAAGTATAAATTCATATTATTTTAAGAGTAAATCAAAATCAATTGTTTAATTTTACAAATAACAGATGGAGAATCTAAGATTACAAGATGGAATCACAAAGAGAAAGGTAGATCAACTATAACAAGAATATAATAGCGTTTTGGCCTAATTTGAATTTGTTAAAAAATAGTAACAGAAACCAATTATTAAAAAATGATAATATTATTTAATTATTGATATTTATTTTTAAACATTCACACTTTATTTTCATACAATAGAAATACTACTTATTTTTTGAAAAAATCATAATTCATTATTTGATTACTTTAATGATTATAATCTAGATACCTAATGGAAGTCAAAAGTGTGAGTTTTGAAAAGCTCATTAAAATGTTCTTAACTCATTAGTAGTTTATTGAAGGAAATTATTATGGAACTCGAAAGGAAATAAATTAGAATCCTAGCTGAAGGATGTATTACACCTGAGTTAAGAGAACCTCTTCAATTAAAATGACAAAATTTCTAAGCTTAATAATATTTAATCCCAATTGACATAAAAATGTATTTCTTTAATGAATGTGCTCATATTGATTAATCATTTTGGGTCAAATTTATAAAAAATGGAGTGCTGATTATATTTTCATTCATATCCATCCTAAAGTGCTCAGAATTTTTGGTTATAATATAATTTAGTTTTTGAATGTTAATTTTATTTATTTTTATGCAAATAAAAAAAAAATACGGTTCTTTTCAAAATGATCAGTTCCTTCAAAATAAGAATATTTTATTAATTATCATAATTATTATCAAGCAGTTGTTGTAGATAATATTTGTATTTAATTTGAATTTTTTCTTCTAGCTGCAAAAATATTATTAATTCAATTCATTTTATAAACATAATTTATCTTATTCAAATAAATAAAATGGACAGGGATATCATAAATTTGACAATTTTCAAAAATAAATAGGTCACTATAAAAAATCTTTCTAATTTGAGGATAAAAATATTAAATATATAGATTAAATTTGAATTTTCAATTAAAAAATCCTATAAGATAAATGATCAGAAAATAACACTTTTTTTTGTTATTTAATGTGATCTAAATTACAACAATCATATTTTTATTCACCATACAAAATAAGAATTATGCTATAGAAGCTGATTTGAAATTAAAAAAGGTTGACTTCTAAAAAGCCACAGCTAAATAAGATTAGGGAAGGGAGAAAAGACAACCAATTTAAAGCAGGTCGGGGGAGAAAATTGTGGTAGAAGCGAAATCATCTGTTGTCATACTGAGTTTTGTGTATTCAATCTTGATAGACATAAATATTTATATATTATTCCTATTTTCATTTTGCTTGCTCCTGTTTTTTGTTTTTATTTTCACCTAAACTAAAAATATATAATTAGATTTTTTAAACCTGAAAATATAGGTGTTTTGAAATTTTTATTTTTAAATCATAGCACTAGAGGACGTCAAACCAAATAAATAAGAATGCTATGAAAGTAAGTTTTGAATTAAAAATAATTTAGTTTAAAATTTTGACTTCTTTGAACATTCATGGATTACTCAAATTTGTTTTATAATGATGATGAAAGTCAATTAAAATATTTTTTCAGTATTTATGAACCATATCAATAAATCGAATTTTTTGGTGTCCTTATTTTTAAACAAAAAGTATATATAATTATATTTTATAGAATATCTTTTTACATTATATATTAGCGGTTAATTTAAGCAACCTTTATTTATTCATAAATTATTTCAGCTCTATTAGCATGGTTTGAATATTTTAGATTAATATATAAAATAAGAATTTTTAAACAAATTGGTTTTGTAACTTAGTAATGATATATATATCTTAATATAGATTTTAAGAAAGAGAATACTAAATATTCCCTGTTTTATACAATAATACAGCGAATTAATATCATTGAAATTGTTAATCTTCATCTCCAATTTATAAAGAAGAAAGGTCAGAAAAAATAGATTTTTAGTCTTCTCTTTAAGCTTAAGGTATAGATTCGTCTTATTGAGGTATTGCTTTAAGTTCTTCAAGTTATGACATTTCAATTCTGGTGCTCTTTAAAGATTTCTTGGGTGACTTAATTTATAGGAAAGGATGATTTAACAATTCTTTAGCTTTTTTTCTTTATTTTGGTTCAAATTATAGACAACATTCAAGAAAGCCCCTTAAATTATCAGAAATGTTGCGTGGAAATGGGGGAGGACATTTCTTAGAAGAGATGGAGAATAAAGCTTATAATGGGTTATCAAAATGTCCCCAAGGAGGGAGAGCAGTCAGCATTTCTAAGACTACACATCCCAAACTCCAAATATCTGAATACCTACCAGATTCTTATTGATTTAATACTTCAGGAGCCATCCAATTAGGAGTTCCTTTTAATGAATACGATTATTATCCTATTAAACTGCAACCAAAATCAGCTAATTTACACACTCCTCTTGTGTCCACAATGATATTTGCTCCTTTAATGTCTCTATGAATGATTTTTTTCTAATGCAAGTAAATCAAGCCTTAGAGAATGTCCCTAGTATATTTTTGGATCACACTTTCAGTCAACTTACCAAATTTTTTAAGAATCTATGCAATTGACCCACCTAGGTTCTATTGAGTTATAATTACCCCCAGCATATTCAAGAAATATACTTAAATGAGTACCATCATTAGTACAACCATAATATTCAACAATATTGGGATGTTTTAATAAACTCAAAACTTAGATTTCTTTATAAAAAGAGTTTAAAGACTCTTTGTCAACAAGGAATATTTCGATCTATTTAACAGCAAATACTCGTCCTGTTTGTAAATCGAATCCTTAATAAACAACACCAAAGGAGCCTTACCCTAAAAATACTCCTTTTTTCCAAGACTTTATTGTAACTGGTTCTTTTTGAATAGTTACCTTCTCCTCCTCAAAATCAGAATCATACCCATCTGAATTATAATTAATTATAGTTCGTTATTTTAATGATAAAGTTAAGGCAGTTGGCTATTGCTGAACTTTACAATGAGCCTCTTTCTTAAAATATTTGCATAATTAAGTAATATATTATCCCATAATTAATAATATCATTCATAATATAAGAGTATTCCATTTAATTAAAAAGAAATCTATCCTTAAATTAGATTAATACTCATAAAGGATCAGTATATAAACAAGAGAAACATATTCAAATATATACTAACAAAAAAAGTAATATAAAACTTCAATTATATATAATTGCAACAAAATTTTTAATCTAATTCTAGAAATGAGATTTGTTATTTTTCGAGTGTATGAATATGATTTTATCAAATACTCAACCGTGAAACTTTTTAGATATTTTGAAAGGATGTCGAAATCGATTTTTGATATTTGATCCTGCGATTAGTCCATCATCTTATTTATAAAATGCTGGCTCTATTTCTGGATAGGGATAATTCTTGTCTCCTAAAAAATGAACGGGAATTCTTAGATTAACCAATAATTCTTACTAGTTTCTCTTCTTTTCTAGTGTAGGCACTCGAGATTTTCTTTACATTATGTCCTCTAGGCTAACCAATCCTTCAGTTTCTTTATTGGCTTAAATAAATGTTCGTTTTCCAATAGATAAGTCTTCGTGATGTTTACTTTCTTTCGAGGTGCAATGTTTTTTTTATCTATCTAGCAAAATTAAAATCTAAATTACCCAACTGATCAGATGGACCAGCAAACCAATCTAATCTTGTCATTCTTTTGTCAGAATTACAAGGTGTCAAACTAGGAAATCCTCCTAATTCAACACTCGGCTTATATTTAAACTGAAACCGCCCTGTTGAACTAGCTTAATAAAATTGCGATTTCGTGGTAAACATGTTTTGTGATTATAATTAAAATAATAATAATACTAGATCAATAAATGTCCCAATATTTAATAAAAAAAATATGTCCCATTATAAAGATGATAGAAAGTAAATGTAATGATTGATAAATTTAATTTATATTTTATTCTCCTTTCAACTCCTTTAGACGACTAAAAACTTACTATTGATTTCTTAAAATAGGCATTATAAGATTCATCATTGAGTTTATGAAATATTATAGGTTTTTTAATATGAATTAATACAGAGAATATATATGTACTTATTATCTTACTAATAAAATGATAAATAAAATCTATGCAGATTTCATAAAATGGGAGGAATCAATCAATTTTATTTATTTATTATTTTACTCATATTCTTCACTTTGGGTCATGTTTAAAAATAGGTTAAAAAAAAGTTAAATTTAGAGTCTAAGTTCCAATTTTAATTGAAAAAGACAAAACTTGAAGTATATTTAATAAGAAAGCCTATAAAAGGAAATATATGTATATATATATAGGTTGGGTTTTATACTAAATATTAATAATCGCAAGTATTTCTAATTACACAGAGTGGATCAAATTAACTCGAATTTACCTAAGCGTGCACCTATAGGATTATATGGTTTTGCTATTTTAATATCGAAAATGATCACAATGTGTGTTATAATGATTGATGCAATATCAAAGTTTCGGTTTATTATGATTAGATTAAATAATTAATATTAACCTTGGGGTTCTGATAAAAAACCAGAAATTGATGGAACATTATATTATTTTTTATATTTTTCAGTTGATAATAGATGCACTTGTTTAGCCATGATGAAATTAATTTATTGGAGGTATCCTAATAGAGGATTGCTAGGCCGCATAAGATGGATAGTTAGAGTTCATAAGTAATCAGCTGATCTCTTTGTCGTCAAAACAGTTGTAGGATGCTTGCAAAAAGACAGATTATTATGGTAGAAACGCTTTGCATTATGTAAGTGGATTACTAAGGTAGGCTGCTTACAGAGGACACTATGAGGTAGTTGAATATTTCCTTGATTTGCAGTGTATAAACATAAATTCGAAAGATAATAAAGGTAGGACATAAACTCTATGTTTAAAGGTAATACAGCATTAATGCTCGCTTGTGTTCGAGGATATAACTAAGATATTGCAAGTCTTAAAAAAGGTTCAAAGTTTGACATATGTTCACTACTTTTAGAAAGAGGTGCATCTCTTTAGGAGTTCAAGAAATAGGGGATAAATAACCCTTTGCATTGGACTTGTTATTTCGGAGACTTAAAAACAACAAAATTATTGATGTTTGTGGAGCCTAGCTTAAGTAAATGAATGAATTGAGATTCTAGTGTTGTATTCAAATGATAGAGATTAGTTTCCAATCGATTTGGCATTGATGACTGGGAAAGAGTTGGATGATAGAGGAGAGGATGAAAAGGTCTTGGAGTTCATGATATTGAAGTTCTTGGCTTAATACTTGGACAATGATGAGCATAAAAAGAAGTTGGAATTATCATTGGATGAACATGAATCCTATAGATATTTGTAATAGAGCAATTTTAACATTAAATCCTCGAATTAATTAGCACAAGTAGGACTTCGATATTTGTTTTGGGCTAGTACATTGGGGAGATTGGATCTGGTGGAGCCTTTGATTAGATGTAAATACTCCCCCTTTGAGCCATCTTATAAGGGCAGAAATGCTTTGCATGCAGCTGTGTATCATAATAGAAAAGAATTGGTTGAATATTATTTGGAATCAGAATCTGTAAAGGAATTTCGAGAAGGGAACGTAATTAATAGAATGACCAAAGTTAAACCTCAGACCGCCTTGCATGTGGCTGTTGAAAGAGGACATATTGATATAGTAAAAACATTAATAAAGAAAGGAGCAGATCCTAATTACTACAATTTTCGTAATCATCGAGCTTTTGATTAATCGAGATTGACAGAGATCAAACATTTGAAAAGGGAATTGTTGAATAATTCTGAAAAGAATTATATAAGATCTGGATACAACCATGTATTGGTAGGATGGCAAAGAGCAAAAAACTAATTGTTAGAATAATAATTCTACAACATACAATAAAAGAAGAATTTCGAGAAGGGAATGTTCAAATATTTGCCTATCGAATCTATAGATAAATAATACACATATTATTGTTTGAAGGTTGATGAAAAACTCAAAAATATGATAGCTGATGAAACTAAAATGATGATATACAATTCAAGGGAAGCCTGTTTATGTCCATTTAATATTCAAATTCAAGAACAATTTGAAAATTTCCATCACATTCATGACTAATAGATATTATAGACCTTATTGTATGATGAGTTTGACATTGATTAATTTATTAATGATGGTCTATTGATTGAATAGTATCCTCTTCATGATGAAGAAGAGAAAGAATTGATTTTGAAGTTTTGGAGAAATGAAAGATTTCACATTTTATTTGAACCCTTTTAATTAACTAGATCATAAAGTAGAACATTTAGTGCCTTATCTTCCTACTTTGGTGCAGAAATAGGAATGTTTTTTGTATTCTTATGCTTTTTTACAACTTGGCTATTTTTGCCTGCTGTTCCTGGATTATTCATTGGGATATTTCATTTCATTAATGGAGATTCTATTAATTCTGTAGCTCCAATCTACACATTGTGTATGGCTGTATGGGCAACAATATTCTTTGAGTTTTGGAAGAGAAAGTAAAGTGAAACCATGTACAATTTTGATATGCATGTTACTAAGGAATAAAGAAGGACGATTCCTTAATATAAGGGAGCTTTTATTATTGAAGATGTAACTCATACAATTGAAATTATGGACACGAGGAATGTCTAATGGAAGTATTTTAAATCAAACTTTCCCTTAGTTTTGATCGCTATCATCTTCATTGGTGGAGAACAATTTGGGTATTATTATCTCAAGCAAATTAATGAGGGAGAATAGTTTTATGATTCTCTATGGGCATGTGTCCTAGCATTCTCGATACTTATAACAAATGAGATCTTTAATTTTTTTGCTAAACATACATTAAATTATGAAAATCATTAATATCAAGATGAAAGAGAAAATGTATACATTCTGAAAGTGTTTGCCTTCACTTTTCTGAATTCATTCGGTCGATTATTTTATAGAAGTCTAATTAGACCCGATTCTGAAGAACTAGATTTACTGAGTATATCATTTACTATAACTTGGTCACTTGTTCATTTGATAAGGTACACACTCTACCCTCTCATATCGTTTGCTTTTATAAAGATTAAATTTAATTGGGATTTCAACAAATACAAATAAAACAATTCAAAATAGTTAGCTGTTGCTTAAAGAATAAGTGTTTATGATACTGAAACTAGTGCCATCAACAAATCAGTAGATAAAGGATTGTCTACTCTATACTTTCTATCCTAAATTGAATTAAATAGTAGAATGATTGATCCTCCAAATCATGTGGAATAATTTACTTATTTTGTATATCATGATATTAATATAGATGACTCAATTTTGCATGGCCACTATGTTCAGTGCAGGATCTTAAATAATTCCCATTGCAATTTTATTCTTTAACATTCTCAATATAGAGGGTCTCATTTATGGATATAGAAAGTTTGTTAAGCGACCATTAGCAGAACCAAAAAAGAGCATCGGTGTTTGGAATGACATCCTGCAATTAGTTGGATACATAGGGATTGTGTCGAATTGTTTATCCATTTATCAAGCAAATTAGACACAATTGAATTCATTGATTGGAGAAGATCCGAATGCTTCCAATGATTAAACCGATGTATAAATAGCATCTTAATTAGCTTGGACTTCGGAATTTTCTCTTTCTCATAGTAGCTGAACACATTGTTATTGGAATCAAATTTGTAATTGAAGGAGTAATTCCAGATGAACCTGAATGGGTTGAATTGATACTTAAAAGAGAGGAATTCTTGTCTGACAAGAACAAGACAAAGAAGGGGGAATAGTCGAAAATTATTGAAATCAAAACCAAAAAAGAATGAACAAACTTTTTATATATATAATTAATTTAACTGATGAATAGTAAAACAAACTTAAGATAAATGATATCAAAAAGAACACCTCTAAATGAAAGAGTGAATAGAAACCCTTATGATTAGGAAGTTAAATATACTAATAAATCATTCACTTCTGGTAAAAAATAATCAGCTAATAAAATAAACTCAATCATTAGTGACATGCTATCAAAACGTTAAAGTTCCTAGGATATATAAAATCCAAAAGCATCTTTGATCAGATCTGAGACCAGTAATCAAAATGCATCCTAGAGATCTGTTTCACCTACTAGACTTTACTAAATGCCTGAATCCCTCAAAAAAATATACAATTAAATCCATCAAAAATGTGTTGATTCGTCCAACTAAAAATATCCCATTAAATAAAAATCAAAGTTTCTCAAGTAAAGAACAGAAGAATCAAAGTTTTCAACTTAATGCACTCCCACCTCAGATTACACTGAATAATATTTGATCAATTTAGTCAATTAAGAAGAGTGTGTTTTTACCATCCTAGCTGTTGTTACTAAACAAAGAAAAGTAGTAAAGTTATGCTAAAACTTTTTGAATGCCATTCCTTAATCCTAAGGAGATTGCAAAGATATTATTCAATAGAAAATCGTTTGTAAATAAATGTTATTAGAGAGAATGGGAATCTTTGTAATTATGCTCTAAGCATTAACAGAAAATTATGAGGATGAATTATAACATATTAAGAATCTGTTACTTTATATCCATAGTGGCATGGTCATTTACTTAGAATTTTTAATTAAGCAAAATCTAACAGAAGATTAAAAGAACATCTTATAAAATAGACTGAGTAAAATAAAGTATAATAGAAGATCTAATAAATCCATTCAGGATATTACTTAATTGAAGAAACATGCAAATGTTGTTCATTCGTTGTTAATCTTATTGTAATCATTTGAATTATGATTGTAGCATAGAAAATTCTAGTGATTTGAAGTGTGTAAGACTCGAGAAACTATTGTAAAATATCGATTAGATTTCCTTATAATAAGGGACTATGTTAATCAAACAATAATTCGATAAAGTCATTTGTGAAATCAACAAGATGAGATAAACTATGGATACAAATGAAACTGAGAAAACTCTCGAATAAGAAGAAATAGAGAAACATTTGGAACTTAAAATACCTTACTTGCCAAAATTCAATGGTTATACTTTAGTGATTGATTTGGATGAAACTTTGGTTCATTATTAAGAAGTATTTGTATATCATTGATCAAGTTAGTTGATGATGGCTAATTCTTAGTTAGACCATATGCTGAGTAATTCTTATTAGAGATGAGCAAATATTACGAGATAGTAATATTCACAGCAGCCTTACAGGATTATGCAGATTTCATTCTAGATTTGATTGATAAAAACAACATTATTTCTCATAGATTGTACAGATAGCACACTACATTAATAGATGGAACACATGTTAAAGATTTGACATTTGTTGGTAGAGATTTAAACACTACTATCATAATTGATAATATGGCCGAGAATTTCTAGCATCAGCCAGAAAATGGTATTTGTATCTAAAGCTGGTATGGTGATGAGGAAGATAGGGCTTTATATTAATTGGCTCCCATTCTCTCTTAAATAGTTATTAAGAAATGTAAGGATATTAGGAATGCTCTGAGATGTTTGAGGAATCAAATGCTGGAGAATATAGAAAATGGAGTTGAGGATCCTCATTTGCATTTATCTTTGAATTGATATTCGTTATGGTATAATTTAAATAATTAACTTTAATATTCTGTAATATTAATATTCTAAATTACTTATGAAAGTGTTATGTTGCTTTTTCTTTTGGATTTCATTTGTGAATAGTTTAATTAAGGAGTTTCAAGCGAGTCAGAATTATTTGCTAATTGAAATATTTAGTGAGGACTGGATTGATATGAAAATTGAAGTTGCAGAAAACTCAGTTATAATGAATGAAATAGCATAATAAAATACTCAATATTTAAACATGTATTACAAACTCAAAATTGGATCAGACTATAGATTGGACATTTTTGTTATGCCAGATAGTAATTTTACTATCAGTGAGGCCCCGTTCAGAAGCTGTCCAAATAATTGTTCAAATAAGGGAGATTGTCAAAACTTATAATGCCGCTGCTAAGTCATGGCTGCGGGGTATATAATGCTGATATAAATTTAGAGATAGATGCCAATATGAAGTTGTTTAACTCTATAATAGGAGTCAATATTCTGAAAGCCTGAAATCTCATTAAACATTAATTATTGCAATCTTTTATTAGCAAGATCAATTAATAGACGATTAGGAGTAATATTTTATAAAATTTTGAGTTAGACAAGAAATCTCCAAATCGAGTCATCCTCATCTGTGGATTCACACATCTATTTACTTTAACCCTTTTAATATCCGGCAACCAACCTGATTGACGAAAAACAGATTTATGAGGGGTAATTGACATCGACTCCAGAGGAGATTGATTACTCTAGTAAATTTGAAAAGTACCGCATTCAAGCCAGCTATTACTCTTTTGTGCTAGTATTAAAAAATATGAGTTCTCAGAAACAAGATGTCGTTCTCAAATATCAATTACTTGATAATGAATAAAAGTTCTAGGATTTTATTTTGGTAGCCATTCTGAGCGTAATCTCATTCATCATATTGTTGATTATAATTTATATAGTTAGAAGAAGGTGTTAATATTTATCATAGAGTTAAGCAAAAGAAAATCAAGAGGAATAGTCAGATAATATTGTTATCTAATTAATGCCTATAGTAAATCCTGTCAAAGATTAAGATTGTGTAATTTGTTTAGATCCATTAGATAACAGATTGTGTAGACAAACTCCTTGCAAACATGTCATGCATGATAACTGTTTGAAATAATGGATTTAAAAATAATTGACTTGTCCAATGTGTAGGGAAACTTTGAATGATGTAGAACATGTACCCAGGGCTTTTAAATCAAGAAACCAAACATCGAACACTTTCATTCTCAGTCACCAAGGTCAATCTATTGTATAAAGTGACCGTAATTCAGTTCGCTCTATGATCATTACTCGAACCAGATAAAGCAGACTAGCTGTTTTTTAATGAAAATGAGTATAATCATTAACCCTCCAACATTATTATTAAATTAATTTACATCTCAAATTGACAATCAATTTATTTCATTCATTGAATTCATTTCTATATAACTTTGAGTTCTAAAACATTAAAAAAATTAAAATCTTTTTTTAATGCCTCCTAAAGTCGACCCAAATGAAGTTAGATTGATCAATATCAAAGTCTTCGGAGGAGAAGGTGGACCTGCTTCAACTCTTGCTCCAAAGTTGGGACCTCTCGGTCTTGTAATTATAATTGCATAATATAAAAACAGAATCCTAAATAAGTTGGTGATAAAATTATTGCAGAAAGTGGAAAATGGAAGGGTATAAGAGTTATGGTCAACTTGAGATGCCAAAACAGAAATGCTGATGTTACAGTCATCCCTACATCAAGTGCATTACTAATCAAAGAAATTGGAGTATAAAATATTCACAAATTAATTTATTAAGGGTTATGAAAGAGACAGAAAGAAAACCAAGAATGTTAAACACAACGGAAATTTGACACTCGAATAAGTCATCAAAGTGGCCAGAGCTGTCGAAGAGAAGTCTCTTGCTAAGACCTTTACAGGAACAGTCAAATAAGTATTAGGTACTGCATAATCTCTTGGTGCAACTGTTGATGGACAACCAGTTAAAGCTATTATTGGAAAAATTAATTCTGGTGAACTTAAAGTTGAAAAATGATGATGAAAATTAAGTATTCATTTTATGCACAAAATAATAAAATATAATAAATTACAAATATTGTTTATTTCATATTGCCATTTATTATTTATTATTGATTACTAAGAAATCCATCAACACAGTAATTTATCAATCCAATTAAGATATCCTTAATGGTTTTATAGACTAAACATCCCATATTCACTATGTATAATATATTGAATAGTTGATATTATTATTATTAAGAGAAATAAATAATATTTTTTGGTTAAATTTATAACTATATTTTTTAATTTCACTCATGAACCAAGAAATACTAAAAAGTAATTATATAATCTCATTAGAATAAATATTTCGAAAATTTTTGATAATTAATTAATCGTATACTTTATTTATGAATAATAAGAATTAGAAATTAAATGATTTGTTAATTTTTTATAAATTAATGAAAAAGAACTTCACATCTTCATTAATCGATATTGTTCTTATAATTTTCTCATTATGATTGACTTACTTTCCTCTTCTTCTCCCTTATCCTCTTATTTCTTAGAAAAAAGGCCTGAATACTAATTGAAATTGTTCCTCATTGCGAAATTGCCATATTCCCACTTAGAAGAATCTGGTGAAAGTTTTAAGGAAGAAAACTATCGGCTGGGAAATTCTTGCTATTACATGAGTTTTAATTGTTTTTCAAAAGTATCTATGGCCATACAATTATCCAAAAGGTCAATTATTTTGGGCTTGTTAATTTGTAACAATTTTTTTATTGCTTATTCATGACTAGTTTATTTAATGTCTTGTCCTTCCTCCACCAATAAATGCTAAGATTCTTGTGAATCCACACTTAATTTCGTCAAGCTTCCTTAGCTGCATTATTAAAAAATATACATATCATCGGCTACAAACAAAATAAACCGAAAGGTTAAATTCAAAATCTTGTCCCTTTTTGCTTTCTTATTTATTCTACCTTGTTTTTTATAAACTGAATAAATAGCTTTTATTGTCGAGGCATTGTGCCCTGTGATCATAGAAACCTTAATAATATAAGAAATAGTCATACATGTGTAGTGGAATACTTGTATTACTCAATATAATGTATTATCAAAGCTCTCTCAGACGAGGATATACTTTTATATTTTGTTCTTGAAGCTTTCTATTTTTTAATTTTCATCAATAAATAATTCGATTATGAGAAGTATCATACTATGTATTACAAAGAATTTGAATATTAAACGCCTAATTCTAATAGTCAATAACTAAACTTTGTATTCATAACTAAATTTTACTGAAATATTAAAAAATAGCAATAAACGAAATTTAAAATTCTGAAGACACCCCTACACATAGAAATTAAAAATCAGAAAGAGTCTCAACTAAATTTTGATTTTCTTCTATTTATTTAAGTTATTTCAAACAATATTTTGAAATAACCAAAGTTAAATTTTTGTAAAATTGATTATATTACTCAATAGATTAAACTTGAATTTCACTCCTCTAAATATTTAATTTAAGTTCAATAAATTAGTAGTTGTAAAATAATGAATATGATAATATCAATTCTTTAATCTTTACCTAATAATTTTGAAACTTCTCAAGTAACCAAAAAGATGTTTAAATAACATTTATTTAAATATTTGTTCTTTTATAATTAGTTTTTTTTTAAATCAAATATATTATTTCTAATAACAATATAATTATTATCCATTCAATATGTATTTAATAAAATGTATTAAATCTTTAGTATGCTTAGTCTTTTATGATTTATTTATTTATTCTCACTAATTAATTGAGACCTTCAATTCAAATCACCATATTTATCATATTTGAAATTAGAAAAATCCAAAATTTTCATCATAAACTCAAAGTCTTGTAATGAATTTTATATGATTATAATTCTAACATTTATTCGCCATATCTCAATTTCTCAAATTATAGATCATAGATTTTATTACTTAATTTTAAGAATCTCTTTCAAAGTTAGTTGCATATTAAGAATTACACCTAAAACCTTGACAAAAGCATTCTACTAATCAATTATCATAATAAATAAATAAAATATATTGAAATTGATGTTTTTATAATTTACCAAATGATTTTAACATATTATTGAGCATAAGTAATCATTTCAAGTGATTAGAATGTAAAACACCTTAAATTAATGTTAAGAAAAGAGAATGAAAACTTTTGTTAACTAAAAATACAGTTAATATTAATTTTTTTCATTCCATTCCAAAAACTCCTTCCAGATCATTTAAGACAATAGATCTCAAATATTTTCTCATCATCTCTTCAGTAGGATATTTTGGCAATTCAAGTCTGTTAAAACAAGTATGGGCTATTGGAAATGAATTAGTATTTTTATATTCGATTGGAACAATCTAAAATTTGGAATACATTCCTCTATTAGATTCTAATTTGCTGAATCCACTTCATATTATTAAATTAATACTTGACTGGTATTCTATATGATCCAGTACAGTAATGCAGGAATTTCTTTAATTAATCTTGATCGAATTCAGCCAAGACTTTCCAGAACCATATAATTTGTTAGTTGTTTTCAAAATATGGTTGTTTATAAATGGAATGTTATTTCCATTCATCTAAATCGATCAGAGAAACTCCATAGAGAAGCATTTCAAATTCTTCAGCAGTGAATATGTTTAGATAATCATTTGGAATATATTTGTATAAGTTAGTTTAAATTTGATGTAACTAAGTTGAGATTAGTTTATCAGTGTAAAATTAAATGCTTATGATTATTTAGATTATTACCATAAATCAACAAATTCCTATTTGTTCTAATTGTTAACTAGTATGTTGGCTCCATCTTCTTTGAGTTCTATAATTTCATCGTCTTTGCATATTATGAAGTATTATTGCAATTGATTCTCATCAAATTAGTTGTCCATGAGATATTTCCAACTTAGATAGAGACCTTTATCATAGAACTCGATATCTGAAAGGGTGACTTCAAGTCCAAGTAGTTTCTTAATTAAAGGTCTGTCCAATTCAACACAAATAGTCATCCTTTCAAATAAGGCCTTTGCTATGGCCAAGCCTACCAAATCAAAGTAGAGACTCTGCCTAGCTATTTTATAGGAAACATCATTAGTTTCAGTTAAAACAAATATTTCTTTACACATTTCCTTGAAAATTAGAGTCAACCATTCTCTTAATAAACCACCTGCATCTTGAACTTTATCATTCTAAAATACTACTTTGACTTCTTTATAAAAATCAACTCCTCTGGCTGAATTCAATGAGGAGGAGAGTAAATCATTTTGATTTACATTCAGTTTATCCGATCCCAATTGCCAAGGTATCCTAAATTTTTCTAGTTGCATATTAAACCAAACCTATTTTTCAGCAAAAGATCTTTTTTAGACATCAGTTGGTTTTAGATTCTATTTTTAAATATTTATGCATACCTAAATCTATCCACCATTGACTTGTGATTAAACTCTCTTCCATTTATTATTCTATTTTATCCAAATATAGTTGTCTCCTAATTAGACATGTGGTTGAGGCATTTGAAATCCCATTTGGTTTTAAACTTGTGCATGTTAGAGACATTGATCTATATGAGAATTCAAAACATTATAAGTAGTAGACGATCCAAACTTTCGATCGCAATTAGGACACCTAGCTTCGTGTCCAATTTTTTAATTCTAATGATTAGAACTTCTATTCCCCATTTTCTTCAAATATTATATATAATCAATATGCAAAATTATAAAACTTATAAAACCATGTTTAAAATTTAGAATGCCATTTATCGTATCATATAACAAATTAATCTAATATATCTGATGAATAAAGATCCATTTTATATATTAATCTTTAAAAGAATATTTCTTATCAGATATATTCGTTTCCAAGTCATACTGATTCCTTTTAGAAAATGTTTTGAGTCATTTATGGATTATTAGTATCTAATTTTCTAATATAATAATTTAATCGTTTAAAATAACTAAATAATCATTCTAAAACTGAATGATCCAGTACAAAATTGTAATCCCTGTAATCTCAAACTTTGTTCAGACTGAATTGTATCCTCTCTGCAATCCCATAACAAGTATTATAAATTTCTACTTATAGAGAAATTAGCAATCATTCACTCTTTCATACAATTAAACAAAATGATCATAGGATTAAATTCTTTAGTATTTTTGAAATTTGGTTTCAGACTCGATAGAAATTAGAGCCTCCTTAAAATTCTTGAAGCATTTAGTTGAAGATCCCTAATTACCTTCGTTATTTGAAGGTATTTGTTTTTGCATATTTTAGATGAATTAACTTGAAGCCTTTTAGAATCAAGCTATTAAAGCGTACAAAATAAATTAATTTTATTAGGTTATAAAGTTTTTGATAATAAGTTTTTACTATTTTGCTAGTAATAGTATAATTATTAGAGAAGGAATAATTATTAAGTTTGATAACTTCACTAGTTTCTCTTTCGCGTTTTGAATTATAAATCTAATTGTATAGTTAATGAGAATTCTAGAAAGAATATTGAGTTAATATTATTTTCTTAATTTATTCGTCTTACGATGCATTCAACTGCATCTTCAAATGTCTTACTGAGATTTTTATTTCAAATCTGAAACCATTTTTTAGATTATTGGATGAACAAAATTCTATAGAATTCTTATTAAATTAATCGAAGCATAAATTATCTAATTATTATTTTTATAAATTAATTATATAAAGTATAATTATTATAATAATTATATAACAATTTGTACTGATCATAATATGTTATCTTTATTAAGCGCATAATCGTCAGTACATCTTAACGCCATAACGTTAATTACAATCTTCAGATAATGAAAAATAAATAAACTCTTTTGACAGGATGATATATCTAGATCTTTTTCTTTCATATAATTATATTTCCATTTCGCCACACCAGTAGGAACCTTGTTATTAGAAGGGGCTGTTGATAATGATGTATAATATACATCTAATTATTATTATTTCCATATTTTAGTGAACTAATCTATCAAAACCTTGCACTTATAAATCTTTCTTTTCAGATTGTTCATAAAATCAAAGAAGCAAATAATGGATGAATTTTATATCTGTAATCCCATATTTTATTTTGTATTATTCAACTGATAAAGTTTATGATAAGAACAATTATATGCTATAATAGAAATGTAAATTACTTATTTTTGAGTGCTAAGTATTAAAAATATAATCTTTAGGATACAATTGCTTTATTGTGAAATCTTATTTATTTAATCTTTAAACTCTAAATATACTTTATGTGATAAATAATAACAATTCCGGTTATTTTCTAATAACTATATCTTATTATCGATATCCAAAGTTTCTGATTCACTCAACTATGCTTGTAAAATTATGATCAGTACATTGATAGTGCAACCCTAAGTTATCATCAATTGTATATTGTTATTGCTATGATTGAATCTCTTAGATAAATTATTAGGTATGGGACATTGGTGATTATAATGTTGAATATTAATTTGGGCAGTTAAAAATAATTTTATATCAAATTTCTTGAAATATTCTAACTTATTCATTATGAAGTTTGTAAGTTAGGATAATAGATAATAAGAATAGATAAAATCAAATTATTGTGATCGATTAAATTTTTTATCGATATACGAAACTTATATTCATTTTAAGAAATTAATCGTGTATTATAATAATGAAAAAGTTCCTTTTTAAAATCAAAGCATTTTACGTTAGAGACTTCTTATTTATCAGAGATTCGAAGAGGATAACATTTAAAATGGCCATTGCGATGATATTTATAGAAAACCTTTAAATGTTATCAGTGTACACTAATAGCTTTAATACAATTTAGTATGATGAATTTCTAAATTAAGTTCAATCCTTAATCAATTATTTTAGGTCAACTAGATATCATATATATTAGGATTTACACTTTATTCGGTAACTCAATTACTGTAAGAATTGCTTGTGTAATGGTTGGATTTTTGATAAAAACCATATTTTTAGTAAGACTGGTTTTTCTAGTGTTAAGTTAATATTTATTTATCAAAGAGAAGTTGACTCTTCATGATTTACCACTAGATCAAGTATTAATATAAATAAATATATCAGAACAAATAAAATTATCATTTTGAGAAATCATGGCAGTCAACATTGATTTTCTGGTACATGAAAATCAATCTTGAAGTCATGTAGGTACCAGTGCTATTTTGTGCCATTAGTGTTATCACTGATCTGATCGGTCTCAGTATTAATTATTTTTATTTAGAAAGTTTAAATGAATTTGAATAAATTGGATTGCTTTTAAGTTTCCTTCTAATTATTTAATAAATACTTGTAGGTGTATTCCTGCATTTTCATCAGACTGATTACAGAATAAAAGATTATGATTTATTAGGGAAACTCAATGGGTTAGAAAACCAAACTCTTTATGGATTGAAAATACTGTAATAAATATGATTATTTCTTTAGAATAATATTTTTATCTGGAAGTTAATAACATATAGTTGTTATTTAAACCTTAGGATTGCTTATCAATAGTATATAGGCAATACATAATTATAGATAGCTCACTTATATAGATCATAGAATAACCAATTTTGCTAATTAGATTAATTTTCTGATGTTGTTGTATTAGGTAGTATTGATTCTATGTGAATTTGGGGAGACACAAATAAGAATCAGTTCATCATTATTGATTCTTTTCTTTTCACCCCTAATTATTATTCTGTTCCATCAACTCCATATGAGATCAGAATATAACAATAAACATATCGATAACCATCGATATTTAAAAAAACTGTATTGGAATGCCAAAAAACTGATCTATTCTAAAAAGATGTCTTAACATTAGGATTAATAAATACTATTTGAAATATACACAGTAGTCAGAAGCCATTTATAAGAATGCAAATAAATAAGGATAAGAAAAATGTTAAAAATGGCTAGTTTCAAATAAACATGCTTTTGTTCAATTTTTCAAAATCAGAGGGATTCATTCTAGAACTTAGAGTAATGTAAGGAATTTTTAAAATTATTGTTGGGTTAAGTATTGGAAGATTAACTAAAGGAAAATGGCTGCATTTAGAATTCAATAACCTATATATGTTATTTAACTGAAATCAAGAAGGCGCCAATCTCAGCAATATATGAAATAATTAGAACTTCAACTATAGAAAAAGTATATTTATATGTCAAAATAATAGCTTCAATTGAGATAAAAGTAGATCATACATTAACTTTAATAGAGTTCTTAAATAAAATTTAATCAATTAATAAAGAAGTAAAATTTAGTAAATCAGATGTTTGATTTTAAAAGAGCCTACCAATTTGAAGAATCCTTAAAGGTTTTAAAGTTAAACCTTTATGTCATCGTCAAATAAGAAATAGTAATAAATAATAATAAGTTTAGGAATTCTATGAAACTCTTTTTGCACCAATCATAGATGCATCAATTTTGTAAGACAAAGGGTTACAATTAGTAAATAACATTACTTTTTTGGAAAAATAGATTTAACTTGTTTTCAGGACTAATCCACAGAATGGAGAGTGTGACACCATTTACAAACTATTTCAAAAATACATAAACTTCAATAAAGTTAGGCCAAAATTATTTAAAAGAGAAGGCCAATTAACGGCTGAATTCATTTAATCAATTGATAAAATAATTTACAATTAAAATAGTTGCGTGGTTTAAATTACCTTACTTTAACCTAGAGGAAATGTAATTAGATACACAAGATCATTTTAACAAGTGTTGTAGTATAAAGATGATGAAATTATGAATTAAAACATTAAAAAATTTATACCTTCCATTATTGCTAGCGATCATGATTAATATTTGAATAATTTTGTTGAAACTGGAAGAATTAACGTATTAAAAAGAGAATTAAGAATTATTTTAGTAAAATTAAAATCTGGATTTGTGATTCCAATCAATACTAGATTAAGAATTGAAGTGAATTCTATTGAATTTGGAGCTTAAGCACTTATGACCCCAGTTAATTATTCATATGGATATTTGATGCTTAATGAATAAGGATAAATAGAGGAATTAACAAAGAACATTTTTGAGGACATATTTAAATAATATTTGGGATTAGACTTTGATTTTGTAAGAGGTTTAGACTTTTTGCTTATGATTCCTGACTTATCTAAGATATGGGAAAGTATATTTGATGAGAACTTTGAAAAATTAGACTTATATTTAGAAGCCTAATTATTGATTCCAGTAATAGAGAAACAAGCAGTCTCACCAATATGTCCATTTAATTATGGAAACAAACTATCCCTTAACAAAAGACTAGCAGATTACATCAAAAACAATAGCTAAAATATTATTAAATATCAAATTAACCTTCATCTCACTAGTCTAACCACAATAAATCTAAGGTAATGTTTGTATGTAATTATATATAGAGTCGTTATTGTTGAAATTCCAGAATACAAGCAAACGATTAACAAATAATATGCAAGTTAACTTGAATTATATAATTAATAAGTGTAGCCTCATAAAACATCAGTTAATTTCACTCATCAATCAGACTTACCAACTCATAAATCTTGTGGTATAAACTCTCCAATGAACACACCCCCTCCTACCAAAACTTTAATAAACGAATGTGATTTAGATTATGAAAATTTAATAGAAGAAAAAAAAATGATATAGGAATTTCGAAATCAATTAGCCTCAATTACAATGAATAACACATTACAGAACAATTCTAAAGAACCTTTAATTTAACAATAATAATAAGCCGAGAATATATACGAAGCAAAAATAGTTATGATGCCTTAACGTATTTTATCTTACAAAAGTGAGGAATTTGAATAGAAATAATACTAGCAAGAACAGTTCTAGTAATAATAATAATATAATGGCTCAGTTGGAAGTAGATCTTCCTAGAATAACAGCAATACATTCAAAATGTAAATAAAAGATTGTTTATAAAATAAAAAAGAGTTAAATTTAAGGATAAAGATCTTTTTATTAATATTTTATTTCCTATTATTAGTAGGGTATATCCTAAATTTTTGTATTTTATACTTTAATTTCTAAAAGATTGATGTCAATTTAAATTTTGAAAGTCTACCTTATCAATTCAATTACTATTATCATGAATTCATTATTGCTTAGGTCTACGTATCTGAATAAGAATTTAAATTCAATCAGCTACTAAAAACTTCATTATATTATTACCAAAATCAATTGAAAAATGTTGATTAAATTATATCTCTTATGCCTCAAATTAATGTCATAAATAATTAAACCTTACAAAGAAGAACCGTAAATGTTATTTCACAAATGTCTGAGGTTTATGATTCCAACAAAAGTACATCTCTCTAAGAGTATTTAAATAATAGTGATGCATTTCATGTATTATTAGATAAATTTAGTGAAGCCAATTCTCCTTCATCAATATCTAGTCTGCTCAGTTAGTATGATAATATTTAATATATTCTAGTTTTATCCTTGAAGAAATCTTGCTATTTATACTTTTATCCAGTTATGCCTATTTTTATGTTTCCATACTAAAGATGAAGATAAAATTCTTTAAATTATTTTGTACTTTTTCAAAAGATTTTGTAAAGGAATAGTTTATTTAATATCATTCATTTTATAACCAAATTAATCATGCTAAATTTAAAACTAATGAAACAAATGAAGAATCATTTGAAGCATCGATGATAACTTACTATTAAAAGAATTCTACTTAAAGTAATTTGGAGAGTCAAGTAAGAGTTGGAAGATAAATTTAAACTCCATGTAATTCATTTATTAATATTTTGTAGAAATCAACATGAATTTAATATTTTTCTTTTTCGTGATGCTTCTGATATCTGTTTTTAGTTCATCTTACTATTTTGGAACATATTTACTCTAAAAATAAGTACTTATTACCATAGAAGCAAATTATTTTGAAAGGTTGTACTATGAAAATGTTGCAAATCATTTATTATTTGCTTATTCTCATTCAGCCTTTTTTTACAATAAAACTATTACCGAAGAAATGTTATAATATTAAACTAGTGCCCTAACTGAATTATAGGAATATATTACTTAGATCACAATATAACAAGAAAATTCAAATAATTTAATAATTTAAAATATCTTAGTAGATTAAATTTGTAGTGTTTTTCAAGAAGGAATGTAAAAATTTATAATATTTCTAGATCTATAGAGGACACTGGCTATTAAAATTTGTTTTCATTTGAACAGTGCTCATCTATACCTTCTCTATCAAAAGGTTTGATATTCGTGGCCTAAGAATTATTTTCCATTTACAATGACATTGTATAGAACTTGCAATCCATATAGTATAATGAAACTTCAAAGTTTCCCTTATTATTAGAGGCTGATATATAAATAGAGAGACTTTATTCGCAATTCAGCTTTTAAATCATAACAGAATTACTTAGATAAGAAATTAAAGATTTGATATCATAAACGTTTTACTTAAATACTGTAATGTTTGTCTTGGCAATTATTTTGGCAAGTTTGACTTTATTAATTGCAAAAGTGTCTATTGAGAAGATTTAGTCATAGCATTCAGAAAATAAAAGAATATTAACATTATTTCCATATGATAGATTAATGGAGAATGCCTATGTACATAGTTTTATATCATAAGATTTACATTTTTTAGTTTGAAATTGATCGAATTATAACTATAATATTAAAACAATAATTAATATCTGTATAATTGTATTGTTCTTTCAGAATTGTTATTAGATGGAAAATGAAATCCATCCTTTATTATTTTTTATTTGAAAACATTTTTTGTAAGAATAATAGATTTCTATTAAATTGGATATTAAAAGAAACATCTATATAAATAAGTCGATGAAAAATATTGTATTATGATCCTTATCTATAAATACATATATGATTATTCAACTTTAGAACAACAGGATGATCTCTAACGTAATAATCTTGTGAATTTAGCATAAAAGTAAAAAGAAGTCATTATTATATTTATTATCATATTTTACTCATTTTTTTTATGATTTTTTACAATGGAAACAATTAAAGATTCAGAACCACCAATATTCTGGAAATTAATCGTAAGCATTTCTTTGACATATTTTGAGGGGAGGTCAAAGAGTAAATAAAACATACACTCAGTTTCTCTGAATAATCAAAAGATTATGATTGAATAAGATAGGATGTTTCTTAGATCTTGCTTATATATAATGATGTAAGATTTCTGATTTATAGGATTGATATAATTGATGAGTTGTGTTAAAAATTTATCATTAAAATAATTAATTTATGTCATCAGATTCGGATTAGCATAAAAAGGAAGAGGCAAATCGGATTTATGTGACAGGATATTCAGCAAAAGAATCAGAAATGGATATAAAGAGTGCTTTCGCTAGACATGGAGAGATTCAGGAGTTTTCATGGAAAGGACGCTTTTGTTTCATCGTAAGACGTGGGAGTTGGCATTAGGGTGCAGGCTTATACCAAGCCTGAAGACGCAGCAAATGCTGTTAGATTGATGAATTAGTAAGAGATCAACGGAAGGAATTTGATTGTGGAGCTAGCACGAGCAAAGAAAAAAGATGGAGCCTGTTATTAATGTGGGAAATAGGGGCATTTGTAAGTGAAATGAATATAATTTTAGTGCTCGAAATTGTCGTTTGAATAGACGATCTTATTCTGACTCCAGGTATGAGAACATGTGACATTAGGCGCCATTCAAAGAAGAAAAAAAAACATAGAAAGCATAGATCATCAAGCTCTTCCTCGAGTAGTGAAAAGAAAAAATCAAAAAAGAGAAAGAGAAAGAGCAAGAGTTCTTCTTCTAGCTCTCATTCACGTTCAAGTGATTGATAAATAAAAGTTCAATATATTTAAAATCATAAGTAAATTATATATACAAATATAATTGTCATTCCTGAAACCTTTAGTTAGTAATGTGGGATAATATAGTAGTCATGGTGCGATCCTCATTAGAATTTTTCATATCTTTTTTGAAAGTTGGCATTTTCGATAAATTTCTCTTAATATTTTATTATGTAGTATCATTATCTCTTATAAACAGTCTTTTATCCACTAAAATATGAATAGATAATTACAATCAATGACACCAAAACACTTTTCATTTTGCATTAGTAAATTGCTTTGAATCATGAAGGTTTCCAAAACCTTATGTCCAAAAGTTACAAAAATTCTAACAGAATCTTCAGCACAGAAATTATTGATTTTCTATGCTATAACATCACTTTCTTGTCTGACAAAGGTTTTGATCTCAGTCTACATAACTCTTGTTTTTAAGAACATTTCATTTAGATTTACAGTCTTGAAACATGAAGCTTTGCTGGAAGTGCTGCCATTATTTTCTTTGCATTATGGTGATAATGGCTCTTAACATAACAATTTTCGATTAGGTTTTTGGTTGTTAATAAAGAATTAGTAGCAATTATCAGACAAAAAGGGATCTAAGGATTACACATGAACAGAGAAATTCCATAACATAGTTTATTGATTAATTCTATTAATTTCTAATTTAGATTTCATAACATTATGTGATCTATTCTTAGAATCAATTTTAACTCCATCTAAAATTAATAACAATAAATATACCTGGACATATCATTGAGTAGTCAAGCTAAAAGTTATTTTTATTTGGAACATAAATTAGGATATGGTATTGATTAATAAGACTGTAGTAATCTGGTATCATAGGAATATTCAGAACTTAACCAGTTGAATTGGCTAAAACATCGAAATCATAGGAAACTTATAAGAATCCTTTTCGTTAAGCATGGACTCTAACTTACTTGAACATCAATCCTGGACAATTAAACAATCCCTAATCATTTGTCATTCCAATAATCGGTTCTTAATCAGCTTAATCTGATTAGAATACTTCCAATCTACAATTTTCAATGTCTTTATGTTATCCACTTCTTAACAGAATATTATAAACTCTAAATTAAAGAGTAGTTTCTACACAACTTACTAAATCAAATTCAATTTTCACATTTGTGTTTCCTTGCAAAAAGATGGTCCTCTTTTAGGAGAAGCAATCCTTTTTTGAAACATCAATAACATATTCTTATTTGTCTCTTCCATAAAATATAAATGCTTATTCATTAGAATCATAGGTTAATGTTTCAGTAATGTTTTTAGTAATATTGACAGTAGCATCTTCAGGAGCTTTGACAATGCATTTAATAAGATCTGTTCTTTCCACTCTTGTAGAAACATAAACAGTGTCAGTGTTTTCATCCAGTAATTCATCTACATTTAGTTATGATTTAGTAGTTTATATGCAATTTCCACTTATTTCTATTTCATATGAATTAGTTTACTAAACTAAATCAATAAATTTAGCCTCTTCAAAACAAGTGATTGGGATTGTCTAAGAAAATAATTTAACAGTGAATTTCTTTTCTGGTGATTATACCTTTTGTTTTGAACCAGAAAGATCAATTTATGAAACATTAGTTTGGGTCATCCATGCTTGGGATTTAGTGGGTGAAAAGTAAACTCTTACTGATTTTTCCATATCTCTAATATTTTCTGTGCTTTTGTAGATATCTAATTTAGATGCACTTTTCTATCCACTTCCTGCTTATTAACAAAATGAGGTTCTGATTACAATCTACTTAGTTGGAGTTTATGCTGATTATACTGTGGGTACTTCTCTCTAACGGACAGTTACTTGAAGTCCTTCCAAAATGCTTTTTTACATTCCATCTTCACAAACTGGCACTACATGTTTGATTGGACAATCAACATTAACTGTTAAATTAAATTTCTTTAAATGCAGCCATACCAAATCTCCAATCAATTTAGGTGTGATTTATTCTTTTGAAAATTGACGGGAATATAAAACAACTGCATGAACATCTGGTTAGAATAGTTGAATCTATAAATAATGATCAGGATGATTGATTTATTAACGAAACACCTTGATAAATGGAAATCTAAAAATATTAGAAAACACGTACTTTCTATTTATTGTTTGTTTTATTTCATCCAAAAGATCTTAAAATGCTTCCCTAGTCTCATCTACGCCAGTACTCTTAAACTTTGGATTATAACAACTCTATATTGAAACTGCGATTTGATTTGATTTCAACTAATCAAACTCACTCAAATTAGCAAATGATGCCTTCTCCTGTAATGATGAAAGTATATTTCTTAATAACTCTTTGTACTGCATTGTAATTTTGGTTGTAGTTGTTGGTACCATATTGTCATTAAAAAAACTAAACTCGTTTATACTCTATACCTCACTTTGGATTTGAACTTAAATCTATTCGGAGATTGCTAAGAATTTATACTGCTGGTTGTTTAGAACATAATTTTATAATTGATCGTTAAAAAATTAAAAAAGGTTTTTGCGGGGTTTATAAACTCTATTTCTTATCATTCTTTTATTTCATTTCAGGATCTAAAACTCATTCTCAATTTACAAAGCTAACTGAATCTGAAACAAATTCTGTAAGTAAACATGTCTTCTATTGCAACCCATCTATTATAATCTAATAGAAAATATAATTAAAAATTTCAAAAAGTTGTTTATTAATTTATTCATTTAGGAGTGCTGTTAAAGTGATTGTGAGCTTAAGTTATTCCTAAATAACTCATTGCCTAATATCGTCATAAAAAGCAATTTTAATATTTAAGCGGATATTTGCTATGTGGCGATCTAATTATTCTAGATGGATCTTAGATAAAATCTTATATAGAATAGATCTTAAAAAATAAATGACTATTTCAATTGTTGATCTCTTTAATAAATAATTTAAATTATGGTCCTATTATTCCAAACTCACATCACTCAGAAGAGATTTACTAATTATACATAACAATTTCTTAAATATCTTAGTTTTGCATAAAATTCAATAAGAACCTCTCTCTATAATATTAGTGTTCTTCATGAATTCAACCAAATATTGAAGCCTAACAATATAGAAATAGAGAGATTTAAAAAAATTGAGATCTTCAGAGATTTTTTCAGTTTTTTATAAAAGTAATACTGTTAATTAGGCTTAATGAATGGGAAGTACATACATCCTGTAACTAATTGAGATTTTATTATATATTCAAGAATGTTAGTCTTTATGTATTTAAGTAATTTATTAAATTCCACTTAATTTTATGAAGGAGCTTTAAAAAAACTCAATCTTAAAACAATGGCCACACTATTAAAAAATATTGAAATCTTCAAAATATTCTTAATGGAAGCAGAATGATTTAGTCTGTAAAAGAAGCATGTTTTATCATACTGCAATTGCTCTTAGTGCCTTTTATGTGTTGATTAGCCTAATTGTAGAAATTATAGAAATGGAAAATATGAGGAATATTGTACAATTAACACTTTTTATAGTCTCAGAGATCGTAATTATATGCATCTACTCTTTTTGTAAGAAAATCTAGATTTACTTCCTTATATAATATTGCCTAATTACGGTTTATATCTTGGTAACAGTACAAAATGAGGAAAAAAATAAGATCTTCATTTTCCTATATTTGATACTCGTAAATAGCCATTCTAACATAATAATAAAGATTTTGCTCTATTTATATTTTAGCTTCACGATAATATTTTTTTACAAGCTGGAAACCCTTGAGGTTTGCATCATATGTATAATAGCTTTTATTCACAACTCTTAGTTGGAATTACATTTCATTGGCAATTACATAAAATAGTTAAAGCTACTATCTATTATTGAGCAAATGCCTAGTGCAGTTTGCATCTTAGATTAAAACACGAAATAGATAACATACTCTAATTAATTATTTGAGAAATTAGCCTAGACACTGCAAGTGAGTGATGAACTGGCCCAATCCATAAATAATTCGAGCAAAGAATAATAGCAAATCGATTTTATAAGAAATCTAAATTTAGAAGAAATAAAAAATGATGGATTTCAAATATCCGATTTCATTCCCTAAATAAATGATGAAGGCATAACAGACGATTAGTATAAGATAGTTAATGTGGATTTTAAAAGATAACCATCACAAAATACATTATAAAATGTGAGTTTTATGTGTCCAAATTCAGCTTCATTAAAAAAGAAATCCAAAGACATTTTCAGCGATATCAATACTAATGATTATTTGCTAAATTCTTCAAGAAAAAGCTATGTTACAACAATCCATCTCTAAATTTAAATAAGTCATTAACCTAAATCCTTTATTCTATCTGCAAAAACCAAAAGAAGGAAGAAGTCCTCAAACAACATGAACCTCAGCAAATAAAGTTCGAGAAATTTAGGTTAATTTTCTAAAGTTTAGGATATATAGAATTCTATGTATTGCGACAATCTGAAATTATCTCCAAACCATACAGAAACCCTCAATCACAATTTAGTTGAACATACAGAATAATTTAAATGTGTTAATGATGGGTTTGGATAATAATCAAGTACTAGCCATAAGGTAAGATTGATGGTTAATTTGATACAGATTAGTGATGTGTTGAATGAAGAACAAGATTATTAAATTTATTGTATTAATGAATTGAGTCCTTTGCTTTTGTAGTATACGGTAAAGAAATTAGAATAAGCCAAGAAAACTATAATGAGATCGTTGTCTCATGAATTAAGAACTAGTATTAATGCAGTCAATGGCTACATCAGTGAAGCTTATGAGAGGATAGATAATATTCAGCAACTTAATAAGAATTTAGAATTGTCATTGAAATACATAAATTTGATGAAGTTAAAACTTTAAGATTTTTTTGATTACAGAGATATTTTAGAAGACCAATTTGAATTGAAGGTAGAGAAATTTGATTTAAACATTGCAATCAATCTCTGTGTAGATTTAATCAAAGTTTAATGTTAGGAGAAGAAACTAAATCTCAATGTGGAAATGCCCTCTGAAACGATTATAGCCATAGGGGATAAGAATAGATTTTAGTAAGTATTGATTAACCTATTAACAAATGGGATTAAGTTCACATAATAAGGAGGAATAACAATTCAAGTGAGCAGGGACTTTTAACTGGATTCCATTTCAGGATTAGAGGAGGTGAGGGAGATTAAATTACAATAGTTGGTGCAGATAAGAATTATTGATAGTGGCATTGGAATGAAGGAGGAATTGAAGGGAATACTCAATAAGAAAGTAATATTAATGTTTATTATTTAGTTTCTATATGTGGATGATGATCCAAAAATATCCAAAGATTCGGTTGGGATAGGATTAGGTTTGAGTGTTTGTCAGCACATTATTAAAGCTATGGGTCCTTAAGGGTTGAATAGTTTGTTCTTAGAATCAATAATGGGAGGGGGATCATAGTTTTACTTTTTTTTAAATTATGATTCGATAAAAAAGTATCACAGCGACCAAGATATTCCTGAATCAGAAAATAAGGAATAAACAATAGTAAGATTGAGTCCAACCAAGAGAAGCTTACTTAAACAAATTGTATTCATTTGTTATTTGTTATTTATTAGGTGACCTACCAAAATGATGCTTGCAATTCCAATGATATTTTGATCGTTGACGATGAACATTTCAATTTAGATATTTTGGCAAACATAATTCATAATTTGAATTCACATCATAAGAAGTATGAAATCACTAGGGCCTTTAATGGATCTCAAGCTTTGGAGAAGATCAAATAGAAAAGAATACAGAATTGTTGTTGTCTTGGATTCAAAGCAATTTTGATGGACATCAACATGCCTATTATGAATGGTTGGGATTGTGCCAAATAAATCAGAATATTCGAAGATTAATATAAGGTTTAGAGGAAAATCCCAATTATAGCTATCACTGGATATAGTGGAAAAAAAGACTTGGAAAAATGTTTCAAATACGGATTTGATTATGTATCTACAAAACCTACTGATAAATAAAAAATATTGAAGATATTTTAAGAATTTAATATATGATGTAATAAATGTTTGTACTTTTATTAATTATACTATACATAAAATTGAAATATTTCTATCAATTATAAAATCATATCATTTAGAATTAATAAAGAGCATTATTATTTTCTACTTAAAAACTGATATAGAAATATTAAAGATCATTATAGCCTATTCTAAAAACTATCAGGGGATTAATTCATATCTAAATCTTTAAAAGATTCTTTGCTACCAATGGCTTCAGAGTGGTTCTTAGCTTCATCAAATTCATCTGGTACTTCTAACTTAAAATTTTCTTCTGATTATTTTATTTAATCTGAATTTTATACAACTTCCTCTGTAAAATAATTCTTTTAAACCAATCTAAACAAACTCTAATTCTACATAGCAAATTGCATTAATTATTTGTTTGTTTGCCAATTATAGTTCTTATTCTGAGTTACCTTTTAAAAGTTTTCTACCAAATCTTCTGCATTTTCAGCCCCTAATTAAGCTTTGAAGAACCTTGCCAATTTAGCTAGTCTTACATTTATCGGAACTAAATTTACAAAACTACATTACTTGTTGATGTTGCAGCATATTGATAGAGATTCTAGTTATCAATATTCAGTTAAGTGTTAGGCTACTAGAGTGGATTTATTGATCTCATTTATTTGGCATTAGCTCTCAAAATATCAAATAGTTCTTTTTAGTCTGACATATGGTCTTAAAACACAGGAGAACTAAAAGTATTAAACAACACCAATTAATCATCATCAAATAAGAACAACTTCAAACAATCAATTTCATAAAGCTTTTTAAGAATATTTGTTAGATCTAAATCAAGTTCTATCTTCGACTTAGCTATCTAAGATATAACTAACTCTTTTTCATCAGATAATCGGATGCACTGTCCAAAAATAGTTTTGATTAACCTTCTAATCTAATAAAGAAGAAATTTATGAAAAGAATAATTAATCGTATAATCTAAAATCTAAAAGCGTACTAATTTTTAATACCTATTGCAATTATATTTTCTAATTTTTGCTATCTACAGAGTTTGATCTTTTAGGAATCTATGATTAATGAATATGAGTTTGTTTTCTTTGTTAGACAGCTTTGAAATCAAATTTAAAAACAGAATTCATCAGGATTTCAAATGTCTTATGCTGATTATAATACTTATAAACTATTTTTATGGTTTGCATTACAGCCAGACATAGAGCAGTGGCTTCAGATACAGCTGATAATATTATTGATGGAAGATCCTATTGATTAATAAAATAATAAGATGTGTCAGATGATGCTCTAATTTAATATTCAAATACATTATTACCTTAAATAAAATGTGCAAAGTGAAGCCCCAGAGACTATCGATATTGGTTCTTATCTTCTTTCTTATCTCTGAACTACAGAACTATTGTAAAGTATTTCAGTATCTTCAATATTAAATAAATCACTGAAAAACAGAATTTTCCCTATGTCACAATTAAAATAGATACTCAAGTCCATTTATAAAGGCTGCATGTAAATATCTTCATTATCTCCAATACCAGTGGTTAATCTCCAGAATATGTTTGTTGAAAAGATATCCGCTGGATCGGTGTAATTAAGAGATTGTTTAATCTTAGATCCTCTAATGAACATATCTACATTAACTCTACTGATTATTCAAATATTACCCTTTGTTTATAAAATCTTCAATCTCCTTAGCTGACTTGCAAGAATTGCTTGTGTGATTATTACATACATTCACAGTCAATTTTATGTAAGCAAAATAAGGCTCATAGAATTAGCCTTAAAGAGTGAAATCCCCATTAAAACAAATCAAGTTCTTTTACTATTCTTCAGTCATTGAGGCAGAGTTAAAATTGAATTTGGAGATGGATTAGTCAGAACATTTAGTTTAATTTAATTGACTGTAATTTCTAGTAAATCCGATCTTTCCTTCCACTCTTTACTACTAAATATATTAAGCGTTTAATGTGAAATAACTAAATGAATCGATATAATTTATAGTACTCCTTAACATCTGTATTATTATTCAAAATTGTCCCATTTAATGTTGAAATTTCAAGTGAAAAGATTGTGTTCTCATTACTTAAAACGAATTCGGCATTTTGATCACTTTGAGAACCTGCATAAATGGCTGTTTAATTTTAGATGCTTCTTTAAAAGACACCTATAATATAGAACGATGTGAAAACTAAGAGCAATATGCTCAGAAATCCACCTATAAATTAATTTATCTTAGAACCTATTGGAGTTAAGGATTTCTATTTATGAGAAATGTTAAATTCATAAGGATCAACCAACAAATCAGCTCTCTTTAATAGATTGCTTAACATAATTTATAAAAATAAATTTTGAATAATTATTAACAAGAATACTATAGAAAAAAGGAGAAAAAAAAGTGATAAGGTAATATAGATGATATATTGTATTTTTCATGCACTTGGCTATTCTTTTCTCTATCTCATCTAAATAAATAGGGATGTATACTTCATTGATAACTGATTTAACAAAATTTGGATAAACTTTCCACAAAAGTAAACAATAATCTAAAATTCTATCATTGTATTTAAATTCTCCGTTGTCGTCAATCGTGAATCCTATTTCTGATAACTTTTGATGATTCTATTTCATGTGATTCTTCAATTAATTAGGTCGCTTATAACCTTTCTAACACCTATGATAAGGACACTTGAAAAAGTTCTTATCAGCACTATAAGGTTGCGATTTGAATTGTTTAATGCGAACTTCTTCGAATAAACGCTTAATCTTCTCTTCAGGAGTGGAATTCTCTAAGTTTAAATCGAATTTATTACTTTTGTCTATTGCCTCTCTCTATCTCTATACAAAATCCTCACTTACCAAGGGAAATAAATTTTAAAGATCTTTTCCAGAGACATCAGGAGGTACTTCTTCTTCTTCCTATTCTTTTTCTGGTTCTTTACTAACATCTGGTTTGATAGGTTGTTTTTTAGCTATTTCTGGTTGGACTTACTATTCTGGTGGTGGTGCTTAAATATCAAAGGCTGTGAATTTGGTTTTAGGAATTGATAGAGATTTGAAATAATCTTAGAGCACCTTTTTGGCAGCAAGGAAACTATTTCCTGATTTCAAGTACCATTCTCTTTAGAATTTCATTTAAATTTAAACAATTTGAGCTTCATTTTTACCTATTGATTAATGATTGAGTTTACTTGCAATATCTTAATGTAAACATTAGATCTACTTTTTAATTTAATCATTCTTAGTTTGTTTGATTTAGGCTCTAGTTAAGATGGTTACGATATTATCATTTCCATTGACTTCAATTTCATCTGTATCTTCCAATTTAATTTCAATTTTTAGTTTGGACTATTATTGATAGGGATAGGTCGATGGTAAAAAGTGATTAACATTTTACTCCTCATCTTTTTAATCCCTAACTGGTTTATCTAGAGTGAGGATTTGCAAAATTCTAATTCCGAGTTAGAATTTTAATAAGATGTCTTATTGATCGTTTAGGAAGATTGTACTAAGTAAATTATTAATTGGAGAAATACTTGACAGCAGGGTTAGATTGCAATGTAAATTGTACTTTCTCCTAGAAGATGTCTTGATGTATTATAAATCAATTTACTTAATACCTAAGGTCCGGTTGCAGATCTAATACCACCAGGAAGGTAGGGATAATTACCTTGTATTCGATTTCTGGGAATTGCTCCTGGGTTTTTTTGAGATTGATTGAATGATTCAATGAGGGTTTATAGATTCTTGTCTAGAGCAAATGAGTTTTAAAACTTAGGAAGCATAATAAATTAATTAAATATATATTTAATTTAAATACAATTGAATAAAATGAATAGACTAAGAAATTATGAATATTAATAATATGTTTCTTATTTTATTATTTTTCAATTATTGCTTTGACTCTTCTATTTGCGTACATAGATCTATTGGATATCTGGCTAGACAGACAAACTTGAAAGTCTAGAAAAAATAAATAATTTAATATAAACGCCTTCTGTGATCTAAATTGATCTTCATGAATGTTTTTAGGTTGTTTCTGCTTGTGAATGATGTATTCTGAGATAACCCTAGGGATTGCATCATGAATGGATAGTTTTGCTTATTCGGAAAGAATCCATCCTGTTCGATCTGATAATCCATTTTCAAGATTCCAGTTTCTTGTTTGAATTTGAGATTGCCATAGATTGACTCCTGCGTCTTCTGTCTCTCTTCTTCATTCATAATTTAATATTGGAAATTGACTCCAATTTATTTCGCATAGCCAAGTCTAAAATATAGCCAATTATCAAAATGAGAGGGATTTTGGAGACTTTTCAAACTCCATTATTTGCCTCCCATGATGCTTTTATTTTTTAATGACATTATCATTTTTGTTTTATCGATGAGAACAGCGTTCAAATGATCGCCTACTTGAATTTTCTCAAAGTTTATATAGTAGGTGAAAATGGAGAAGTCCTCGATCTTAATATAAATGTGATTGCATTACCACATCTTATTCATAAATGACTCCCTTCATTCTCATGACATTTATTTGACTTAGTTGTGAGAGCAAATGCTTTTATTTTTTGAATTATTAGAAATCAGCTTATCTCACTTGATGTTGGGATGTGAGACATTTGTCACTGAAGGCAAGAAACTTTTGTAAAATTACATCTAGCTTCCCTTTGACTGTGTTTTTTTTACTTACGATTACTTCAAAGATAAATCCAGGTTGCAGAATCTATGTTAATAAAATCTCTTACTTCATAGACAGCTTCACAATCCATGCTTTCATCTGGAAACCCTACAGATGCAAATCCTAAATCTAATGCCTTATTTAAATAAGGGATTATTTATTATTACTTCTTCTTGTCTTTTCAGTTTTACTGTAAGAGGTAATCGATTCAGATTTTCTCTAATAAACGCTCTCCAATAACTAATTGGGCTTATGTTTCAATATCTTAGATTGTTTATTATTACATAAATAATTAAATTATCCATAAATTAAAGTAAAAAAATTTGGTATATCAAGACAATAACATGTTTTCTTTGTCAACCTAAAATATTCTTTACTTTTGCAAGACCTTGACATCACTTTGGTTTCTATGTTACATGAGAGTTTATCCAGTGTTAATGAAATTGACAGTGTCTGCAGGCTTTTGAATTGTATCATCAGTGTTGTCTAATAACAATTCTTCATCCACGAATTTGTGATTGTCTTCCTCGTTGATCTCTAAATGATCTATATCTGATTGAGGATTGTCTTGATATAGATTATCTTAATCCTGATTCTCTTGATTTAAATCTTCTTATTTTGAATTTTGAATCACAACCTATATGGGTTCATCTACATTATTATTAACTACAGAAGGATCCTCTTACATTTGTCTATTACTGGCTTAATTTGACTATTTGGTAATTGGTTTACTAGAAGAACATGCTCCCATTTCAAAATCGTTAATTATTTTAAAATTAAAAATATATTATGTCTAATAATTTGTCAAAATTAAACGAAAGCAATATATAGATATATTGTACCTATCATCCAAGAATAACTACTGTCAATAACTGTAGTATTAGTCACCGTAGTCCCATTGCAAGCTAAACATTTATTCGTGGTCTTGTCCCAATAATGACTTTTGGCACTATTGATAAAACAAGTGTCTTCAGTTAAATCTGAAATGCTAGCTGATTGACAAGTCAACTGTATTTCTGCACAAACCTAATATTCAGTTTCACTAAAGGCAACTAAAGGGAGACAAGTACTACCAGAATTCTTGCTTTGACAAGTGTAAGGTTTGCATGAACTTGAACCACCATTACTAGGTTTAGGAGTCCATTTGCAAATTTCTGACTTCTTCTTGCATCCTTTCTCAAATGAATTGGCATCTTCACATTTAGTCATCACAGAACAAGTACTGTTATTCCATGTACAAACTCCATCTGTTCCATCGAATCCACAACTATTCTCAGTCTTATATGATGCACATGTAGACTTAGCCACACAACTAGATGTATCTGCTAAACAATTGGCTAAGGTTGTACATTACTTGACATCTGTGATATCAGTGCATACTTTCAATCTACATTTACTATTCACTGTGTCAAAAATACAAGTGCCATCTGATCCATATTTGCATAAATCACTAATAGTGTAACCATCACATTTTTAGATATCAATACATTTGCTAGTATCAGTTGTACATTTAACATTTGCTAATTAACAGTCCCCATGAGTTGTCTTTATTATATCAGTGCATTTTTAATCTCTGCATTTTAATGTTGTTGTATCCCATTAACAAAACTTATTATCTGTTGTAATCTAACAGTTTATCTTGTATAGTATAATTGGAACATGCACTTGATAAGTCCATACATGTCTTTTTATCTGAATTTACTGTGCATGTCTTTTTTTCACGAAAACATTAAAAATGAGTAGTAAAATTCATCTATGTGCATTTTGTAAACTTTTCGCAAATTGTATTATTGCTTTTATCAAGATTTCTTACACAATCCCCATCTGTACCAACATAACATCCAGTTTATAGTGTCTTTGCACAACTTGTAATTGGTACACATTTTGTACCATCAGTTGTACAATTGCTATTTGCTAGATTACAAAACTAATGAGTTGTACCAGATAAACTAGTGCAATCCTAAAAAAGGAAACATTAACTGTCAATCCACAAACAAGGTCCTTCTATTGAAATAACACAACTTAGTGAAAGCTTATAGTCACTGCATTTGACTGCTTAAGTAATGCATTTTGTACCATCAGAAGTGCACGTATCTAATTAGTCGTTGCATTCAGAATGACTATAATAGACAAGGTCGGAACAGGTCTTGACTTTGCATGCTGAACTTAACCAAATGCATTTTTTATTTTATGAGTCTGTTTTACAAGCAGCCTCTGTTTTCATATCAGTACAAGTTCCATTAGATGAACAACCTGCTCCAGTTGTATAACATTTATCTAAAAAATTGCTACAGGCAGTATTAGTAGTCAAAGTTGTTGGGGCATTGGCACAAGTAAATGATACGCATTTGTTGTCTTACCAAATACATGATCCTAACTTAGTACATAATTGTGAGGTTAATGCATCTGTACATTACTTTTTAACACATTGAGTTTATCCAACGTTAGCAGTGCAAATACTTAAAAACTTATTACAATTTTCAGAAGTATATGTATCAACTTATGCATTATCACAATTATAACTAACACATATTTACTTAGACTTATTCCAATAACATTAATTTCCATCAATAGTTGAAACACATTAAGAGACTTATGAATAAGATGAGCATTCTGCTTCTCTCATTTTGCATCCCAGACCATCATCATCAATTGTGCAACTTGCTAAGAATTTCAAACATAATTGATCATTGATGTAATCATCAGAGGCTTAAGAACAATTATAATCAACACACTTCCCAACATCTTTGCCATCCACTTAAGTTACTAGCCATAGACAATTTCCTTGAATTCCAATTTTACACGTGTCCATAAATTTGTAATTTACGCATTCATCAATATCTTTACATGTACTAGATGTGCCATCCTATGTCTCTGCTAACACACAAGTTTCTTTGTACTTCTGGCATTCATCAACTGTTTTACCATTTCCATTTACACAAGTGTAATCATAACAAGTACTAGTTGTTTCATTCCATTTGCATTCCATAGTTTGATCTAAATTAGTTACACACTATGATTTAATTTTTTGATCACTGCAGTTCTTACCTGAATCAACACATCCTGAATTTGTTTCATTGACAGTGCATGTAGAAATACTTGATCGGCATTATTGATTTGTTTTTAAAGCAATAGGTAAATTTTTACAAGCAGCAACAGTCTTACATTTGGGATTTGCAGCGTCACTCTCATCGTAATAACAATATTAATTGGTATTATCTATGTAGCATGATGTCTTTGTTAGATATGTATCACAAGTAGACAATGGAACACATCTTTCGCCATCTGATGTACACAGATCCGATATTTTATTACAAGCATCAAATGTTTTACCCAAATAAGCAGTACACCCAGCAAATGCTTAACATACATTTTCATACAATGCACATCCTCTAACAGGACATTATGCTATAGTGCTTGCCAATTTACAATAGGTTTCCTACTCTCTTTCCTTGCATTAACCATTCTCATATTTGCATAGTATTCTTTTGCAATCAGTTTCATTCTAAATTTGACTACAATTGCATGCCTTATCTAATACAGTATCGCAACTTATCAAAATCACTAAGAATAGTAACAATAATTTAGATAACATTAATTATTATTTGAATCATATTAATCTCTGATTTATTCAAATAATATATTATCATTTCATTCTAATTACTAACTAATTATTATCTATACATTAACTTTTTCATCTTAAACTCTTCTATCTTTTATAATTCTACGACTAATATTAACAGTTTTAATAAAAATCTCATATTCATAGTTTATATCCTCGATTAGAATATATAGATTTGTTCCTTTCAAATTAATGCTATTTTATTGGTATGTTTTATTTTTGAATTCACTTCTCCAACAATTATATTCATTTCAAAACAATTTATTCTATCTTATTTGCCAACTCTTTTATTATTCTTCCGAATTTCAAACCCAAAAAAACTGAAATCCAAAACCATTTTGTGTCTTCCCAAATTTACTTATATATGCTCTTATTTATTAATTAGTTTATTCAAGATTTATAGTTGTAGTTCTCTCCTCCTATACATATTATACTTCTACATTTAACGAATAAATATAGTAATATATTTCAGCTTATTTTTGTAAATTTGCTGTTGATTTTAGATTTAACTTAATTTAAACAGTATTTTTGCTTTATTTAAAATCTTTTTAATACCATATTTGCTAGAAATTATGAATCATGACTCCATAAAATAATCTAATAATATCTACTTTTGCAATGCCTTCTGTTCTCTTTTTAAAAAAATACATGATTTACTAGGCAATAATTCCATTTGAGCTAAATACTTTAGAGAGTTGACCATATTCTTTAAACTTTTTTGCCTATTTTATCTTTTAATATAAACAGTCAAAATTGATGAGATAGCTAGAATCACATATTTAGGACATTAAATTCAACCCTCTATTAAAATCATAGTTATAAAATTTTTGTTGTAATATGTCCTTTTAAATAATCTAATTTAATATTATTATTATTGGTTGTCAGAAATTATGATCTTAAGAGAAGATTTAGTATATATGGCCAAAATCTGTGAATAAGCAGAAAGATTTGAAGATATGTTTAACTTTATAAGGTAAGTGGCTCTAATGGAACAAGAACTATTAACAGAGGAACGAAATTTGCTTTCAATTTCATTTAAAAATTGTATTGGGAAATTAAGAACTACGCTGAAAATCTTAAAAATTATAGATACCAACTTATTATAAGATGTAAAAATTTAATTTAAATGAAGTAACTTAATGATCACTTAAGTTAAAGTAAATTAATTGCAAATTATAAATAAAAAATAGAGGATGAATTAATTTTATATTGTGAAGATTTGATTAGAGTTATTGATTGTAATTTAGTTAAGAAATAATACAAATCTGTGGATATGATGTTTTTTTATAAATTAAAAAGCGATGCTTTTAGATATCTTTCAGAATTTAAAACAAATGATAAAAAATAATTTATGTTGGATGAATATTCAAAAACACAGAAGCAAGTTGAAGAAATATTTGAAAAAGAGATTTCAAAAACTGATCCAACATATTTAGGACTAGCACTAAGTTAAGCAGTATATACATACGAAATATTTAACGATACTGTTAGTGCTTGTAAAATAGCCCAAAAAGTAATTTTATTTTATGAATTAAAGGCGTTTGATGGGGCACTTTCTGAATTGGATCAATTATCAGAAGATAATTATAAAGATGTGACATTAATAATGTAGTTATTACGTGATAATCTTGTTCTTTGGGAATCAGAATAGATTAATGAATTAAATAATAAAGAAAAAGAGTGAAATATATATAATTTTTATACATCTTTATTGATTATTTCACGCTTGACTATATTATATTTGGATATAACAGAATTTTTGAAATGTACTTGACTATCCCTTTTTATTGTAAATCATATATTTAATTGTTTTATATGAAGAATTTGAATATACATATTCTTGTATATTATAATATAACAGATCATATCTTCAATTCTTTAGTTTGAAATTGTTGAATAATATATTATAATTTAAGAACTACTTCCTAAATCAAATCATAACTCAATTTCAATGAGTGATGTATTTCATTTTTCAAAAGACAATTTTTTATCTTTATTGATTTCTATTATTATCGACCAAGAAGTTTTAAATAAGATTAATTTGGAATCTAAAAGATCAACAAAAATAGAAACATGTAATTGAAAGAATATATAAATTAATCTATATAAATATAAATAATGCTGTATAAGTTACTTAGTTGTATCAGATGTCTGACATTAAAGAGAGCAACATCATTGTTACAATTACTTATAGTTTGTATTGTCATCACTTTATGCTTGATTGTTCTTACTGTAAATCGAGTAATGATGGATGCCCTTATCTAGGAAATTTCAGACAAATTATTATTTAAATACAACTTTCAGGAATATGAAATATAAACAGAAATGCTCAAAAACCAAATAAATTGGCCAATTGCCAAGCGATTTCGAATGATGAATACTTTTGGTATAATCTATTAAGATTAGAAAAAATCTATGATATTTAACTAAAATCCTTTGGAATGTCCAATATTTTTAGGAATTCCCGAAGAATAATTTGAAACCTTATTTGAATTACCTGAATTCTGTGCAAGTAATTAGTAAACGCAGCAAAAATTAGAAAGACATAGATTCAATCTTTTTATCAATTAACTAAATTAGTTGCTTATACCATTAACATGGTCTCCAATTAATGATTTGTATATGAGTAGTACAGATTCAAGTTAATTTTTTGCTTCTTGTCCCCCTTTCTTTAATATTCCAACTTTCAATCCACATGATAGACCTTGGTATCAAAATCATATGGAAAAATCTAAGGGATCAAGCGAATTGATTTAAGTTTCAAATCTATATTAAACATTTGGATCTCATGAATACGAATTTACAATTACTTACTCTTTGATGTCAAGTTGTTAAGGTTGTGCGACAGAACAAAGAATTGATGGAGTCATTGGTTATGATTTAGGGTTTAGGGAAATCTAAAATCAATTAAATTTTAAATCATTTGGTTATTTTATATTGAACAACCTTGGGTAGATCATTCATACAAATTATGTTGAAACATTTAATTTAAAATTAAATGAGAGTTTAGCATATATCTATCAATAAAATCTAACAGGATTTAACGAAATTGATTGGGATCAAATCTAATTTCAAAGTAAGAAGTAACCATACTTAAATAATTGTACTTTTCATATTCATCATCTATGTAGATATAATTCAATTTTCAATGAAGATATAATTTTGCATGTGTTAAATCTTAATTCAGACTTTTATTTAGTTATGTATGCTTTAATATATACAATAATAGATTTCAAAATGTAACCATGTAACAATAAAATATCCACGAGTCTAATTAAAGAAAGAATGACATTATTCATTCTTTTCAGACTTATTTAATTTATTTAGTGATAGCTTCATTCATTTTTTTGGTTATTAGTTGGATTGGATTATACTTTTTTTTCCGTCCAATCAAAGAATTTAGATTAGCATTCCTTAGTTAATTATACTCCAAGTTTTCAAGTTCGAATTCACTGATCAAAATTTAAAGTTTATTTTAAAGGAGTTCTTATTTTGGTTTAGCATTGAAGAATTTGAAATCTAAAATCAATGATATAAACAGTAAGAAGTGTGAAAACTGTTATCTAATAGAGAACTTCAAATATCCTAGGAGTTAATTAACAATTGAGTATTATCAAATAAAAAACTAAATTAAGTTTGTAAATGTGAATGAAAATAGAAATTTGTTAGAATAACAAGATTAAAATGAAAAAGAACAGGTATAATAGACTTTAAAATTCCAAGAATTGCGTTAATAATTGTTTTCTTACATATCTAGTAGTTAGACCATATAAAGTGAGATTGATGAAAATATACAGTTAATTAATGAGCCAATAAATACTTAGAGATTCTTATGATTTTATGATCTTAAGCAAAATTTCGTATTTTATTTGCTAATTTATTTAATAAATCCTGATGTGATATTACAAAAATTTGGACATCTTATTTATATTCATATAAGATATTTAAATTAATTAACATCCTAATTAAATTTAGAAAGTATTCTTATATAATGATAATTAAACAAAATTTATGCATAAACTTACAAGATTTAATAGTTTTATCCATCATTTCAAATGCATCAGAAACATGAAGATGTAAACTCAAACGTTTATACTACAGTCCTTCATTTTTGTTTTAGTTTTTCTCATCGTAATAACTTCTCAAATGATTAACAAAAGTATGATGGATGATATGATTTAAAAGTTAACCAAGGAAATAGAAATACAAACCAATTTAAAACAGATAAATATTTAATCTCAGTTTATCAAATATTAAGCTCATTACCCTTTGGAATAAGGATTCAAATTTCTTGAAAGCTTTAACAAATTGAATTCAATGTTCTTGAAAGACTAACAAACATCAATTAACAAATTGCTTTAGTGTTTATATGTTGAAGAAAACTTTGATTTTTATTCAAAGATGCCTTTATTTTGTTATAAATTCACAAAGACCAATATAATCACTTCAAATGAATCATTAATAAATCATATCGTCGGGTATCAAGCTTTATTGAATTCAATATTTTTGCCTATTTCAATATCACAATTTCAGAAAACGATGTTTTTTACCTTCATTTCTGATGAGGAATATTTTGCTATTCTTCCACCAAAGATTGTTCCGGACATTTACCTACCATCAAAAAGACCATGGTATTAGGAATAAATATAGAAAGTATAACAAACAAAACAGAATGATGTTATTGTGATTTCTAGCATTTATTAAGATTTTGAAACTTAAAAATATGAATTCACTTTAACGAAAGGGATGACTGATCAAGAAGAGAATTTCAGTGGGATATTTGGAATTGATCAAACTCTGGAACATTACAAAGAACTTTTGTAATATGAGGATTTGAATATTATTTTAGTTGATCTCAAAGGCAGAATGCTATTGTCTAATTTATAGATTCAATAAGAAATTGATTTATCAAAAGAGAAGAAATACATATATGAAATTGGAACAACTGGATTTGATGAGAGTGATTGGAACCAAATTGTGAATGAGGCCAATAAATAAGGCTAAGGCACCATTGAATGTAGTGAAAAAGATGTCAAACAATTTTGCAGATATAATACATTCTTTAAGTAAGATCTGATTATTATTGTGATAAACATATAAAGTCAATTCTATCTGCTTGTGTAAAGTATCGTTATTAATATAATAGATTTTAGAGTTTGGCTCACATTACTAAGGATGTAACCAGAGCCAAAGAATTGCAGGATTAAATAATGTCTTAAATAACATAATTTCTCTATTATTGCATCATTGTGGCTGTTGTGCTATTGCTTCTCTCAATAATTATAATCCCAATCTTTTTTAGACCATTAAAAAACATCTAAAATATAATCAAGACATAAATGATCTAAAAATTCACAATTCATTACGATCATTTCTTTTTTAGTAATAGGAAAAAGAATTAGTTGGCTTTCTTTTAAGATAGTTTCAATGTCTTTAAACAGAAATTATTAGATTTTACGTAGAGCAAATCACAAGATTGTTACATCATTGAGAACTTCAAGTATCCTCGACAGTAGTAGATCATCATAGCAGAATTAACTTCTTTTATTAAATTCCAAACATTTGTATATATTTATTATCCTATCTAGAAGAAGGATAAAATAGAGAACTTGCCAAACCAAAACCACCAGCCTGAATAATCGCCAAAGCTATTCTGTGATACCTTTCTTAATTATAGCTAGGACAATTAAAAGAGTGTGATTCAATTGTCTCCAAGAGATATAACATTTCGTATTGAATTATAACAACACAACAACTAAACTTGAATATATTAAAATTAGTATCAACAATTTCTTAATTCTTTAATCACTCAGAAGAATTAATAACAGTTTTCGATTGAATTGATTAGATATTGGAATTAGAACTGAAATATAATCAAATTTAATTGAATTATTAAACTCTGTTTATAAATCGTTAATGAAAGAAGAATTACAAAGGAATCAATCTGCAAGTACTTGTGAGAACAACAATAGATATAAGAAAGTTCCACATAAAAATGCAAGGAGAGTCAAAATAAAGGAGTCGAAAGAACTTTAAGAAGATTTATCGAAATATATTCGCAAAATAATGAATTTCTCTTTATCTGAATAGTTTGGTAAGGTGTCAGAATCAGAGAATCATGAGATGTATTAAGATGATTGTTTCTTGAATCCAAAAAGACCTGAAATGATACCTAACTTATCACGAATGAAATAACATTTTCTAAAATAATACCAAGATCAGTTTATTTCTGAAGGTATTTAAGAAATCCACAATCACAAGCATGCAGTCTCTAATATTTTATATAGTGGTTTATCAGCATCAGCATTGGCATCAGCTAAATGGCATTCTGTTTAAGCAATGAGGAGGATGAGAGCAGAACGGCCTTAATGTCCTGAATTCAAGGAGTATCCTCTTGATAAAGAAGCAATATAAGAAATTGAATAAACAAAAAGTAATACTAATTAGCAATATCTTTAGATAAAGTAAACTACAAAAGAAGAGTTAATTCAGAGCATGAAAAAGTGAATGAAAAATTAATGTTAGATAGATCACACTCATTAAATAAATATATCGAAAACCTAAAATAGTCTAATCAAATTTATACTAATGTTTATGGGTTGTAAAAGGGAGAATATGATTTAATTTTAGAATTTGCAAAAAAATAAAACATCAGTGTTTCTTAAGCTGAAAATGATTTTCAATTTATCAAGTCTAAGAAAAGAACTGCCAAAAGCATAACATACCATGAAAATAGATCGTAGAAAAGAATTCAAAGAAGGAAATATGTAGATGACGATGATGTATATGGAGTGAGACCAAATAGAATATCGCCATCTGGAGTTCAACTGAAAAACAAATTGATAATATGAGCTATTCAAAATTCATTATCCCATTCACTATCTTTGGGATTGGGTTATGATTTTTTGAAGTATTACGCATCTTTAAGCATTTATTCTACTACTGGTATCTTTTTCATCACTTAAGCTTATCCAGTTGTTACTATCTTATTAGCTGCTGGTTTATAAGCTGGTTTGAGTTTCTTAGCAATCAATACATCCCATTGAAAATCCTTAAACCATGCATGCTACTTCAATGTCTAATATGATCCTCCCAAACGAAGTTCTGGTATTCGACTGAGTAATTATTCAATGAAAATCTTGGCAGTCTTATCAGACATATAGGAAGGATAAGACAAAGGTTTCTTGGTAATTTCCTTATAAATCTCGAAAGGATCTTCTGCATCTTCTCCAAAAGGCAATCCTCCACAAACGAATTCATAGAGTATAATCCCCACACTCCATAAATCAACCATCTAATTATATCCTTTACCACTAATAACTTCAGGTGCCATATAATGTGGAGTACCAATTATAGTGAATGTTTTCTATCCTGGCTGATTTAATTTGGCAGTTCCAAAATCAATCAATTTCAAATAACCTGTATCATCAACAATCAGATTTTCAGGTTTGTAATCTCTATACATAACTTGATGCACTGTATGCAAATATTCTGTTTACAATATCATCTATGATATATAAAACTAAGAATCGTTTTTATTTAATAAACCTATGTCTCGAATCGCATCAAATAATTCTATTCCAGGAATATATTCATTCAGCAAGTAAATGTTGTTTTCATCTTTGAATGATCTGAAGAAATGCATAATAAAAGGATGATCCAAAATAGATTGCACTCTTCTCTCATTTGCAACATGTTTTGCTATTCCAAACTACTTGATATTAGCTCTTGTCATTATCTTTAATGCAAATAATGGTATTTCATTCTTAAACTAACACAAATACACCATTCCAAATTATCCACATCCTAATGTTTTTAAGTAACTCAAATCCTCTAATTGGTAATCCTTTACTTTATTCACTTTATTATGAGCTTCCTATGCATATATTTCTAATATTTATTGCTATATTTTATATTTTATTTTACTTATTCACCAAATTGCTTTTTAACAATGTTATAATCAATGGCTGCTATTATACCATCTTCCTACATTAAATAATCTTAATCATGATTTCCATTTGACTCTACAGTTTTATCCAATAAGATTCTGCCCTTCTCACAAACCGTACTTTAATTAGACTATAGATCTATTCATATCATTACATCACTGACTTTTCCATCTATCACAATTATCAATTCTCCATGTTATTAACCTTTGTTGATTATGATATCTCCTTTTTTTAATCTTCTAACTGTTAATAAATCCAAAAATTAATCAATTTAAATTATCAAATTAATTTTCGACTGCTACAGTATCCATTTGCATTAATTCTTGTAAATTATCATCTGCACTCCATCACCCAATATTTTAGTCAACGTTTCTTTCGCCAAAGCTAAAAGTCTTGATTCCTCTATTGCCTTTACTGTTAATCCCCTTACACAATTATCCTGCAATAGAGCATTTTCTCCAAAGTATTCCCCTTTGGATAACATTCTAATTAATAGCCCATCGTCTGTATACACACCGACTTTGCCCTTATTTGTATCAAAATCCTTACCTCAGCTATAATAAAAAGTGAATCCGCCTAATCACCCTTATTCACTATTATTTAATTTATCTAGAATTTCTAAGAAATCAACACGCCTCCTATAGCATCCTTCTATTCTTTAGTCAAATGATCTTTATTTTAATTATTAAATTACTAAAAAATGTTGCATTTTCCAAATATTTTCTATTTCTTTCATACTCACTTTTCATAATCTGTTCAACTGTCTTACGAAATGTTGTTCTATCAATTCCCCATAAATAACATTCCTCGAGAGCAGTGCAAGTGGCACTCCTATTGATCGAATAATTCATTACCTGGGTGCATCATATAATAAAGCTAGTTCGCCCAAACCATTTCCTGATATCAATTATTTCTTAGCTTCTCCATTTATTGTTACTTATATTTTACCCTTTTCTATTTTTTACATACAATTATACCTAATATGAAGAATGCATTGGCACCATCTCCTTATTTTATGATAGATTGTCCTTTTGATAATTTACAATAAAACATCTAACTGGCTAAATGATTCCTTCTTTTAATATATTCTAATACAATTAAGCGTCGTTCAAAAAACTGAAGACAAAATGCAATTTCAAACACATTACAATAAAAACAATATCTGATCTTTGATGCTATTTATGACATTCGACATAAGTCTCATAAATGTGATTTGCACCCAATGATTACTGAATTCCAGCTACGCGTTGTGTTTTCCTTTGTGGTATTTGTAAAATCTCTTCCTACGACTTTTTCCTCTGTTTTTGGTCCATTAATTAATGTATATAATATAAACTGCAATAAATCATTAATCTCTATCTATCCACTTTATCTAAAATTGTTAACTACTTATTACTTGATCCTTTCATTTTTAGTAATAATTAAGTAAAGATAAAAACCTTATTCTAAAACCCTAGAGGCAATATTTATTCTCATTCAAACATATGCAAATATAAAACAGTAATTCTGAAATTAAAAATCAATATATATTCCATAAATGTAAAATCTCAACTCACAACCCAAATGTATTGTATTCGCAATATTAAATGTAAAGGAATTTGTCATCATCCTGATACTTATCATAAACTTCCTTTATACTCATATCTAATAACATTTAAGTGTACCTCCTCTTAAAGCAACTTTACTATTCACAAATAAATAGACTGCTTCAGCTTTGTTTAAGTTTAATTTGCTTCGAATCAAAGTATTTAATTGAAATACTCTAAAATTTGAAAGGAAGAGATATCTAAATTAGTGAAAATTATGACTTCTAAACATCTAAATCAGGTAACCGAGAATTTTTATCTTTTTCAATTATGATAGGGACTCTATCTTGATAATGTTTGAGAATATTCTCACTCTCTTTGAGTCTTTGTTCCTTCGAGTATTGCTTTTTAAATGATTCTTTTTGCATGTTTATTATTTATTTTAATTTTTCAAAATAACATCTGTGAGCAAAAATCATAAATTCCATTTTACGAATAAATTGTCATTAATGAAAAAAATGTATAATACTTTGAATTTTTTTCAATATTCACTACCCCCAATCCATCTTAATCGGGCTTCTATAGTCGCATCTGATTTAATTGATAATTGTTGAAGTGTCTTTTCTCTCTTTGCCCCGGTATTGTAATTTTGACCATATATCACTAAATCGCAAGCTGCCCATTATCTTATTATAATATAATAGAATACTTTGATGCTCCTAAATAGGCAAGAACAGCATCAGCTAAATCTTCAAGTCTATCATCGGACTTAAACCCACTTTTGAATTCCCTTTTAATGTTCCCATCGATTATTGAAAAGTGAATAGTCACCATTTAAGATTAAACTAAACCAGAATATTATTATTATGAGTAATTATTATTTTGATAAGTTTAATTCTAAGGATATTATAGATTGGTAACCTATTATGGATTTTAATTTGAAGTTTGATTCTATAAACCAAATTGTTATTATTATTGTTGGCCTTAAGAAGTGCTTTATTAATAATTTGTAGTATTTGGAATTTTATTTGAGGTGTTGATAAGATCACTCTATGGAGTAATTGATTAACTTGTAGGCTAAGTATTGATGGTAAGTTTATCATTTTCGGCATTTCCAATACGACTATTATGATTTAAGAATACGCGTTTTAGGTATGAATAACATGTCCAATTTCTTATATCAGAATTAATACTAAGAAATAAATAAGCTATATACTCATTCTGTTACTGTATATATTCGAACAATTCATGAATTTCTGTATCAGGGTCCATTTCGATGCTCAAGGTTTGCTTCGATGGCAATATTTCGATAGTGAGAGCCTTTGACATAAAATTAATATATATATTAATATCTTAAACATTTATAGAAATAATATATGAACTCAAGTTTTTACAAAATTACGTAGAAAAATAATCCAGTCTCAAATTTATTTAATTGATCAATTTAAATCTATAAAGACTTTATAAAGTTAAAGTTTCAATCAATCCATCTAATTTTAGCAATCATCTTTGAATCTCGATTTAGATTGGCTTCTTAAATTGTCAAACCTCTTTTGTCTGGGTTGTTGAATTACTTATCGTTTATAAAAATATCAACAGAAACATAGTCTCTAAAATATATTTATATATAACTTTGTTAGAGAACAAAATCTCAGGACCTCCTCTGCAATTTTCTCTATTTTTTCATAGATATCAAACATAGCGGTTAGTCTTCGGATACAGGAATTGTCATGAACTAAAATAATGAGAGTAATAGTTTTTGAGCATTGCTTAAATTCTGGACTCTCATATATGGATTAATTGTATAGGATGTTCTCAAATAAGTCTACTTTTTATGAATTAATATTTCTGCTTGATTGAGTATGTTAGAGTTTATTAGTTTTAATTTGAAATATTTCATTTTTAGTGAATCCAATTTTTTCTTCAAGATTCAATTATTTATTTCTTGTCTCTGAGAAGCAAGACCAATTGAATATCTTTTTTTGATCACTAAATTTAGTAAGAATACTATTACATTTTATTTTCTTTGGCTAAAAATTCCAATAATTCCTTGACAGAGGTTTCACCATCCATTTCAATATAATGTTTAATGCCATCTAGAACAATTGTTTTCTTGTCAATAATATATGATTATTCTAAGGTTTTTATATCTAATGATTATCTAACACTATGTCTATCAGTCGATACGTTAGAATTTGAAGTGACTTGATTTTATTCTAAATCTCTTTATTCGTAAATCTCAGAGAAATTATTCTTAAATTCAAAATATACATAAAGTTCTTCATTCTAATAAGTTTAGATTGTATCTTGATGATTTAATACTTTTTGTTAAGTAAAAGAAAAACAAGTCCAATATTTAATATTTTTATTAGTGCTAAACCCTCAATCATATATTTTACTTTGTTTAATCTTATATTAGTTCTAATACGTCTAAAACAAGAGTCCCTTCATCAACCTATAACTAAAAATAACTATGTATTTCTGGTATTGTTATTCTTATCATTAAATTTAGATAAATAATTATTGATTTGATGATATATTAATTATAAATCGAGTTTATAATATGCTATAAGAAGAACTATATCGCAACATTTAAGAATAATAATAAATACACTAAATATATTGAATCCTACACTGTGCATTCCCATTTAAGAATGAAGAGTTTGTAAGAGAATATTAAATTAATTTAGATACCAATATTACCCAATTTATTATAATTATTATTTTGATTGGAAAGTATTAAATTCTGGTTTTCTTCTTCTTATACACTTATATAAAGTGTTTTTAAAAGTTTTGTAAACCTGGACTTTAAACTTTCTATCTAAATAATTACAACTCCATGCCAAATAAATCTTCTAATTTTAAAGATGATTATTCAATCTTCAAATCTAGTGGAGAACGTTTAAGAACATCAAAGACTACCAGTATATTTGAAAAAACATTATTGAATTGCATAAATGTTGGTATAATTCCTTAATCTGACAGATCAAAATGAACATTTATAAAATGATATGTTATTAATATAAAAAGCTAAATTCTTTATAGTAATAAATTAAATTATGATTTTACTTAGATTAATCCGAAGAGCTGATGTGTTGGTTAAACCTTTCTAATTTAATGTTCACAACAGGAAGCGGACGTAAACTTTGATAGGTTTGTAATTATGAAATTTAGGGGGAATTTTCTCGATTCTACTATTCGTGACCTATATATTGTATGGAATCAGTTTGTTTAATCGATAAGAATTAAATTAGAACACAATTTATGCTGGCTCATAGTCAGATTTTTAAGATGATTACAGTTTAAATCAATCAATAGTTAAATTTGCAGTTGAAATCTCTCCAATCTCAAAGGAACCCTTTGAAAACTATACATACATCTAACAGTATTAATTATAGAGAAATTTAGATATCTAAATTTGGATGTGTTTTATATTGATTAAAGAAGAGTTAGCGAAGTTGTTGGATACAAAAGGAATTAGACAAAACTCATAATGAAGAAATGTGAAAAGACATATATTAATGGATTCAATTTTTAGAATGCCACTTTGACAGAGAATTAAAAGGAACAGCTTCTCTGCTTCGAAGGACAATTTAATATATCTGGATAATTTTATGATCCAGTATTTCAATATGTAAAAATTCAGTTGAATATTTGTGATAATCAAACAAATCCTGATTGCAAATCAATTTAAGAAATTGAAAAATTTATTAGTCAAGGGTAGAATTACATTTTAAAAAAAACTAGTATCAATATAGATCTCTTCATCAAAGGAGACAGGATAAAGAAAGCCCTGAATATGAGCGCACCAGCCGAAACATATCCAAAAAACATGTTTTGGAGATTGACTACAGGAGTGGCAAATAATGAAGATATATATATGGCACCTATCTCCTTAGATATAAGTATTACATTTAAATAAGTAAGAAAAAAATAGTTTATTTGCAAAATTAACAACTTAAGGGTCCAATCAGAACATTTTCAAGTCTGCTGCAATATTTAAATCCGAAAGAAGATAGGAATCTATTAATTTATCATATGGAGTCTTGATGAATTCCTTTTATCTAAGGGCCGGGTCTGAAAGCTTTTATTATTTCTCTTATTAATAAGATTGGCTAGTTATCTTATTATCCTCGATATCAGAAACTACCTCTTTAATAGTTACATTCTTAAGAATCCTTTAATTCTTTTATGGATTTTATAATAAACATAAGACATTTGAGACTTTAATGAACAACGTGTTCAAATTTGATATCACTAAAAATACTCGTTCTGATTTTGAAGAAAATATGCAAGGTAGTGGAATGCATATTGATCCATAATAAAATGTATTAATAAAAAAGTAGAAATTAGAAAAAGTAACTCTATTATTAAATTAGATTATTAATTTCACCATCTAATATCCTATGTGGAGATACATACTCTATAAATTATCAAAATTATTTTTGTGTTTAAAACAAAGGTTCAATTTATGTTAGATTGCATAAGAGGAAATGATTACGATCTCATAATTGGCAAAAAATAAAATTCAGAATGATTTAGATTTAACTAATATTCTCAAAAAACTATATGAAATCGATTGCCTTAAGCTCCTATTATTTGATGATGATCAATTGTTAATATTCAATAGTTTTAGCTCTCCTGTATTTGAGGATAATATGGTTTAATAATAGCACTTTTAAGAAATCGTTAAGTTATAAGGATATAGGCGTTCCTTAAGAACTTAAACTTTTAGTAAAGTAGACTTTAAATTTGTTAATTCATAAAGTATTTACATCAATTAATTAATTAATTAGAACTACCTTTTACTTAAAAATTAAAGAAACTTTCAAGATTCTTTAGTGCCTAGATGTTACCAAACAATGCAGAAGAATTGACCAATATTTTTAGAAAAATTCTTGAAGATTAAAATGTTAATTTCAAAAAAAATCAGAAATTGCTCAAATTTGCTCAATCTAATTATTCATTGTATAAATTAGTACAACAGTATTGCTATGCCAGTGCAAATGTCACAGTTGAGAGAAAAACAAACGAAGCTCTTTCTTTAGAAGGTGAAGACAGACATAATGTTTAGAATCTGTAGGTACATATGAGAACTTTAAATAAGTGATATGTTAAATCAAATAAATAAATAAAACTTAAATATCATACTTTAGAATTAGATAATAAATGAATTTTTTTTTAATTATTGATTGTTTGAGAGCAATGATTGCAACAAATTATTAAACTCATTTAACATTTTGATTCATTCTCTGTTTTATCTTTCAAATTAAGGATCAAACTCCCAAGGTTTCATGCCTATTTTATAATTTTTATCTGGTTAAGTTTTACCAACCTCACCTAAACACATATACCCTTAATCATAGAGTGAACAATAAGGTATGTTAAAAGTTCTAATAAATTCCCAAATTTAAGAATAATTCCATTCTAAAATAGGATTGATGCGTAAAAGACTTGGGTAATTATTATCTGTTATTGAAATTAAATTAAGGGTTTTTCCATGGGGATCACTTCTTCGTGTTCCCATTATCACAGCTTGTAATTATACTTAATTTTGGAGATTCTCCTTAACACACCCTTTACATTCCACAATTTATAAGTTCAAGGCCTTTTTTTATTATTCCATAAATTCTATGATCTCAGGGAATGGTTACTTTTCTTTAAAATATATACATTCAATTTCTCTAGATATTTATAATTTCTCTAAAGCCATCTTCGCTAAGTAGAGAACCACTGTCGCATCCTTACCTCCGTTGAAACAGATTTTGATTTATGGAAATTTAAATATCTAGAATATTTTAACTAAGAAATCAATAGCTTCTTAAAATAAAATAGTAGAGGGCTATGAATTTTAATTATCCATTAATAAAATTATGTGTTATATAAAATAAATTATTTATTTAAGTCTATAAACTTATTATAACAAATTATATTGAAAGTTCAGGGATGCTTGAACTAACTAAAAATAAGAATGTATAATGATTAATACGTAAATAAATAGTAAGGGTTCTTTTTTTTGAATTTCAATACATAACTTATTCTAATATTCATTAAATTATAATTAGAATGGTCCTCAAATTTTGCTCATTTTTTTGAAAATAATTTAGATTAATTGTATTTATTAATATTACTGCATTTATGACCTGAATACAATTATTTTAGATATCATAGTTTTCTACACTATTACTAAAACAGGGCGAATTTTAAAGTTGAATATTTGATGTAATTACCATAACTTTATAAATGAATGGTTATGATATTAAATAAAAAGGGTATCATTTTTTACTAATCATCACTACAATAACGTCATTTTTAATTAAAATTAAATTAATTTCTAAAAATGGCGTAATAGCGAAAAAAATAATATTTACTCAGAAAAATTAAATATAAATAAAAATAACAAATTGATTCAATAACATTCAATAAAATGAATAGATAAATAAGAAGCGAAAGTTAAAATAAGGAATAAGACATTGATTAAAACAATTGAAATTGGTTTGCGAAAAAATGAGTTATGCAATAGTATAAACTAAAGTTTGATAACAATTTTCAATTCTTATGAATTCGATTTGAAATGCTGTAATTGATTAATATGTTAATAATTATTATGAATAATTTGAATTAAATATATTTAAAAATATATTAGTGAATTTATTAATTTACACTAAGCAAATGGAGATGAATATAAAAATCAAAAGAAAATAGTTTTGAACATAATATTTATTTTATTATTTATCAGATACAATTATGGATTCGATAAATTATCAAACAACAACATCAGGAGCAAAGGATGCCTTAGAGTTTTCATCAAGAGATCTTGGGTAAAATAAGAATCAATAATAGAGTATCTTCGATGGAATTTTAGGGTGAATTCGATGATCAATACAAATTGATTGCGATCTATTATAAGATCAATAAATTAAAGAACGCCTTTTTTATTTTCCTGATGGTGATAACAGGAGGTTTAGTTTACTTGTTTTATCGATGGTTTCTTTCATTTAAGCTTGCCATCCGTTACTCATAATGTAATTTCATGGAGATGACGCATTTACTAATAAACAAAACTAAAAATGATATCAGAATTGCTGAAGATTAATTAGTTGAAGTATAACAAAACACACGCAAATTACCAAATTGTAATTATGCACGCATGTTCGAATACGAGTAAATGATATTAATTATTTTTATAGGCTTAGTTAATTTTACATAGATTGCTAGACATTTTAACTTAATTATTTAAAGAACTCCTTCTCTCATTTAACTTGTGCCTAATTAACAGTCGCAACTGATTTAAATGAATGGTCTGAAGTTTATGGTAGAAATGTTATGGATGTTCCGATAAAGTCGATTCCATTATTGATTTTAGATGAGATTCTTACACCTTTTAATATATTTTAAGTAAAAGAAATTGTATTCTTAGATATTCGCTTTGGTGATTTGGGCTGTTGATAATTATGTCTTATATGCTGTTTTAATCTTTGTGTTGACATTGTTTTAGATGATTATGCAATTAAGAGAAATTAGAGCAAATTTGTTTAAGATACGAAACATGATATTATTTAGCACAACTGTTAAAGTTTGTTAGTTTGAATCAATTGTTGAAAAATCTTCAATTGATTTATCTCCTGGAGATATAATAATCGTAGAAGGGAATACAAAGATATCATGTGATTGTATATTGATTGATGGAGCTTGTGTGATGAATGAAGCAATACTTACTGGAGAATCAGTGCCGGTAAATAAAACAGCTTTATTGAAAACCAACAATTTATTTAGATAAAAAGAGAATGAGAATTCGATGTTGTATTGTGGAACCTTCTGTCTAAGGAGTTATTCTAATTCAAATTAGCCAGTGAAGGCATTGGTCTACTAAACTGGATTTCAAACTTTGAAAGGAGGATTGGCTAGATCGATATTATTCAATGTGAATTAGAGTTTCAGTTTTTAAAGAGACTCTTTAAAATATTTATTTGTTTTGGCCTTCCTAGGAGTAGTTCAATCAGTGATTTCATTATATTTAGATTTTTCAAATGATGCAACTGTTGGAGAAGCCATAATAAATGCTTTAGAATTATTAACCATAATAATTCCTCCTGCACTTCCAACTGCTTTGGCTGCAGGTGTTTCATTAGCTTTGAACAGATTGGAGAAATAGAAGATACAATGTATCAAACCAGATAAAGTGAATGTGGCAGCTAAAGTTAATATTTGTGCATTTGATAAAACTGGAACCCTTACTGAATTAGGTTTAGATGTTGTAGGTTTCAGGCCGATCAAAGGAATGGGATTTGATAAGAAAGTATAGATTTCAGAATGTGATGAAATCTCTATAGAAGGAATGGCAACTTGTCATTCTTTATCCTTGATAGATAATGAAGTTCAAGGGGATCCTATTGATTTAAATATGTTTCTATAAACTGGATGGAAGTTTACAGAAAAAGACATTACTTTTCAAGATAAGTCACTAACTTTAATTCGAAGATTTGAGTTCTAAGCTGAGTTATAAAGAATGTCAGTAATTGTTAGTGATCATAAATTGTTTTGTAAAGGATCACCTGAAATGATTCAGACCATTTGTCAAAAGGTACCAGAAAATTACAAAACAATCCTCAATAGATATGCTTCTAAAGGTTATCGAGTAATAGCTTTGGCTTATAGAGAAATTCCAAAAGTCTTGAAATCAGAAATATTAACTGGAAAACGGGAGTTATTTGAATCTCAATTAGTCTTTTTGGGATTTCTAATTTTTGAGAATAGATTAAAAGAATTAACATCCAGAACTATTAGAGAACTAAAGGCTTCTAATCTAAAACCAATAATGGTGACTGGTGACAATCCCTTAACTGCTATCAATATAGGATAGCAATGCTATATATTGGAATAAAATTAAAAGATCTATCTTAGTTAAATAAAGGACTAAGATATCATCTGGCAAGAGATGGCAATGTAGGATCAAGTAATTAATGAAGGCAGTTCATACAGTATTGATAATATTCAATCAAAGACATTAACAACTGATGATATTTTGAGATCCAATAATAATTTCTAACTATGTATCACAGGTGATGTGTTTGAACAATTACAATACTAATACAATCAAGCTATCAATAAAGAAGAAATTTTGAATTTGTTTAGTCAAATCTTCATTTATGCTAGAATGAAACCAAATCATAAAGGAGATTTGATGATACTCTTAAAACAAGATAAAAAAAACTTTATAGCTTTTTGTGGAGATGGCACCAATGATACATGTGCATTGAGATAAGCTGATGTAGGTTTGGCATTGTCAACAGAAGATGCCTCTTTAGCTGCTCCATTTACGTCATCAATTTTCAATATTTCAAGTTTGATTACTCTCATTAGAGAAGGTAGAGCTTGTTTGGTTACGTGTGTTGAATGCTTTAAATTTATGACTTTGTATTCCTGCATCTAATCTGCCATGGTTTTATAATGCTATTTCTGGAATACAGATCTATCATTATACTAATATTTGTATCAAGATCTTTGGTTAATAATTCCATTGGCGTTCACTATGGATTTAACAAGTGCTTTTCCTACTCTGGCCAGATATAGACCAATAAGCGATTTGATTTCAATTCCCATTATTTCATCTGTGGCAGTAGCAGCACTATCCAGCATTGCTATGTAAGTTGGGTTGATTCAGTATCTCACATCATAAGAAGAGTTTGAACTAGACGAACCTGATGAAGGAGCTCCTGGCTAAATCAATACAGTAAATGTTAATTATATTCTTTTAGATGTTGATACTTTTATCTAATTCAGAAGTGCTCGCAGTTGCTATTGCATTTACGTAGGGGCCACCATTTAGACAACAGGTTTATAAAAACCTCGCTTATATTGTGACAGTAACATTAGGCATTTTAGGACATATCTTTGTTATCTTTTACCCATAAGGATTTTAACATTTGGAGGTTTTATTTTAGATTATAATTTTAGATTGTAGTAATTACTTCATTAAGATTTGAATGGATCATTATTGGGTTTAGTCTAATTATAGGAGTGTTTATAATTCTTTATGAAAAATTTGTAACTCAAGCCTTAGTAAAAAAATATTCTCAACAAGATGTCAATTTATCAGTGTGATACACCTTTTATAGTATTTAAACAAATATTAAGTTTTTAATATTTAAATTATAAATAGACTATTGTCTTATTCTTCAATAATTTCTATCTATAACAATTATACAATAAATACTAATAGTTTTTGTATGAATTAATAATGCAAATAGCTTATGTGATGTTAAATTGTGTGAAAATATGTAAGTTTTTTTTTTATAAATGCTCAAATAACTTTTCCATGCTTTAAAAGTATACTAAATAAATTATTTTAAGTTATAAGGTTCTAATCATTTTGATTTCAGAGGCAAATAAGGCTGGTCCATCTAAAATAATTTAAATAGTAAAGCAACTAAATTTACATCTTTTGAGTAATATTCATGTTGCTTTATTATTAATTAAAAATGAAGTAAAAATAAATCAAGAAAAATATTTGAAAGACTTTATAGTTTTAAAAAAGAAATAACATTAAAAATACAATTGTAATTTAACAGAAGTTGACTAAATTTTCCTTTTTATATTTTAATCAATATGTAACTCATTTTTAATTAAAATAACCTGATAATAGCTTTCTGAATGTTTCACTAAAATCAGCCCATTCTTTTCTCAATAGAATACCATCCCCATCTTCATCCATATATTCAAAGATCTCTCTTACGTGTACCATAGACACCGCAAAAGTATTTAATTATGCAGCACATTCCTTAGGAGTTAATTCCCCATCTCCATTATCATCTAATAATTAATAGATCCAATTAAATAACCCATCCCATCTTTCAAACCTTTCAAGAATCCAAAATCCTATCTTTCTAACAAATAGATCTTTATCATCCTTTGAATGTTTGGTCTATTCTTCATAATGTTTTACAAATGTCTTGAATCCATCATGTAACATTTGTAATCCTCTATCCAATTGCAAATGTATTAAGTCTCTATGATTTCTCTCATCCCTATTGATGGCTGTAAATTAAGCTGTAATATTGTAAGGGTTAGACAATGCCCCATGAAACTTTTCCCATTCCTACAAATCTTGGATCAACTTAGGTCTTAAAACCTTATTACAAAAATTAATCCATTCAGTTCTCATAATTTTTGTATCAATATTTCTATCAATTAGCATTCTTAAAGAATCTAATTTCTATCGATCCCCTACATCATCAATCATATCAGCGAATGATTCATATTCACTCTTACTTATATAGTTATTCCCTTCATAAAGCAAGTTAGATACCTGTAACATCGAATAGTTAAAAGAGCATGGTTTCAGTGACTCTCCATTTTACATCATTTCTGATTAAATAATTGATCAAATAAACATTCTCAGCATGTTCAGCAAATTTATTATGTTTGTTCAACAGGATATTAAGGAAAACTTCATAAAAATGAATTGCATGTTCTCGAGTAATTCCTTTTCCTTAAGAGAGAGTAGGTTGTCTAAAATAAGTGGATAAAATACAGATCTTCGTCTAGATCAAATTTTTTTTGTTTTGGTTTCATATATATATACAGGAGAAGCAAGACCACAATAAGTATGAATGGCTTAAGTAGTTTATTCGTAGCCTTCATTGAAATTAATAAATAATTAAATATTTATAGCCAAAGTAAAATGCCTGCTTTATATTATCTACATAAATTTATATGCTTGTCATATCAGGAAATCCATTGTTGATGGTTCTTGCAATTTACTTTTTTTATTTTTCTTATTATTTTCTTAAGAATGGCCCTTTTCTTCTTTCTATTTGTCAACAGTTTGTGTTTCCTTGTTGATTCTTTTTTAAAATCTAAATTGGATGATTTACACATTTCTGTCAAATTGCATAATTTCCACTTTTTCTTCAATAAATATTATTTGCCACTTCTTCTTAAAATAGCATCCAATTAATTCTTTAAACTATTTTATATATTACATCTGAATAAATATTTATTATATATATATTAAATTTGATACATTATCAAGTCAAATACTTGTCTAATAAATTTGGGTCCAAACCTTCCATCTACATTTTCATTTTCAACTATTAAGAATTGACTCCATAACTTAATAGTTTTTTGTATTTATCTAATCTTTCTAAATTGTTTTTAATATGAATTTATACCATCTTCAACTTCCTCTTATTATTAGGGTTGCTCCTCTTAAACTTATTCAGCTTATGCTCCTTATTATTATTCAATTTAAGGTGGTGATGGAATAGCAGCAGCATAAGAGGCTTCTTAATTTTGTACAGCCTATTAATAGTTTTAAGGAGGAGGCGGAGGTGGTGGAGGAGGAGGAGGAATAGCATTATTTTGATCATCTAATATTGCAACAACTACATACTTTATTGTTATACAGACTGGGGTTGTGCCACTTACTATTGTTATTGAAGAGGAGGCACCACCAATCCATTTAAGAATTCAGGAGGCACTGATTCCAGTTTCTTTTCCAATAAAAGTACTTTAGATTCAATCTCATCAAGAACTACTTCCATCTCAAATAATTTGTTTTCATTGAAATGTCCGAATCTGTAATTATTTTTGTTCATAATACTTGTTCAAAAAGTCAATGTTCTAAAGCATATATTCATTCAATACGGCAATCGTATTTTTGTATGGAATAGGCTCTAGTTAATTCAAGTCTATAAAACTTTCCATTATACAAAAATATAAAATATAAATTAATCAATCATTCCGAAACAAACAATTTCTTTTATTTTTGGGATTATTTCATCGATAAAATCCTCTACACTTAATCACCTTCCAAATCAGAATCCTCTTCTTTAAAGTATTTATAATTTGGTCTTTTGTACAATGCTTTTTTCTTCTCCTCCTTTTGCTTTGGTATCAGCCTTAATTTGATAATTATTAATACCCTCGGTAAGTGCAAAGAATTGGTATATTATATGCTTTGGCATAATTTTTCATATAGAAAGTTTCAGTCTCTTTCAAATCACTTTTGTCTAGAAATCTCATGTATTATATTCTTAGAGGATTTTAAAACTTTAACTTGTAGCTAGGATTCAGTTTTAAAGGTTGGTGATCTAATAATGGAAGTTTTATATCTGATTTCATTATATTATAAATTATATTAGCTTTAAAAAATTTAAACTTATTTAACCAAATACTTTTCAAAGAGAACCTCATTTAGCTCGTAATCCAAAAATATTTATTCACAAAAGAGTTATAAATCAATTTTTAATTGACTATTTATCCTTAATGATATATTTTGAAGATAAATTTATAATGTTATAATCTACCCTTAAATTAAAGTATTTTAAGAAAAGCATTAGTTCATATATTATATTTGATTTTACAAAGGAGTTACTCAAATTTTAATTTATATGAATTCTTCACTTATTAAAGGTAAAAATTGTGTAAATACTATTATTTTGATATCCAACATTATAAACATTAAGATAAATAAGCTGTATCAACAATTTAAGTAGTTAGAGTTTCGGAATTCTATCGGAATGGAATTTAATTGAAGAAGATGGTTTTTTGAGTATAAAATAAATAATTAGAACTTAAATTTTAAATATTGATTTAATTATAAGCTTAATTATTTATGGAAGTATACATGAAAATAGACTGTTTGTTATTTATCCACAATTTTTCACCAAAGAAGTAGCTGAAATACTAAAATGCTAAGTTAATGAGTTATTACCCATTTTAATTAATCAATTTATATCTAATATTTTTTAATTAATGGTGATTCAATTCAAACAAATATAAAACAAGATTTATCTTTCAATTATTCTTTTCATTTATAAAGATTTAATTGATATTTTATGAATATATAATCAAAATGACATATTGAACTTAATATTTAATTTTAAAGAACAAGAATGAAATCTCTAAAGTTTATAAAGATTCTAAATACAATTATTTACAGAACAATGATAATTCAAGAATTTACAAGTTAACCATCAAAACTGGTATATTTTTTTGCTCAATTCTTCAATGAATTGCTTGTACTAAAATGTGGCTTGCTAATTTAAAAATATGACTATAAAATTGAAAGCTTATTCGAAAAATTCTTGCTATAGGTAATTCGACCTTATACATACTTTATTCAACAGGAATTAATGCTCTTTTACAGCATTGGGACTTTTGTACTTCTTTAACTTTTGATAATTTTTTGGGTTTATCTTCTCAATATATCAGGAGATTAGGAGAAAAAAACATACATATAGTTAATAAATAAATATGAATCAAGCTCAACCTTACAATTTTCACTCATTTACATTTGGAAGTTGGTATTTTTAATGTTGTCCGAATTTCTCAGCCTAATAATGATCGAAGGGTGTTTCGTTATTTTGTTTGATGAAAAGATTGATAATATATTTTGTCTAATTAGTTCCATAATAATGCTGCTTGAAATTTTAGTTATTGTGATGCTTTAATAAGTGTTTATGAATCAAAGCTTATCATACATACCAAGATAACTGAACTAAATAATTCGACCAACGCTCCTAGTTTACTTAAGCAAATTACTAAAAATAATTGTATTGTGCTTATTTACAAGTTCAATAACGAATAAATCTATAATGGTCTTAGTCATATTAATATTAAATGGTTTGCTTGAATTATATATGTTATTAATTTTGTCAATTAAACTGGATAGATATTTGGTTAGACAAAATGTATTAATGCAATGCTTGATAATATGTGTTTCAATTTAGCAAATAATCAACATATACATTGATTAATCCTTATAGTTTTTATGGATTATTGTCTCAGTTTTATTGTAGTAAATCCCTGTCATTCTATTATTTAAATTACAATATCTTGCAGACCTCTGAAAACCCTCATAGTACAACAAAAATTTAAACTCAGTTATTAGAAAATCAAAAGAAATTATATTATTCATCAGTAGATGACAGATAGGAGAAATTCAGAATATAGATTGGTCAATAAGATTTTTATATCATATCATTAAAAAAGTTGCAGAAAATAAGTGTGTTACTGTAATAATGAAGAAATGGTAATGATTAAATTGGAAAGTATTATATTAAAAGACTTAATTAAGAAATTAAAAGCCTAAATACAATAGTCTTAATAATAATCCTCGTTATTTTATATCTAGTATATTTAGCTACTTATTTAAAATGGAAAATGCTTTGACGCTTTGAATGTGACCTAAAAAGTACTGAATTAGTTCAATAGAAGAACATAACAATTCAAGAAACCTACACAATTAATAAAAGGATAAATTTCACTTTAACAAAAAATATTATTTAAATTACTTTAACAGCAAATCTTAATATCTATAAAATATTCCATTTAAAGTAGATCAACAGGAGCAGCTAAACATTACATAATAAAATAGGCCATACGATCATTATAACAAAAAGTTGATTCTGAAAAGATTTTGTAAGAATAATTTAATGTCATTTTGAAAGCAAAAATGGATTTTTTAGATGAAATAGCAAAGAAGCCAAATCTAGAAGTTATTTACATAAATAATCAAGCTTTGAAAATAATCAAATAAATTGAAGAATTAAAGAAAAGATTAGTGAATAATTTCGAAATAGTTCCTAGTATCTTATTTATAATAAATTTTAGCTCATAACAATTAAAGTTTGCTTCTATTTTTTCAGATAGAGATTTTGAATGATTTGATAAATTCATAAACAATTAACACTATGAACACTCAACTCGATGATCAAGAACAAATTGTTAATGCAAATAACATTTATCAAGAATTTGCCACTCAATATTCATATGTCACTTTCATTCTAAAAGAAGAAGATAATATTGAGTTAGTTTAAGATGGCTTAAATAAAGCAATTAGAATAGGGTCTACGAAATATACTTCATTTGAGGAAATGGTTCCTTCTTCTTTAGTTTCAGCACATAAATACCTTATGAAAGATTTTTTTTAAACAGGATAAAATAAGTATTATTTAAACATTGGTTAATCCTTTATCTAAATATCAATAGGAGTTATAAGCCCAATTGAAATGTGTTTGGATATTTCATTCGATTTATCAATGAATCAATTGTTATCTACAGCATTTATCAGATTAGCAAGTAATAATATTCTAATCCATTACTTCTTATTGGATGGCCAACTTAAGATTAGGGAGATATCTCAGCTACTCTATTAAAAGATATTGGAATATCCAGTAAATTAAAAAATGATATTTATGGATTAATCCATCTTTGCTTTTATTCCTACTTTAGCTGAAAAAGATTTCCTTCATGATAGAACTTTGGGCTTGTATTAAATAAATTTTCCAACTAATAATAATAAATCAATTACTACGCATTCCAAATATAGTTAAAAATCAATAGAAATATTTTAAGGTGTAATTAGTGTTTCAGTAAGAAAGATTAATCAAAAAAATACATATTACATATTAGAAATCACAGATTTGAAATCTGATAAAAAGGTTTATGATTCAATAACATTATCAAATCAATAATAATATATTGAAGTGGATGAAAAAGAGATTATTAACATTCCATTTGATATGTGTTCACAACCCGAATAAAGTAATTTTAATTAAGTAGTATAACAATAATTAACATCCCGTTTGGATTCTTAAAGACCATTATTATTCACAAGTCTAGGTGAATGTTTAGATGGCTAGATAGATAATGTAAAAGGCAGCCAAAGTTAATTATCAAATAAATTAGAAAATTCAGTATAATCAAAACATAAAGAATCCAAATCAGATGAAGTATTAAAGTAATTTGACGATTAAGGATCATAAATATCATCAGTGGCAGCAGTTCGAAGATCTGCTTACTTTAAATAATTTTCAATTGTAAATTAGTTAATCTTTTCTAAAGTTTTCCCTCTTAACATTAAAATCTTTAATTTTATGTATTTTCTTTATATTTTTGCTGGAGTAATCAATTTAAGTATCCTTATTGAATAAGTGCAAAAACTATAAAACTATCAAGACCTTTTGGCATTATTGAGCATCAAATATGATATATATGAACCAATTGAATCATTTTTAAATACTAGATATACTATTGTTGGCCTAAATTAAGCAATAGCAACTAGAGTGATAACCTAATCTGTATTTAATGAATTAGTTGCATTTCCCAGATCAAATTTAGCAAGAGGATATGATGATTTAAAAGGAAATATCTTTGATGTAATATCTCGGAAAGAATTCTAGACATTTCTAAAAGATAGATATTTTGATAGTAATTGGTATATATCTACTAATAAAGGAATCAATAAGAATATGACGTTTAGAAGCGGAATTTTGGCATTGTTGAATTATTAGTACGATTTTAAATTAGCATACACAGTTAAGACATTATAGACAGATGGACCATATTTTTATTATTCATATAAGAATTATATTCCACTTTATACAATCTTTGCCTAATTGAATTCAGATATTTTGGATCAACTGACGAACCAACTAACAGATTAATCAGATTAGCTTACTATGATTTCAGCTCCATTTAATGTATTCTTAGGAATAGTATCTATTATTTACTATATTTATTTAATAAGATAAAGAAGGTTAAAAAATAAGATTTTAAGTCTACTTTATCAGTAGGATAATGAAGTTGTTGGGCACGAAGTTCAAAGATTGAAATAATTATAAACTTTAATTAATTCCAACTATAGTTCTTTATATCAATATGCTTTAGATGTTTAGAGTTTTGATGAAAATTTGAAGCAACAAGAAGGGGAATTCTTTAGATTAATCAATAAAAAAGGGAATCGAACAGCAGGATCAAGAAAAAATAGATAAATAAAGCTTTACAATTTCATGTAGTTGGGAATACTCCTTGCCAATATAATTGTTCTACTATTGTTATACTACATTACAATCAGCTCTCTTGACTAATATTTAACCAAATCAAAAAATACAGGATAATTCTATGAATCTCTTTCTAATACAGGAGTGGATGTTCTAATCATTTATGCATAAAGAGAAGTATTGTACAGAATAACTTTATTTTCATATTTAACTTCCGAAGATGCTTCCGATTTATAACTTCAAGTGGATAATAGTCTAGAATCAATTAATAAATTCAGTGGATTGCTGTTAGTATTAAATCAAAATGATTATTTATTGGATGATTCATCCTTAGAATTATTTGATAAAATTAGTTCTTCTTCTCTATGCAACTATTTACCAGAAGTAAATTTATTTTCTATTTTAAGATATACGCAAACGTTTCGACTACTCTTTGTCCCTAGGTTTTATCAGGAGTATTAAATTAAGGATTGATATCAACTCTGAACGTAATGTATAACTCGATTAAATCTGAAAAACAAGTGAATAACTTTACTAACAGATCCAATGCTCAAGTACCATTGAGAGAATTGGAAGGAGCAACATTTACCGCAAAAGTGATAAAAGAATTAGTCAAAAAACTATATTCGAATCTTTATAATTACACAAACGAGATAAAATCTAATTTTTAAGTAAATATGCTATATTATTTTAGATTATATACATCTGTGGTATTTTTATATAACTAATATTTGGGTTTAGTATAATTTATAAAATTAGTGCGTATGAAAGAGAATAAATGAACATTTTACGAAAAGTTGTCTATCTATTGCCTTAATCAACACTTTTGTTTGATGATTCATTCTAAAGGCAAATCAAGATTATTATGAAATAAGGATAGTTAGTTTGACTTAGATTTATTACTTAAATTATTAATATAGAAGTAAATAATAAATTAAAGTTCATTCTATAAATTTACCTTGTTGGCTCATATCTTTATCTAAAACAGATAAATTTAATCTGATTTTCTCTTTATTAACGCCACTTTTCTTTGACAGATTTAACAAAGTAGTTAAAGCATAAAATAATAAATATATTTAGAATTTCAATTATTAAACTATTCATCAATTCTTTCACATGTGTCTTCGAGCAATCTCAAAAGTTAATCTGCCATAGATTCCCTTTGTTATTTTTCGCTTTTTAATTCGGTCTGAATTCTTTAATGTATATCTTCTATCATATTAAATATTTTCTTTTGGGTTTCATCTCTAATTTGTCTTTCCACTTGTAATATGTCTTAAAATGCATTAATTTAATTATCTATTTGTTCAATTAAATTATTCTATGAATCTTCTCTATTTTAAGTTTCTCCTTCTAATAAATATTTCAATTCACTCATTTATAAGTTAATGCTTTGTAATAATTTATTTGTTTTTTCTTTGCATGTACCGTTGCTTGATTATAAATTAGAATTGAGACTATTGAATCTTTCTTCAATTTATTTTAACAATTACAATTCCAATTTTCTTTTGTTCTAATTACAAATTCAATATTATACACTTTTTTCCTCTTCCACTTGCTAAGTTAGTTATTCTTCAAAGTTACGAAGATCCTTTTATTTTAGTTCATCAAATTATTCTCTATCATTTTTTTCTTAATAAACTTAATCTTGTAATTTTAACAAATGGTCTTTTAAGGTTTTGAACTTCTGTTCTTCTTTTGGTTTTTCTTAATTCAAAAGCGATTCTATTCTTTGGATATGCTATTCTACTAATTCTTTTTTGTCATTCTTCTCTTTATCCAATCCTTATTTTAAATTAGACCACTTCTCAGTCAATACTTTTAACCTATCAGTTTATGGAGATTCTAGAGTGGATTACATATAGCACAGTACCTCTCCTGACCTTTTCAATTGATTGGAATTATGGATTGTTTGAATATTTCATTTCAAATTAAATACGTTAATATTATTTATCATTGACCATGGTACTATTTTAACAAAATTATGTAAATTTTCATATTATTAATCATCAATATGGAATTTAGGCTTGAGTGATCTCACTATTGCACTACATCCAACATCTGTTTAAAATGGTAAATGATGTACTCCTTTTGGAAGATTAGTTTGATTTGTTCTACTCAAGCATATCACATCGCATATTGATGTTAATTAAGTCATAAAATATTGTTATTCCTCATTGAACACTTCCCCTCTTAAAGTGATGCAACCTCTACTCTTAGAGTTTTGATCCACTTTTTAATCAAATAATTAATTCAAAATTTGTATTTGTGATAATTTAGTATCTGGTTGCTCTTATTATGGTGGCTAACTAATAATCTTGGTGATAAATTTCGGTGCCATAAACAATAAAACAACTAAGAATATAATTACTAATATGAATGTAATTGCCATTTAATAAATTATTATTATTATATAAATATTCATCCATAATTAATAAAGGGTGCTAAAATATCATCAGGGAGACCTCCAATAAGTTAAGGTGAAGGTCCTTTAAAGTGAGTCCAAGTATTAGGTATCTCAATAAATTAAATATAAAATCTATATTCGTATTAAGCAGCATCAATTGATACTTGAGTGCAAATCAATGAGGCTGAATTAATTCTGAACCTCTCCTTTCCCTTTTCTCCATATACAATATACCCAAAAGTGAGAGAGAACTGATAACTGTCAGTTGATGAACATGGAGATACCAGCAACCATTCATCAGTACTTAGATTATTTGAACCTGAATCACCATATCTGGCTACAAATTTCAGATTATCTGCAACATTCTTATAAATATTGGAAGTTGAGAAACTGATGGATGATTTTGAACAAGAAATCTTTTAATCCTCTAAAAATTTGATTTGAAAAGAATGACTGACATCTTTAGTAGTACTGGATATGCATAATCCCTAAATGAGGATAATATTGATAATAATACATCATAAGATTCTACTCCTATAAACAATTATTATAACAATTCCTCATTTGTATTATCCAAAGACTTTTTAAATCTTAAAGGAGCTCCTCTTGAATATCCTCCCTTACTTGATATATCATAGGCCTCCCCTTTGACAGTTTTATAAATGATTCCACTGATAGCAGGTATTATGTTGACTGCATCTGCATTCACCTGAACAGCATCTATCATAAAGATCGTAGCATCAATTGAAGTTGGTTTACCACTTTTTTCTGTATCATCAATAGGGACCGCAGCCATATTGAATTGATAGATAACACCGACAACCATATTAGTTTTTCCGACAGGATCAGTGGGAGTTGTAATGGTAGCATACTGATATCTCTTTGTGGCGTCATTATATGTAATTTAATAAGTGGCACTAACCTTTACACTTAATCCCCAGATTGTTAATGATAAATAATTTGAGTATTTGAATTCTGTTAGCAATAGTGGTGTTATTTAATCATCAGTTAATTCTTGAATAATTGAATATCTTAATACATCTTGAACATATAGAGACAGGGTAAGTCTGATATCTTCTAATTTGACTTGATTGACATCCTTTATCATTGTCATTTCTTGGTCTATACATGTACATCAAATCTAGGTTACTTATCAGAGTTGAAGTAATGTAATTTTCAGTAGACAAACCTATAAATGTGGGGGTGCTTGAAAATTTAGATATGTATTCCTCTATTTTAGCGGTATAATCTTTTGAATCTAATTCTTTGTTTTACAAAGTGGACAAAGTGTTTTGATTTGTAACGCAACCCAAGTTTTTAAATAGCTGACAATATCCATATGTAATCTTACATTGTATGCAATTCTTAGTCCTAAATACAAATCACTTGAACTTTTTTGATAATCTCTATTGCATTCAGGAATTTGATACGCAGAGGAATATACTACATTAAGATTTAAAATGTACTTTTCTCTCTGCATTTTCTTGCTAAATCCCATTCAACTATTGTATTGCTATCACATTTAGAATCACAGCAACAGTATTCATCACAAAAATCAGTTGAAAAATTGCATGCACAACTTACTGATTCATGTATCAACGATTCTGTTGCACTCAAGCTTAGTTGACTCAATTGGCATTCAATTCCTTTCAAAACTAAACTTATCAAAAGTAATTCATTCAACATTTAAATATATAATATATTATATTCTAAAATGACTATCACAATTACAAATTTTTATGTTTAATGATAATTAATTAATCGCGCTAATAATTCGATATTGTAGTCCAAGGCGGAAAGAATTAATAATAATTATTAATAAACATGAAAAGCAAAAATATTAATGTTGCTCCAGATCTTAATTCAGTCCTTCAGAAGAAGGTTAGACTTTGTGAAGATAGCCAAAGTACTACACTCTTTAACGAGAACTCCAATTCCCTTGAATCCTTCCCTACATTATCGAAAATAGCATCGAAATACCTTAATAAACCTTCACTTAGAGAAAGATTTCAATAAATTAATAATACTGGAAACTTATAAGCAAGCAAATATTACACTTTAATTTCCATCTTATCAGCTATTGACTCACAATTATTATTTCTAAAATATAGAGTACATTTACATATAACCTTAGAGAGAATCTTTGTTTTGGCCAAACATTGTCAAAAGTTGTTATGATTCTTAATAATTATAAGTCACAACTCGATAATTATAAGAAATATTAACTGTTTGGAGTTAAAGTTATATCATTATTTGGGAAAAATTTGAAAAGCAAGGTGGGAATTTCGAACTCCTACTCAAATTCCCAGAAAAACAATTATTAAACTCTTAAGAATTGAATTCTAGAAAAGAATTATTTTAAAATAAATTGGAAGCCTTTTTATAATTAAATGGAGATTACGTAGAACCAATGAAGTTACCTTAGAAACCTTAATTTGCTGATCCCAATCTTAAGAAAGAAAATAATTAATCAAGTAAAAGCGATTGTGTACAATTTTCTCAATCCATTAACATCTCCAGAATCTTTTAAGATAAGGATAAACCATGTGATAACAAACAATTATCTACAGTATCCTAAAAACTAATTGATAAGCTTCGAGAAAGGAAATTGCAGGAAAAATAAAAGTCAGAAGAATCATAAGATGACAAATAATTATCCTCAAAAAAGTAGCATATCTTAGTCGCGACTATGCTACACTCCTATTACAAATAAAGAGATGTATCAAATATGTTCTTCAATAATGTACTCAAATACATTCATGATCATAATACTAATGTTCTTTTGAGTAGTGAATAAATTAAATCAATCATAAGTATGTATTCAGTTCTATAAAGTGAGTCTTATTCAAACTATTGCAAATTGGCTGTAGCTAATTGATAATTCTGGAGGATAAATTCTCAGATTAAACAAAGAAATAGATTTACCAAATATCATCAACTAATTGTGATGAATTGAATGTTTATGAATCTCTAATTAAGTAGTTTTATATTTAACATCACCAATCCTATAATTTCACTTCAAATAGATTTTTATATATTTTGACAATTTTGTTGAGAGTTATACATAACAATTTAAATCTAATTTTCCCTCTAAGAAATTCTGTCTAAAGTTTACAAGGAATATGAGTAATAATCACAATTCAGAAAGAATAATCAAATTAAGATGAATTTACTTATCTAACAAATTTCCTAATTTTTATCAACATGATGAAAATAAATTATTGGTCTAACTAGAGGTTAAGATCACCTAATTGGACCTTGTAAAATTTGTTGATTTTTGAGAACTTTATAATTATATTTTGTATTTTATAAGGTTTTTCTTTTTCTATAAATGAATTTCATAATGTACGATTCTCTATTTCTTGTAATAATTTATATTATTTTATTAATTTGTTGTTTATTTCCATCAATTATTATTTAGAGTTCATTTATAGTTTATAAAATTATTAAAGGTTTTCATAAGTTTCTGGATAAAGTTATATTGCTAGCAATAATATTTTTAATGTAGATAAAGTTTAAACTATTTCTTTTTATTTAAATATTCTCAATTTATAATTACACAATTATATTTATCAGATGTCTAAGATAAAACAACATAATCTTTAGTTATAATTATTATTTAAGACCTGATTTTAAACTATTCAGATGTAGAAAATGAATTAAATTCATTCAAACTATAATTTTTAAATTTTCCAACAAGTTTATTACAAAATTATTAATATAATTTTTTAGAAAGTCAGAATATTTTAACACGAATTTCATCAGTTTCATTTTAAGGATTGATTCTATGTTTCAAAGCATGATTCCATAAAATATCCCGTTTTAACCGATGAATCGCTTTCTATTATAATTAATGTCTTAAATAACAAACAATATCTTGATCATTAGCATTATTTTAGTATATGCTTAGGCATAAATTTCTTTGAATATTTCTTCAGAGAATTCTGTAGAGAAGTATTTTATTACATCAACAGAAAACATGGTTGTAATAGGTTTTGAAGGACAATAAGTATAAGTTTATAAATACTGGCCTAGGAAGTGAGAGATTACATATTTTGCAGAATAAATGACTGCACATGTGAGGACATGGTTTCTAAAGGACCAAGAAGCCACCCTTAGCTTAACTCAATTTAGTAAACCATAAATGTATAATGCATTGATAAAAACACAATTACTTTTGAAAGAAAAGAGAACGGTTGCAAACCTTATGTTTGGAACAATAAGCCTTAAGAGGAAGAATAAAAACCATATTAACCTCAAAAAAGAATAACTTAAGCTAATACTTACACAGATAGTGATATGACAGCTTCATTAACTGTTGGCTCAACATTGTCATTAAAATGGAAATTCAACACAGATGACACAATAGAAATATGTGTTATCTTAAATAAGAAATCTTGGGTGGGAATAGGATTTGGCCAAGGAGTATTTTAATATAAATTAACTGTAGATGAATGGAGTAGACATGTTTGCTATTAATATTATAGATGGAGCAGCAGAACTATTAGACTTATACGCTACAAGTGAAAGTTAACCCCCAACAGACAGTTCTTAGGACATTACATTGATTTCATCTAGCGTTTCTGATTCAGAAGTAAAAGCTAGGATTAAGAGAAAATTGAATACTGGGGATTCAAAGGATGCAGTATTGGCCAAAGGATCCACTTATACTTGGAGTTATGCAACTTCTTCATCTCTCGTAATAGAAGATCATAAGAGTAATGTAGGACAATTTTCAATAACTCTAAGTGAGTCAGGATCATAACAAACTAGTAATGCAAATTTAATATCGTTAATTTTTGGGTTGCTGGTTCTAGGCTTAATTATTTGAATTATAAAATATATTAATTCACATTATTAAGTTAAATTGCATTAAGAATAAAATCAAACTTATTTATTAAATTCGAATTGGCTTGATATTTTAGATTTACAATCCACTTCTTTTTTCAGCTTAATTATCATAAATATATAAAAAATACCTTAATATCTAGTCAAGATATGGACTTTCATTGTATAATAGATACTTATGTTATTAAAAATAATTTAATTTATTTATTAATAAAATGAAACGATAAAATTCTGCTAATGTTACAGGAAGTCCAAGTCGATATTTCTCAACAACTTAAAATTAATTTGGAGACATTCTTAAATAGATAACCCACAATTGCAACAATAAACCAATAAAAAAGGCAAGTAGTCCAAATCCTAATGGCCAATTATAGAAGAGAATCAAAACTTAAACTAGTTGCTCAAAAATGCCAAATTAAAACAGTTAAAATAAAAAGGCTAGTTCAAGTGTGCCTAAAAATAGGCTAGAATATTACACAATACACGAGTAAATTGGATCTGGAAAATTTGGTAAAGTTTACAAATGTGTTTTGAACTCAACAAAGAAAATATACGCTATAAAGATGATTGATAAGCAATAATTAAAGAAGAATTAAATGAATCATTAGTTGTAAAGAGAGGTGACCATTTAGTAAATGCTAAAACATCCTAACATAATTCAGTTAATCGAATTTTTTGAGACTGCTACAAATTATTGTTTAGTAATGGAATATGCAAATGGAGGAACTTTATTTTAGTCATTGATGAGATAAAATAATAAAAGATATTCTGAGCCTGCTGCCTCAAATATGATAAAGCAAGTTGCCTTAGCTATATAATAAATGCAAAAACAATCAATAATACACAGGGATCTTAAGCCAGAAAACATATTATGGAGCGATGGAGTATTGAAAATAAGTGATTTTGGTTGGTCAATTCAAGACAAAAAAGAAAGGGATACTCTCTGTGGAACAATAGACTATTTACCTCCAGAAATGGTCTATGGATAATCTTATGATAACTCAATAGATTTATGGTCATTAGGAGTCTTAACTTTTGAATTAACAACAGGCAAGACGCCCTTTTAAATTCAAGAGGGGTTTGCATTACAATTCCCAGATCATTTATCGGGAGATGTAAAAGATTTAATGAAAGGATTGTTGGCTGAGAAAAAGAATAGAAAATCAATAGATTGGGTCTTAAATCATGTTTGGTTATGCTGATACTATTTAATATTTTCATAAATTCGATTTTTATTTCTTTTGCTCAGTAAATACCTTATTCCATCCTAATTTCTTTCTGAGATTTACTATCCATTCGTTGTAATCAATATCTGATTTGTCTTGGATAACTAAAATAAACTAATCTAATACTGCTAACAGAATTCTCAGATTATTATATTTCGAATATCATGTCTTTGCTGAATTCAATTGTTGCTTGACCATCAGCACAAATAAATCCGTTAGCTCTGCATTAATTTGCTAATTTAATTGTTATCTAAAGGCATGTAGGCAATACTATAGGTCTAAAAGATAAAGACAAAGGACAAATTGGAGCAATAGATATTGAGGATACCTCATTTTGGATGATCGGACCTCCTGCTGACAAAAAGTATGCTGTTGAACCAGTTGGAGTAGACACAATAATTCCATCTCCGGATGCAACAGTTAACAACACGTTGTTAATGTATATTTCAATGTATAAACAATGTGGGTTTGCTCCTCGAGATATTACAAACTCATTTAAAACATGATATTCAAATTATTGTTGCCCTGCTTATTTAAGACAACCCTTAAGTCTTAGTTTTCTCTCAACAATAAATTACCCTGCAGTTCTAAAATGTCCAATCTATTGTGATAATATGTTATATTTATCCTTTAAATCAAAAACACACATGAAACCCAAGGTTCCTTTCTAAAATGCCAAAATTGGGGGAGGCTCTGATCCTTAAAATTGTCTCAACGCATAAAGTACAGTTCCGTCTCCTCCAACTACAATAATCAAAGCAATTAAAGGTATTGATTCCTTATTGAAAACAAAAAGTCTATTAGTATGAGTTAGCTCTGCAATTTCATCAAATTATTTCTACTCTAAATATATATTGCAATTCAATTCCATTAAGTTTTCAGAGATTTCCTTGACAATATATTTGCATTCATCATCAAACAATTTATAATAGATTAATGCATTCATTTCTCCTTTAAGACTATACGATACAGATTCTTAAGTTTGACGATATACCGAAGTTGTTTTCTTTGATTATCAAAAATAAAATACTCTCTTGTCAAGTCGCATGCATTCGAAAAATGATACCCTACACTTGTCGTTTCCCCATTCAAAATTATCAGAATATTAAGGACTGCAACTTTTTATAGATCGGACAGGAATCTAATTCCCTAATTATGAATCTATAATATCTCAAATGTTTGTACCTTGATCTTGAAAATGACTCTGCTGTCTTGTAATTATAGTAATTTTCTCACAAATCTCCCCTTCGTCTTCATAATTTTCAGATATCACATTATCCATTTTATATTTTTTTAATTTGGATTATTAATTGAATTTCATGACCACTAATTGGCAATAAAGCAATGTTAACTTAATTTATACTAATATAGGTACCAATAAGATTACACTTTAATGATGATGATGATCCTTTTGAAGAAGAACTAGGTATTTTTGGTTTCCAAATTTATAGATAGATTGAGATAGCAAAAAGAAATGTAACAAAAATTAAAATAACAACAAGCAGCTATTCTTGACCATAATAAAAAGGTATCTCAAAAATCAAATTAGGCTGAATAACTAAGATCATAAATTGTAAAAGATATACTACCAAAACATAAAGGGTTATAACTAGCCTACGATTATGACGGAACCTTTATGTTAGCTAAAGATCTTACTTAAGTCAGAAGCCATTAAAGAGCACCAGAAATTCAGTAAGTATTTAATTATATATTCAGCAAAATAACTTCTGTTGACACAGTATTTTAGCCATAGAAACCTATTTAATAAGCAGTTATAGAAAATGAAAAAGTCAAAAAAGAATAACAACGATTATCTAAATCTAAAACAAATCCTCCTTAAATTTTTGAGGCTTCCTATTAAAAACCATTTGAAGGCTTCACTCCTAATCATGGAGTTAAATTGATTTATTAGGATCAAAATTAAGAAATTGTTAAACAACAAGATATATAAAATTGGGGAGATGGGTAGAGAATGACAAAAAAATAATTTGAAGCTCTTAAAAATGAAGGTTTTAAACCTTCAACTTACTCTATGAAATAGTAAATGCTTCAAAAGATCAATTCTGACATTATGGAACTCCAAGAACCCAAAAATACTCCAATTATAGGGTAATCGTTTAACTAAATTAATGAATTAAAAATCTCATAGTCCTATACAAATTTAAAGTAACTACCTTAGCAACAACAAACTATACATCAACTACCCTAAACTGCTTAAAATAGAAAGTAAAATAGTAAAATTAATGTTGTTGATAAATATTTACTTGATCAATTACTTTCATGATTCACTAATATAATATCATTAATATATATTGAAGAATGTTTTTTTTCTCTAAATTACATTGTAAGCAGTTAGAACACTACTCACTCACTCTATTTTATTTAATAACTTAAAAATTTTTCTTATTGAAAAATAGTAATGGTTCAAATTTTCGATTCATTCCCAAATCCATTTAAAAATACATAAAATGGAAATTTGATTACATTAATCATAAAAAATGAACTATGAGTAAAAATAATCATTCGTTTAAATTGCTTAAAAGACTTTCAAAGTTTGAACAAGTAAGACATTCAGAATTGTCGAGATTATTCTATGCTTCGATATTCTCAATAAATATGGATGAAATATTGCTGTTATCAGATTCTGAATCCTAAATTATTTCTTAATAAATACTGAGCTCATATAGTCAAATTCTAAAGGACTTACAACAGTCTTTAATTATCTTCTTCTTGCCCCACCTGATATTATAGAGAACGATAAATACTAAAATAGGCAGTTTCTACTTCAGAATCTTAATCATAGTCAAAAAAGGATTTAATCTTTATCATTTTTAAAGGACTTGAGTCAAATGTAAATAGCACAGTCTAGGATTAATACCACACTTAAACTACTCTATTTTCAGTTGATTCCCAAATTATATTGTCAGCTTCTACAATAGCTGCTTTAAATTTAATCAGTTAGTCTTTGATATTGTTGATACTTACTTAATTCGAAATCCGCTATTAAAGTCCCTATCCACAGTGGATAAATATCACCATTAGTATCAAGTTTAATCCCTTATTTTGGATTCCATTTTCCCATAGATTATTAATCACCAACAATATATACTTATTGTTTAAATTGCGTTTGACATCTCACTTTAAAGTAAATTTAAATCGACATATTGATCAATTTTGAGTCAGAAGATAAGATTAATAATTTATATTAGGATTCTACTTTATTAAATTAAGTCTTGATTTTATTAAGTTATATTCTTATGTTTAAGAAAAAATTCTGAGATTAAAGCTGAAGTGTATGTTTTTCTGAGAATTTCCAGATAAACACCAAGTTATTGTGTTTGATAAGAACATTATAGAGGCATAAATACATCAAACGTTTAGTATCAGAAAATATTTATAAATTCAATATAATGCTGATTGGAAATGGAAAAAAGTAAATAAGAAAAAAATATCAAACAGTAGTTTAATTATAACCCTTCTGAACCTTTTTATATACATTTTTCTTTGTAAGAAATTATTTTAAATGGCAATTAGAATTATTCATTCGTTTTCAATTCTTTATAAATCAATTGTGATAATAAGTGAAATTTACCATTTAAACTCCATGAATTCAACTTAAAGGATATAGGAATGATCTTCAGATACAACATAAGTTTAAAGAAAAAATGAAATTTTTCAAAGAATTAATATTGCTTTGCAAAAACTATCAGAATCAGTTATTCTTTGGTTTAGATTATCATTTCATATTATTAAGATGAATGGAATATAATGATATTAGGATATGTATTCCAATATTATTTGCATTATAAATTTTCTTATGAATTCTTATAATTAATTAATTGCTTTTTTGTGTTTTGTAAATATGCTTTGTTAAATTCAAATTTGATTTATAAGTCAATTATCTAAGTATCAAATCATTAATTAAATAAATCAACTAATAAATGGCTGAATAATTAACAGAAGAATAAATTGCTGAATTCAAAGAAGCCTTTGCTCTCTTTGATAAGGATGGTGATGGTACCATTACAACTAAAGAATTGGGAACAGTTATGAGATCTCTTGGATAAAACCCAACTGAAGCTGAACTTCAAGATATGATCAACGAAGTCGATGCTGACGGTAATGGAACAATCGATTTCCCTGAATTTTTATCTTTGATGGCTAGAAAAATGAAGGAATAAGATTCTGAGGAAGAATTAATTGAAGCTTTCAAAGTCTTTGATAGAGATGGAAACGGACTCATTTCTGCTGCTGAATTGAGACATGTTATGACAAATTTGGGAGAAAAATTAACTGACGATGAGGTTGATGAAATGATCAGAGAAGCTGATATTGATGGAGATGGACATATCAACTATGAAGAATTCGTCAGAATGATGGTTTCTAAATGATTATTATATCATAATTATTAAGATATTTATCTAAATGAACAACACTTAAATAAATATAAATTAAAGAACGTACTTATATTTAAATAAATCTCGAAATTTTCTAATTACTATTATTTTTATTTTTTATACTTATGTCAAACAATACATAGACATCATATGGATTTCACAACATAAAGTATTGGAGTAATAAACACTACGAGTTTTGTTCTAAGATAAAGGATCGTATCTTTATAGCTGAAGATATAAAACACAATAATAGAAAAATTGTTATTAAGTAAATCACTAATTAGTCTAAAAAATATAGAGAGGTAATTGCAAAATATTATTAGAACCAAAGAGAGAGAAATAAATAACCAAGGATCTAATTAATTTATATAAAATTAATCACTATAATCCTCACATCATTGAATATTATGACTTGTTTGATGAGAATGATAGTACTTTCATTGTGATGTAAAATTGTGAATCTAATCTATCTACATTATATTAGAAGACAGTCACCTCATTTTAAGTAAAGAATTATCAATTTTATTGTAATGTTCTTGATATAATTCGATAAATCATAGAAGGATATCAATTTTTGTATTATTAATTTGGATCCAATTTTTAACATAGAGATCTAAAACCTGAAAATATTTTATTTGTTGATAATCAATACAAAATTTGTGACTTTGAGTTTTACAAAATTTCTTATGAAAATCCAACCAAAGAAATTGGCACTCAAAACTTTTAAGCTCCTGAATTGTATGGAGATAATAACTACGATAATAAATGCGATATATACTCTTTAGGAATAATATTATTATGGCTACTGACTGGTTAATATTCGAAAGATAAAATTTCTGGATTAAATTCTAATTTTTAAGAATTATTAAAGATTATGTTGGAAGATAACCCTAAAACAAGAATAAGTTGGAACTAGCTTTTCAAACATCCAGTATATGTTAAAGAACCAAAAGATTTTTTAAATACAGAGAAAGTTAATAACACTTCACTTACACTTTATGATTTGTCTTAAATAATTTAGTTAGCTGATTTAGATAGCACTCAATCAAGTTTTACTTAAAAAACCAATACATCTTTTATTTAATAAAATAATTGCTTACAGGAATTGGAACTAAATAAATTAATTAGTGACACATTCAAAAATGTGAATGAGAATAATATGGAACTTTCTAGAATCTTATTCGCACTATGGGTAAAAATCTATGACAAAAAAATCCTTTAAGAAAATGATGAAATTAGGAGAAAGGAATATCATAGACTGAAAGTAAACATTTAAAATTAGTAATTGATTCGCATAAATAATTAAGTTGATTATAGAATTGAATTTTTAACAATTTAGGAATTATGTCAACAATTATTTTATCATCTTGAACATTTTAAGAGCGATGAAGATTTGATAAAAAGATTGAAAGCCTTCCTAGAAAAAGAAATGAATTTAAGGTGAATTCTGGTTAGTGTATTGAATGATATTTTGGCATATGTTGTTTATAAAAATGAATTACAATCATCTCTTTGAGAAATCTCCCCAACTATATCCATATTTCTACATGTGTTTGAGATATTTTTTAAAAGTTATGATTATAACTAAAATGAAATAGCTAAATAAAAAAGGCCAATAAACAGGAAGATCAAATATTTAAAAGAATGTTGCAAAATTCGACAGGATCAGGGCAAAAATAATTTATTCCCATAATGAAATTTCAGGCATCGATCTAATTAGAGGTCTATCATCATTATGTTGTGGGAGTTAGACTTAATTGAATATCAAAAAGAATTACTATTGACATCTTCATCTTCATCTTCTATATCTGGAAGTCCTAATGGCGTAAAATATCTCAACAAGGATTAAATTATTTGAATTCCCAACATATAGGATACAACAAAATAACTTTGTGTTTCAATAAGTCTATTAAAATAGACAAGGAGGAAAAAAGCACAAAGAAACCATCTTTTTCCTGGGTGCAAAATCAACCTAAAAATTGGAGAATCAAAATATTACTTATCTATGATCCTTCTGTACTTCATTGAGTATTTGTGATACAATCTTGTGTATAGAGGATCAACGTCAGAGTTCATTTTAAAATATTTAATTATAATTTATTTGAGAATTTTATAAAGAAATTGAAAAAGGTGTGATTGTAGATTATTAAATAACAATTTTCACATCCTAATAACATTATTGAAAAGTTTTCAAAGAACTTGCAATCTTTAAAGAAACCAGAATATTAAATCATAAATATTTTGTGGCTTAGTTGTATTAATTTAATATATCAGAAGTTGATTTATTTAGTATAAACTCTATTTAAAATTAAATTATCTATAAAAATATATCAATAAACTAATAATTGTGAACTGACCGAAATTTTTGCCTAATTTTAGAATTTATGAGTATTATATTAAATATATATATAAATTTTAAATGGGAAATTGTTTAGAATTGTTTCCTCACCTTAAAAATATGAATTAAATACAAAATCATGAAGGAAAGATATTTTTCATAACATTGCTTATGGATACCAAAAAAAGAATATTAGTCTTAAGATCAAAGGCCTGGAATGAAAGCCATAAATTTGTTTAAATAGAAGTAAAACTTAGAGGTAGATAATATAACTGAGTAAATTAAGAAAGGAGGAACAATGTTGAAATAGGATTCTAAACATGCAGATGTTATCTGAGGTTAGGATGATGATATTATAAAAAGATTATTTTGTGGAAAATGTAGAAAGAATAGAAAAGGATAAAGTTATTTTAAATGCTTTGAGTTAACATTACTTTTTTGCACATTTTAGTGATTAATATAAGTACAAATTATATGATGAGACAAGAGAAGACAGTGCCTTTTTATTGTTGATTAAGGAATTTATGATATCATAATAAATGGGGATGGAAAAAAGTAACTTTCTACTGGAGAAGGCTTTGGGGAATTAACATTATTTTATGGAGCACCTCATTCTGCTTCTATTAAAACTAAAGATGGTTTTTTTTGCATTATATGAGAGTGTTTCTTTGGTGTATTGATGGAGGCACTTTTAGAGCGGCTGTGGAAAAGAATATGATGATAATAGAAAGTTTATTGATCCGATCAAATTTTTTGAATAGATGAGACAATATGATTGGAAGAATATGATAGCAGCTCTATTAGAACTCAGCTAGAGGAGCTTCTATTTTGCAGTAGACGAAAATGTTTGTTGTTTAACCATAAGAAGGGAAACAAAATATAGGCGATAATGAAGAATAACCTATTTAGATGGAGCTTTGAAAAAAAAACAATAATTGTGTAAATTAAGTAAAATTCAAATCGAAAAGATTATGAATAAGATTTAGACAGTCAATTATTAGGCAAATTAAAAGATCTATACTACAGATTAGAAATGTGATAAATTGGTTATAGTTTTAGAAGGAAATCTCTGCAATGTAAGAATATTAAATATTGAAAATTAAGAAGGAAAAAGAGATAGCTACCAAAGAATAAATTGTCAGGGATCAGTTTTTACCAAAAAAGAATAGTGTAAAGTTAGTCCCTTATGATATATTTAAAAGGAAGGTTGCAGAAATATTGTACACTTTTATATAATTAATAGTATAACAATTTTCAATAGTATATTGTATTTCCAATCAAAAAGTAATCTCTATTTTCTTTTCAAAAGTAGGATACCATTTGATGTATTTTTCGAATACGTGGAGGAGAAATAGATTAAGCAATTTAGAAGAATGAAAATAATCTTGAAGTGAAATATATGTAGAAATAAATATCAAAATAATAAGTTGATTATTTAGTCTTGGATGACATGATTCATATAAAAAAGTTAGGACAGGATAATTTGGCTCAGTATACCTGTGTAAAAATTAAAAGGATGGAAAATTATATGCTCTAAAATGCATCATTAAAAACTAAATAGAAGAATAACATTTAGAAAGTCATTTAACATAAGGAAAACCTATTCTTGAACAAATTTAAATTCCTTTGATGACGTGATACTAATAAAATGAAAGATGATAATTTTATAGAGACTTTATTTTTGAATACATAAAAGGTTTGGAATTTTTTGATGTGATAAGAGATATAGAACCACTTAATACCTACGATTCCTAATTATATGTTTCTTTTTTACTCCACTTGGAGTATCTACATACTCACCACATTGTTTACAGAGATATTAAACCACAAAATATATTGGTAGATCATCATGGATATATTCGATTGATTGAAATGGGGACTGCAAAAATTTTAAAAGGGAAAGCTCGAACATTTACTATAATAGGAACTCCTCATAATATGGCTTCTGAAATTTTAATTGGAAAAGGTATTATTAGAGTAATGCATTAAGGTTATTCCTATTCGGTAGATTTATGGAGCATAAGAATATGTCTATATGAATTTATGTGTGGAGTTCCTTTTTCGGAGGATGCAGAAGTTCCATATGAAATATATGAAGAAATTACAAAAAAACAAATTTCTTACCTTATCATCTAAAAGATCAATAGCTAAAAAATTTATTGATTAACTATTTAATAAGACTTCAGAAATTCGTTTACGTGGGAGTTACGCAGCTTTGAAAGTAAATTCTTGGTTTGATGGATTGGACTTGGTATTATGCTAACATTAACATTTAATATGATAAATTAATGGATAAAAAATTAAGCTTCCATATTTTCCTCCTAAAGATAAATTAATTGGAGAAAAAGAAATTGCATTGTAAATAGATAGTATTTTGCTTTAACTATTGAGAAACAAAATAAAAGCATTTAGAGAGAAATTTAAAAAAATAAAATTTTGAATTTCAAAGTAGGATCTTGGAGAGAAAAACTCATATAAATAAGAATTAGCCAAGAATCCTAATAGGGATGAGAAATATAATTGATGATTAATTATTCGTTATTATAATTTATGATTTATTATTGATAGCATTACGTCATGGGAGAGCGTTAAATTATGTCATTAGGATTGGATTAATAAACAATTTATGAAATCTAAATAAAATAAAATTCAATGAAATCGGCAGTGATTCTACTTATATGCTTGTTGAGTGCTTTTTCTTTATTGAATAAAGAAACAAATGATAGTTTTACTGAATTTTAGAGATGGAAAATTGAATATGGAAAATCTTATTCAGGGCAGCAAGAAGTCTTTCGATTCTTTAATTTTTAAATTAATCGAAATAAAGTAAATAAACATAATTCTGATCCAAATAAAACTTATTTTATGAAAATGAACTAGTTCAGTGATTTATCTCAAGAAGAATTTTCATTGATTTATCTAACTCATGATAATGCAGAAGAGGTTATGGAATAAAACTTAATTATTGATGAATTATAAAAAACATAAGAGAATGATAAAACAATCAATTCAGTTGATTGGAGAAAGATTACATAGGTTAAAGATTAAGGTTAATGCTCTGGATGCTGGGCTTTTGGAGCTGTAGGAGCAGCAGAAGCTTGGTTTTATGTTAAAAATAAAACAACGGTTTTATTATCAGAATAGTAATTGATTGATTGCGATACTCAGTCGTTTGGATGCAATGGAGGTTATTAGAACCTTGCCTTAAAGTATATTGCTAATCATGGATTGAATGATGCTAGAGTATACCCATATACATAGAAATAATCTGCATATTGCAAATACGAATCAGGACCTTATAAAACAAATGGAGCCTAAGGTGTTAGTTCTAATAATTTCAAATCTTATCTAACTGAATATCCTTTGGTTGTAGTTGTTGATGCAACAAATTGGTAGTTTTATGGGGGAGGTGTCTTTAAAGATTGCAATAGATCTGTAAATCATGCTGTCCTAGCTGTTGGATTTGATGAAAATGATAATTGGTATGTCAAAAATTCATGGGGCATTTCTTGGGGTGAAAAAGGATTTATTACTCTTGCCCCCGGAAACACTTGTGGCATAACTTCTTATGCGTACAGAGCAATCTGATATTTATTTATAATTAATAAACTTATAATAGTAATGATATTGAAATAATCTTTTTTGAATAAATAATGGTAAGTTCTCAAACTTTATTTCTTTTTCTCCCATTTGTATTCAAAATTATTCAAAATTTTAGATTCAATAAATTATTTTATTGAGATTACTTGTTTTTCAATCTTCATTTTCCTTTTGTATCAAATTACTTAGTATATGATTGTATTTTCACTTTGTTTAAATGATTTTCTTCAATTTCCAAAGTTGCAATATTCTATTTTTCAAAGCAAATTCTGAACACAAGCAATTTTCAGAAACACTAATACATTTTTTCCTTCACAATTTCATATTTTAAAATACTTCCCAGTTATTGCCTCTCGAGATTGGCCTTAATTTAAATCTGAATCACAATTTGAGGAGCCAAACTTGAGATTTCATTCGGCATATCTGTTTATTTGACATATTGAGTTGTAAAATCAATCTTCTGTGGATTATAATATTCAGATTTGATAATACAGTTTACTGTTTAATAATTTTAATATCCAGATATACGTAAAGTATCTTTATGCAAAAAAAATATCCTCTTTTTATTAGTCATTCCACAACATATGATTGAATTGGTTTCATCTAAATTTAATCTGTATTATATATCCTTATAATTTAAAAATTTAACATTCTTATATGCTATAATTATATTTTTATTAACTCTTGTGAACAACTCTTTAGCTGGTTTGCTGGAGGTATATTCTATTACGATTAATAAATCTTATAAATTTCTTCCTAATTCTACATTTTTCTTAAATTATTTCATAATTTTGCTTGAAATTTAAGTGAGTAGTATATTTCTTGAATGACAGGTTATCAAAATAATAATCTTAAGTTAATTCAAAATATTAATATTGTTCAAGAAATTAGGGTAATTTATTTTATGGTTTACTCTATTATAAGTCAGTTCCTGTAATATTATATTACTTATTCATAATTTAAATTATTTATAATAATATTAATGTAAGGATTAATTCCTTTGGACTTTGGAGAATAGTCAGATAGATTGGATGGCATTAGTTCAATAAGCAATAATTCTAGTGTAATGTAAATATATTGAAGTATTTAAAGGGCACCTCATGGAAATGAATTTTCTTTTTAAGGTAACATTTAAGCCTCAATGCCTTAGATTAATCGAACAATTAAGAATTGGTATTAAGTTGTAGTTAATTTAGTATTGCGTTTAATATGAATGAATAATACACTACTTTAGGAATCTAAGAGGTTAAGGAAAATAAATTAAATTTAAAGGAGTCTTACGTGAAGATTACAGTAATCAAAAATATGGTTGGGCTAGAGAGTAACCAGAAAAAGGAATATTATATAAATAATAAAGGGTAATAATTAAAATGAATATAAGATTAGTAGACACCAAGAAAAATACAAACTAGTAAGATATTATGATAGGTCGTTAAGAGAAATTTGAATTACAAGGATAAAGCATTTACCCAAATGATATTGGTATCTCATTTATTTTTAGATTAGTTCTTACTGAATAAGAACGACTGATATCACGCATCCATTGCAAGCTTATTTGTAAAAACTTCTTTAGAAAAGAATCATACATTAACCCATTTTATAAAAAAATTTTGGGCTTTTTAAAAAATAGATTACCACATTTTGTGTTGATCAAAATTGAAAAGTTTCTAGAGTATTATATAATATTTCTATTTTTAGAGATCCGAATGAATGTTATGTGTAAGACGTGGGAAGCGTTTTTGGAACATATATTAGAGTAGATAAGGAATATTAGAAGTTAAGGAAAAGTCATCAATATAGTATTGGAACTGACACAACCTTTTAAATTTAAGATTATCATATTTTAGATAAAAATTTAAAATTTCCTGATGAAAATTTTGATTATATGATAGATTAAATAAGGAATAACTCATTTAAATGCAATATTCATGGATTTGCATTTGAATAAAAATAATATGAATCATAACCCACATAATAATAAATAGAAAAATCACCTATGGAAATTGCATGTATTCTTCAAAATTTGAAGCAATATAATGTCCCATTCATTTAGCTAATTTTTTCTGGTTCAGGATTGTAAGGACTTTAAGGATGCTACCTTCATTATTTGTTTGCAAAGGAATATAATGGTGAATTTTCTATTGGAAGATGTAGTGAAAATAGTATAAGAATAAATTCCAATACTATTTCAAGAAAATAAACAAGAATTAGGTTTAATGAAAGGTATTTTGATTTCTTATTTGTATTAAGGGAAAACAAATGGCAAATTGCCGATGGTTCATAAGATAGGGAATCAGCTAATGGAACTTGGTTACAATTATCAACAATTGACGAGAGAGATTAAAAGGTAGAGTCTCAACCTCATCCGTTGAAACATTTATCAGAAATAAAAATTAATGATTATATATTGAAAGTAGAATTATTTGAATCCAGGTATGTTTTTAAGATATCACTTTAAGAAAATAAAAGAAAAGTAATAACAAGCAATGTTAATAAGACTTCAAATGATGTCCATTTTATATTTTGATTTTTATTATTACCAACCTTTGAATTTATATTACATCTATTTAATTATACTTCATTTATTTCATATCTGTAGTGAAATATAATTAACTTAAATAATGGAATTTTTTGAGGATGTAACAACTTAGGCTGTTTCTTCTGATGTCCCTTAAGTTGATTAAAGTCAAATTTAATAGGGTTAAGTATGAGATATGCCATATAATAGTATGATGTATTTAGTGCTTTTTCAAATGAAGCACCTGTTTAATCCTTATCATCAGTTGTCTATATGGTACTTTATCATACAAAAATAGAGTCCAGAATAATAGATTAGAAAGGATAAATTGAAAATAATTGAGGAGGAAAGGCTTGCTTAGATAAGAGAAAAGGATTAACAGGAAAGATTGTTGAAATAATAAAAACAATAGAAAGGGCGAGAGTATTTGCAATAATTCAAAAGGTAATTTGAAAAATTACTCCAAATAGTTAATTAGAAACAGATATATAATAAAGAAAAGTTTAAAATAAGTAGAAATAAGAGATTTGGTTTGAAAATAAGAAGAATCATAGTTAGTATGTAAGACAGTGATCCTATATTAGAAAAATTCATGGGACTAAATTGCATCCAATATAGCTTTAAAGGATGGTGAGTACCCTGGATAAAAGGATGTGACAAAGATGAGATAAGCAATTCTTAATAAGAGAATCGATTTGACAAAGTGAAGCCCAAGATTTATAACATCAATATATATTTATTATGCTTATTCTTTTTTAACGAAGTTTTTCTATATGAAATCTTGATAGAGTGGATGAGGGGGGAATTTAGATAATTTGTAAATTATTAGTATTTATAAATTAACATTATATCAAAGCATCATAATAGTAGAGTTATAGAAATTTCGGAATAATAATATAATATCTAAAGAATGGTCTTAGATTATAAATTATAAAATTATCAGATGAAAATAAAAATTACAAAAAATTAATAGGAATGGTTAATAGTATATAAGCTGGTTATATTCAAATAGAATACTCTTCGATACAAAAATATTTCTTAAAGCATTTTGAGAACAATTTTTTAACCAGAAAAATATCAATAATTTCGAAGGATTTTAAATAATTTAAATATTAAACATAGAATTCCTTCCCTTAAAACAATTCAGTTTTATTAGAAAAATGGAAAAAAGAAGAGATCAAGAAATTATTTTAATTAATATGCAGTTCCATTACATAGAATTATAAATATATCTTTATTATTATTAATATTCGACCCTGACAGGAGAAGAGAAAACGAATCTCATAAACCAAACCAATTTATCCCATCTAACCTCTTTTAGCATTTTCTCTATATTTGCTTCCTCCATCTTTTGTTTCTTGTATAACTCGTTATTTTTCTATTAAATGTATTAACATTTTAATTTAAATGATCTTTAATTAAATGCTTATATGTAGATCTTTGTGCATATTTTAGATTTCATCTTTATTGATGAATGTTGTTTTGAAAATCTTTCAAAATCTTCTGATAAATAATTGCATGTATTAGTTTCATTCAAAGAAATAACTCGAGCAATTTAAAACTCTAAATGTTTAATTGCTGCATTATGAGAGGAATACTTTTTGTATTATTAACCGTTTTCTGGTTGAAGTTCTTCGATAAGTCTAAATATATAATAATGATTAACTTTGGTTTTGATAGTTGTGGTATCTATAAATCTTTATATTACTTGTACAAATTTTTTTATATTACAACATCTTAGTTTAATGCTATCGACATATGTTTCGATGGATTAAGAGAAAGCTAGTTTATTCTTTCTTAAGAATTCCCTAAAAGTTTATATATTAAATTCATTTAATAATATATCAAATCACAGATGATGTGCCTCTTCTTAATGAACAATAGATGAAACTTTAATAATGTTTCTATTATTATTTTAGACAATAATAATTCAATTATTCAAATAAATTTAGTTAATTAATGATGATGATAAATGCATCATATCTAATTAATTCTGAAATTAAGAGAAGTTCTAGATGGATAGATTATTTTGCAAAATTTAAAATTGTTAAAATCCACCTTCCAATAACTTTGTCCATTCATTGATATGCCATAAAATTGATTACATTTCAATTTGATAAAATACATATTTATGGCATTTTCATATCTAAAATTAATTCTTAGATTACTTCAAAATATTACGATAGGATAACAGATTGGAAATTTATCTTAAGAAAGTAAAATATTATATTCAGACAAAAATACCAATATTCTTACAACTTAATGAAACAATAAAATTCCAATAGAGATTAATTTAACCCTCGTAAATATTGGGATTTAAGTTATTTATAAATGGTTTTAAAAATTGTCATAATTTTAGTTTATAGATAAGCCTTTTGTAGTAAATGAAGAATTTTGGCATTTAAGTGTAATTTCATTTTTATTAATAGCAAGCACTTGCATAAAGAAGTTATTAAATGGAGATTAATTGTGAAATAAATTATGCAACTTATAAACACGAAAAACTTTGGTAACAATGATAAGCATTTATATTAGGATTATATTTTTTGGTGAAAAAAGAAGATTTTCTTTTTCACAATGCAATTAATATCAATTTACATGTATCCAAATAATTAAACTTAATTTGAAATGAAAAATTCTTATTGTGAAATAGAATCCTTCTATTTTCACAATATAAATGACATCGGTATAAATGAATTATATTAATTCAAAAAATTGCATATTTGATTTACATTACATTAAATTTATATTACATTATTAAGCCAATTCGAATTAACTTTGATTTTGGCTATAGAAGAATTGATGAACTTTGATTGTGAAATAAGGTGATCTATAGATTTTGATAAAATTTAGGGAAGTATAGAGAGATATTTGATATAGATATCAGGTATTTGAAATATAGATTTATTTCAATGATGATTATAGTTTTATATAATTTAATTAAGATTGTCTGTGTTGTTATTCGTTATATAATTTGAAAAGGATGGTTGTATGAACCAATAAATCTTAAATTTATATCATATAAGTCAAGTAGAAATTGTAACATTATATTGTATTAAAAAGGCGCCAACATAAATTGGTAAAAGAGTGAGATTGAGAACAAATATAATAATAATTTTAAATCTTAATTTGTGAATGTAAGGAAGACGTAGCCAATAGACAAAATCTACAACCGAAGATAATTTAGATTGTAATGGAAAGCAAGTAATATCATTGGATAAAGTCATCAATACCAATGAAGATTAAAAATAATAGAAAACAAAGAAGTTATAGAAGGTAGTTTCAACCAAAAAACAGAACTCAACCAACACTGAAGAATTATCTGGAGTAAGTGTAAAGGAATCCTAAAATGGAACATATAATTTAAGATAGTACACTCGAAGAAATTATTTGGATTTTGGGAGTGAAGCTGGAGGAGATGACAACAATGACATAGATTTTGGAGTGAAAAAGCAAATAAACAAAGAGAGAAAGAATAGTGATTTAGATATCAATGAAACCATTGAATATGACAAATTACCTAAAAATAAGTAAGGATTGATAAAACTGCTATCCAAAGTAGAGGCTAGCATTGAATCTTAAAAATTGGAATGGTTTAAAGAGTATTAAATACATACTATAATAAAATAGATAAAATGAATTACCAACATTGATTAGTTCCGTACCTGAGAACTCCATCCCCATAAATGCTGATGTCTTAGCATTTAATTTTAAATCATTGATAGCTTAATAACAAAAGATATCTGGTAAATTATTTGATGGTATTAATTACTATTATACAATCAAGCCATTATGATGGATCCACCTTGGCAGTTATCCACATCTTAACCATCCAGAGGAGTGGCTATTGCATACCAATCTCTCAAAGATGATTAATTATTGGAACTGCCAATCCCTTTATTATAGAAGGAAGGCTTCCTCTTTATATGGACAATTAATGCCAAATATCGTATTGCTGCCAAAATGATAAAATAATGGGGTTATCAATTAGTAGATGAATTAATTTGGGTGAAGAAGACTGTCAATGGTAAAATTGCCAAAGGACATGGCTTTTATTTGTAACATGCTAAAGAGAATTGTCTAATTGGTTATAAAGTAATTTAATATTTAAATTCAAGGGGACCAAAAAATTAAATTACTATTTAAAAAGCGATGTTATCTGGAGTGAAAGAAGGGGGTAATCTTAAAAGCCTGAGGAGATCTATGAAATTATTAATGCCATGGTTCCTGGGGGCAATTGTTTAGAAATCTTTGGCAGAAGAAACAACCTTAGAAATAATTGGGTCACTATTGGAAATGAATTATGATTTGAAATATATTTTTGAGTAATATTCACCTCAATTAAATACAGAATCTTTATCTATTGATATTTTAATGGTAACTACTTAATTCTAACAATACTATTAAATTATATATAATTAATGTATAAATTACAACAATCCACCCATTTATTTTCATGACTTCATTCACTTTTTCTTTTAATTTTCATGTAATTGCTAAAGTTTTGCATTAATTTCCTAAGGAATTTCTTTCAAATCTAACAATTATTCAATATCTATTAAATTTAACTTATCTATTGAATTTAGTAATTAATTCAAAATTGGCTCCTTATTTAATTTTGGGGAATATCTAAAAATTGTATATAATACTAAAACTAGGTCTTTTCCAACAACTGAATCAATCTATTCTAATATATATTGATATTTATCTTCTATCTACAAACCAATCCTTGCAAATTTATTAAAAATTAAACATCTTTATGAAATTTTTAATTGAGTCCAATCTAAAGGGATATCCTTACTTAATTAAGGTATATCTGAATGTGAAGCTAATTTAATTAAAGATTCCAATTAGAATGTTTTTATATCTTTCAATATCTGAATACAAATCTTATCCCAAAACTATTAACTACCTTTATTGTTGATAGAGAATGTTTAAAATAAAGTCACCAAAGATTTCTCATCCGATTTCAATAAAGAAATCGCTTATTTTTCTATTTGATTCCATGATAATTCATCCACTCTGAATAATTAAGATAGAATTTAAGATTGAATAGCAATTGATTAAAGTGTCTGCAATCTTTATGTTTGTAAAATAGTAAATGCATGATTCCAAAAATCTTATGTTCCTAAATTTAATTTCTACAAAGCCCATAAAACTAATAATAGATCATTTTAAGAAAAGTTCCTCATTTCATTTTGTACTATTTGAATTAGATTCCAGTCATTCATTGTTATGGAAAGTCTTGACCTTTACTTTGCTAATGCATATAAACCATAACATAATGAAAAATGGTCACTGTTCTTGAGAAGCTTTAAAAATGCCTTAGCCAAATCATCCCAATCAACATCATGGAACTTTGTTAGACTCTGTAACATTAGACTAAGACTATAAAAATCAAATTAATTCAATCTAGATGGGAGAATAGATATTATTTCTTGTTATAATTTTTTGCTCTATTCTTAATTTTCGGATAATTCAAATGATTTATTCTTCAGCGCCCACATAGTTTCACTTAAATAATAGGGTGCCAATTCATCAACTTTCATTGTCAAACATTTCATCCATAAATCGTCTTCGAGATTTAATTTATAACACAATAAAATTAAATCTGCTTTTTGAATTGAATCCAAACTTTGACGCTTAAAATATTATGTAAACTCTTATTTGCCAAATACTTATTTGAATTTATGAGATTTTTTCATTATTTGAATTACTTCATTTGGAACGAAGTAATGTAAACTTTTGAGCAAATTTTCAATTTCATTTGATGGAAGAGGATTGGAATAATATAAAAATACTTTTTTTGCTTGAATTCTACTGTTGATAGGATTTTGTAATAATCTACCTTCTCCAATTTATGCAAATAATTTTGCAAATGTATAATAATTTTTCATAAATATAAATATTCATTATTTTGAATTCGATATGGCTTATATTAATTCAATGTATAATTATTAAAATATAGTAAAATTATATCGTCAATATGTAATTGATAATTAAAATCACAATAAATAGGTGTATATTTAAAATTTCTTTCTTGTATCAGTCCAAATATTAATCTTATTCTGTATAAATACATAAATAAATTAATTTTAATTTCTAAAGCCTCTTAAATTAGACTTTAAAAAAATGTTCATTTTATATTTTGATAAAGCGCTTGTATCATATAAACCAAATTACCGTCAGAAAAACTTTTTTATATATCAAAAAATTTCATCTTTTAACATAATTTTTCAAACAACCATTCCCTTTAATATAATTGTAGTATTAATTCAAATCTATTTTTCAATTTATTAAATTAAGGGATATCATAATTTATTCTAATGTTTAGATGAGCTAAATGTTATGATTTAACTATTTATTTATTTAAAATATCAAAAGCATTATTTCAAATGCGTTCAATAGACAATTTTTACTTGATTTAGATTTTTAAGTCTTTGTCCTACAAATTAAGATTCAAAAACCTCGAGACGTTTTAATAAATCTTATTTGGTTAATACATCTATCAGAAATCAAGTGCCTGCTAAGTTTTAAAAATATCTCTATTTTGCTATCTCTTATAAATGAATTTCCTATGAAGGATTCTTTTGCTATCATACATTATATGTTTTGTTTTCTGTCAAATTCTACTAAGTAATTTTGACTATTAATTTCTATACATTAAAATTAATTGTATGAATAGATATGATTAAATTTTCTGTATTTCAAAAACGATAACTTTAGCAGATCAATACAAAGACAATATTAAGATGATCATTGATTGAGAATGTACAAATTGATGACAGTATTTTCGGTAAATATGAGTATGTGAAAATATCTGTATAAAATCAGTTTGAGATCTTAAATTATAAATTGTGTAAATTTATTATAAATATCATTCAAAGATTCATACTCAACCAAAACTCTGTTTCTTTGCTAAATGAATTTTAGTATATGAATCATTTCTTTTGTTAGATTTGTTACAGTGTTATGGACTCAGTATGCTTTTTGAATTTTCTTTTTATTTTTCTTTGTTAATGGTCTTCTAAGAACTAGTATAAGACTTGAATGGACAATTTTAAATTTCTTAATTAAGTTTATTTTGATTCTTGACTGTGTTTACATATCTAATCTAATTTAACCATCTAATTTATCTTTCGTAGAATTCTTATTTTTTAATTGGTACCTGATGATCTGAAAAGTGCTTAATTGTCATTTTCTGCATTATCTTATCAACACTAAGAACTTATTTATTTGTGAAATAATTATTCGGACTTTAACGACTAGAGGATTTAAATCCGTTTTATTATTAGTTGATAACATTCAAATCTAATGGTATTAATATCTTGGATTTTTATCTTTCTTTTTCGACTTACAAGAGATTTGAAAAGTTTTAGAAATGTTCATTTAATGGTGATGCATAGATCAATTTTGATTTGTTCTCTTCTTCTCTTATTATACCATAATCATGTATGTGCTACATGCAAAAAATTTTTTAACAACTATTATTTATATATAAATTATATGTTTATGCTCATTAAGATAGTATTTTTTCAAGTTCTTCAAGATCATCAAATTCATGTTTGAGCGGAAGTTTGTCAAGCCAAGCATCTGATTATTTTTAATATTTTGTGTCTTATTTATTGATAGTATTGTTTAAATTTGTGAAATCCAAAATTGAATGGTTATCATTTTCATCCAAAAGGATCATGGATTCTTCATAGAACTTACGTCTTTTAGGCTGGTCTAATTGATCTAAGAACAATTCTAATTCATCAATAAAATCTTGATCATTAACTATAGTTTTTTTAGTTGGAGGTCCTGGGTTGTATTTACTCATCAAGTCTAATAGATTGATATAATTTATGCTTTCATTGATTCTACTTTAATTAACCAAAGAATGAAGGAATTAATTATTTTAAGTTTCATCTTAATCTCCCATCATATATAATATTAATTAATTAAAAAATCATCCCTTTACTTTCTTAATTTTTTTTCCCTCCAAATATAAATTTATTCCAACTGATGCAGGTTTTTCTAGAATAGATTTGGTTTTGTAGATTCTTTGGAATTTGCCAGTATCACATTTCTTATTATTTTCTTTGTCAATCACTACTTTAATTAAATCTTCTGAAACCTCTTTAACTAATTTTTAATTTTCAGTCACATGCTAATAATAATTGAAATATATACTGTTGAATATGAAAAATCTGGACTACTATTGATTTCGATTAACCAAACACGAAATTTATCTTCAATCATGAAATCGTTACCCCAAAATTACATACGAATTCTTTCTTTATTCTATTTAATCTTGTACACTTTATAAGGACCATATGATTGCTTATTCAAATTAAGGTCTTATGATTTCCATAAATTTACTTAATAGTAATCTCAAATTATAAAATATTTTACCATTAAATAATCACTAAATTAAACTTAATTCCACATATTCCCTTCAATATCAGACTTATAGAAGTATTTCTCCCTTTTTCTACATAAAATTTATTTGTCAAATGAGACATCTTGTTTTCCAAATCTTTAGGATCATATTCTTCTTCAGTAAAACGAAGATATGCTTCATCATTAATCCAAACAGTCAAAGGATTCCAATCAGTAATTAACACCAATTATCTGATGTCCATTTTCTTACCAAATACAATTAATGGTTTTTCTATGTATTTTTGAATAATCCACTATGCTCCTTTGGATGTTAAATGATCTTCAACTTAAACTAGATTTTTATAACATTAGGTTCCTCTTCCCCTTAGCAGGTTTAACCAAACATTTTCAACTCCATCTAAATAGTAATTTGGAAATCTATTTTTAAAATATTACCTTGTATAATATGTATAATTTACAATTATTTATTATGTAAATTCATCTACATCTTCAATAGAATCATCCTATTCTTATTCTAATTTGCTCTTCTTCTTCTTTTTCAAAGTTTTAACATCTTCAAATTTAGCCAACCAAGCTTAATGTTTTTCTAAGCCATTGCTTATACATTAAATTGTCTTTAGAGAGTATATCCCATTCATTTTATGTGATGACTGCACTCTGTTTCTATATATAAACGAGTTCATTAATATCTTGCAATATCTTCCTGCATACTGACCATTCTACAATAGCTTGAGGTTTGATCTTCTCAATCAAATAAGCATCCTTCTTTTCAATAAATGAAAATACATTTTTAAAATTGATTCAGCCTAAATATAAAATAGGATTACTTTTGATAACTTAAATTCTTCTCTTAAATTTTCGAAATCCTCCTTGTCCGATCAATCAAATGCCCTTGGGTAGAATGTGTATCTATTATTGAACTAAATTAAATTGCTTAGAGATTTACATAATCCAACTTTAATGGTTAAACATATAAACTTAACTAAGTGATTCACAATCTAAAATTCTTATAAATTATTATAGTCTATTTCTGAATTTGAAATCAAAACATGGACTTACACTATTTGGATTCTTTACCCAACCTCTATATAATAACGCTTTAGCTATATCTCCATAACCAAGCACAATAATAAACATTTTGACTGAATCATCTATCCGTTACTTTTTCTTCCACAATTTCAAGTCTGTCATGAATGGATATTTCTTCAATTTAGCTTTTTAAGTATCTTAATCATCTGGCCCAATATCTTATTCTAATAATCATCTTTAGTCACAAACTACGCTGCTTCAGACAATTAATTTAACACTATATATTTTACACTCTATTTAATAATCTCTTATCTTTAGATCATCTCCTCTTTCTTCTATTTTTATTAGAATTATCGTGTCTTTATCGATTCCAAATATCATGTAAATGCTTATTACTAATACTATTTTTATCTCCCTTAAATTCTCATCATTTATTCTTGCTATAACTCCTCCTTCTTCACAGATTTGATGGTTCGCAATGAAACCTATTATATAATTTCTTTCTAATCCTCTTTCATATAGCGAGATTTCAATTTTACTTCACTCAATTCAAGTTAATAATAAAAAATATTAACTCCCATATTGCATTCTCACAATACCAAATCTTATTTTCTTTTAAGACATCACTTTTTCTTCCTATTTTCTCATTTTCTTCTCTCTCTATTATGCTATTATGTCCTTTCATTATAACATATATTACAAAGTTAGGACTATGAAAATCCTTTATAGTATTTTATTCATACATTTAATAATTAAAGTTACATAATTGCTTTGTTTGGTTATTCACATATATTAAGTTTTCAAAGATAATTTTACACTATTTCATATTTACATTTAAGAAAGTATTTGTATTAAACACGTTGGAATATTAATTTGATAACCAATTAGATTATTTATGTTGGTTAAATATAATATAAGTTCTTATTCTTGAAATGAACCGTTGATTTTATATTCAAAAGTTTAGTTAATAAAACTAGTATAATATAAATTGATTATTGTTAATATTCAGATAAAATTTATTAGCATATATATAAATCTAAACACAAAAATGAAGAAAAAATATCTGATTGAAATTGTTTCCAATCCTATTTTTTATTTTAATTCTCATGAGATTGACTTGGGGACTTTCAGATTTGATAATTAGATATATGAAAATATATTATGTTCTTATTATCATAATCATGCTTGATTTTGATATTCTTTTTGAACAACAGTTTTGAATTCATCCCAACTTAATGATCCATCTTTATCTTTATCTGCATATTCAACCATTTCTCTTAACTCTTGATCTGTATATCTTTCTGAAACCAAATCATTTATTCTTTTGAAATCCTCGTAAGTAACTTTGCTTTATCCAGAGGAATCGAACTCTTAATATAACTTCTCTAGCACTTATTCATCCTCTATTGTGCTATATTATGATATTTATAAATTAATACCCTGAAAATCCAAATATATTAAGAAATTCTTCAAAATCTATTAAGCTAGATCCATCTTAATCCAAATCTTGAATCATGTTCACTATTTCTTCTGCTGATTATTCCATTCCTAATGCAATGATGGCATTTTTCATCTCATTTGGACTAAGTTAAGATACAAATTATACGAAATAGATCCGCTCTTGTCATCATCAAATATATCAAAGCATTCCTTTATTTTTAATACTTCATCCTTGCTAAGTCCTGGCTTAACATATTTGGATGCATCAAATCCAGCTGGTTGTTGTTAAACAGGCTATTAAACTGGAGCAGGGGCTTTGCCTTTAGTAGGTGCAGGTAGTGGAGCAGGAGGTTGATTTTTTTATGCTTATTGTGTTGGTTAAGCAGCTGATTATTATCTGGATTGAGTTCTACTCATTTATTTTAAAAATAAAATTAAGGATACACAAACTTCTCACTATTATATAAATATTTTAAGAATCCTTGTATTTATATAATCATTTATTAATATTTCCTCTTCCCATCTCCATAGTTCAATTTTCATGTTTAATTTCCAATTTCCATTTCTATAGATTCTTCTCTTTATTAAAACCAATATTCATACAGAGTTTTGGAGGTGTCACAAATAATTATAACACAACAAACACATCTTATATATATATATATAAATGTAATTAAGATCCACTATGATATAGATTTATATTATTCAAATATCAAAACTGTTGTGTTATAAGTTAGAAGAATGTTAAAAATTCTTGATCAATAATAAAATATCAATATTGGAAAACATAAAATTGATATTCTAATGGAGAATAGAAAGATGGAAATAAGATCGGATGAAATCAGTGTTTGTGAATTGAAAGGAATGTTGAATTATATTTGGGAAATATTAAATAATTTTGTATATGCAAAGATAATTAAGAATTGCCACTCGATCTTCAGCCTTAGCTATGGCTTAAACAAATTATGTAATTTCAGAATTGAAACAAGAATGTGAAATAATTAAAGTATCGAATGAGGTGGGCGATGTGAATTTATAAGATCCATTATATTAAATGCCTACAGTAGGTGTATTTACAAAGTAGGTAGAATAGTATTTGTAAGTTATGTAATTTAAATTATAGACTTGAGTAGAAGGCGGATGTTGCAGTACATTCCTTAAAAGATCTACCCACAATAATAGATGCTTAATTGCACTTAGCTGCATATACAAAATTTGAATAGAGAGGAGATGTTGTGTTACTGAATAAAAAATACAATTATAAGAGTTTGAGTGAGTTACCAGATGGATTAAAGGTTGGAACATCATCACTAAGAAGAATAGCAACAATTAGAAGTAGATATCCAAAATTAAATTTAATAAATATAAGAGGAAATCTAAATACACGCATATAAAAATTAGATGAAGGATAGTATGATGCCATCATTCTAGCAAAAGCTGGTATTCTGAGATTAGGTTTAGCTGAAAAGATTTCTTTTGATTTAGATGAGAAAGAGTTCCTTTATGCACCAGCATAAGCTGCTTTAGGGATCTAATGCAGAAAGGATGATTTAGAAACAATAGGAAGATTATAGATTTTGAATGACACAGATGCTCAAAAGAGATGTGTGGCTGAAAGAATGTTTCTGAATTTATTAGAAGGTGGATGCAGATTACCTATTGCAGTATATAGTGAATGTAGAGAAGATGGATAAGTGTATATTAAGGGAAGAGTCTTGGCTGTTGATGGTAGTAAAGTAATTGAAGATGAGGCATTAGATCATTTTGAAATTGTTGGATAGATATTGTGTGAGAAAATAAAGGTTCTTGGGGGTGTTGAATTAATTGAAAGCTTAAAATAATAAAAATGAGTGTTTTTGTATAAAATATTACATATCTAATATTGATCATTTAAACTTATTGGAATATGGACTGATTTTATTCATTGTAAAGTAGTCATTTGCATAATTTGTTTCTTTGCACAGTTTCCTTGGATAAGTGAATTTTGAAGGAGAAAGGCTAGTAGAATTCTAAAAGGAAATAGTCTAATTATTACAACTGAATGCCATCCTAATTCTTAATTGGAAGTCTAAGGAAACTAATATTTCTAACGAGGAGTCCTATTCATGGTATTTAATTTATCTATGATGTCCTCTAAACAATGAAAACTATTAAATTACTCTCTAAAGGCGGTGAATCATCTGTTATTTAATTAACATCGAATGCTGGCTTTTATACTGCACCTGTTTTTTCAAGGTGCTTCTATAACATGATACTATTATTAGGTTTCTCTTGTATTATGTATACTAATGAATAACTGTTGCATATACATTTATGGGGATTGATTGTAAAATGTTCATATACTTTGAGATGCTAATTCTCCTTTCTTACAGCCTCCTGCCATATTTTCATTTCCTATTGTTTTATATATTATGGTTACAGCAACTGGACTACGATCTCTCTTGTTATTTTTACCAGTCTCTTGCTTAGCCATTATATTTATTAATAATGAAAAAAATTAATGTTTTTTGTAGTTCCTACTCATGGAGCAGTTCTCTATCCATATTAGAACTTGAAACTCAGATTTGCAGTACTTGTATGCCAAAGTAAAAATAACTATGCTGCTATTATACCAGTTGTCGATCAACAAATCAATGAGATTCAAAGAATTCAAAAGTTTTAGTCGGTTGGGTACTTTAGTGAGACTTACTAGTGAAGACTATAAGTATTAATTTGATCGATTAGCATTAGTTTATATGCTTCAAATAAAATATACCAAGCTTTTTCATTTGCTAGAATGAAAATAGATTCTAGAATAAAATCTACTCCTTATTATATGATTTCTGCAGAAGTCTTGAGAGCGATGAAATTGTTGATGAATAAACATTATGGAGTAGTTAAATAATTGACAATTTAAAGGAATCAGTCTAATAAAGAATTTCCGAATTTTTTAGTAAAACCTAGGATAATTCCAAATGAATCCAAGTCCATATTTCCTTTAAATCATATAGGAAGAGAAAAACATCAATAAGTTGTTCTTTATGATAGCCTTTAATGCTGACTTACCTTAAGTTAGAAACTCAAATTATTGTAGATTGATACAAAGATCACTTTATTGATACAATATTTGAAAACTAAGGTTTAAGAGTTTACTTAAACTAAAGCCTTACATAATAAATGAATAAATAGGCAAGTAAACCTACTAATCAATCTACTAAAATTCCAATTCCCATATAAAAATAAAAGAGTAATGATATTGAGGAGTTACAAACCACAATTAAAGAAGCCAATCTACCAAATCATGTTAGAGAAATTGTGGAATAAGAAATGTAAAAAATAGAAAAAGGTTCTCTGGGAGTAGATTCAAATGTTACTAGGAATTACGTTGATCTTATACTTCAATTAACATGGAATTAATAAATGGAAAAAACCTTGAAAGAAAGGAAATAGCTGATTCCAATGCTTAGGATAGATGATATGTTTATTTAGACCTCCTGGTTTTGGTAAAACTTCGCTTGGTCAAAGTATTGTAAATCTCTAAATCGTCCCATTTATAGAGTTGCCTTGGGCGGAGGATCCGATGAAGCACAAATCAGAGGACACAGACGTACTTATGTTGAAACATTCCAGAATCCTTTATTTTAGGCTATCAAAACGTGAGGTACACGAATCCAGTAATTTTATTGGATGAGATTAATAATAGACTTGATCCTAGTTCTGCGTTATTGGAAGTCTTAGATCCTGAGTAAAATAGTCATTTTATGGAAAATTATTTGAATACCGAATTTCATTTAAGCCTTGCATTATTATAGCAACTGCCAATTAATTAGAAACTATTCAACCAACATTAAGGGATCGTTCAGAATTAATAGAAATTGTCGGTTATACAGTAAAAGAGAAGGTAGCTATTGCTAATAACTATCTGATACCTAAATAACTGTAAAAAAATGGACCTGTAAACGAATAAGTTACTATACCTTAGGAATTATTCCTTCAATCATAAAATAGCACAAGAGTGAGGCAGGTGTCAAATAATTGGAAAGAGTGATAGCCAAAATTTATAGAAATATTTCTCTCAAATTTATAACAGATTAATAAAATTTCAAAACAATCGTTATAGATTAAGAAGGTTTAATAGAAATCTTAGGTCCATCAATCCATTTAGATAAGCATACAACTCCTTTGACAACTATTCCTGGCGTATGTAAAGGATTGGCATGGACTCCTACAGGAGGGAAAGTGTTAATGATTGAATCAGTGAAAATGGAAGGCAAAGAAAAATTTGAGATTACTGGTATGTTAGGAGATGTAATGAAGGAGAGTGTAAGAACAGCAATTGGATGGATTAAAGCATATTGGCCATAAATTAAAATGATAAGCAAATCAACCACACATGTTAATTTAGATGCTCTTGATATTCATGTAAGTTATTTTGATAATACAATTATAGATTCATTTTCCTGCTGGTGCAACACCAAAAGATGGACCATTAGTAGGAGTAGCCATCACTACTGTGATAGTATCAATCTTACAGGATTTAAGGTGAAAAGTGATATTGCAATGGCTGGTGAAATTACATTGACAGAGAGAGTGTTACCAGTTGGGGGTATAAAGGAGAAAATTCTTGGAGGTTTTGAGAGTGGAATATTTAGGTAGAGATTTAATCTATTATTCTAGTGTCATAATCCCACATAGGAATAAGGCAAATTTGAGTGATGTGGATGTTGAAATAAGAGAGAAGATGTCTATTTATTTGGTGAAGACTATAGAATAGGGTCTTCAAATAGCTTTGGAATGCAATGGCACCAATTTCAAAATGGTTAATTTGGCTAATTTGTGATAAACTTTGATTTAATGTTTTTATTGATAATATTTATAATATAATAAATGTTTATAGTCATTTATATTTCGTCCATAAAGAAAAATACGTCATATGAGTTAATATAAAAGTGTGTCACCAAGAGGAACAAGCAATAAATAAAATAATGAAATAACTAATATAGGTACTATCAGCAGTGTTGATCACGGTTGGTATGTTATACTAATTCAGTCCACAACCAAATAAGGAACAGAATTTAAGGGATTGGTGCACTAATTTTGATGGTGACAATGGATGTAAAGGATCACAGACTGACAATCCCTCTGACTGGTTAAATAGAAACTTTTAAACTCCCCAAAAAGGAGATTCTTTATGGCGGTACTTAAAATATATATACATTTAGTGAAGGATATTAAGATTATCATATTTTATAAGGATATGCTTAATAAAAATATAGTTCAGATCTTAGATCGTGCTCAATCTCAATTTATACAAGAGTAAACCCAGAATATCAAGGTTCCTTAGTATATAGTTTTGATGGCGAGGAACAGACCTCTCCTAACAAAACCTTCTCAGCTCCCAGAAGTGAAGTGTAAATCAAAGTTTATTTGAGAGCTGGAGGAGAAATAACTATCGCAAAACTTGACCTATAACCAGTAGATTTCGTATGGAATCATCCGACAGTAAATTAATCTAGCCATTATAAAAATGGATAGAAGGGAGCTATCGTTGAATTGTTTGGTTGGAAATATGAGGATATTGAATTGGAATGTGAGATGATTGCCAAGGCTGGGTATATGGGAGTCAAAGTGTTCCCCCCTTAAGAATCAATATTGGATTATGAACATCCAGAAAATGGAGAATTGAATCCATGGTATTGGTTATATTAGCCTGTGTCTTATCGTCTTAATTCTCGTATGGGTACAGTAGAGGAACTAAGAAAGATGATTAATACTTGCCAGATCAAAGGGATTGAGAGTATACGCAGATGCTGTTGTCAATCACATGAGTGGTAATGGTAATGATATGTTCCCATCTCATTGTTATGGTTCTACATATTGGGGAAATAAGAATAGTTCAGGAGGATCTCCATGGTACACATAAGGTTTTGCCTATTAAAATTGGACATGGTCAGGAGCAAGACCAGGTATGGAATTCCCAGCTGTCCCATATGGTCCATTGGATTTCCATTGTGCAAGACCAATTTCATCTTGGAATGATGGATTCATCTTAAATTATGGATGGTTAGTGAACTTAGGAGATTTGAATACTGAATCAGATTATGTTAGATAAAGAATTGCTGATTACATTACCGATTTACTTTCAATAGGTGTAAGTGGAATAAGAATTGATGCTGCCAAACATATCAGTCCAGAAGGTTTAGCATACATCTTCAAGAAGTTGGCAAATAACATGGGAGGCAAATTACCAGATGATTTCTCAGCTTATCTAGAAGTGATTATTGGTGGAGAGAAAGATTTGTTGATGTGTAATGAAAATTGGTATAATTATGGAAAATCATTTGATAATTACATGAAGTAAGCAGGATTGAGTGATTCTGATATCTATAAGATTAAGATTTGGAGTTCCGATTATCCAAAAGAACATCCAGCTTGTGGTTGGTGGCCAATTTCGTCTGAAAGATTTGTAGCATAATTAGATTGTCATGATGATTAGAATCCAGGATCATCTAGTAGGGATATGTAAGATAAAGGCAGTGTTTTGATTAAAGAGAGAAATGTCGAAAAACATCGTTATTTCAATAGAGAATTGTTCTTCAGAACAGATGCCAATTGGTAAATCAAATTGGTTCTATCCTCATATTCCTTTATTGATTCAAATGGAGCCTAAGCTCCTCCTGATGGTCATTCAGATTGTGCTAGATGTGTTGGATCAGCTTGTTCTGGCTGTACTAAATCAGTTCCATATAAGAAGGCTCACAATCCTAATGTTTGTGGTTATACCATTTATTAAAACGGTTAATGGCAATAAGGAGAATGTAATTATTAACATATATATATTTTAGATACCAGAGTTCATAGAGACAAAGAAATTATCATGGAAATGAGAAGATGGATGGGATTATCAACATCAGTTTCAAATGCTGAAATTGGATTACCAAATCATTGTTGACTAATTACATTAAATCAAATTAAATAAATTAAAACCATTCATTATTTAACTTTCTTTTATGGCTTCTCTGACTCGCAAAATTGAGGGATTCTTTTTTCTTCCACGTGACTATCATTCAATGAACCACCTTCATCTTTTATCAATTCTTAGTCATATCTATAGAATTCTTTGATAAAAGGTTCAGAGTAAATTAAAGTCATACTATTGAATGGTTGATAGAAGTCTAATTGATTCTTATGCACGACTGTTCTTTAGGTTGATGTTCTAGAGAACAAGCTCTCGTGATCATATATCAATTTTTGAGGTGTATTTGGACTGTGATAATTTGTTATCAAATCTCCTTAGCAATTATTACCAATATGTTTTGATATCGTATTTGCAGTTATTTCAATGAGTTTCTATCGCAAATCATCTGATTTGGATCTAAATAAAACTTCATTGAATTTTACCAATATATCATAATGAATATATTATAACGTTGAACTCTTCTTAAGGATTGTCTCATGAATTTGATTTTTAAGGATCTCTAATTGTGTAGACTTTGTTGATATTAAAAATATCATCATCTACACTAGATGATGTTCCAATTCAATTTCTATCTATTAAGATTTATCATTCAAGTATTCCAATAGTAATTCGACTGCTTTCACAAAAACTGAGCACTTTATAGAATTACATCTAACCAATAAGGACGACAAATAATAAAGAGAATTGATTTTTTCAGTTTTTGAGAGTGTATTCTATATATGATATTATCAATATATTACAGATCTTATATTTTAGACTAACTATGAGAGAAATAATTAATTGATTCTTGATAAGGAATTCGGCAAAGAACAAAAATATAGAAACACATAGTGAGCCATTCTGTAATATTGATTTTTTAGCATTATCTCTTAGAATACTGTTTGCAGCTCTCGAAATATTTTAAAGATCAAATCTTCATTTATTTCCATTTGGAATATACTCTTTTTGGCAATTCCTAATTTAGAATCCAAATAATCAAATAATATGAATAATAAATGATCCACCTTCTTGCACATGTCATCTCTATGCTTTTTGTTCAAATGTTATTATAAAGTAGTTTTAATAATGAAATTGTTGTATTGAGGATCATACTTAATTTCGGAATCAATTTATAAAATCTTTATATAAACCATCTTAAAGATACGAGATCTAAGTTCAGGGATGCGATCACTTAATTTCATACAATTTGTAGCATAAACTCTCTAATGAATTTCACTTTAATTTTTATGTGGAAATAAATCAGACAGAGTTTCTAATAATTTCTCCTTGCTTAATTTATAGATCTAAATGATTTCACTAATAATTTGAATGGCCGCATCAGAATGAATATTATTACTACTTTTAAGATATTTGTCTCTATATATATTATTATATAATCCATCAATTCCTTTTAATCAGTATGAAATATCCTCATATGAATTATCCTAAAATATTGATAAAAGTTTTACCTTTTTAATTATATAGAAACATTTCGATTTATTTTTGGATGGGAAGTATCCATATCCAATATCTGACATACCTTTCAACTTCTCATCCGCTTTGGGATGATGAATCAATATTTCTTTAATAAATTATTTGTGAGATTCTGACAGTTTAACAATCTGATTTTCAGCAGTCAATTAATAGGCTTCGGCCATTACTAATATCTGTTATTACAATGCGGCTTTAGTTGGATAGGACTAACCCATGACTTCACATGGAATATCATCTCTGGTTTATTCTGAATCGATTAGCCTGAATTGTTAAATAATGGATGTACATTTGAAGACTCAATTTTTAAACCAAGAAACGATAGATAGTAATTAGTTACGAGGGAGACATAGACAGAATAGTGAACAAAATCTTTTTGAATTAAGGTAAGACTTAAAAATGATTGTCAGAAGTGAACCATGGTATTTTATACAATACTATATCGATGACCATTTTGGCATCATTGCCATTTCGTTGCAATTAAAGCAACAGCCGATTAAATAATTCAACCCACAAACCTATTTATGGTATGTCTTTATTCTTTCGGCAAACTTCTTCAATGATTTTATTCATTGAATTGGGCATTCCCTATTAAAATATATAAGAAACAATACTTTTTATGCATCTGCATATGATTTCTACAAGTATATGAACAACTGCTCCTCTTTTTTTGCATCTTCAGGCCTCTTTTACATACTTTATTTAATTAATATTATTTAAAAAGAAATAAAAATGTTTTATATCATTTAATATTCTAACATTTTATGTTAAATATCTAGCTATTTAAAATAATATTTTTAAATCTAATTACTTTTAAATCTAACAGTTATAGCTAATTCTAATTGAAAGTCATACTCAAATAGAATTCTTTAAATATTTGATTATTCATTCACTAATCAACAATATTATTATAAACAAATTCTGTAAATGAATCAATATTAATAAAATTTAAATAATATGTCTAACTACAGATATCCCAATAAATTAAGTCAAAAATCAACTGAAATTCGATGGGTCGATAAGGTCATTTGTAAAAATTATCGAATCCTCAATCCCATTAATTCTGGTTCAATTATTGTTTTAACTTATAGGAACCTTTGGTCATCTTTACTTAGCTATACATTAGGTTAAATTGGAATATTATGCCGTTAAAATATTGTAAACAGGTAAAAGTCCTATTCTTGCATAATCAGTAAGACAAGAAGCTGAAGTGCTCTATAAATTGAATGGGAATGTAGGATTTCCTAGATTATATTACTTTATCTAAGATGGCACTAATAGTTTTATAGTTCAAACATTATTGGCCTAAAATTTATACTAACTACTAATGCAGACTCCAAACAAGATATTTTCGCTTAAGACTGTTTTGATGTTTCTAGACTAAGCAATAAATCGTTTAGAGTTTTTGCATAAGAATGATTATATCCATAGAGATATTAAACCAGAAAACTTTATGACTGGTTTAAAAGAGGATGAAATATACTTAATAGATTTTGGATTCACTTAACTATACAAAGATTAGGGATAACATATAGAGAAACAGAAAAACGAAAATATGATTGGAACCCCAAGGTATTTCATCGGTTAAGTTAGTGAAGTCTAGATTTTGCCCAATTTGCACACATTTAAATCAATCATAAAACAGAGCCAGTGATTTAGAGAGTTTGGGATATTTGGCAATCTACTTTCTCAAAGGATTGTTGCCTTGGATGAACATTTAAGCAGAGACCAAGGAAGAAAAAATAAGACTAATAGGATAAAAGAAGATGAGTACATCAATTGAGGAATTATGGTATTCATAATAATAATAAGCTAGTTATGGATTACCAAAACAATTTGAAGAGTATTTTAAATACATTTAAAATATCCCTTTCAATGGGGATCCAAATTATGATTATATTCAACAATTATTTAAGAAGTTATATCAATAGATGGGTTATCCATTTGATTAGTAATTCGATTGGAGTTCGAAATTGGAGGTGAGAAATTCCGATGACAATTTTGAAACTTCAAAATAATAACTCTTTTTGGAAGTTGGTAGGAAATCTTTTACTGCAGATATAAATATTGAAGAATTACCATCTTAAATATAAAAAAAGTAATAAATCCTATTTAAGTATATTAGAAATATAGAGAGAATACATGGATTCAAAATTTCAGAAGATTTACTTCTTATTACAGATCTATAATAAGAAGAAATTCAAGAGTTTGAACCAGGGTTAACATTGTTTGAAAAAATGCAATATATAAATCAACAGTAGTTTAAGAAACAAAAAAATGAATTAAAATTTTATTAAATTCTATGAAAACTTAAATATTCAATCATTTTTGACACTCTTAATTGATTAATGCGATATTATATACATAAATGTGTACATACTGAAACCTAATACTTACATGCTTAATTCATATAAAAACGGGAATCTCTATGGAGGTTAAATTAATTATTGACAAAAAAAGAGGATTACATAAAGCAAAACAGGAATCTAAACTTAAAACTAAATTATTACATTTCTTATTTTTGAATAAAACCTTAAAATCCAAGAATCTTAAAATTGCGGTGGTTAATTATTTCTTGTAAAGATAAAAAATAATACTAATAGAACACAGTATTCAATAAACAATTTATCTTCAATCATTAATGGATGATGAGTAATTGTTGCTATAATTGTATAATCATACACTAAATATCCATAATCCTTCTGACTTATTAATAGTAAAATGATAGGCAAAAGTATTGTTTTCTCATGAACATGAAAAGAGAACAAAAAGAAGGTCTAAGACACTATAAACAGAGTATGTCTAAATAAGTTAGGTTATTTGAAAAGCCTGATTAGCGAAGGAATAGAAAATAGCAATGTTAGAATTGCAGCTAATCTGAATAGCAATTGATTGTTAAACACCAAATTCCATTTAATCACTATATGACTAATGCACCAGAATGTTGCAACATGAAGTTAATATAAACCTCTATGAATTGGAAATATTGTAGCTATTGCTTCTTAAATCAATTTTAAATCAGACAACCAAGGCAACCAAATTATCAGAGTTGTCAAAATAACAGTGATTCCAACAACAGCTACCTTTTTTGGTTCTTTATATGTTTTTGATAAGATATAAATAAAGAATGGTAAAGAGTAGTAGAGTGACATTACTTTAAAATGTAATGCCATTACATAGAATATGGAACCTAATACTAATTTTCCTTTCTCTAAACTTATTATTGCATACAATGTTAATCCAAGCATAATGCAGTTATATTGAAAATGCCCATGATCCACTAATACCAATAATGGACAACACAATGCAATCAATTATTATTTTGACTATTGCTTAAGTATAAAATATATCAAAGGAGGATATAGAAAAATTATCTCTGAAATAAATACGCTTAATCTCATGAAAAGTTTTGTATTAAATGTTTCAATACCTCTTGAAGAATAAGGAGCGATGATCTCTGGATCAAATTTTTCAGCAACTTTTCCTAATGCATATGCAAAATATCCAGAGAGAGGAGGATAATCTAAAGGCCACCACTTTGGATCATTAAACTCACTTTTCTCATACCATTGAGTAATATTCAAATGAGAAGTAAGCTCCATCCAATGTCTTTATGCTTCGAAATCTCCATATTATGGTGGATCATTCATTCCTGAATAACCTCCAAAAGCAACATAAATCCTAAGAGAAATGCTAATTAGAATAATAGCAATTAATTTCATTTATAATTTTTAATAAATCAAACCAAACAAAAGAATTTTTAAGTTTATTTTACAATAACACATGTTCATTCAAAATTCACTCTTTAGGAGATATAATAATTTCTTTTTGATACAATTTTAATTTATATGAAATATAAATATTATCAAGCAGTTTCGAATAAGGTAGTATAAAGTAAGTATAATTTTTGCCTTCAAATTATTATGAGGAGAATAATTATACTGAACATTATGAGTAGAATTTAATATGAAATTTAGTAGTTAAGATGAGAAATTAATTGAATCTATTTTAGAGTAATGAAACATTTTATATATTTTTAAAGAGTAAATTGCTATATATATAATATATTTAATTATTTAGACATATCTAAATTTTGGATAATATAGAAATATAGATATTGAAGATGTTTTCATTGTTATTAGTAATATTATAGATGATGATTTGATTTTAATTGCTATTTTAATAATAATAAAAACATAATTTATATTATTTTTTTAAGTGTTAATCAGATGTAAAGTAAATTTATTATTGTTAAGTGATAGACTACAGGTTGATAACCAAAAAGGGTGAAGGCACTTTTTCAGAAGTTATAAAAGCTTAATCTGTGAAAACTACTTAATTAGTTGCAATAAAATGCATGAAGCAGATTTTCCAAACGATTGACTAAGTATTGTATTTTAATTCTAATATTGGTTAACAAACTCAAAGAAATTCAAGCATTAAGAAAGTTATAAAATCACGAGCACATTATTAAATTAATTGAAGTATTATAGTAAAATATCATTCATTATAATTAGTGATGAACCTACTGGAAGATTGGCTTTAGTATTCGAGTTGATGGAATAAAATCTGTACGAACATATTAAAGGTAAGATTAACAAATACATGTATTTAGGCAGAAAAATACCACTAAAATAAGAGAAGATTAGGAGTTATACGTATTAATTACTAAAAGCCATTGACTTTATGCACACGAATAATATTTTTCACAGAGATATTAAACCGTAAGATTTGAATTGATAGGTTTTAGTGAAAATATCCTGTTGCTTGGAGATCATCTTAAATTGGCTGATTTGGGTTCATGCAAGGGTATTTACTCCAAACATCCATACACAGAATATATCTCAACGAGATGGTATAGATCTCCAGAATGTCTAATGACTGATGGTTATTATGATAGTAAAATGGATATATGGGGTGCCGGCTGTGTCTTATTCGAGATCACAGCTCTATTCCCTCTCTTTCCTGGAAGTAATGAATTGGATCAAGTGCATCGCATTCACAACATTTTGGGAACACCCAATCCTAAAGTCCTTGATCGATTCAGGAAGCATGCGACTCACATGGAAATCAATTTCCCTTAAAAAGTTGGAACTGGATTAGAGAATTTGATTCCAAACGCTCCTAAAGATCTTGTAGATCTAATTAAATAGATGTTAATTTATGATCCAGAAGAACGTATCACTGCAAAACAAGCACTGAGACATCCTTACTTCAAAGAAATAAGAGATCAAGAATAATAAAGATTGTTAGAAACTAGTTTATAATCGATAAAATTATTAAAAAAAAAGTAATATTTCCAATAATAATTAGTGATGATTCCCTTATGGACGAAGAGTAAAATACAACTCAGATAATTCATAAAAAGACTTTATTTAATCAAACCAATAAAGTCTTATAAAACTCTTTTAAGAATAAAAATTTGCATCTCCTGGATTGTGTAAAATTGCCTACTCTAACAAAAAAATAAGCAGACTTAAAGAAGGCTTATGGTCCAGCACATTTTTAGAGTAAAAATTATTATTAATAATTAGCTACAAAGAAAAAGTCTATTTAATATGAATACATCTTATATGGTAAAAAGGCTAACTTAGGTAATTTTCTAAATACTCTCAGACATAAATGAACATCACATTCTGATTAATTTTTAAATTTTAATATATTTAATCAGTTTTCTAAATAAGCAGTCTTACAGAATATTGTAATTACTATTCAATTAATTTTTAATAAAGAACTATTTATAATTTTATCGAAATAATCTTAAATATTGTTAACGGTAACTAATATTTCATTATTAAGGATAAAATTAATCTCTGAAATATGGATTCATACAATAATATGAATTGCTGAGTCATAATATTTGATTGCTTTTATCATATCTATTTAATTAACTTAGAGTGTTTGATTTTAAAATAATGCGCAATTTAAGAATTACTTTTTTTATTATAATAATCTGGGTTTTTTAGATTTTTTGTATTTTTACTAATGAAAATAAATCGATTTATTTAAAAACATATAATTGGCTTGAATTTTTTATAGAATCCAAGATATCCAATGTTCTGCCTTCTAATCTTCTATGAGTTGTATAATTTTGTTGAAGGATTATATTAATTAAATAAAAATATTTTAGTTTTCAAATAAAAATTATAATAAACAAGTCAAAATTAAAGTTCTTGATATTTAGTAATAATGAAAGAAGGGAGTAAAGCTTGATCTTTTAAAGATTTCCTTTGTAATAAAGTCGTAAACTAGATATTTTGATGTTATCCTTTCAAAAATTCGATTAATTTTTATTTTCTAGTTTTTTTCTGATCTGGAAATTTATTATTGTTTTGTTATTTCTATGGACTATTTTTGATTGACTAAAAGAGTTATAACTCGTCATTAGTTAAATTGATTTATTCATTAGAATTGAGAGCAATACTTAAATTGTTGAATTTCTTGTAATTTTTGTGTAATTCTTTTTTTTTATTTTTTATGCTTTTATCTGGTATTAAATGATCAAGTGTGCTGATCTAATAGGAAATAATTACAATTTTTTGGGAAAAGCATCTTCTCAAATACCTGGAGAACTGAGAGAGCCTTTAGTGAGCGTTCTTACTAATGAAACTTTTACATCGACGATATGATTAACATTTGGTA